ACCAAGGGGAAAAAGGGCAACTCCTGTGTGTCCTCTGCAAACCGGCATGGACCCAGAGCCCAGCGAGCCACGCCCTCGGCTTGCTTTTATTTTGGACAGAATCTCCCTAAATCTCTCAACTGCCCGAGTGGTTACCAGCCTCCTGCCTCAGCTCCTCAACAGCCGCCTTCTCATTTTACATGGCTTTTGTTTCTTGGTTTGTGGAGATGGCGGACCCCCGCGTGGCAGCGGCCTGGAGCCTGCAGCAGCCTGGGTTGGAGGCCTCTGCTGCCCCCCCTTTGCTTTCCATTCCATTCTCCTCAGCGCCTCCTCCAAGAAGCCTTCCAGTGGCTCCTCATCCTCCCACTGGGCCCCGTCCCCCTCTGAAGTTCCTCGTTTCCAGCTCCCATGCTGAAAGCTAGGATGCTGCCCCCCCCAGCCTCGTCACTGCTCCCCATATCCGCCCCGGCCGATGGTGGCAGGCAGGTGACCCATCTCTCCCTGGCTCTCTGGCAGGCCTGGGATACAGTATTTAGTGGTGCATTGATTCAACAGGTAGCAAGAGGCCTTGTGCCAGGTGTCACAGCAGTCTTGGTGCCAACCTGGGGGCAGCGGAACTGGCCTGTGATCCTGGCACTCCGGGAGGCTGAGGCAGGGTGATGCCAAACTCAAACCCAGCCCGAGCAGCTTAGAAACTCAGTGAGACTCTATCTCAAAATTTAAAAACTTAGAAAGGGCGAGGATGCCGTGCACCTCCAAGGTGACAAGGCTTTGGGGGGTCAGCAGGATGCACTGGAAAGGAAGGTTCCAGTGTGGTCACTGTGGCCCAGGCACCAGCCGGGGGGAGCAGAGCAGGTGATAGGGCAGGAGGTCACTGAGTTTCAATGCCGAGCACTGGCCGTGCGGGACTTGGAAGAGAGATGGGTTGGAATTATAATAGGTTCTGAGTGGACAAAAGGAAGGATTTGGGGTACCCCGCTGGCCTTCTCTAGCAGCTGCAGAAGGAACAGGCTGCTGGGGGTAAGGGGACCCCAAAGGTGGCAGCACTGGGTTTTCCCAGTGGGCAGGACAGACCTGGACTAGCGGGGCCAGAGCGGGACGGGGTTCTAGATCTATCTGGGAAAATCAGGGGCGGGTACATGTGCTTGGGGGCTGCTTGGTGGGAGCTAGTGGGAGCTGTCTCTTTTCTGTTCTTTTCTGGGAACACTGACAGACACCCCCAGCTCTTTTTATATTTTAATTTGCTACAAGGTCTTGTTAAATTGCCCCGGTTAACCTTGAGCTTGGGAGCCTCCTGCCTCAGCCTCCCAGAGTGCTGAGATTACAGATGTGCATACCCCGAGAGGCTGGAACTGGCATCTCGGGAGGCAGGGAAGAGGGAGGCCAGTGCTAGCCTGTGGTTCAGGGAATGAACTGAGTACTGGGCTGGCCTCAGACTCTTGAAGATCCTCCTGCTTCAGCCTCTGGAACGCTAGTATGACAGCCATGGGCTATCATGTCAGGTTCACCTGGCTGGTCCTTACAAGCACCAGTGACACATATACGTGGGCAGACGCCGACCCAAGGCCCCTAACCAGGCCTCTGGGGTATCCCAGCAAACTGGGGATCTGTGCTGATGGAGCCACCAACACTGGGATCCCCAAATGGGCCAGAGGTGGCCAGGGACAGGTCTCCGGGGAGGGGGCCAGGATGGGGCTGTGAGTCACAGCTTGGGTTCCTCATGAGTCAGCGCTGGCAGTGGCCGTGGGCATGGGCCAGGAGGCAGTTCCCACGCCCCAGGAACCAGGCAGCGGGTGCTGGGACTTCCTTGAGCTCCCCTCCTGGCCGGTCCCTCCTGGCCTCCCCTCGAGGTCAGTCGCTGGGGAAAGTTGGCCTGGGAGTCTGTGGGTGGACTGGTGACTGGGGCAGGGCCTGGCTGGGCAGGGCCTGCTCTCCCGAGGTGACCCAGGAGCAAGGATCAGGGTGGGCCGTGCAGAGAGAGCGTGGGGCTTGGCCTTCAGGAGGCCCCTGTTCCACAGGGTGCAGACCACCGGCCTGGCAGCCCCATGGGGGGCCATGGGTGCTGTGGGGCCTCACCTCACCCAACCTTGTCCCTACAGCGGGTGCCTCTGCTGCTCCCTGCTGGTGGCTGCAGGCAAACCCTTTAGCCAGGCAAGGCTGCAGATTGGCAGAGACCTGAAAGGCCCGGCCCAGGCAGGCTCTGGGGCTGCGAGGTGGCCTGGGCTGGGCAACAGCCTCCTGTGTTGCCTGTTCTGAGGACAGGCTCGCAAGGAGAGGCCCAGATGAGGCCAGGCTTCCTACTCCGGGAAGAGTTGTCCACAGAAAGATGAGGCGTGGGGTACCTCGCCCCCCAGGGATGGGGGTCCCATGCCTCTGTGGACAGCAGTGGATTCCGGGGGCCCTGGGGCCTCTGCTTCCCTTTCTGTGGCTGGCACTGGGGACAGAACTGGCACCAGGGGCAGCCTGCGTCTTTCCTGTTCGTGGGGTGGAAGATGGGGCGGAGCCGGACCCCTGTAATCTCTGGGCGCAGGACCCTAGTGTCTCTGGCCAGCCAGAGCTTCATCTTTATAACTGGGTGACCTGGAGGGGACTTGTCCAGGAGACACTGAGGCTGGAGGGACCCAAGGGAGGGTGGGAGGATCAGGGCAGCCAGGGCAAGGTCAGGGCCCCAGGAAGAACAGGTCTGCTCCGGGCCTCAGGGTCCTCTCTGTCCCCTCCGATATAGGCTGGGAGCCCAGGTGGCACCGGGCTGTATGTGTTGGGGTGCGTGGCCCCGGGGAGCCCCTCGCCAGCGTCAAGCCCCTGTCCAATGGTCCCAGGTCACAGTGTCTGTGGCCCAGTGTCCCCAGGTTCCTGCTGTGTCCTGTTGGTCTCTCGGACCCACTAGGGACCTCGGAGGGGGGATGCAGGTTCATGGGCCTCGCGCTCTGCTCCCGACCTGCGTGGCGTGGGACCCCTTGAACTGTGCACCCCGTGTCTGTCCCCGTGGGCGCGTCCTGTGCTGGGTCTCCAGGGCTCTGGGATCCGAATCCGCGCCCCCAGCCCCACAGTGCACCACCCCGGCTCCCGGGGCCCCGACCCCCGCCCGCCCGCGTGACGCCTTGCATCCCCTGCGCCCGGTCCTCCGCGCGGGTGCGTCTGGGTCCCCGCCCGCCGCGCCCCGCGCCCCGCAGGTGTCCCCGCTTGCGTCCGGGGCCCGGGGCGCGCACGGCCGGCGGGCGGGGTCGGGGCGCGGCGGCTCCGAGGCGGGCGGTGGCCGCGGGGTCCGAGCCCGCCCCGCCCGCCCAAGGCCCGGAGCCGCCGAGAGCCGATTCCGCGCCGGCGCCGCTCCGGGCTTTTCCGGGCGCGGCGTGGAGAGGAGCGGGAGCCGCGCGGGGCGCGAGGTGAGCAGGGCCGAGGCGGCGGGGCGGCCGGGCGGCGGGGACCCCGCGCACCTGCTCGGCCCGCGCCCCGCCCCCCATTGTCGCGGCCCGGGGAGCGGAGGGGGAGGGGCCGGGCCTGCGGTCCCGCCGGGGCCTCCGGGGGCGCCTCCGTGGGCGCGCGTCAGGGGCGGCCCGCGGGGCGCGCTCGGGTCGGGGTCGTGGGGGCCGCGGAGCCCAGGGCACCGGCCCCGCCCCGACCCCCAAGCTCGGGCGGCCGAGCGCTTTGTTCTGGGGCGCAGGGCAAGGAGAGGCCCAGCCCGCCCCCCCTCTCCCCCGCCAAGTTCACGGCCGGTCGGGCGCTCAGGTCTGGTTGTCGCAGGGCTGTCACCAGCACGACCCCTGCAGGGCAGGGCCTGCCGAGGCTTTGTGCTCCGGAACTGGCCCCAAATGGAAAATGGCCCAGGACCGCTTGGGAGCCCCGTTCCGGCTGCAGGCTGCAGGGTCTCTTCCACCGGGACAGGGCCAGGAGAGAAGCCCCCAAAGCCAGGCACTGCACTGTGCCCTGAATACTCTTGTCACCCTAAGTGGCGCCGACCCACGTGCAGTCACCCACAGAGCCTGGCCACGTGGGCTCACACATCACTCTGAAGGCTGGGCCATGCAGGGCCGAGATGCCCTGGAAAATACTGCCACACTGAAGACAGAGGCGACCAGCACTAGTGGCCGCAGTGTGGGACAGGCTTGGGTGGAGAACAGACCCGGAGAGGCAAATACCTACTGTCACACACAGGGTCTCACCTGACTGGCCTTCAACTCCACGAGATCCTCCTGCCTCAGCCTCTGAGTGCTGGGATTACATGGCGTAATGCCTAGCAGCTACTGGGGTCTTCACACTCACACTCACACACATTCACAGTCCCCTGGAACAGCTGCATGCTCCACCACAGCACAGCTGACTCCCAGGCACCTGCGGTGAGGCTGCCACCCACAGGGGATGTCTCAGGGACCTCCCCTGTGCTCCCCTAACTAACACCAATCCTGCCCTCTTAGCCATATCACCAGCGCTCCAGACCGCTTTGAGACCCTCTTGCTAAGTCAGGAGGCTGCCCAGGGCGACCTCCTCCTTGTTGATCCTCCTGCCTCAGCCTCCTGAGTAGGACACTTGTGTGCTCTGCACCTGTTTTGCACAAGGCAGTTTGAAGGACAGGCATAGTGCCGTGAGTGGTGATGGCCAAATCCAGGGCCCCTTAGCACTGGCATTTTAGTGGGGAGCAGGACCAAGGGCAACAGGAACGCAGGCTGACACATGGATTACTGTCAAAACAGACAGCTGTGGATGCCAGACACCCTCTACACCGGTTTACACCCTGAGCCTGACAGGCACCCACAGTACACACACACACACACACACACACACACACACACACACACACACACGGCAGAGAGCTGGCCACCAACAGCAGGTCACCCTCAGGCAGAGCCCCCACGCATGGGTCAACAGAGCCCACCTTGGTCTGCAGCCAGGGTCACCCTGCACCAGGAGCTTCAGGAAAAGCGTCTGGATCCTACCACTTTCTTCTCTGTTACTTGGGATTGAACCCAGGGCTTTCCACTGAGGTACATCTTCAGCCCCCGCCCTTCCCCCCCCCCACCCTTTTTAGTCTTTTTTTTTTCCTGGTGCAGGGTGGGGGAGGGAGTGTTTAGCTAAGTCACCAAATTAAGGTGCCCTGGCTGGGTTGGGACTTGGAATCCTCTGGCCTCACCCTTCCAGAGGGCTGGGATGACGGGAGTGAGCCACTGTGCCTGACTCGATTTCCTGTGAATCAGATCCTCCACCATCCCCAGCTTCAGCCGGAGAGGAGCCAGACCCTCATCCTTCAGTCCTGGCCTTCTAACCCAGTGGGCTGTCGGGGCAGGAAAGTACAGCTGCCTGCCCTGTGCCCACCCTGGACTGGCCAGATGATCCCCTGGTCTGAGCTCTGCCCTGACAGCTGAAAGGGAACCCAAGGTTGTCGTGGGAGGACAGCAGGGAACCCCAGAGGCCACACAGGTGTCACTGAAATGTGGATCCTGGACTGCCAGCCTGGACAGCCTGGGCCCTCGCTGTGACCCCACGGAGACCCCCCTCGAATGGTCTGTCTCCCAAGTCCTGACCCCTCTTCCTCTGCCTGTCAGCGTGCCATACACAAACACACACACAGGTACATGCACTCTGGTACACAACACAGGACTGTTTTGAACTTTGCTTTTCTTTTTTCTTAAAGACAGGTCTTGTCTTGTAGTTCAGGCTGGCCCAGAACTCACTATGTAGCCCAGGCTAGCCTGGAACTCGCAATGACCCTCCTGCCTCAGCCTCCCGAGCGCTGTTGACTTGGGTAGGAATAGATGCAGCAGGCCAGCCTTCCCAGGTACCGTGGGACGGGCGAGGGCTCCCTGGTGGGCTACTACGGAGTGTGGGCAGGGCCCGACCGCAACCCAGGAGCCCCCAGAGGCCCTCGGTCCCCACAGTGAGTTCAGGGAGGGGGAGGGGAGTGACAGGCCAGGGGAGGGTCGGGGTTGCAGGGCCGGCCTCTCCCGGTGGACTCCAAGAGCAGGAGACGGCTGGACAGACACAGGAAGGCGCAGCCAGCCGCTGACTGCGACCCGATTCCAGGGACAAAGAGACAGGCGGCCCCAGATAGCCGCGGAGGGCGGGAAGCGATGCGGAGGACAAAGAGACCGCAGGCAGGGGCGGGGCGACCACGGCCGCGCCCATCCAATTAGCGTCGTTGACCCGCCCCTGCCCGAAGCCACACCCCTGCCCCGCCTCCTGGCGTCCAGACTTTTAGTCCCCTGATGTCCCGGGGTTGGGGCTACCTCGTGCTGGGCCTTCTCACCTCTTACAGGACCAGAGCAAAGCCCTGCGCGGAGAGCCAGCACCCTGACGGAGAAGGGCTGTCCCCAAGACACCCGTACCCCCCACCTCGTGTGACCTCGTGGTTTTTAGTGTCCCAATTGATTTGAGGCTTGAGTTTGGGGGCCAGCTCCATGCAGGCCTGTGGGGGTGCCTTAGAAGGGTCGTCCTGGGGACCTTCAGGGCTGGGATCTGGTGGAGATGCTGGGGCCTTTGGGCCTCAGGCATTGTGGGGTTCACCCAGAGACTGCGCTGGATTGCTTTGGGGTCATGCCAAAGGCTCTCTTGGGTTTGCTTTTTCCTGGGTGCCGTAGGGGACTAGGGTTTTTACTTCCTTTATTTTATTGCATTTATTGTTTTTGGTACCTGGAATGGAACTCACGACCTTGCACTTGCCAGGCAAGCGCTATGCCTCCTAGCTGTCCACCTGCAGTGCAACCACTCACCCACCCTCTGTGGCTGGCCCACCACCCACTCATCCTCTGGGGCTGCCTGCCCTGGGGTAGGCCTGGCTGTTCACAGCAACCCACAGGCACAGGTGGAAAGCAGAGCACTGCATTGTATTGAAGCCTTGTTTATCAGGGCTGCAGAGGCGCAGGAAAGCATTACATTGTATTAAAATGACTTGTTTATCTCTTAGTGCAGCCCTGTCCTCCGGGCTGCCAGACATCCTGGGGTCACTGGGAAACAACTCCTTCCTCTCCCCTTCCTAGACTCTGTGGGCTCAGACCCCCAAGCTGGGGGAGGAGGCAGTACCCCCCCACCCCACCCCCGTCAAGGATGGGATTTCTTCCAATGCCTGATTACTTCTTGTGACCGTCTCTGCTGGTCCCAAATGTAAGGGCTGGCAGTTGGCAACTGCTGTATCAGGACTCAACTCAGGACCTCGCACTTTCCAGGAGGCGCTGTGCCGCTGAGCTACATCCCCAGTACTAAGGGTCCATAGCCCTGGCCCCCTGCTGCACCCCTCTTCGGGTCCCTGAGATGCTGCCCAAGGGTTTGGGGGAACATTCAACCTGTCGGTGAGTTTGGACGACTCAGGCAAACCATCGACCGTTGAGTGGACCCCGAGGCCTGGATCTGCCATCCTCCATCTCGAACCCCACCTCCCTGGGCTGGGGCCATCGTACCCCTAAGGTCACAACCAACATTCATTTCTGTCGTGGGTTGTGAGGACCGCGGCCAGACTCCCAGGGGGATGAATGTCACTGCAGGCGGGGGGGGGTGTGTGGCATGGGACTGGTGGGGAGCCCCCCCCAGTCTGCCCCAGCAGTATTGGGGATTGAGTTCGCAGTGTCTGCGCTGAAGTGCATCCCCAGCTTTGTTTTGTTTTGTACTTCTTGAGACAAGGTCTTGCTTGTCTCATCAATAAACTTAAGACAAGGTCTTAAATCACCCAGGCTGGACTCCAACTTGTGACCCTCCTGTCTCAGCCTCCTAGAGTGTGGTTGCTGGGGGGATCACAGGCTGGGGACCCCTCTCTGAAAGGACATGGTGAGTTTTGCTCAATAAAGTTTTCTTCGATGGCTGGAGGGGCTGTGGATCACAGGGTGGGCAGGGGACGGGTACAGGGTCGCATGGAGGGGTGATGGACGGTTGAGTGGATGGACAGAGGTACAGACTGATTGGAGTGTGCAGGCAGCAGGCCTCTCTGGGAGGGAGAAAGCTGTCAGACCTCAGCTTTGCTGACCTGGGTGCCTGGGTATCTGTCCCAGCCGGGTCACTCCTGGACACAGCCCACCTCTGACCCCTCCTGCCCCAGGGGTTTCCATCTCCCCTCTCTCCAGATAACCAGATAACTGCACTATTCACCCCAAGAGCCCGGGGCAAGACAGAAATTACTAAATTGCTGGTCACCCCAGCTCTGTCTTTAGGGCATGGCAGGGCCCATCACCCTGGGGGAAGCTGGAGGGGAGGTCTCCCACCAGGAACAGCCCCCCAATGACCGGGCCCTGGCCCTGTGTGGGGGCGGTGGGTGCACCCAGCAAGCATCCTGGCCCCCAAGACTTGTGCCTCCAGCAGGTGGAGTGATGGGTCAGCAAGGCCCCCTGGGACCTCATTAGCCTGCGGCCCCTCCTCTCCTCCCAGCCCCTTACAGGTAAAAGGTGGGGAGCAGCCTGGACTCCAGGCTCAGCATCAGAGCAGGGTGGGGGAGCAGGGCTGAGGTGCCTGCTGGGCCGGGAGCCCGGCTGGAGTTCTCCCCTCTGCCCTCTCCTGGAGTGTGGGCACCAGCCATGGGGACCTTTGACTTATGGACAGACTACCTGGGGCTGGCACGCCTGGTTGGGGCTCTGCGTGGGGAAGAGGAGCCTGAGGCCAGGGTGGACCCCCCGCCGGAGCTTCCGGGGAACGCAGCTCCAGAACCAGAAGGCCAGAAACTCAGCCCGGAGCCCGCGGCCGCCCCGGAGCGACTGTGCTCCTTCTGCAAGCATAATGGCGAGTCTCGGGCCATCTACCAGTCTCATGTGCTGAAGGATGAGGCAGGCAGGGTGCTGTGCCCCATTCTGCGCGACTACGTGTGTCCCCAGTGCGGGGCCACCCGCGAGCGCGCCCACACCCGCCGCTTCTGCCCGCTCACCGGCCAGGGCTACACCTCCGTCTACAGCTACACCACCCGCAACTCGGCCGGCAAGCGGGTGGCCCGGCCAGACAAGGCAAGGACACAGGACCCCGGCCACCGCCGAGGAGGAGCAGGAGCAGCAGGTGCCTGGGCTGATGGCTGGGGACCCACGTAAAGGGGACTTGTGTCCTGCGGGAGGTGGGGCTTCTGGGTGCCTCTGCAGGAACCGCAGTCCTCAGCTCAGAGCTTGGGGAGCAGGGAGGTCACGTGGGGTATGAGACAGCGTGTAGGTCAGGCGAGGTGCTGCCCGCCTGTGGCCCCAGTCTTAGGAAGGCTGAGGCAGGAGGGTTACTTGAGTTCCAACTTGAACACAGTGAGCGCAAGGCCAGCCTGTACTATGTAGCCAGACCTTGTCCAGCAGGGAAGGGGAGCCTGGCATCCCTGAGGCGAGAGGGTCACAAATTCAAGCCCAACCTCGGCAACTCGGGATTAGACCAAGATCGTCTCAGTAAAAACCAGCAAAGGCTGCGGATGTGATTCAGTGCGAAGGCCCTGCCTGGGGTGTCCCCCGGGAGCCAGGGCCTGGGTAACGTCCGGGAGCTGGACTCACCCGCCGGCCTGAGGCCGGGCGGCCACGAGGGGGCAGCACGGTCCTGGGCACCAGGAGTCCCCGCTCCTAAGTGACGCCCGCCCTCAGCAGCCTCGCGGGGAACCGCGGTACTGGGGGCGCAGGTCATTGCTACCTACCACGGCCCCCCTGCTTTTCTCCTGCAGGCTCCAAAGGCGCCGGGAAGGCGGCTGCACCTTCGCCCTCCGCCTGCTGCCCCACCACGTCTGCGTAGGGGCTGCACGCAGATGCGACTACACCTGCCTGCGGACCCCAGCTCCGCGGAGGCCGGACTCCAGGGACACGCCCCCACGCCGAAAGCCCAGCCCTTGGACACGCCCCTAGTCTAAGCCCCTACCCTGCATCAATAAACACCACTTTCACGTAGTCTTGGACTCCGTGGCCTTGAGGGGCGGGCACGCCCTTACCCAGCTGCACCCCTAATACTTTAATTTTGGGTCACCCATGGGTGCTCCAGCCTAGGGCCTCAGCCTCATATCTCCCAGGTGCAGCCGTGTGGGGTCGGGCCGGGGTGTGTGGGGGGTGCAGCTTCTCCAGCGGGCTGCCCAGTCCGTGTCTGACTGCCGCCCCCAGCACCACAGTGACCCTCTGAAAAGCAGGCAGCCAGGTATGGCCCTGAACTGGCCTAGTGGGGTCAGGGCTCGGCCCACACCGTCCCCAAGCAGAGGGGACAGGAAGTGGGCTTGAAGGGGACTTGAGCACCCCAGGTCAGGCTTGTGGTGGAGGGGCAGCCCCTGGGGACAGCTGGGCGCAGCCTAGGGTGACCCACAGACTGGAGCAGCTGGGCTGGGACCCAGGTTTGGTGGACACCTAGGTGCTGCCCGGAGCCCATTCCCTGGGCCTTGGGGGTCAGAAGGGAGCTGGGTGGCCACTGCCGGAGGGACGGGGCAGCTGAGCTGAGGTCCCCCTCTTGGCCCCGGTTCCTGCGGGGTGCCAGCCTCCGGGGCTCAAGCCAGGGTATGCCAGAAATCGGTGGGCGTAGGAAGGGGGTTAGGTGGCAGAAAGCCGAGGGGCCGAGAGGCCGCACCATTTATTAAGAGGTAGAAGAGGGAAAATGGACGGTGAGGCAGTCCCGCGCTGTCCCCAGAAACCCCGGCCACCCTCCTGCATCCGTCTTGGGGAGGTGACTTCAGCCGGGATTGCAGACGGCACTGGTGGAGCAAAGCAGTGCGGCACAGAGGCCTACAAGTCCCGCCGGGGCCGCTCGTCGTGCGCCATGGCCGCCTTGGCCGGGCAGGACGCAGGCCGGGCCTTCCTGGGGCCAAGGCGCCTGAAGGTTTCCAGGTCTCGGTGGGCGCTCATGATCAAGCGGCTGGGGCCACATGTGCCACCGTCAGAGCCACTTCGGTGTCCCTGTCCCCACCCACCCCCGCCAGGGACCCCCACCCTCAGGGCCTATGCACAAGAGCCCAGCCTCAGTTTCTCCCCGAACCCCTTACTTGAGGTTGGAGAGCTCCACGATGAGGCCCCGCACTGTGTCCGAGGCGTCCTCCATCCTGGGGGGAAGGGAGGACCCAGCTCCTACCAACGCCTTCACTGGACCCAGGAACCCGCACCTGCCATCCCCACCCCATGTGCACCTCCCAATTGCAGGGCCTCTGCCTCTCCAGACTCTGCCCCAGCCGCAGGGGCCTTAACCTGTCCCCACCTGCTGCGGTCACCTGGGATTCCAGGCCCTGTCAGCTCGGTCCCTTGGGAGACCCTGGCTCCATCACACCCTGCACACCCTGTTGGACCTCGGAGGGGCCACTTTGCCACTTTGCCCAACCTGCATTCTGCACCCAGAGGTTGTGTGTAGCCCGGGATGGGCTGCTCTGCTGGGGGATCCCTTACCCAGGACAGGCGAAACAGTGGGCCAGGCCATTTGACAGCCAGGCCCTGCTGCCCTACTGGGCAGGGACTGGGGTGCAGGCTCCCTGCCCACACCTACCTTGGCTGAGCCTCTGTCTCCGGGACTCGGTCCCCCCGACTGGTGCCCAGGCTGGGCCAGCAGAGGACCGACTCGTTCCCTGCGGGATGTTCCTGCAGAGACAGGCAGAGGGTGAGTGGCCCAGCCCGGCACAGGAGAGAAGTTCTGGTGACAGGTGGCAGCCTCACTTGAACAGGGACACACAGGACCTGGGGCAGTGAGGCCGGCGCTCCTCCTCCAGCTTTGGGTCCTGGCCTCCACTGTGGACTCTCTGATGAGTTCCAAGGCCCTGAAGACTGCTGCAGGGCCGGGGTGTTCCCCTTTTTGGTGGGGTGGGGGGATACAGTACTGGTGATTAAAGCCAGGGGCTTCTCACACCTCCAGCTCTTTTTTAAAAAATCTGAGATGGAGCCAGGGATTTAGCTCAGTGGCATAAGTGCCTGCCCAGCAAGCGTGAGGTTGTGAGTTCAATCCCTGGTATTGCAAAAAAAAAAAAAAAAATCTGAGATGGCCTGGCTAAGTTACTAAGCTATGTGCTGGGCTTGAACTTGTGACCCTCCTGCCTCAGCCTCCCGAGGGCCTGGAAGGAGCCCGTCCTGATGAAGGCAGAGGGAAGGGAGCCTGCATCCGAGGGAACACAGGCACACTCTGCACCATCTGGAGGTCACCAGCGGGGTGCAGGCCAGGCTAGGCTCGAGCAGAGTGGCCTGTCCCCAAACGCCAGTGTGAAGGTCAGGCTGGGACCCCACTGGGGTTGCATAGGCAGCCTGGGTCTCCGGTCTAGCGGAGAGTGCTGAGCACCCTGGCTATGGGTGACCAGTGCGTGACAAGGAGCCGGGAGGTGCTCGGGAATCTTTCTTTCCAGCCAATGGAACCGGGGCTGTGCATACCCCAACCGCACCCCGAGATGGGTGCATACGGAGGGGCAGGGACACAGCTTGCACTCTGAGGAGGAGGAGGCCCGCGGTGGTCTGGATGGGAGACCCCGTGCATCCCACCATCGCCGTGGGCCCAGTGTCTGCGGCTGTCCACTTCCACCACCTTCACAGTGCCCCGCCCCTCCCTGCTTGGTGGCTGCAGAGCGCACCCTGCTGGCTGGTGCTGCCCGTCCGGTGTCCGGTTTGGCCGCCCACGGGCTGGCTGTTTTCCTTTCCTCCTCCTCCCTCCTGCCGCTCTGAACTGGAACCCGGGGCCTCACCCATGCTAGGTGGAAGCCCCAGCCCCTCGCTGGCTGCTGCTGCTTCAGAGCCGCGCGGCAGGAAGCATTTGTCTGTGCATAGCCACGGGCTGTGTCCCAGAAAGCCTCTCCAGGAGCAGAGAGGGGCCGCGCTCAGGGCGGGGTGCCAGGGTCGCCCCAGTGGGCAGTCGCCTGGGCTGCTCTGTCTACTGCTGGCACGAGGGAGGCGCGGCTACACACGTGCAAGCCTGGCATCTGTCACCCCAGCACACTGGGAGGCTGAGGCAGGAGGGTTTCAAGCTTAAGCCCTCCCTGGACAACTTAGTGACCCAGAGACCCTGGGTTCAATCCCAGAACCAGAAACAACACTGTTCACCAAGTGACTGTTAAGGGGGTGGACAGCTTGGCGGACAGCACTCACCCCAGTGAGCCCCGCCTCCCAGCGTGCACCAGGCTCACTGCCCAGGGACTAAGGCCCCCACAGGTCTGCTGCCTGCCCCGACAGGCTGGGGATCAGCAGGCCGGGTGACGCGGCCTTGACAGAAGGGAGGCCCTGGTGGACCCTCTGTGGGCCTCCCCGAGACCCCTCCCAGCCTGACTGGGCCTGTGTGTGGGGTCCTGTGAAGGGGACCCTGGGCCACAGTGGGCCAGGCACCTCCCATCCCCTGGGACACCTGGACCCCTTATCTTCTCCCGCCACAGGAGTCTCTCTCTGAGCTGCCAATGGGACGTGAACCTCAATCCTCCTGCTCCAGCCTCCCAGGAGCGCCAGGGTGTGACAGACCAGCGCTTCCACATCCTGCCAGGTCCGAGGGTCTTTTCCAGGCCAGCACCCGAATCCCTTCCCCAGGCTGACTCCCCAAGGAGGTCATGCTGCTTCTCCAAGTCACCCAAGCCTCATGCCTTCTACCCACAGGAGCCTGGAGACAGGGTTGCAGCAGGTGGACACGAAGCTGCGGGCACTGGCACCCCAGGGGCTCTGGTTAAAGCAGGGGAGGCCTCGGAGTGACAGAAGTACCCAACTGTCACCATCCTGGGTCCCTCAGCAGCCACACATAAGGGTGGGTCTCTTTCAGAAAGGCAGCCTGCCCTGGGGATGCCCTTACCTGCTCTGCCGGGGTTTCCAAGCCAGGGGCATCCAGTGCGGCCTGCAGTTGGCTGTCAGGAAGGAAGTCCAGCTCCATGGCCAGGGTCTCTGGCCACCCAGCCTGGTCTGCAAGGTCCAGAGGGTGCTGGCATGGGTCTGGTGGGGGTGTGGGTGCTTCCAGACCTCCCTGGCAGACTCTGGCCTCCTGGAAAGGGCCCTTGGTGGCAGCGCTGGACCCCACACAGCTTCCCCCAAGGTGCTGGCCGTCCGACTCCACTGCCCATCTGTCTTCGAGCTGTGCTGTTCCCGCCCACTCCACAGCAGGACCAGGGGCTTGTGTGTGATCACTGCTTGGGCCCAGGTCTGGTGCTGGGTCTTGGGCATCCACAGCAGGCTCTGGGTTTCCTGGAACTGCAGCCTGAAGGACTGTGGGGCTCCCTGGGCTGTCTCTGGGGGGCTGCTCTTCTGGCCCTGCCTCCCCCTGGCCTCCTGGGGTCTCCTCACATACAGACCTGCAGCCCGGTGGGGTCTGCTCCCTGGGACAGGCAGGTGGCTGGGCCATTCCCAGGGCCCCCGGGTCTGTCCTGGTGGCATCTGTGCCTGTGTCTGCTGTGACAGTGGTCCCCAGGGGGGCACCTGCCTGCCCGCCTGCCCCTCTGGGTGTTGAAGCCCAGGCCTTCATGCACAGTGTGGCCAAGGAGGGAGTGGGCACAGGGGTGCTGGAGATGCCAACTCCTCCTCCCAGGGTACCAGGCAGGGCGCCGGCCTCCTGGGTGTCACCATGGTCTAGCTTCGTCCCCTCAGCACCACTGCAAGGCAGCTGTCCTTCTGGTCCACCCAGCCCCTGAGCCCCCTCGGGCACAGGGCTGCCCCTGTCCCCGCTGTCCAGCACACTGGCCCCTTGCTCTTTCCCTGGGTCCTGGCCAGCCGTCTTGGGGCTGTAGGCTGCGGCTCCCTCTTCAGACACAGGGCTCCCGGGCTTCCAGCCACTCCACGTGGGCTGGGAGCTGTCCGCCGGCATCTGAGCTCCTGGACCCGGAGATCCCTCCAGCTCTGGGGCGCCGGGGCTGTGCATGGCTTCCTGCACACAGAGAGAAACTGAGTCCCCAGGCCTCTGCCAGGAGCCCCCTAAAGGCTTTCCCCGCCGGCTCTACTCGTATCCCGTTCCACGCCCTGTACTGTGCACCCCTACAGCACCAGTGCCCACAGAGCTCCATGCCACTGCCAGACAAGGAATGGGAAGTGGACTGGGCGCCCTGAACCCCTGCTGGCACCAGGTTCCACTCCCTGTGGGCGCCAAGCCCCAGGCAAGAAGATCAGGGCTGCAAACTCCAGGTGGCCAGGCAGGGTGGGGACGCTGATGGGACGGTATTTCAGACACCCCAGCTTGGATAACATCCACCCCTGAGGAGCTAAGCCAGCCAGGGGGCGACCCCAGCTCAGGGGGCTGGAGCCGGAGGTCAGCTTAGTGGGACTCTGTCCCAAAATAAAAAGCTTTAAAAAGTAAAAATAAAAAAGGGCTGGGGATGTAGCTCAGTGTTCCCCAGCAATGCAAGAAAAATCGGGTGGGGTGGGAGGAGAGGGGAGACCATGGATCTCCGGACCTGCAACACAGAAGAAGAAGACACCCGTCTCCTCCACTGTAAAGCTACACTGTGTCCCCTCACTCTGCTGCGGATTCCGCACCTCTTCCTCACGGAGGGCTGCATCTCCATCGCCACGGTCACCCAGGGCCCCTGTCCAGCTTCGCACATCCCCTCTGTGCCTGCCCACCCCACCTCGGGACCTGGCACCCGCTCCTCTGACCCACATGTTTTCCCATCACTAATTTGCTGCTTTTTTTTTTTTTTTTTTTGTCTTTTTCCTTTTTATTGGTACCAGGGACTGGGGATCGAACTCATGACTGCCTGCTTGCAAGGCAGGCACTTATGCTGCCGAGCTAAATCCCCAGCCCCTAATTTGCTGCTTTTTACTGCTGAAACTGCAGTGTCCCCAGTGTGAGGCCATTGCCATCCTCTCTCAGGGACACTGTGACCCCTCTAGCGCATGACCTCAAGGGCTCCAGGACAGAGCTATGGCTGCCTCTCGGGGGACACAGGCAACATGGGGGCGCCCACCACCCGGGTTTGGACAGCAGGGGTATACACTGTAATCCCAGTGACTGGGAAGGCTGAGGCAGGAGGATCACATGTTCAAGGCCAATCTGGGCCACTCTGAGAACTGGTCTCGAATAAAAGGGGCCAGGGGCAAAGGCTCAAACTGCCAGGACTGTAAGGCCTCACTGGGCCCAGGCCCAGGCCCAGGCTAAGGCTCACCGGGCTGACGGCCTTGCTCTCCAGGTCCTCCACTCTCCTCTCTGCTTTCCTCCCCACCGACTTCCTGGGTCTTGCAAACTGCGGGACAAACCTCCCAGGTGAGCAGAGAGGGAGAAGGATGTGTCCTAGAAAGCAGCCCGGGCTTCTCCCTCCACAGCCTCCGACTCCACCCTCTCCAGCTGTGCCCGTCTCGGGCTCACTGCTGCCTGTGACAGACTGCACTGCAGAGCGGCTCACCTGGGAGGCGGAAAGGAGGGCGGTTTCTTTCTCCAGGGGCCCCGGGAAGGAGGCAGCTGCAGGCTCCCCTTCCAAGAAGCTGGCAGAGAGAGACACAATGCAGCGGGGGCCAGGTCCTTTGACACTGGTGCTGGAACTCAAACTCGAAACTTTGTGCTTGCCAGGCAGGCACTGGGCTGCCGAACCACCTCCCCGGCCCACTCTGCCTCTCCTGATACTGTTACTGCTTGTTTCCTGTGGCAGGGACTCCAGATACAGTTCAGGTTGGACTTGAACTCTGCTGTGCAGCCCAGGTAGAGACCCTCCCGCCGCCTTCATTAGTGCTGGGGTCTCAGGCGTCATTGAGGCCACACTCAGCTACACCCCCACACTCAGCCCCGCCAGGGGTGGAGCTCAGGGGTACAGCCCTTGCTAGCACATGCCCTGGGTCCTAACGCAGCACCCCAAATACAAACATTTATCTCAGAGTGCCTTGATCTGAGGAGCTAATAAAGCATTTATCAGTACCCTGCCCACTAAGCACTGTTATTTTTTTCTGTTTTGAAAATGGAATTAAGCTCACAGCCTTCACACTGAGTCCACCCTCTGCCCCTTTTTATCCTTTTTGCTTTGAGACAGAGTCTGACCAAGTTGCTACATTGCCCAGGCTGGCCTCAACCTTGCAACCCTCCTGCCTCAGCCTCCCAGCATGCTTGGGTCACGGCCCACACCTGGCTGGCTCCTCCCTTTTGCAGTGGGGAGAAGGAATAAAGAGCAGGGATTTGACCAGCACAGCATCAAGCTGCACTCAGGGACCCTGAACAACTGTGTCACCTGTGCCTGGGGTGAAAATCACAGCCTGTCCCACAGTGAGGAAAGCCCAGTGCAACAGGCACCCAGGCCCGACCTGGGAGGCTTCCGGACGCCTGAGCCACCCACCTGGAGACAGCCAGCCCAGGCTCCTGCCTGCTGGGCTCTTCGGGGGCAGTGGATGTCGGGCTGCCTCCTGACAGCATGGAGCTCGGGGAGCCTCCCTCAGCATCTCCAGGGCGAGGGTTCTTGGGAGGCTTTTGGGGATGGACCCCTGGTCAGAGAGAGAGAGGAAGGGGTCAAGGTGCTGGGGGTGGGTGCTATCACCCATAGCTGGCAGCGGGACAGGGTTGGGCCCCTGGGGTACTACACAGGCACCCCAGTTAGGATATCTGGTCCCCCACTGAGCTAGAATCCCCAAGTGGTGCCAGGTGCATAGCAGGCATGGGAGGTCACCCAGCTCCTCTGCGGGGTCTCCCTGGCCAGCCCCTGCTGGCTCCTCTACGCTCCATGGCTTCCCTGGATAGCTGCGGAGTCTGGCACCAGCTCCTGTGTGCCCTGCTACCCCCGCTGCAGGCGGCCTTGTGCTTTCCTGTGGACCCCAGTGGCTGAGAGACATCAGGGAAACTGCTGGTGCCCACCGTCACCAGGGGCAGAGGACACGCATGACCTGGAGGTCCACTCCATGTGACCATGCGGGCCAGCTGCTCGGGGACAGTGGGACTGAGGGGATGGGACTGAGTGTGCCCCTCAGGCCCCTGCCACCACTGACGGCCAGTGACGGCCTGGAGGTGGCTGTGATGGGCGCAGCTCAGGAGTGAGCAAAGGCTTCCCTAGCCGGGGCCCTGAGTGCCATCACCAGCACTGCTGAAAGCAAGGACGTAAAAAGAAAAGAAAGCACTTGTTAGTGTCTGTTTGTTGAATGAATGAAAGCCTCTGGTGCAGAATCCACAATCCTCCTGGGCCTGGGAGACAGGCCCAGCCCTGGCCTCACCTAGGCCTGAGTTCAAGAACAAACAGCATGCATGGCAGTGTTTATAATCCCGCCACACGGGAGGCTGAGGCAGGACTACCAGGAGTTTGAGACCTGCTTGAACTACACTGTCCTAACTTGTGTTTCTTTTTTCTTCTTGGCTTTTTGGGACAGGGTCTCGTTATGCAGCCCTGGCTGGCCTCAATCTTGCATCCATCCTCCTGCCTTAGCTTCCCGAGTGTCGGAGTGATGATGGGTGTGTATCGCCACACCTAGCAACTTGTATGGATTCTGAGGATGGCCTGAGTGGTAAAGGAGCTTGGATATCATCTTATAAATGAGGTTACACAACCAAGATGGGCTCCATTTCAGTGCCAGACCCCCAGACTGAAGTGTCCTGGGGCATTTACAGAGCACCTACTATGGACTGGGCTTCCAATTATGCAAGAGGAGGAACAAACGAATAATCCCAGGCCGTGCCTTCCTGGGGTTCCGTCTAAGCAGTTCTTAAGAAGCTCCCCATTCACACATGCCCACTTTTAACTGTGTCACCCCAGCGACTACCTGCTTAGCCGGAAGAACCCTCCCTCCCCCAGAACAGACCCCGAGGGTCTCCAGGACTGGTATCGAGGTCCTGCCCACAGCCCACAGCCCGCAGCCCTCCAGCGCTGGGTCCCCCAGGATGTGCCTCGTGGACGTGGCTTACACAACAGCTTCTCGCCTGGTGGTCTGCCAGAAAAAGGCAGAGAAAAGCACAGCTCTATTTACTGGGTTCCTTCAGATTGATCCCCGAACACCAGCTCGCCCCGCTGGTTCAATGGAGCTTTGTGGCCAAATGAAAAGCAAAACCATCATCAACAGCGCAGGGCCGCCCACTTCCTTCCTGTGACCCAGCCCCGAGGGACTGATTTAGGAGAAAAATAAGATAGAACCTTGTGTCCAACAGCAAAGACGAAGGATGCGGGCGGGATCCCAGCCCATCTGCAGCCAGCCCTGGAGACCCTCGGGGGCCAGGCCAAGAGAGGCCCCAGAGGACCTGTCACGGGTGGGCCTGGCTGTCCCCTGCCTTCTCCTCCAAGCCCAGACATCCTACATCTCAGGCGGCCTGTGCTCACTCCACATAAAACATGTTTTACCTGTTACCCTGTCTTCCGCTTCACATCAGGGAAATCAGAAGCCACACTCTGAATTTCACTTTGTGAGCAAAGAAGTTATTTCTACCTCTTAAAGCGGTTCAGTTAACATAGACGATGACAGGGGAACCATCAAGTCACTCTAGGGAATGCTCGGTGTTTTTCAAACCTTTTTGGTGGTCCATACCAAGCAAGCACTCTACACGTGTAGCACATTGACAAGTGAAACTGATCACAATTAAACTGAGTAGTAAAAAACACAAGGGGCAGATTAGCAGAGTAGGTGAACGGTCCATTTTCCAAAATAAACACTGGCGAAGCGTATGCCTAGCCCTCTATGTAAATGGGTTCCTATCCACAGATGTAAGCAACCACCTTTAGAAAATCTCTGGGAGGACTGGGGATTTAGCTCAGTGGCATAAGCACCTGCCTGGCAAGTGTGAGATTGTGAGTTTGATCCCTGGTACCCCAAGGAAAAAAAATCTCTGGGAAAAAAAAAATACATCCACCCAATGGGAGTGGCACATGTTTGAAATCCCAGCACTGTAGGAGGCTGAGGCAGGAGGATACAAAGTTCAATCTCAGCCTGGTAATTTTAGCAACTTGAAATCCTTGAAATTAAAAATTGGCTAGGGGAAGGGCAAAAGGCCAGGGATCAATCCTCCATACCACAAGTATCAAAAATAAATAAATTAATTTAAATGAAGAGTTGGGATAAATAAAAATGTTTGGCTCCAGTGTGAACACTGAGCCACACAGCAGGTGGGCCTCAAAGCACATCAGTATCTGTTACCTTGTGCAGCTGGAACCCACTGCACTGATGGTGAACCAAAAACTTCCACTTTTTACTGTATCACACCTTTGTCTGTAATTTGTACTTTTCCTAGTAGCTGTTATTAAATCTTCATTTTCTTTTAGGGATGCTGAGGCAGTCAGGTCAGCATTTCTGCAACACCAGGCCCACAACTCTCCTGTGAGCAGAAGCAGCAATCCAGAAGTGCTGACCACATCGGTGCAGGGCTGTCCTACTCAGGAGGCTGAGGCAGGAGGATCCCTGCAGCCCAGGAGTGTGAGGCCAGCAGGAGCCAACGTAGAGAGACCCTGTCTCTTTAAAATAAATAAATAAATATAAATAAAAATAAAAATGCCACCTTGAGGCTAGAGGTGCAGCATCCTGGTGGAAAGTTTGCCTAAGTGTAAGGAAGGCCTCCAGCTCCATCCACAGCATCAAAAAAAGAAAGAAAGAGGGGCTGGGGATTTAGCTCAGTGGCATAAGCACCTGCCTTGCAAGCAGGCAGTCGTGAGTTGGATCCCCGGTACCGATAAAAAGGGAAAAGACCAAAAAAAAAAAAACAAAAAAACAAAAACAAAAAAAAAAAAACCCTATATAAAACAAGAAAGAAAAAAACCACACTAACTTAACCAAATACCTGCGGTCCGAAGTCTCTTCCTCTTGTTCATTCTATCTCCCTGGAGAAATCTGCAAACAACAGACTCCCTCTTACAAGGGGCAGCCCTGGCTCCATCTGCCAGCAGAGGTCCTGGCTGAGGACTGAGGGATCACCTCTGCCAGCCCCATCTGGTGCCCCCTGAGGCAGGGGACCCTGGGACTCAGGACACAGACCTCCACGCTGTAGGGTACCTTGGGAACCCCGGGACCCAGCACACAGCCCTCCATGCTGTGGGGGGCCCCAGGACCCAGCCCTCCACGCTGTGGGGCACCTGGGGACCCCAACTCTGTGTGCGGGACTGGGGTGTCGGGGTCCTTCTTCCTGAGAAGCCATCGGGAGCCCTGAGGATCCGCGGGGGACGCCTGGCCTGGGGGGCAGGGTTGTCCTTGGCTTCTTCCCACCTTGAAGACCAATGGGGAACCCCAACCGACCTGGGCCACAGAAGCTGTCCAAGTCCCTCCTCTGTCCCCAGCAGGAAGAACGAGGGCTTCGTGGGCCTGCTGAGGAATAGGTCATTCGATTACTGTAAATTACGATCACTCTTTTTTTTTTTTTTAAAGAAAATGGCAACACTGGCCGTCGGGGACCGCGGGGACTCCTGGAGACCAGGCACGAGAGATCGACCACACACTGGCACTACGACCACCAAAAAGCGCAGCCCGGGAGGTCCGTGCTGGGCAGAGGTTGCGCGCGCACAGAAAACCCCGCGCCACCTATGCCCTCACACCTCCGGGCCCCGCGCCTCCTTCCCGCGCCCCACGACGCTCCGCCCCGCGCACGCGCAGTACCAGCGGCGGGGGGAGGGGCTCACACTCGCGCATGCTCTGTTCCTTATCCGCGCAGCCTGTGGCACCGCCCGCCGCACCGCCATCAGGCGCATGCGCTTCCGCGCACCGCCTCTCGGGAGATGTAGTTTCGACGAGGCGGCCCCGGTGAGTCCGGGAGTGGCGCTCTCCGGTTCAGCGACGACCAAAGGCCAAGGCGGAAGTGGGGCAACCACTCTGGGAAACGAGGGCGCCCGGGTTGACGGACGCGGGATACCGAAGAGGGGCCCAGGACTAGGGAAGGGCGCGTGTGACAGTCCAGGAGTGAAGAGCTAGGGCAAGGCCAGGCGCAGGGGCCGGTGGTCTGAACATCCAGCCTGGAAAATGCACAAGAGGAAGGGACCCCCGGGGCCACCCGGCCGAGGCGCTGCTGCCGCCCGCCAGGTGAGTGTGTGCCCCGCGGGCCCCCTGGGGAGCGCCTCTCCACCGCCCCCCCCCACCGTACCCGCTGGGGGAGCCCCACCCCCCAGGGACGTCCGATCTCCGCCCCTCTCCCATCCCCAGTCCCCCTGGGGAACCCATCTCGGTCCCTTAAATGAGCCTTGTCCCAAAAGGTGCGATCTAGGTGTCTTGCCTGCCCCCCCCCTCAGCTGCTGGCGCTCCGCCCCCGTTTCAGGGCCACCTGTTGTCCCAGCAGCTTTAGGAAGGGAGGGGCAGCAGTCAGACCTGTATTCCCATTGTACAGATGAAGACACTGAGGCTCAAAAGAGCTGAAGGCGTCTGCCCGAGGTGGTAGGATGGCCTGGCCTGGGCTCGGGGCAGAGCCAGAGCTGCATCCACGGCCTGAATGCTTCCCTCCTGTGCCAGAGACTGGCTGGAGTGTGCGATTTTGTAGCTTTGAGGAAGAGAGCCCACAGCATAGCTTAGTGCCCATGTGCTATGCATCCATGTGTTCTTTCCTGCCCTTATCACCTTGGACACCTGACTGCACAGTTTGACATAATAATATTACCCCGACCCAGTTGGCCATTAATCCATACGGGAAGACAGATCTACGCAGCCACTCCCAACTTCCAGGTGGTTGTTGGCCTTTCTAATTGCGCCCGATGCCCCACTTCCTGCTGGACTGCCAGCACAGAGGATGCTGGGAGGGAACGCCAAGGTGTGCAGGTGCCTCTGCCTCAGGCAGTTGTGGCCAAGTGAACTTGGCTAGTGGTGCGCTGTTGGAGCAGGCTCCCAGCAGGGCACTGTGTCTCTGCTTGCCTTTTGCCTCATCTGATGTGTGCCAGAGCCAGGCCCATGGTAAGACACTTGTTGGGGTCCTAGTTAGGTCCAGCCTTCCGGCATTCCCCGGGGAAACAGCTTGGACCGGGAGACTTTGGTTCCTTCCTCCCACCGGGCACTTCTAATCCTGTAGGGCTGCCCTGGCCACTGGTACATTCTAACTGGATTCACTCTGTCCCCACAGCTTGGGCTGCTGGTTGACCTCTCCCCAGATGGCCTGATGATCCCCGATGATGGAGTCAACGATGAGGAGCTGGAGGCCGAGTTCTTTGCCTTGGTGGGTGGCCAGCCTGCGGCCCTGGAGAAACTCAAAGGCAAAGGTGAGGAGTTTAATCGGAATGTGGTTAGAGCTCTAACCTCAGAGCTGGGTGCTGGGTAGAAAGAACAGGGCAGGCCCCTGGCCTTCAGGTACCCATCATTTGGCTGGGGGTCTGTGGTCAGCTCTGGACACAGACTAGACTAAAGGCTTCCATCCCACCTCTGCTGCTTATTCACCTCATCACTGAGCTGACCTTAGTGTTCCCATCTGTAAAATTCAAATAATAAAGCCAAACATGCTGCCGCACACTTGTAATCCCAACGTGGGAGGCTGAAGCAAGAGGATCCCAGCCTGGGCTCCATAGTGAGTTCAAGTCCAATCTGAACTGGGTAGTGACACCATGACTTGATGGATAAGTTTTTAAAATGGAATAGCTACACTCACGTCACAGGAGTTAATCTAGGGTGCAGGAAGTACTTCTACGGCTGCGTGACACCTGATAAATTCATGTGGTCACCAGTCCCCACCTGCAGACTGTCCCGGCAGGAGGCCTGCGTGGCGGAACACAGAGCCACGGAGAGCCCTGTGAGTCAGGGAGAGACCCAGGACACAGCCAGCAGTTATGTGCTGGGGACCTGACCAGAGGGGGTCCCGGCAGGTGCCAGCGCCCTGCACTGGATGGTAGGTGGTGGAGAGAAGCAGTCAGAGCCCGAGGCCAAATGGAGCCTGTAACTGTAGCCAACACCAGCAACCCTTGTTATTTGTGGATTTCATTTATGGATTTGTCTATTGGAAGAATTTACTTGTAACCCCCAAATCAGTCATTACCCTGGTTCCTGGTCACTCAGGGGACTCAGTGGTAAAGTTTGAGTAGCACAAGTTAAGTGGTACCAGGTGACATTCTGCCTTCCTGTTTCAACTCTCGTGTCAGAAACCAGGGTCCTGGGCCGGGGATATGGTTCAGTGGCGTAAGTGCCTGCCTGGCAAGTGCAAGGTCCTGAGTTCGATTCTTGGTACCAAAAAAAAAAGGATACCAGGGCATAAAATATAGGAGGACAGAAGAGCCTGGAGCTAGGGAGGTGCCCTGGTAGAGAGGAGGCCCCTGCTGTCTGCGGCTCCGTGGATGAGGGGGCGGCCATGCACCCCTCTAGCCCTTCTTTTCCCTGCTGTCCCCAAAGCCTGGCAGGGAGGGAGGCACTGTTATCCCCGGCTACAGAGTGGGAAACTATGACTGACCCAGGGCTGCCCAGTCAGGAAGGGGCATAGCTGGGCCTGGAACTCAGGCTGCCCAGTGCAGAGCCGAGGTTGGACAGGATAGAGGGATCCGAGAGTTGGGAGCACCGGGGACAGTGGGTGCCATGTAAGGGTGGTGAAGGGCTGCTGGCCAGATGGGAGGATGCCAGCCTAGCTGGGGCTTCCCGCCACCAGGCCCACTCCCCATGGAGGCCATTGAGAAGATGGCCAGGTTGTGCATGCAGGACCCGGACGAGGAGGAGGATGCAACCGATGAGGATGATGTGGAGGCTGACGACGACCTGCTGGTGAGCACCTCGTGGGGCAGCCTGTATACCCGCATCCCTGGTGCATTCCCCTGATCTCCTGTCCCACTCTGGCCATGTGTCCCCACCCGCAGGCAGAGCTAAACGAGGTCCTTGGAGAGGAGCAGAAGGTTTCGGAGCCACTGCCACCCTTGGCCCAGGTATGGCCCCAAAGACAGCCCTGGTCTTTCCACTGTGATCTCAGGCAGGTAGCATCATGCCCGTGAGCCTGGTTCCCCCGCAGAGACTGTGATTTCTGCCCTGCTGGGGCAGGGTGGCAGGCACAGCCCTGGTCACTGCCCACCTGTCCCCCTTCCCTCCCCACAGCCAAAGCCCTCAGCCCCCAGCCCAGGGTTGGAGGCCACTTTGCAGGAGCGGCTGACCCTCTACTGCGTGGCCATGGAAAGTGCCCGGCAGGCTGGGGACAGTGCCAAGATGCGGCGCTATGACCGGGGGCTGAAGGTGAGTTGGGGGCACAGGGCAGGGACCCCAGTGCCGACACCATGCCCTCTTCTCACCCCCAACTCACCCTCTTCTCTGGCCCCAGACACTGGAAAGCCTGCTGGCCTCTGTGCAGAAGGGCGATGCCATCGACGAGGAGGACATTCCGCCACCTGTGGCTGTAGGGAAGCCCCCAGGGACCAGCCACAACCCGGCACCCCCCCAGCCTGGCACCCCCAACCCACCAACCCTGGAGCCCAGGGCTTCCCTGGAGGGGCCCCCCAGTGCCACTGCTACTTCATCCTCAGATGCTGCTAAGCCCCCGCTGGCTCCAGGTGAGTGGCGAGCAGGGCCAGGGTGACACCGGCCACCTCTGTGGGGATGCACAAAATGTCACCCATCCATGCCATGGGATATTACTCAGCCATGAAAAGAAAGGAAATGTGGGCACAGGGGGATAGTGCGGTGGGTGAAATGAGCCAGTCGTAAAGGACAGGTGCCACGTGCATGTGCCGGTGTCTAGCACTGTCAGTTAGAGACCTGAGTCAGAGGGGCAGGTGCCAGGGCCGGGGAGGGGGTGAGGAGGAAGTCCAGGGGGGAACCCAGGGCCTCACACACGTCAGACCAACGCTCACCACAGTGCTGCACCCACAGCCTCAGTCTTTGCATCTCTAAAATGGGCTCAGTACCGGCCCGGTGGTGGGATCCGATCAGAAATGACTCTCTGTATCTCATCCCCTTGCAGGTCCCTGCAGCTCTGGCCCCCTGGCACAGTTACAGAGCCTCCAGCGGGAGTACAAGCTGGCTGCCCTGAAGGCCAAGCAGCAGGGAGACACTGCAGCTGCCACCAGGCACTTTCGCGTGGCCAAGGTATGTCCAGAGTGAGGGACAGGGCCAGGGACCGGGCCTGAGGCAGGCAGATCCAAGTTTGAATCCCAGTCTGGCCACTCCCTAACTCTTGTTCACCTTACTGCTTGGAGCCTCAGTTTGCCTCTTCTGAAAAATGGGCTTAAGTTGTAGAGGAAGATGGAACAAGGTAACACAGGGATGCCAGGCATAGTGGCACATGCCAGTGATCCCAACATGCAGGAGGCTTGCACATGGGGGCAGTTTAAGATCCTCTCTCAAAAAGTGAAAAAAGGGCGGAGGATGCAGCTCATTGCAAAGGCCCTGGGTTCAGTCTCCAATGATCGTGGGTGCTGGGGCAGGCGCAGTGTGGGGCTGCTGCTGCTCATGAAGTCCTGACCCCTCACTCCCCTTCTCCCCTAGAGCTTTGACTCTGTGCTGGAGGCCCTGAGCCGAGGGGAACCAGTGGACCTGTCCCGCCTGCCTCCTCCACCTGGTGAGAACCCCGCCTGCCCTCTCTACTGCCCTGCAAGCCAGACTGTTCAGGCAGGCCCCTCACAGCTCTGGACTTATGTCCCTAGACCAGCTGTCCCCGGAGCCACCGTCCCAAACACCACCACCTCCCGCTCCTACCACGATCCTCACTACTCCAGGTAGACCATGGCAGCCCTTGGGGGGGTGGGCAGGCCGGGAAGGACCTGACCCCCTTCCCTGCACCCAGCCCACGCTGCCCTTTCCGGCCCAGAGGCTGCCCCAACCCCGCGGACCCTCCTGGAGGCACTGGAGCAGCGGATGCAGAGGTACCAGGCGGCCGCTGCACAGGCCAAGGCCAAGGGTGACCAGCGGAAGGCCCGCATGCACGAGCGCATTGTCAAGGTGCCTGGAGGGTCGGGGTGGGGGATCCCGCGAGCTCACCCCAGTCCCTGACGCCTTTGTGCCCCGCAGCAATACCAAGACGCCATCCGGGCACACAGAGCTGGCAGGGCGGTGGACGTGGCGGAGCTGCCTGTGCCCCCAGGTAGTCCCCGCCCCCATGACCCAGGCCCCGCCCCAGTACGCCAGCCACGCCCCCAAAGCACAGGCCCGCTGCCCAGGCTACGAAGACAAGTGCAAGCATGTCGCGCATCGTGATGGGAGTATTTACGCCAGGGAAATCCACAGATGCTCCAAACTAGTGGAGTTTTTTATTTTTCATCTTGCCACGCTGGGGATGGAACCTGGGGCCTCACACCTGCTGGGCAAACGCTCTACCCCTGAGCTACCCCGCCAGCCCGCTCAGACATTTCATTCTGAGATAGGACTTTCCTGCCTCAGCCTCCTCGGTGGCTGGAATGACAGGTGTGCACTGCTGTGCCTGGCCTGGAGGGTTGTTTTTGGGAGTCTGCCCAGGCCAGAAAACTCACTCCAAGACTTGTGTGTTAAGAGTCCAGTAGAGGCCGGGGGGCCCAGTGAGAGACCCAGGAGTCTGCCGGATGGCTGGGAGCCGCTGAGGGGTAGAGCGGCCAGGCCTCCCCCCAGCGGTGTGGTGCTGCTGGTCCCGACTGCCCCCCACCCCCCGCAGGCTTTCCCCCCATCCAGGGCCTGGAGGCGCCCGAAGCCGCCCAGCAGAGTCTGGTAGGGGTCCTGGAGACTGCCATGAGGCTGGCTAACCAGGATGAAGAGCCGGATGACGACGAGGATGAGGCCCCTAAGAAGGTGCGAGTGGCTGGGCCTGGGGTGGGGGCCGGCAGTGTACAGAGTCGTGAAAGTCCGCACTTAGGGTGGGCAGAACCAGCCACAGTCCGGCCCTGCCACTTCTGGGCTGCTCATTGCCTGGTCCGCAGTGCCCCAGTTGGTCACGCAGCCCGGGAGCAGTGCTTCCTCCAGGGCTGCCGTGGAGTCAGCCAGGGTCTGACCCAAGGGAGGGGCCCGGCTTCTCTCTCCCGCAGCAGCTCAGCAGCCCCGCAGCCCCCACAGCCCAGCCCAAGGCCCCGCCCACAAAGGCCTCCCAGCCGGGGGCAGGCAGAGCCACCCCCAAGGGCACGGCCACCAGAGGTGAGCGCCTCCTCCCCCCTGCTCCCCGCTGGCCACGTGGCAGGCTGGGCAGCCCCCACAGAGGCCACTCTGTCCACAGCCCAGCAGCAGCTGGCCTTCCTGGAGGGCCGCAAGAAGCGCCTGCTGCAGGCGGCGCTGCAGGCCAAGCAGAAGAACGACATGGAGGGCGCCAAGATGCACCTGCGCCAGGCCAAGGGGCTGGAGCCCATGCTGGAGGCCTCCCGCAACGGGCTGCCCGTGGACATCGCCAAGGTGGGCCCCTCAGCGCCGAGGGCGGGGCCAGGCTCCTGCCCACCAGGCTCAGGCTGAGCCGCCATGACCAGCAGGCAGTCCTGGCCTGTAGGATCCAAGCGGAGCACTGCTGTGTCTCTTCCAGCCAGGATGGAAAGTGCTGGGCACTTACCTTTAATGGAAATGATGTCAATTCTGCTGGTCTCTCATTAGCCAGAACTAAGTCATGTGACCATACCTAGCTGCAAAAGAGCCTGGCACAAAGTAGTCTCTTCCTGGCTGCTAGCCAGGGAAGAGGTTGTCATGAGGGGGTCACAACAGAGTTTGCTCACAAGGCTGTACATGTTCTGCCCTTTCACCTCCCTTCTGTCCTCTCTGCTCATGTCCTCTTCTCTCTCTCAGGCCACATGGCTTCCTCTCTGTCCTTGGACACAATGCATATGTCAACCACAGGGCCTTTGCACATGCTATTTTAACCCTGAACCGCTGTCCCCCAGGTGCCTGCTCATCTCACTCCCCCTTTGGTCTCCATTCATCCCATTTTTGTGAGCATTGCTCCAGCCTCCTAAGAGCCCTCCCACCTGGTGTGGTAACACACACCTGTCATTCCAACACTTGGGAGGCTGAGACAGGAGGTTCACTATGACTTTGAGGCCAGCCTGAGCTACATAGCAAGGCCCTATGTGGAAAAGCCAAAAAGCAATAACAAATTCCCTTTTTCACCCAGAACCTGCTGCCTGCCTCCCCGCTTCTTCTCTGTGGCATTGGTCACTTCCTGCCATTCCCTGCAGCTTACTTGGCTTTTTGTTGGTTTGTTCTGTGCTACTGAAGATGGCATTCGGGGCCTTTGCACTGAGCTACATCCCCAGCTCTTTTTAAAATTCCTTTTCATTGGAGACCCTGTCATTCAATTGCTCAGGCCAAGCTCAGTCTTGTGACCCTCCCGCCTCAGCCTCCCAGAGCGCTGGGCCCGCAGGGGGGCCATTGCTTCCTCCTTGTGGGCTTCTCCCTCAGGACCTGGAGGGCCGCGGGGGTTCGTATCTCCCCCGCTCCCCACCACACCCCGAGCCCCGGCACACAGCCCTGCCAGAGGGCAGTTCACTGTGTCCCAGGGAGGCTCGTGTGGAAGGTCCCAGCTCGAGATCAGCACTGGCTCCTCCCCACCGATTTCCTCCCACCCCCAGGTGCCGCCCGCCCCAGTCAACAAGGACGACTTCGCGCTGGTTCAGCGCCCTGGCCCGGGCCTGACCCAGGAGGCCGCCCGGCGCTACGGCGAGCTCACCAAGCTGCTTCGGCAGCAGCACGAGGTGAGGTCCTTCCTCATCAGCCACTGTCCCTGGGGCCCGGCCCGCTGCCTACTGCCCGGCCTCACCGCCCGCTGCCCACTGCCTGCTGCCCGCAGATGTGTCTGAACCACTCGAACCAGTTCACGCAACTGGGTAATATCGCCGAGATCAGCAAGTAAGCGCCCGCCCTGCCCAGCCCAGCTGTCCGCCTGAGTCTACCACCAGCCTGCCCTGTGCCAGGGCCTGAGCTGCCTTCCCCGCAGGTTCGAGAGACTAGCAGAGGACTGCAGGCGCAGCATGGACACCCTGAAGCAGGCCTTCGCCCGTGGTCTGCCCACTCCAGTCGCCCGCTTTGAGCAGAGAACCTTCAGTGTCATCAAGTGAGACCCCCGGTTCTCCCTGAGGCTCCCTGTGCTCAGGAATGTGCAGAACCTGCCTCTGCTGGAAAGAGTGGGGGGTAGCACAGAATGTGCAAAGGCCCTGGGGCAGGAGTGAGGCAGGGGCTGGGTGCAGATGTCTGGAAATGTAGCAGAGATGGGGCAAGGCGAGGATGGCTCTTGTTCCAGCAGCCCCACGAGCCTGTTGGGACTGGCAGTGTGTACAGGTTTGGCAGTCACTGGGCCTGGCTCCTGCTAGGGCGAGGGACAGGATGGTGGCCTGCAGTGATTCCCTCCCAGTCTCTGCTGCAAACCAGATCTCTCCTACCCAGGGGCCCTCCTGTGCCCCCCACCCCAACCCCCACTGGGAATCCCTGAGAGTCACACAGTCCCCCCTGCTGTGCATTGGCTCTGCAGTGGGGGAGACTCCCAGGCACAGGCTTTACCCAGGCTGAGTTCCGTGTCCCCCACAGCCAGGCACCTGCTGGCAGGGTAGGACCCAGGGACTTTAGGTGGACAGAGGTCTCACAGCAGCCCGGGCTTGGGTCATTACAGAGTAGATGCCAAGGAAACGCGGTTCAGGGCCTAGGGCTCGGGAGGCTGAGGCAGGAGGATCACCTCAAGTTAGAGGCTCACCTGGGCCACAGAGTGAGCTTAAGGCCAGCCTGAACCAAACAGCCAGACCTTGTCTCAGAAAGACCAGAATAAATAGATAAAGCACAGGGTGCCCCTGTGGTGGGGGGCTGAGAGCCTGCTCCCCCTGCCCCCCTGCCGCAGGGTCTTCCCGGACCTCAGCAGCAATGAGATGCTGCTCTTCATCGTGAAGGGCGCCAACCTGCCCACGCCCCCAGGTGAGCAGCCGCGGCGGATAGGGTGGGGCTCTTCTCCTGCGCTCAGCGCTGACCGGGCCCCCGCCCACAGGGCTGTTCCCTGGCGACCTGGATGTCTTCGTTCGCTTCGACTTCCCATACCCCAACGTGGTGCGTGGGGCGCCCAGGAGGGCGGGCCGGGCCGGGGGTCCCTGGGCGGGTGCTTGGCGCTGATGCACTCCGCCTCTGCCGGCGCAGGAGGAGGCGCAGAAGGACAAGACCAGCGTGGTCAAGAACACCGACTCCCCCGGTGAGCTCCCCTGGGAAGGCGCGGACCTGAGACAGGGAGAAGTGGGGGCCCCCTGCCTGACCCGCCCCCTGTCCGGTCTCCCTGCGTAGAGTTCAAGGAGCAGTTCAAGCTCTGCATCAACCGCAGCCACCGCGGCTTCCGCAGGGCCCTGCAGACCAAGGGCATCAAGTTCGAAGTGGTCCACAAGGGGTGAGTGGCTGCGGGAGGGGGCGGGGCCAGGTTGAGGGGTGGGGCCTATGTGAAGGGGTGGGGCTATGGGCCAGGCCAGGGTGAGGTGCGGGGGTGGGGCCTCGTGCGGGGGCGTGGCCTGAGCATGGCTAGCCCTGGCCACTCCCCTGCCCACCCCATGCAGCGGGTTGTTCAAGACTGACCGGGTGCTGGGCACAGCGCAGCTCAAGCTGGACTCGCTGGAGACAGCCTGTGAGGTCCGCGAGGTCCTGGAGGTGAGTGCCGCAACCCTCCCCACCGTCCCAAATGTGGGCCCCGGCTGACTCAGCCGTTCCTGGACACCCATCCCCACTGCCCACACAGGTGCTGGATGGCCGCCGGCCCACAGGAGGGCGGCTAGAGGTGATGGTGAGGATCCGAGAGCCACTGACGGCTCAGCAGCTGGAGACCACCACGGAGCGCTGGCTGGTCATTGACCCGCCACCTGCTGCCGCCCCACACACCGTGAGTGTCCGTGCCCAGGAGGGCGCAGGGCTTGCGACACAGGACGGGACAGATGGTGCCCACAGGCCTGGTCTCTCCTCCAGCAGGTGGCTGGGCCCAAAGGGAAGGCGCTGCCTGGGTCTGCCCCCACCAGGGAACCGGGGAACAGGTAAGAGGCTGGGCCCAGTGCCCTCCGTGGCCCAGGGCCCCCACAGTTTCCCCATCAGGCTTGAACTGGACTCCCACGCCTGCCACCCCCCTGGGGATCTAGCTTAATTTCCTCTGCTCCATCTGTGAGACCTTCCATGATCCAACATGGTGGATCTATCCACACTGCTCTTCCCTCCTTTGAGCTGGTTCTTGGCCACATCTAGTCTCCACTGTCCTCCTGGTTTTTGGGGGTCCCCAAGTACCTCTTCCTTCCCTGCTCCCTGTCCTCTGGATCCCAGTTCGGCTGTCACCTCCTCCAGGAAGCCCTCCAAGCCACCAGGCCTCGGAGTGGCAGCACCTCAGGCTGTGACCCCGCCTTGTTTGCCCTGTATGTTTGTACCCAGCACATCTGCTGAGTAACTGGTGAGGCCAGGGGAACCCCCGGTGCCCCCATGTCTCCTGCCTTTCCCCCAGGTCATCTCGGCCCCTGCACAGCCTCAGTGTGCTGGCCTTCGACCAGGAGCGGCTGGAGCGGAAGGTGGGTCCCACCCTTTGGGCTCGGCACATGGCCTGGGTGTCTCTGGCCCCCAGCTGGAGTTCACTCTACTCTCTGCGCCCCAGATCCTGGCCCTGAGGCAGGCACGGCGGCCGGTGCCTGCGGAGGTGGCCCAGCAATACCAGGACATCGTGCAACGCAGCCAGTGGCAGAGGGCACAGCTGGAGCAGGGCGGAGCTGGCATCCGGAGGGGTAGGGGCCAGGGGGCGCAGGGGCCGGTGTCTAGGGGGCAGGGGCTGCGCTGGCTGCAGGCCAGAGGGCAGCAGCCTTGTGTCTCACCCAGAGTACGCAGCACAGCTGGAGCGGCAGCTGCAGTTCTATACTGAGGCTGCCCGGCGCCTGGGCAATGACGGCAGCAGGGTGAGTGTGGGCAGGGGGCCCAGGGTGAGCAGGGACTGGTGGGGGCACCCTGCTGACTGCCCAGCCCTCTGTCCACCAGGAGGCTGCAAAGGAAGCACTGTACCGGCGGAACCTGGTTGAGAGCGAGGTGAGCCACCCGGAGTGGGGTGGTGGGCACCGAGGTGGCCTCAGGCCCCTGACCCTGCCCCCTTGTACCCCCAGCTGCAGCGAATGCGAAGGTGAGGGCCCGGCAGGGCAGGCGGCCCAGACACAGGGAGGCGCTCACAGGCCACTGATCCACAGCAGCGGACAATCAGCGGACAATCTGCGCTGGACTCAGCCACAGCAGGCCCCAGGCCAGCTGGCCCGGGCTGCAACCTCAGGCCGGGGTCCTGTTTGCACAGCCCTGGGTGCCTCCCCTGGCTGCCCCAGAGCAGGCGGCGGTCAGGACCGAGACCCAGGGCCTCCGCAAGCACTTTACTCCTGTCCCTGCTGGCCTTCACCCCGCAGCCCTCCTCACCCCAAAGAAGCTACTGAGGCCGGCGCGGGGATTGCACTGGCCGGATGCGGAATAAACAGCCAGGACACACCAGCTCAGCTCGGCCTGTTTCTGTCTCGCCCAGGGAGAGGCTGTGGGTGGGGGTGCTGTCCGGCTGTGCATGTGTCATCCCGAGTCCTCGGTGGAGAGCCCTGGGTGCTGGGGGGGGAGGGGTAGAGGAGCTCAGAGGGTGGGTGCTTGATAACCAACCGCGGGCCTCAGATCCTCAGAATCCAGTCCACTCACAGCCTGGAGAGGGCGCTGGCCCCCATGAGTGCTGGACAGTCTCCCAATGTCCCCTCTGCCCGGGCTTGGAGCTGCTCAGCTGGCTCAGGAGCCCCCTGCCCGAGGGCGACGCGGGGCACTGGGCGGCAGGTGGACCAGGACCTGCTCCGGGTTGTCAGCTGTGTCCACCACGCGCAAGTGCGGGAGGCCCAGGAAGGCCTGGGGCTCGATGCTGGTCAGGTGCAGCCGGTTGGCCCTGCACAGAGAGGCGGGGAAAGGCATGAGCCACGCCCCTCGGCTCCGCGGCCACGCCCCCACCAGATCACGCCCCAGGCCCGCACGCACCTGAGGTAGAGGGCCCGCAGGCGCGGCGTGCTGAGGAAGGCGTCGGGGCCCACATGGCTGATGCGGTTGCCCTGCAGGTGCAGCACCTCCAGGGACTCGGGCAGGTCGGGGGGCACGAAGGACAGCTCGTTGTGGCTCAGGTCCAGCACCTAGTCGGGAAGACAGCACAGGGCGACCCTTGGGTACCGCTGCCGGTACCCAAGGCTCCTTCCATCCCATACTGGGTTTCAAGCTCGGGACCTTCACGCTGGGCCCGTCCTCCGGGCCCCTTTTTAAATTTTGAGTGAATCAAGCTAAGTTGGTAAATTGCCCTGGCTGGGTTCGCACTTGCAAATCTGCCTCAGCCTCCTGGACTTCGGTACTGGGATTATAGAATTTGCACCCCACTTCCGGTTCTCTCTCCCTCCGCCTCCTCTTCCCCCCACGGATGCCCTTCCAGTCCCTCACTGCACCGAAGTGGAGGAGTCCCTTCCCCGGCCGTGGCCACCCTCAGCCTTATGCCCCCGCCCAGCTCCAGCGCTGGCCTCGCTGGCTGCTGCCTAACCTGGCTGTCTGGGATGGCGGGGGCAAAAGCTGCCTCCCGTACTGGTACAGAGCCCAGCACCCCCAAACCTTTTCCGTGGAATGAAGGGGCTAGGGAACGCGCAGAGAGGTGGAGGGGGTTCTGGAGGACAGGAGGCAGGGATAGCGACAGCGGGCGGAGGCCTGGAGGCCGGGTAGATGCCCTTCTGCCCATGCTGCCGTGCAGGGGTTTTGGTGACCCCACTGGGCCGGCCGTGGGGCAGCCTGGGACGCCCCTGACCTGGAGGGCCTGCAGCTCGTGCCACGTGCCGGGCCAGATGTCGCCAACGCGGAGCCGGTTGTGCGCCAGGCCGAGCTCCTGCAGCTGGCCCAACCCGGCCAGCGACTCGGGCTCCAGAGTCCGCAACTGGTTGCGCTGCAGGCGCAGGGCGCGCAGGACCCCGGGCAGGCCTGCAGGCATCCGGGTCAGCTGGTTGCCTGCCAGGTCGAGGCAGCGCAAGGCGGGCAGACGGTGGAAGGCCCTTCGGTGCAGGCGGGCACTGGTCAGTCGGTTGTAGGCCAGGTTGAGCTCGGTCAGGCTCGGCGTGGAGGCCAGGTCGCGAGCGCCCAGTGCCGCAACGAGGTTGTGGGGCATCAGCAGGGCCGCGAGGCGGCGCGGCAGCCCGGCCGGCACTTGTTCCAGCCGGTTCCCGTAGAGGTGCAGCGCGTGCAGGGCCCGCAGGGGGCGCAGCGCCCTGGCCGGAAGCCCCGTGGCCCCCAGCTCATTGTGCTGAAGCAGCAGGTACCGCAGGCTCCTGGCCCCGCGCAGCCGGGCCGCCTCCACCTGCCGGATGCGGTTGCGGCCCAGGTGCAGGATGGTCAGAGTCTCGGGCAGACCGACGGGCACCGTGGCCAGCTGGTTGTGCGACAGGTCCAGGTACTCCAGGCTATGTAGTTTGCTGGCAGGAGAGAGGGTGGGCATCGGGCCAGGCGCCCAGAGAGGGGTGCCCGAGACAGAATTCAGCTGGGGTGATGCCTGAGAGAGTGGGGTGGGAGGTAAACTTGGGGTGCTCAGGACAAGTTCCAGCGTGAAGGCTAGCTGTGGGGTAACCACAAAAAAATATTGGGTCCCCTAGAAATGCATATGCAAGCCGCGTGTGGTGGTGCACGCCTGTAATCCCAGAACTCAGGAGGCTGAGGCAGGAGGGTCATTTTGAGTTCGAGACCAGCCTGGGTTACATAGCGAGCTCAGGGCCAGCCTGAACTGCATAGCGAGACCCTGTCTCAAAAAGACAAAAAAATTAAAAAATAAAAGCGTATGCAGCTATGAGGCTGGATAAAGAAAAAAAGAAGAAAAAAAAAAACACTATGAAAAGAAAAAAAAGAAAGAAACCACTGCATGAGGAAGGCTGAGGCAGGAGGATCTCAATTTTAATACTGCCTGGGCAATTGAGTCAGACCATCTCAAACACTAAAATTGGCTGGAGAGGTAGCTCAGCAGTAGAGTGCCCTCAAGTCAGTGGCCAGTGACATGAACAGACTGGTAGGGGACATGGACCCTGTCGGGTGTCAAGCCCAATACACAGCAGACCCTCAGCAAGCAAGGCGTGGCTTAGACGTGTGGGGGGAGTCGAAGGTGGTGACAGCCAGGCCAGGCCCACCTGAAGGTGGTGGCGTCCAGGCCGCTGTCGGTCAGCCGGTTGTGCTGTAGGTACAGCTCTCGGAGCTGGGTCTGGCGGCTCAGGGCCCCTCGCGGCACCTTGGCAATGAGGTTGTTCTGCAGGAGAGAGCGCGGTGGCGGTGACGTGGGACCTGTGGCTGGCAGTTCCTGCTGTTGGGATGGTAGGGGCCCTGGGGGAGCCCGGGGCGCAGGCGGTGGGGGCGTGCGGGGCGCACACCTGGAGGTGGAGCCGCTCCAGTGCAGCTGGCAGGCTGGGCGGCAGGTAGCTGAGCTGGTTGTTGGAGAGGCTGAGGGTGGCGATGGCCTCGGAGCCTCGGAAGGCATCGGACGGGAGGCCGGAGTTGCCCAGCTGGTTGTTGTGCAGGTACACGGACCTGGGGGCGCCCAGGCTGCGGTCATCAGCGCCTGCCTGCTCCCGCCAGGCTGGAGCCTGAGTGCGAGTGCGCATGCGCGTGCCTGCCGGGGGGGGGGGGGGGGGGGCTCCCGCCCCCAGGTCCCCCCATGCAGATCTGGACCCCCTAACACCCTCATGCAGATCTGCACCCCCCAAATCCCAGCCCCCCGCCCCGGCAGGCCCAGCACCCCACTGGGTCCCCAGACCTCTGAGGGCGTGAGCCAGGGCTACCTGAGCGCAGGCTTCTCCCCGAAGGTGAGCGGGAAGATCTGTGTCACCTGGTTGGCGGCCAGATCGGCTACGCGGAGCGAGCGGGGCAGGAACTGCGGGGCCAGCGACAGCTGCGGGAGGAGGCGACAGCGACAGCTCCACAGCCGTCGGGGCCTTGCGTGCAGCCCCCCCCCGCCTTTCTCCCGGGCGCGCGGCGCGCAGGCTCACCCGGTTGTGGGCCACGTAGAGGTGCTGCAGCTGCCCGAGCGACTCGAAGGCCTCGTCCGGCAGGCCTGGGGGCGGGGCGGCAGGGCCGTGAGCACCGGGTGGGGGAGGGGAGGGTGGAAGGGAGGGGAAGAAGTGGGGGGGTCCCATCCTCCCCCCAGAGCCGCAGCCACCACAGCCTGGCTGTCCGTTCCCAGCGGAGGCCGCTTCTGGGAAGTGCAGCCGCAGAGCTACCGGGGGCGGAGACGCGGAGGGTAGAGGGGACCTTTGGGGCCTGAGGGGGGGGCTCAGGACCTCTGGCCCGCCCACCCCCGCCTCACCCTCCGACGAGATGAGGTTGTTGTGTAAGTCCAGAGTGCGCAGGCCGCTGAGGCGGGACAGCTCATTGTAGGGGATCTCCTGGAGCTGGTTGTTCTGGAGAGGAGTGGATGGGGTGAACTCCCCACGGGCACCCACAGTCACCCCAAACACCCCCTCATCTTCGACAGCCTCGGGACTGCCAAGCATTGAAACCCAACACTCTCTTGCCCCTGGATTGCCCACCCAGCCACAGTGGTCCGTGCTTGTCATCCCAGCAGCCCTGGAGGCTGAGGCAGGAGGATCTCGAATTCTAAGCCAGTCTGGAAAACTTAGCCAAAAGACTTATCTCAAAATAAAAAAGGGGCTGAGGTTGCAGGTAGAGACCAAGGCTCCGGTTGAATCCCCAGCACCACACAGAAGGAAAGGAAAATAAACAGCCCCATCTTCCATCCTCACAGGCCCAGTGCCAGCTGTCTGGTCCCCACCTGGGCTCTGCCCACCAGCTCCCTGGGCCTCAGTTTCCCTTTTTGGATTACAAATACTGGCCATACTGGTCTTCAACAATCCCGACCACTAAGACCTTCACCCAGGGCTGTAGCACCCACAGCACAGCCCCAAAACCTCAACTGCCAAAAGATTGATCCCCCACATCCCAACTGTCACTCCAATACCGCATCCCATTGACCCCAAGCAGTCCCAAGACTCCACCGTCTTGACCCTGACCCCTTCCCACGTGCACACTGACAGCATTGCAGCTTCCCTTTTTCACTGAACCCAGGTCCTGTGGGTGGAGCGCCAGCCCAGCCCTACCTTTATTTTTCATTTTGAGACAGGGACTCCCTAAGCCACCTAGTTGCCCAGTCAGGGCTTGAATTTGTGACCCTCCTGCCTCAGCCTCCCAGAGAGCTGGGTTGGCAGGCGTGCCCTCACCAACTGCGTCTTATCACTGCCCATTGCCTCCCCCACCCTCCCTGTCACCCCGGGTGACCCGCCCTGCCCCACCTGCAGGGAGAGGAACCGGGCCTCCTTGGTGATGTTGTCTGGGAAGACGCGCAGGTCCAGCCCCCCGCAGTCCACCACATCAGCCTGGGGGCAAGAGCAGCGCCAGGGACAGGCCCAGGGTGGGGGCTGCGAGCTCTCTCCCAGGTGTGGGAAGTCGGGGTCCTCCAAGCCGGGGACAGGCAGGGGGCCTGGTGGCAGAGGCAGCAGCAGCAGCAGCAGCAGCGGCAGCAGCAGGCTCGGCCGCTGGGGATGGACAGCCCAGTGTGTGCCGGGCAGGGCACAGGGTCGCCATGGCGACGGGAGCATCCCCCATGCGGGGCGAAGCCTTGGACCCTGGCTGCCCACCTTACCATCGCCAGGACCAGGCGGTCACCTCCCGGAGTCCCTGGCACGCCCAGGACCTCCCTCCATCCCTGCAGAGCCACCACCCCCACATGCGGCCCTCATGGGGCTCCAGGGAGCCCGCCCAGCCCTTCCCCGCCCCTGGGAGGGCAGCTGGTGGATGGGGTGGTGAGGCCAGGCCGGCCCAGCCCCCGGGCCCCCACTGCCCCCCCAGCTCTGCTTCTGGAACCTCAGCCAGCCTGGCCGGGCCGCGGGAACCAGGAATGTTGGAGGCAGAGCCTGGCTTCGCCCTGTCTGGTATTTGGGCCGAGACCACAGGCGGGCTCAAGGGAGGGGGACAGAAGGGGGGTCTGGAACTTGGGGGGCTCCCCAAGGAGCCAAGGCCGGCAGCAGGGGGCCCCTTGGCTCAGCCCGGGCCCCCAATCAGGTCACCATGAGGGCCCCTCCTCCCCTCCAGATGGTCTCCCTGGCAGCCAACACCCGGGTCCCCTGCCACCACAGCTGCTGAGAGGAAGTGACACAGCCTGGTGGTTAGGGGTGAGCGTTCAGTGCCAGCCCACCTGGTCAGGGCCTGGGCTCTCCTTCTTTCTGGACCTCAGTTTCCCTCTCTGTAACATGGGGCAATGGTGACAAAAACCTTAAGGAAGTAAGGCGTGAGGGCTGGCGCCCCACATACCCGATGGCAGCAAGAGGATGGGGCTGACTGACTCTGCCAGCTGGAGATCTGGACACAAGAAAGCCCCCGCCTCGGAGGGCTGCTGGAAAGCAAAACACAGGAGAGGCCGAAGGGTTTCTGTTTTGTGTGGTCCTGGGGTTGAATCCAGGTTCTACACACTGAGCTATGTCCCCAACCTTTGTTTGTTTGGAGACAGGGTTTTGCTAAATCACTAAATTTCCCAGGCTAGGGCTGGCTGCAATGTGTGATCCACCTGCCTCAGCCTCCCTGAGTGCTAGGGTTGCAGGAGTGCACCACCATACCCCTGGAAAACCCTTAAGGATGACATCCGTGTACCCTGACCTCTCCACAGCAGCCGAGGCGGGGCAGGGAAGGTGTGAGGGAGAGTGCAGGCCGCTGTGGGTTTGGTGAGGCCTAGACACACAGGACAATAAAGAGTGAATTAATTATTTCGGGGAGGGGCCCCAAACATCTATCCTGCACCCTCAGAAAGCTGAGGCATGAGGGTTTTTAGTTCAAGCCAGCCTGGGCCACCTGGAGAGACCCTGTCAGGAAGTCAAAGAGGAGCACAGTGGGGTGGGATGGGGTGTCAGTGTTAACCCTGCAGCCACCAAGGAGGAAAGGTCAGCGGGGCACGTGCGCTGTCTGACCCCGCAGGGCAGCAGAAAGCTTGCATCTGGCCATCGGAGCCACCACGGTCCACTCAGGCCCTGTTTGCAGGACCAGCGGCTGCAAGGCAGGGCCACCTCGGCCTTTCCTGCAGTGGCGCTGGGCAGCGGGGTTTCTGGCAGGTTCTTCCAGCAATGCAAGAGAGCCCGAAGGAAACGGCCAATCTGAGCGAGGTCGCTTATTGCTGCAGGACTGGAGAAGGCAGGGGTATGTGTCTTCCTTGTCCTCCACGGACAGCTGCGTTCGGGAACTCGAGCGATGCTCTCCAGGCGGCTCCTCCAGCCCCGGACCCTGAGAAGTCCCAGCGCCGGATGGCCCCATCGCGAACTGCCGACCGCGCCCACTTCAGCGGAAAATACCAAGCTGGAATCTCATTGGCTTAGTTCTGGGCACGTGTCCACCCAGAACCAATCCCAGTGGCCAAAGCATGGGCTGTGATGATTGGCTATAATGCTTATCAGTTATGGGAATAGGCTGCTGGCCTTGTTTTTGTCTCCTGGCAACACATGGCCCTCCCTCTGCACCGCCCAGCTGGGCCCTGCCCTACACTGCCCTGTTCTGCCCAGCGGGAAATGGTTCTTCTCCGCCCGGCTCAGGCGCTGATCTCGGCTCAGCTCCAGCGCAGTGATCACAAGAAACAGCGCCACTGTGCCAGGCTTCCACAGGACAGACTCTAAAAGGACATTGCCAGAGGACAGGCCACCATATGACCTGTGCAGCCTGCGGTCACTGCATGAGTCCCTGTTACACCTGCGTGGAGCTGATAACCCTTGGCTCCGTAAATTATGATGTTTGCCTGGACAGATGGCTCCTGGAAAAACAGCCACATTTCCCAGCCTCCTCTGTACCCACTGTGGCCAAATGATTCAATTCTAGCGGCCCAGGTACGGCAGAAGTGATATGAACAACTTTGAGGGAAGCGGGTGTGTGTGTGTGAGTGAGGGAAGCGGGTGTGTGTGTGTGTGTGTGTGTGTGTGTGTGTGTGTGTGCCTTTCTACCTCCTGCTGAGGGGATTTTGTTTTTGTTTGTTTTGGGTTTTTTTTCCCCCCAGACATGGTCTTGCTATATAATTCAGGCTGGCCTCGAACTCATGGCAGTCTTTCTGTCTCAGCCTCCTGTGCTGGGATTACAGACGTGCACTACTTCCTGCTTTTGGAACGTAGATGTGATTGCTGGAACTCCAGCAGCCACTTTCGACCATGAGGACCATGACGTTACTTTGAGAATAGAGGTCATGAATGGTGAAACAAGAAGATAAAAGCAAACTGTGGGAATGGGGCACAAAGCTCAAAGGCACAATCACCTACCTGGCAAGTGCAGGATCAGGCGTTGAGAAAATCCTGGTACCAAAATAAAGCAACTGTGTCCTCAGCACCAAAAAAGGACATGCTACCCCTGAACTGACTGGCACTTTAATCCCTTCCTTTTTTCTCCTCTGGTGAAAGGGGGGTCCTTACATTAAATAAATAAGATGGCTGAACACAGCTCCTAACGCCACATGAGACTGACAGCCATTTATTATTTTTTTTAATTGCTTAGATATTGAACATAGGGATCTTGCACTCAGCGACATCCTTGGCTCTGTTTTTCTTTCTTTTTTTGTTTGTTTGTTTGAAACCGGCTAAGTTGCCCAGGTTGGGTTGAATTTGCAACTCTCCCGCCTCAGCCTCGGGCGGGTGCTGGGATGCCAGGCGTGTAGCCCGCCCCGATGAAATCGATTTTTTTCTTCACACAGGCTCACAGCCCAGAGCGGGAGGACGCAGTAGAGGCACACAGGAGTGCCTCTGGGAGCCATGACGGCGGGGTGAACTGAGGTTCCTGCGGGGAGATCTGGCTGGGGTTTGGACGCCTGCGCAGACTGGGGGGAGGGCCGGGGTGGAGTCAGCACAGGGCGCTGCTGCTTGCGGGGATGCGATTTCTTTCCCATGGTTGGGGGGATCCACCCTGACCAAGGCAGAAACAGGCTTCTCTCTGGGTATGGGGGTGCATGGCTTCATTCTAGCATTTGGAGAGGCTGAGGCAGGAGGATCACCACGAGTTCGAGGCCAGCCTGGGCTACATAGTGAGTTCAAAGCCGACAGTCTCTCAAAAAACACAGATACAAAAAGATAAAACTCTGTGTGTGTATGAAACTCAGCGCCATGCACCGAGCTCCATCCCTGTCACGTTTCCTCTTTTCTGTGAGGTGTTTGAGACAGGGTCTCATCTCACTGTGCAGTTCAGACTGGCCTTGAACTCACAATGATCCTCCTGCCTCCTCAGCCTCCCCACTGTTGGGGGTATTAGTGTCCCCCACCATGCCGGGCTCTGCAGCGATGTTTATTTTTTATGCTGAGACAGGGTCTTGCTAAATCGTTAAATTCCCCAGGCTGGACTAAAGCTTGTGATATCCCTCCCTCAGCCTCCCGAGTACTGGGATGACAGGCATGCACCACCATGTCTGGCTTCTACTGGCCTCCGCAGTGACCCTGCTGGGGACACCTGTGACCCAGTGAGCAGCACCTGCGTTACTGGTGATGCAGGGCTGTGGCCCTCAGGGCCTCGGGAGCAGTGGAAACAGACATCAGACTCAGAGGGGTTGCTGACTGTTTCAGCCTTCGAGTGAGAGGTGTCACCTCCCTGGGCAGCACCAGCTACATGGTTCCCCGAGGTGGGAGGATCCCTATGAATTTGAGGCCAGCCTGGGCTGCATAGCGAGACACTGTCTCAAAAACAAACTAACAAAAGAATAAAGTATATTAGTAAAAAACAAAACAAAACAAAAAAAACCCCTGCAGCTTGGTGTTGGGCCTGATAGCCCACACCTGTAATCCCAGCTACTCCAGAGGCTGAGGCAGGAGCATCACCAGTGTGAGCCCAGCCTGGGTAACCCAGCAAGACTCTGTCTCAAATTAGAAAAGAGATAAGTAAATAATAAATAAAATGGCTTGGTGCGGACTTTTTTGTCCAGCATAAGCAAGTCCCTGAGTTCCATCTCCCAGCACTGGAAAAAAAAAAATACAAAAAACAAACCAAGTTAGTGGTATGGGGAAAAATGATAATTTCTAGTTCCATTTGCTTGTGTCATCTGTCTCGGGCCTATTTTCCACGTATGGTATGCGATTCAGACGGTCCACAGTGTGGTCTACATGTGCGTGTGTGCTCCTGTCATCTGTAACCAACACGCGTGCACGTGAGAGGAGCTGTGCCCCATGACTGGGAGAAGGAGGCGTCTCTGGATAAACTTCCGGGCCCTGCTGTCTGTGAAGAGGAGAGAAGGAGCCTGGGGTGGGGGTGCATGCCTGTGCCCCCAGCAAGGGTCGCAAGCGTAGTCCAGCTTCCGTCCCTTGGTGGGAATGCTGGGCTGGAATTGTGACCCACCTGCCTCAGCCTCCTTCACAGCTGGGATGATAGGCGTGTACCACCATGCACAGCTGGATTTTAGTGCTGAGTATCTTGGGGGCTTGGCATGGCAAAGCTACTGCCTGGTGCACAGGGGACTGTGTCTTCCTGTCCGTGCCCCCCCACCCCCACTGGGAATCCAACTCTGGACTTGGTGTTTGCCCAGCAGGCACTGTGCCCCTCAGCTACACCCTGGCCCTGTCTTGCTTTGTCTTTGCTTGGTGGAAATGAGCCCCAAAGGCACGGCCTAAGTCCACTTTCGGATACTGTAACACTTACCCTGAGGGGGGGATACTTAGTAAGAGGAGGTTTAGCTCCCAGTTTGAGGGTCTGGGGGTCCAAGATTGGGCAGTTGCAAGCTGTCCACTTCCGGTGCAGGCCACGAGCTCCAGGAACTCGGGATGGAACTGGCTGGCTGGCTGGCTGGCTGGCTGGATGGATGGATGGACTGACGGTGGGTGCCAGTGGAAAAGGAAATACAGTGAATGCCAGGAGGAGCGAAAAGCTTCCCACAGGTGAGCCTGGGGCTTTGGGACTTCAGACGCCCTGGGGTAGAACTGGGGACAAAGTCAGCACCCCGGCTGGCCCTCAGATACCTCCCCCAGGCTCCACCACCCCTTCTTGCCACTACCCTAGGGACCACACCCGCAATGGGTTTCCATGGAGAGGAGCGTGCACCCCTGCTGGCTCACAGGGGCTGCTTGGTCCAGACGTGGTCACCTGCTACCTCCCTCCTCCTTCCCTGCTTTTCTTTTTCAGTACCAGGGGTGCAGCCCAAGGCCACATGCTAGGAATTCAGCACATGAATTTTGGGGGTGACAGTTTGGCAAGGGAGCTGCCCAGGAAACCAGTAAAACTCACTCGGGGGTGGGTGTGTGGGTCCCAGAGGTGTGACCTTGAGGACTGGGCCCGGGCCCCTTCCTCCCTGGGGCTGTCCTCACCGCCATCACACCCCTGGGGTGCTCCCCACCCCCAGGGTGCTCCCCACCCCCAGCCCGCTGGCTGGCCGTGGACTGAACCTCCAGAAGCTGGAAACCAAACCAAAGCTTCCTCCTTTACCCCGAGGGCTCAGGGAGAAATAGATCTGGGGGTGTGAACAAACCTTCCCAGCAGAGTGACTGCTAAACGCTGCTGTCCCCTGACCACAGCCATCCCCTCAGGGTGGAGAATCTGACAGAAAGGAGGAGGTGACAGTCCCAGACCTCAAGCTGACTCTCCAGGATCTCAGTCCCAGTGCCTGGGGCTCAAGTCCTTCCCCTCTCTGTCCTCAGGACCTGAGGCGCTGCTGGGAGTGATTTGAGGGATGACAGGAAGTGATTGGTGGAGCCTGGGTTTGTACCCTGGGGTATTCTTAGGGGTGACACAGACTCCCATGCCCCATGGTGGAGTTGGAGATGGAAGAGGAGGAGGAGGGCTTCAGGTCTGCAGCCAGGCTTCTGACACACCAGACAGAGTCTCGCTGTGCAGTTAGGCTGACCTCAAACCCGCAGCCATCCTCCTGCCTCAGCCTCCCAAATGCTGGGTTGACAGGCATGCACCACCACACCCAGCCTAAACTGTTAATTTTGAAAAAAGGTTTAAACTTATGGAAAGTTGTGAAAGTAATTTGGGGAGTCCTCCCATACACCCTCATCCAGCCCCCTGCAATTTTAACACCTCCCATAAATGCGAGCTGTCCAGTTACCGAAACCAGGAAGTGAACATTGTATAAGGCTATAAATTTAACTACATATTTCATGTCAAAGTTAGTTTTACCACTGTAGCCGATTTCTCTGGCCCAGGATGACTGTGTCCCCTGTCATCTCCTCTGGCCTGTGACAGTTTCTCCGTCTGTCTTTGCCTCTCCTGGCATTCATCATTCAGTTTGTTCCCTTCTCACGGCTGCCATGGTAGATTACTACAGGCTGGGTGGCTTACACTGCAGAAATTCTCACAATTCCATAGGCCAGGAACCCAACATCAGGGGCCAGGACACAGCTCAGCCACATAGCGCCTGCCTGGCAAGTGCAAGGTTGTGAGTTCGATTCCTGGTACCAAAAAAAATTTTTTTTTCAGCATCAAAGTATTGGTAGGGTTGATTATTTCTGGTGGCTCTGAGCAGATAATCTGTCTCCTCCCTCTATGGAAGTTCCAGGTGTACATTTGATTTCCATCCCTCCATCAAAATACCTGAGACCACCAGCTTATATAGAGGGAAAGTCTGAGCTGGGTGCAGTGATGCACCCCTGAAATCCCAGCCCTTTGAAAGCTGAGGCTGGAGGACACTTCGGTTGAGGTGAGGTCAGCCTAAACTACACCCTGAGACCCTGTCTCAAAAATAACAAAAAGCCGGGGATGGTAGTGCAGGCCTCTAATCCTAGTATTCTGGGAGGCTGAGGCAGGAAGATTGCAAGCCCAACCTGGTGAGACCCTGTCTCAAAATAAAAAATGAAAAAGGGCTGGGAGGGAGCTCAGTGTGAAGGTCCTGGGTTTGCCCCCAGCACTCAAATAAATAAGTAAATAAACAGACAGAAGGAAAGAAAGAAAAACAGGAAAGAGGTACTCAGTTCATAGATTGGGAGGTGGTGAGTGGTGATCAGCTGGACCCTGTGGTCTGGGTCTCTGGGGGCCTGCTGGTCACAGTGGGGGCTCTTAGGGAAAAGGGAACACTTCCCCTTGTGACCCAGAAGCAAAAGAGAGACGCCACAGCTCCCCTGATTTAAATACCCCCACACACTGCACCCCAGCATGAAAGTCTCACTGGTTCCCAGCAGCACCTCACTCAGGACCAAGTCTTTTTTGTTTTAGTCTTTTTGAGACTGGCTCTCGCTATGCAGTTCAGGCTGGCCTTGAGCTCACTTTGTAGCCCAGGCTGAGGACCCAGTCTGTAATTTTTGTTTTGTTTTGTTTTTTGAGACAAGGCCTTTCTATGTAGCCTTGAATGAGCAGTGATCCTCCGGCCTCAGCCTCCTGAGTGCTGAGATTACAGCTATGCATCTCTTTCCCTCTCCACTTCCTGATGCCATGCCGTGGGCAGATTCCCCTCCCACACCCCTGAGCCCTGATGTCTGCCTCCCTGGGGTCCCAGCCACCAGCAGGCCAGCCATGGACAAGCCCTTTGACACCCTGAGCCAAAGTCAAAGCTGGGTTTCACTTCCCAACTGTTTTTTATAGGTGTTTATCACACGGCCTGGATTCAAGGCCAAACTGTACATCACGGTGGTTACCGACTCCTCTCCTCATCACTGTCCCGCGGCTGTCATCCCTTGCGCGTCGAGGTGTCTTGTGTGGTCTCAGAGGACCCCAGTCACTGGAGAGGCCAGGGGTGGTGATGCGCGCCCGTCTTCGCCGCCTCTAGGAGGCTAACTGAGGTAGGAGGGGTGTCAGTTTCAACCCAGCCTAAGCAGCTTAATGACTTAGCCAGACCGTCTTGAGCAAAAAGAAATAAAAATAAGGCTGGAGATCAGCAGAACGGAGCACGAAGATCTTGGGTTCGATCCGTAGTACTCCCCCCGCCAAAAAAAAAAAAAAAAAGCCAGAAAAAACCCAAAGAATTACGCACTTGGTTCTATTTGGTGCATCCTGTGGTTTGGACCGGGTCTGACTGTTTTCCCAAAACTTCGCGGGCTGGAATTTAATCCCTGGCGTGACGTCACGAGGGGCGGGGCCTCTATGGCGCTGACGCTGCGGGGGCGGGGCCTCCGACCTGCGGCGAAGATCAAGTGCGGCGGAGCAGAACACACATGAGCTTGTCTCGTGCCTGCTGACTCTCTGGCCGCCTGGGGCTAAGAATGTTCAAATCTTCGGAACCCTGAGCTCACATTGGGCCCCCAGCCCGTACCGGAACACACAGCAGATAACAGCAAACAAGACCGAGGACGCCTGCCACCACCGCCGCCACATCTGGAGTCACTTGGGAAGTTTTTTATTTTTATATTTTCTTAGTTGGGAAGTTTTTGTCTTGATTCACTTTGGTTTTGGAGACAGGGTCTCCTTGTGTAGTTCGGTCTGGCCTTGAACTCTCTATGTGGCCCAGGTTGCCCTTGACCCATGGTGATCCTCCTGTCTCAGCCGTCTGCATGATGAAATTACAGGCAGGTGCCACCAAGCCCGCCTCTGTTTTCAGTCTCGCTAATTTTCTCTCTGAGGACCTTGTTCTGGTCCAGGGGCGCAGCCAGGACATCATTCCGCTATGCTATCTCCTTACTGTCTTGTGACAGGTGACAGTGTCTGTATTTTCCCTTCTCATGCCTTTGACACCTTGCTCACATATTTTACAGAATATTCTCAAAGTGGAACAAACATCTGACATTCTCTCGGGGTTCATTTGAGCCACTGGCTGTGGTGTAATCCCATTGTTCAGGAGGCTGAGACAGGAGTATTGCCATGAGTTTAAGGCCAGCCTGGGCTACAAAGTGAGCTCAAGGCCAGCTTGAACTACATAGCAAGACCCTGTCTCAAAACAAACAATAACAACAAAAAAATTAGAGTAATTTGATTTACATAAGTAAAATTGGATCTATCTGTGATCATACTGGTCCATGATACCAAATATCAAACAATTGGCAAACATAGGTTTAACATCTCTCAATAATTACTAACATTTTGGAAGAGGCAATAGGAGAGGCAAAATCCTTAAAGTTTCATCCACTAATCTTACGTTTTTTGGCGTGGGGGTACTGGGAATCGGACTCAGGGTCTCACGCTTGCCAGGCAGGCGCTGTGCCACTGAACTGCATCCCCAGCCCACGTCCACTAATCTGAGCACACATGGGCATTGCCTACTGCAGTTACCGCCATGCAGCCCAACTAAGGGTTCTCTTAGACTCTCCCCTCTTTTCCTTCCCCTGTTCTCCTCTCCGTCTTGCTTGTCCTCCCTCCCTCTCCTCTTCTCTCCTTTCCTTTCCTGATTTTCTTCCTCCACTTACATTTTTTTTCTTTTTCAGACAAGATCTCACTATGTTGCCCAGTCTGGCTTCAAACTCTTGGGCTTCAATGATCCTCCTGCTTCAGCCTCCAGAGTAGCTGAGACTACAGGTAGGTGCCATGTGTGGGGCTCTATGATGGTTTTTATATCTCCTAATTCCCTGTACAGTTTATTGACTCGACACCTATGAGAGAATTTGGTCCTTCCTTTCCCTGTTTATTTATTCACTCAGATATTTATATAAAAAATTGGGGCTGGGGATTTAGCTCAGCGGCATAAGTGCCTTCCTTGCAAGTGTGAGGTCATGAGTTCGATCCCTGGCACCGATAAAAACGAAAAAGACAAAAGATATTTATATCAGTAGGGATTCATTGGTGTTTAAATCCTGGGATTCCAATGATATCATATTTTCAATCTCATATCAATTCCCATCATTTTCCTCTAAAAAAAATCTCCAAAAAGCTTCCCTTTATGCTTCAGATTAAATCTAAGTTTATTACTCACCTATGCGACCCCAGACTCATTTTCCTGTCCATTCATATTTTTCTTTATTCCCTAGTACTGGGATAAAACCCAGACCTCACACTGTCACACTGAGCTGCAGCCCCAGCCCTTTTTAATTCTGAAACAGAGTCTTGCTAAGTTGCTTATTTGCCTAGCAGCTGGGCTTGAACTTGAGGTTCTCCTACCTCAGCCTCCCCAGAGTGCTGGGATTATAGGCTTGCACCATTATACCCTGTGTTGATTTCCCCTCTTCTGAGCACCTTAGTTATGGTCAGCACATTTTAGTCTTTGCACAAAGATGAAGTCCCATGATGAGCTTTCAGCCACTGACCTCCCTCCACATTGGTCTTTAGTGGGATATTTTTCCCTGGATGGTGCCAAACTTTGCTCCAGCTGCCCTGCTTTCTTGTCCCTTCTCCAACTCTACCTGGAATTCAATAAAGAAATGTGGCCTCCAAACATGTACTAATAAGAATTTTTAAAAGTTTTAAAAAAAACTCAGAAACTTGTATTTTGTTTTCTTACTGATTATCTTCCAGTCCTCTGGATTGCTAGTCTCTTGCACATAGTGTTATACTAAGATGCTAAAAATTAAAATAATTGATTAAAAGATAAACAAAAATAGTTACTTAAAAAGGTAGTTATTAGTAATATTGTCATTCTGTACTGAACTCATTACCCTAGTAACCAAGCACCAACCACATAGTTATAAATTAACTGACCACGTCGTTCTGCTGTTCTGTAATGCATCATCCCCCCCACCTTAGTGACCTGTGTGCATTGTCAACTTTTGTTCCCCTTGTAAGAGACAAATGATGCTATGTCAACCATTGTTCCATTTATGAGAGACAAATGTTCCCAGAATTGGCAGACCAAGGGCTATGAATTGGCTAATCACCCACTGTGAAATGCTTCTTACCTCAAGCAAAGGAGAACAAGGCCCACCTTATTTCTGTTTCTCATCACTATGTACTTAATGATCAATGAGCTAATCATAAATGAACTATAAAAAATCAGTCAAAACTCTAACTCAGTTGCACAGCTTTGCAAATTCCATCTGCACTGTGTTGCTGGGCCAGCTAAAATAAAAGCGTTTCTTTTAAAAAAGACGTTTTGCCCCGTTTGTCATCTTGGGGTCTTGCCCCGCTTTTCACCATGGGGTCTTGTTTTTTAAGTAAAGTACAACATTTGGGGGCTCGTCCGGGATTACATGGGGACCCCTCCCCAAATTTTTTCACCAATCGATCGGCTTGAAACATCTGTAAGTGTTTGGATCTTTTGTTCTTTGTAATTTGAGTGCACACCTTTGAAGTTGCAGAGGAGCTTGGATGGCTCCTTTTGCACCGGAGCAGGACGCCCTCCGGGACAGGGCTTCTAGCCCATTTGGGATTTGGGATTTTTTATCCATTTGGTTTTGTGCTTGGTATATTTTTACGGTGGAGCCATTTGTTCATTTGAATCTGTTACCTCAGTACTAACATTTAGATTTCTTTTTTCTCTTAAACTACTGTTGCAGGTTCCATGCGGCTTATTGAACTTAAGGGTCATAATGAAAATTTATTTCCCTTTAGGTCGCCGAACCATGGACAGAAAATCCTTTGTTTGTGTCTTTAATATTGGTCTTTTGTGGCGCCTGGTTTAATGTTTTACTCCTCAACTGATTATGTACAACCTTGGCATGCCTTTAAAAGTGTTTTTCTGGTTAAAATATAAATATATAACAATACATATATATGTTTATGGTTTTTAGAATCATATTGGCTTTACCAAATAAAGCCAGGTCATACTGTTATTGAGCCAGTTTAAAAAGTTACAGTTTTTAAAGTGTAACATTTTAAGGTGGTAAAAAGACATAAAATGATTTAATATATTTTAGACTAATAAGAAAGTCACTTCAAGGATTTTGTTAAAAGTTTTAATGTCTAAAAAGCTAGAAAAAAAGGTAATTGACGGGTAATAAACAGCAACAGAAAAACAAATGTGTTCAGAACTTGACAGTATTGGATCAGTAAACTTTTACTATAAAATGTTTCCATTAAAATAAGATTATATTCTAAAAAGGGAAGGACAAACTGGAACCCTTTGTCATCCCAAGTTTATATAATGGTAAAAAGTCAGTGTTGACCATATATAAAATATATTTGCCTATAAAAATAAAAATTAAAAAGGGCTGTAATTCTCAGTCCCATCTGGACTAGAAGCTATCAGTGTTCAGAATTGCTGGACTCCTCTTCCTCACCCGCCTTTTTCTAAGGACCCTCAGGGCCTTATTTCTCTTTTGGAATTTGTCTTCTCCATTTATCACCCCACTTGGGATGACTGCCAGCAGATTTTGCAGGTTTTGTTTACAGTAAAAGAGAGAGAAAAAAATTCATGTTGTGGGATTAAAAAAAAAAAAAACAGTATACATTCCAAATAAAAACCTGTCCTCTGATCCCGAATGCTAGAACCAGGTTTTCCCTTTGTCCCGCCCTGATCCAACAACCAGAGGTAAGAAGGCTCTCGTTCAGTATCGCCAGTTCTCAAAAGCCTTTAAGGGCTGCCAAAAAACCCACCAATTGGTCCAAGGTAACAGAGGTGAGACAATTAGATGATGAGTCTCCCTTGGGGTTTCTGGAGAGATTGCTAGAGGCCTATTACATTTGTACACCTGTAGATCTGGTAGCACCTAAAAAGGCAAGGGCCATTAATAATACCTTTGTAACTCTCGGCACCTGATATTAAGCGAAAGTTGCAAAGACTTGAGAGATTTAAAAAAATACCCCTCAGTTAGTTATTAGAGTTTGCTTAGAACTGACTCTTTCCTCCCAGCTGATGCAAGCCATTCAACAGATTCCAGTTCCTGTGACTAAAAAGCATATATGAGAATTTCTAGGAGTCATAGGATATTGCCTGCCTTAGATTACAGACTCATGAGACCAGGCTTTTTAGCAATTGAAATCAGCCTTAACAGACGCTCCAGGTCTGGCTCTGTCAAAGTTGCAAAAACCTCTTTCCCTCTATGTTGATAAAAAACAAGGGATAGCAAAAGGAGTACTGACCCAGAGTTTAGGACCATGGCAAAGGCCTATTGCCTATCTTTCCAAGAGACTTGATAACGTGGCAGCCCAATGGCTGCCTTGCCTGCAGATGGTTGCCTCGGTGGCCCTCCTGATAAAAATGGCCCAGAAGATGACATTTGGACAAAAACTTTTAATTATCTCCTCTCGTTCCCTGGAGACTCTCATCAAAGCTTCACCACACAGATGGCTGCCTATCAGGCATTACTTCTCGATCTGACTACCATCAGTTTCAAGGGGACAGTGTCTTTAAATCCAGATACTCAGCTGCCTGATGATGACCTCTCCTTGCCCTTCTGATCATTTCATGGGGCTTCAACCAGACTTGACAGATGAGCCACTGTCCGGAGTTCCATCATATTTTTCTGATGAAAGCAGTCACATCTATCAAGGTAAGCAGGTCGTGGGAGCCGCTGTCACAGACTCTCAGATTCTATGGGAACAAAGTTTGGAGCCAAAAACATCAGCCCAATGGGCTGAACTCATTGCCCTCACTGAGGCCCTCAAGTTGTCAGACTGATAGCAGATATGCATTTGCTACTGCCCATGTTCATGGGGCCATTTATCAGGAATGAGGTTCATTGACTTAAGGGAGCCAAAAGATAAAAATGCTCCCCAAGTTTTAGATTTGTTAGCTGCCATTTGGATGCCAAGGAATATGGCTATTAAATAATCTAACAGACGCAGCTACCCAAAAAGCAGCCACAAAATCAGTGGGGATTGAGACAATCCTGACATTGCTACTGATTCCACCCACTCTGTCAGAGCCCTTTTGTACTCAAAAAGACTTACATTTGGCAGCTCAACTCCAAGCAAAGTCTGATATCCCTGGGGCCTGGTACCAACTGCCTGATAATTGAGTCCTCCTCTGCAAGGCCTTGAGATAAAAACTCATCCAACAAGCTCATAAGTCCACTCACATGGGAGGATCAAAATTCGCTGCTCTTTTTGAGATCATTTCTTTATCCCTCAGTTATCGAAGCTTACTCAGTCTGTGAACGTCCTGCAGTGAAACCTAGGACACTACTCATCAAGAGACATCACCATGAGTCTCTCAAACCATGGTAAAAAAAACCCTTACACCGTGGTCCTCAGCACTGACTGCCATCAAAGTCACGAAAAAGCCTGCCTCGATTCATCATTGCCACTTCAAGCCAGTTCTGGCCTCTGACAGCGATCAACCTACAGATAAGTGGACTGTTGTTCCCTCCAAGAATTCTTTAAAGCTTAAGATTGCCAAGTGTATCTGATAATCTTGTTCTTAAGTGCTATTCCTTATAAAGACCCCAAGGAGATACCTTGTAACCCACTGTTTAAAACTCAAAATTACTATTTCACTGGTAAATTATTGGTAGCCAATGCTACTGTCTATGAGATAATTAAGATAAATTTATGTTCCCTATTAACATCCCAGCAAAAATTAGACAAAAAATGTTGTTGGGTTTGCATATCATGCTGCCTGATTGGTTGCTAATAGAGACTTACAGGGACCTACGTATTCAAAAAAGTTACAGTCCACGGGCTGGTATGTTTGTCCCCAAAAGCAACAGCCAGCCTCTGATCATAGGTGTTCACAGTCCATAGAGATAAAATACTTTTGTAGACATTGGGGTTGTAAATTTGTATTTCCTTGACAAAAAAATAAAGGGGGTCGTTACCTCCTCACTCTGGAGACCCCAATCTTCTGTTCTCCTCCACTAGACTTCCTGCTCCTGAGACCTTTTTGCCCTCTGCGATTTCTGTGACATCTCTAGCCCCTTCTCACCTCTGGACATTGCTTATGACAAATCAACTTTTAAATTCCTGTATAGATGACACCTTTTGTTGGTGGGATGCTAAGCCCCTGCTCACACTGGACAATGTACAGGGTGCTCAGGAACCTGTGTTTACTCTGCCTCCTACTCCTTGCACACTTCCCCTTATGCTGCACTCTGTAATCCTACCTCTTGAGCTTTGATTTATACATTTTCCTATCCTGCAAATCAACACCTTGTTTCTCCCAATGGAGCCTGGTTTGCCTGTACTTCTAATATAACTCCTTGTTCCATGCATCACCTGTTCACCCAGTGCCCTGAGTTTTACATAGTAGTCCATATCTTTCCCCAAGTATATTGGTACTCTAGAGATAATGGTAAGAGTCACTTGTTTCCTAGCTTTGACTTAGAGTTCGGTAAAAACAAAAAAAAATCCTGTATGATTACTGTATTACTAAAAATTGAGATAACAAGGTCAATAGGTTTAAGAGTGTCCAGCCTAATAGTCAAAAGACCAAAATTATAGACACTTACATACACTCGTTGACCAAGATTTAACAGCCCTTAGTGACTCTGTCTCCAAATTAGATGATTCTTTAAGTTCACTGACTGAGATGGTTTTATAAAACCAGCAGGGTCTAGATCTCCTGTTCCTAAAGAAAGGAGGCCTCTGTCTGGCATTAAAAAAAATTGTTGTTTGTATGCCAATCATTATGGGGTTATGAGACAAAATATGGCCAGCCTTAAAAGACAGCTACAAAAATGAGAACAAGCCAGACAAGCTAAACAGAATTGGTTTAAATGATGGTTTTCTCTATCTCCCTGGTTGACAACGTTAATCATAGCAGCCTCCAGACCTCTGTTAATCTTACTTACCTGTTTAACAATTGGACCTTACATTATAAACAGATTAGTAAATTATGTCAAAGACCAGGTTCAAACAATAAAACTCATGGTTTTAAGGACACAAGTTTATGAACAAATACCACTGCTTGAAAATTCCACGAGCCAATGATTTGGCTCACTGACAAAAATCAGTGGGGAATGTTATACTAAAATGCTAAAAATTAAAATAATTGATTAAAAGATAAACAAAAATAGTTACTTAAAAAGGTAGTTATTAGTAAGATTGTCATTCTGTACTGAGCTCATTACCCTAGTAACCAAGCACCAACCACATAGTTATAAATTAACTGACCACGTCGTTCTGCTGCTCTGTAATGCATCATCCCCCCCACCTTAGTGACCTGTGTGCTATGTCAACTTTTGTTCCCCTTGTAAGAGACAAATGATGCTATGTCAACCATTGTTCCATTTATGAGAGACAAATGTTCCCAGAATTGGCAGACCAAGGGCTATGAATTGGCTAACCACCCACTGTGAAATGCTTCTTACCTCAAGCAAAGGGGAACAAGGCCCACCTTATTTCTGTTTCTCATCACTATGTACTTAATGATCAATGAGCTAATCATAAATGAACTATAAAAATCAGTCAAAACTCTAACTCAGTTGCACAGCTTTGCAAATTCCATCTGCACTGTGTTGCTGGGCCAGCTAAAATAAAAGCGCTTCTTTTAAAAAACACGTTTTGCCCCGTTTGTCATCTTGGGGTCTTGCCCCGCTTTTCACCATGGGGTCTTGTTTTTTAAGTAAAGTACAACATATAGTACATGCTCAGTTAATATTTACCGAAGGGATAAATTCATGAGGCTGGAAGAAAGAGAAATAGAGAGGAAACAGAGGGGAGGAAAAACAATCATCATAAGAGCTGGCATCGAATTAGGGGGTGGCAAATCAGGATGGACAATGGGCGTGAACTGTCAATCACAGAGAGCTGTCAAGTCATGCCCAATCAGGACTAAGCAACTGGGCGTGGCATAAAGCTGTCAACCTTGGCCTGGACGCATGCACAGAGCAGCTTCGAAAAATCCTGAAATCAAAAGACAGTATAACAGATGAGCCATCGGGCCTCCTCACCACTGCCCTCTTGTTCTGGTGGTGGCCTGTCTCGCGTGCAGGGTTCATCTTTTCTTTCTCCTCTTTTTTTCTTTTCTTCTTTTGTTTAATAAACGTTAAACTGTTAATGTTCATTGGTTGTCACTGTCCAGTTCTTTCAATGGGACAAGAGCCTAGACCTCGGGACATCCATCTTTGCTACAGAAGTGTGGGATCTTCGGAAAACTGCGGTTGAAACTTCAGTTTCCCGTGTGAAATAAAGGCTCCATCTTCAAGCCTACTGCATACACGCTTGCACGCAACCAGCACACCAGGGTTGCTATTCCCACCATCGGTATGACAAGCAGGACAGAGAGAGCTGCACCCAGTTCTCGTGAACTCAGAACCATGTGTGGCCCCTGTGAAGCAATTCCTGATTGATGTTATCGCTTTCGCGCTAGCCCGCCCTTTTAAAACACTATTATTGTTTGAAAATTATTTTTTGAAAACCCTTTTCCTTGCTCTGGCCTGGCCGCCCAAGGCTGCTCTTTAGGCCACTGCCCATCTGGCCTGGGCCACTCCGGGCTGGTGATTTTGGTTCCTCTGGACCACAGGTTCCCATCATCTCTCACATAGGCTGGACCGCCTGCGGTCTCTATGGAAACCCACCAGCCACAAGAGGGCGTGAAGACGCTACTCCCAGAAAGACAGGCACATTGGACTATCGGGTCAAAGATTTTGGCCCAGAAAAGCAAATGGAGCTTATGATTGGCTCATCTTTAATGTAGGGCGGGCATGAAGCGACAGACGGCGGAGGCTGTTACCATCACCACCAATCAAGAGTCTCAAGGGCTTTGATGGACAAGCGTAGCGGGAAGCGTTTCTGAGTTCAGGCTTTCGCCCAACCCGTGGCCGGCCGTCCCAGAAAAGGGCCAATCAGAGGGCGGAAGGGGTGGGGCCAAGGGGCCGGTTGCTCCGGAAGTGGAGGGAGGGGGTGAAAATGGCGCCCAGCTCGAAATCGGAGCGGAACAGTGGGGCCGGGAGCGGCGGCGGCGGCCCCGGGGGAGCCGGGGGGAAGCGCCCAGCGGGGCGGCGGCGGGAGCACGTCCTCAAGCAGTTGGAGCGGGTCAAGGTGAGCGCCGGCGTCGGGGAGGAGCGCGCGGGAGAAGGGAGGAGAGAGGGCGGGCGTTCGCGGGTGAGGGGTGGGGGGCGGGGCCCGGGAGGGGGCAGGGCGGGTGGGGGCTGGCGCCGGGCTCGGGGAGGCCAGGGGACCCAGAGCCGCCGAGCGATCGGGAGGCGGCGGCATACCGGGCCGCGTGGCCTTCTCGCCCCCTGTGCAGAGCCCACTGGCTGCAGGCTCCTCCGACCGCCCCTGGGTTGGGAGGTCCTGCGCCCTGACCGCCTCTCCCATTGAATGGAAGGGGCCTCCCCGGAGAGGGCCGGGTCGTTCCCGGTACGGGCTGCGTCTCCTCATCCGCCCCAGAGCCCGCGGAGCTCTCCCCTGACCCTGGGTGCGGAGCTGGGTGGGGGCTCGAGGGTCGGAATCTTCTGTGAGCGGGGCGGCAGCCTGGGCAGGGCTGTGTTTCTCAGGGACCGGGATCGCGCTTCCCCCATCACACCGGACCTCACCGAGTCGTGTCTCTACCCTCGGCCTGGGAGCTGGCTGGGGCAGGGGTTGTGTCTCTCCCATCGGTCAGGGCTGTGTCCTCATCAGCCCGAGCTGTCCCTGAGGGGACCGGATTGGCCCCTATCAGATCCAAGGCAGGACAGTCACTCTCCCCCCCCCCCCCCCGCGCCCCGGGCCTGCCAGGTGGCTGTGATAACCCTGGGTGTCCCCACAGGGAGGTCCTTCGGTGGTGGCATTTTGGGATGTTGGAGTGTGGGAAGGGGAAGGGGAAATCAGGCAGGAGTTGAGTCCATGGCCGGGATATAGTGGGGACCCAGCTGGGAGCAGACCTTTCCCATGAGATCCCATTGTGGGCTGGGTTGGGGGACAGGTGATGACGTGGCCCTCACCCCAGCTTCCTCGGGCAAAGGACTCACAGCATAGCGGCCCAGTGTGGGGGGTTCCTGAGGGAGGTGATGCTGGCTTGGGTGAGGCTGCAGGGCTGTGTCGCTGGTGGCAGGCACTCTACTCGGAGTCCCTGGCCCCTGTGTGTCCCACTTATTCCCCCAGCCATAGCTGGGGGGAGGGGCTGGGGCTGCAGGTGGCCGCCCGGGATGGGCAACTGAGGAGCCCAGCTGTGCCTTACAGATCAGCGGGCAGCTCTCACCGAGGCTCTTCCGGAAGCTGCCACCGAGGGTCTGTGTGTCACTCAAGAACATCGTGGACGAGGATTTCCTCTATGCGGGGTGAGGTGGGGGCTGCTGTATGGGGGTAGGGCATCATCTAGGGTACAGTGGAGTGGGGTCCTGACCTGGCCCTGTCCTGCCTCTGGCAGGCACATCTTCCTGGGCTTCTCCAAGTGCGGCCGCTACGTGCTCTCCTACACCAGCAGCAGCGGTGATGATGACTTCTCCTTCTACATCTACCACCTCTACTGGTGGGAATTCAACGTGCACAGCAAGCTGAAGCTGGTACGACCCAGGCAGGCCACGGCCCTCCAAGCCGAGCCGCAGGCCCTCCCTGGGGTGGAGCATCCCAGGAGGTTCGGCTGGATCATGTGCAGTTGCCAGATGGGTACCCGTCATTTAGTTCAGCTTAGCATGGAAAGCCTGTGCTGTCTGGGAGGCTGAGGCAGGAGGATGGCAAGTTTGAACCCAGCCTGGACAAGTTAACGAGTTAGCAAGACCTGCTGTCAAAATAAAATGGAAAAAAAGGGGGGTGGGAATGGAGCTCAATGTGAAGGCCCGAGGGTAACCCCAAGCTCTGCCCACAAGAGAGAAGGAACGAAAGCAGCCAGCCATCTCCTCAGGGAGGGTTAAGTGGCAGACAGCTCCCTGAGGACTGCGCTGATCCTTGATCTCTCACCCTGCCTCAGCCGGGAGCCATTACCTCTGCTCATGCTGGGGCCCACAGCAGTGTGGGGCTCCCCTCGGCTGTGCCCTGCCTGGCCGGCCTCCATGTCCACCATCAGGGGTGCTGCCTGACTGAGCCGAGGGCAGGCTGTGGGGTGCCCACAGGCCTAGGGGACCCCTGACCCCCTACCCTGGGACTCTCATGTGGGCCGCTCAGGTCCGGCAGGTGCGGCTCTTCCAGGACGAGGAGATCTACAGCGACCTGTACCTCACGGTGTGTGAGTGGCCCAGTGATGCCTCCAAGGTCATCGTCTTCGGCTTCAAGTGAGGCGGGCAGGGAGTAGGTGGGCAGAGGAGGAGGGCAGGGCTGGCGGGGTCCAAGGTCCTGAGCACAGCGTCCGGCCCCCAGTACCCGCTCGCCCAACGGCACACTCATGAACATGATGATGATGAGCGACGAGAACCACCGCGACATCTACGTCAGCACCGTGGCTGTGCCACCCCCTGGCCGCTGCGCCGCCTGCCTGGACGCCAGCCGGGCGCATCCTGGGGACCCAAGCGCTCAGTGCCTGCGTCATGGCTTCATGCTGCACACCAAGTACCAGGTGGTCTACCCATTCCCCACCTTCCAGCCCGCCTTCCAGCTCAAGAAGGACCAGGTGGTGCTGCTCAACACCAGCTACTCCCTGGTGGCCTGTGCCGTCTCTGTGCATGCCGCAGGTAGGCCTGGCGGGGGTGGGGGGTACCGTCCCGGCCTCCGAGGCAGCCAGCGGGCACCACGCTGGCTCACCTGACCCTGAACTGCCATTCCCATTTCGTGCCACTGGCCTGGTTTTCAGTTTACATAGCCACATGCAGCTGAGCAGCTGCCTGGCTGGGACAGCAGAACCATCCCGGACCCTGTCCCTGAGACCCGTTTCCTGTTTGTTTGTATGTTTCTGAGGCAGGGTCTCACTGTGCAGGTCAGGCTGGCCTTCAGCTCACTGTGTAGCCCAGACCTGCCTCAAACTCACAGCAGTCCTCCTGCCTCAGCCTCCTGAGTGCTGGGATGACAGGCACACACCCCCACTCCCAGTTTCCTATTTAGAAGAAAACAGTACGGCTGGCTGCCAGCAGTCACTTAATTTTCAGTGACCGAGGAGGAGTGGGTGTGTGTGTGTGCACCTTAGAAATTGTGGTGTTTGTAGATGGAGATGCTGCTACTAGAAACAGAATGCTATACATAGACAACGGCGTTGGTTTCCAGAGACCATCGGGACCCTGGAGCAGTGTGAGAATAGTAGCAAAGATGGGGTATTTCATGGCAGGCTGTGGGGTAAGGTTAGGGCTGTAATCCACTAGTTCTCTCAAGGTGATCAAACACTGCACCCAGAAACACCCTGGCAGATTTCTCGGGGCAAACGGGAAGTAGATTAGAGCCCCAAGCTGGGCATAGTGGCCCCACCTGTCATCCCAGCAGACACTGGGAGGCTGAGGCAGGAGGATGCCAAGTTCAAGTCCTGCCTGGGGGGTAACTTAGCGAGACCCTGTCTCAAATTGAAAAATAAATGGGCTGGAATGGGACGTAGCTCAGTCCGAAGGTCCTGGTTCATTCTCCGATATAGCAGAGAGACAGACAGACAGACAGAAGCTGAAGGCTGGGTGCAGCTCAGTGGTAGCACAGGGTGGGGGGAGGAAGGAAGGGAAGGGTGAAAGAAAGGACAGCTGAGCCCTTGCAGACGGCAGCATTGAGAGGCTGTCAGACCCCTCTGGTAGAAGTGAGGGACAGTCCTGAGCTGTCCTTCACAGCTGTGTGAGTTGGGGCCCTGGCGCTGTGCGGCCTTGGTGGCTGATGTGACCCAAGGCTCTGCCTGCACCGGTCCTTCCCTGGGAGTTTGCTCGAGGCCCAGCCGAGGTGGGAGAGTTGGGGCCACCTGGAGTCCTTTCCTGTGGACTGGGAGGTAGGATGGCCAGGTGCCCTGCTGATCCCTGGTGGGCAGTGTCAGTGCGTGTGTGTCCAGGCTGCGGTGGGGAGGGGTCCTGCCAGGAGACAGCCCTGGTACAGATGCCGGGTCCTGGCCATCGGGGTTCCATACTTGCCCCAGGGCGGCTCCCCACTGAGCCCTCACAGCCCTGTCTCCCACGACCATGTAGTCCCTGCATGACCCCGTGGCCAGGTCTTCCCCGAGCCTGGGACCATGTACCCTTGGGCTGCTCTGGGGTCCTCGCTGCAGAGATGGGCAGGCACACTCTGCCATTAACTGCCACAGCCTGTGTCCCCAATGGCTGCCCAGGGCTGGACTCCCCCCTGTCCTCTATACACAAGGGTGCTGCCTGAGCCGGGGCTGGTAGCATCTGCCTGTCACCCCAGCACTCTGTCACCCAGCACCAGGGTGGCCCAAAGGAGGAGGGTCATGAGCCCCAGCCAAGCCTTGGTAACTTAGGGACTCAGCCCAGTGAGACTGTCTCATAATAAAAATCAAAACAAGCAAACAACAAGGGCTGGGGCTGCTGCTCGCTGTCAGAGCCCTGGGTCCAGTCCCCAGAACAAAAGCAATAGAAGAGGGCTGGGTAAAGGTGTGTGTGCCCTCCCGCCCAGTGTCCATGCAGTCCTGGGACCCTGGGGGCTGGAGAAGTCTTGGGGTAGTGGTGAGCTAGAACGCAGAGCCGTGGGTTGGCTCTTCATGCACGGAAGCTGGGCTCAGAGCCTCCACCTCTCCCCCTGCAGGCGACAGTGGCTTCTGTCAGATCCTATACGACCACACGGCCTCCCCACCACCCCTGCCCAGCTCCCCAGGGCCCCGAAGCCCGGAGGCGCCCCCCACGCTCCCCAGCCTCTGTCCCGAGGTGGCCCCTGCCCGGGCCCCAGGGACCCCCGAGCCCTCACCTGCCGTGGCCAGAGCCAAGGAGTTTGTGGCCGACATCTTCCGCAGGGCCAAGGAGGCCAAGGGGGCAACTCAGGAGGACACACGGCCGCCCCCCTGCCCTGGGCCCTCAGGCAGCCGGTGCCGGGCGTCCTCTGAGGCCCCCAGCCCATGTGGGGAGGCAGCACCCAGGGACAGCCCTGCCCTGACGCCTGTCCCTGAGCCCGGTTATGTCAACTACACCAAGCTGTACTACGTGCTGGGCTCCAGCGAGGGCACCGAGCCCGAGGATGGTGAGTGAGCTGGCCTGGGGGCCTGGGCGGCCCAGGGTCCCTGTCTTCCCCCACTCCCCACCTCCTCCCCCCCAGAGTTGGAGGACGACAAGATTTCGCTGCCCTTTGTGGTTACCGACCTACGCGGCCGCAACCTGCGCCCCATGCGGGAGCAGACCGCTGTCCAGGTGTGTGGGCGCTGGGAGGGCTGCGGGGGCTGCAGGGCCGCAGGGCCACAGTGGGAACGTCACCATCCCCTCCCACCCACCTCACCCAGAGCCAGTATCTGACGGTGGAGCAGCTCACACTGGACTTCGAGTACGTCATCAATGAGGTCATCCGCCATGACGCCACCTGGGGCCACCAATTCTGCTCCTTCAGTGACTATGACATCGTCATCCTGGAGGTGGGGGGTAGGGAGGTGTGCGGGCAGAGCCGTCCTGGCTGGGGGCCGCCCTCCGGAGCTGGGGTCACCTCCCCGCTGTGCCCTGCGCACCCAGGTCTGCCCAGAGACCAACCAGGTTCTCATCAACATCGGCCTGCTGCTCCTGGCCTTCCCGTCACCCACTGAAGAGGGCCAGCTCCGGTGAGCTGGAGGGGACTCTCAGGGGGCAGACCCCAGGGCTGTGGGAACCTAGGCGTAGAGCCCTGGACCCCAGGTTCCCCACACCCAGTCATCCCCCACCCTTCCCCTCCTGCAGACCAAAGACCTATCACACCAGCCTCAAGGTGGCCTGGGACCTCGGCACCGGCATCTTCGAGACAGTCAGCGTAGGGGAGCTCACCGAGGTCAAGGGGCAGACGAGGTAAGGCAGCGGTCGGGCACCCCACCAGGATCCCAAGCTGGCACAGAGCCACTCACCCACCTGCCCCCTCAGCGGCAGCGTCTGGAGCTCCTACCGCAAGGGCTGCGTGGACATGGTCATGAAGTGGCTGGTGCCCGAGAGCAGCGGCCGCTACGTCAACCGCATGACCAACGAGTCGCTGCACAAAGGTAGTGCTGGGCCCTCCCCAAAGCCTCCCAACTCCCACAAGGGGGCGCCCAGGGGTGGCTCACAGCCGCGTCCCCCCAGGGTGCTCCCTGAAGGTGCTGGCGGACAGCGAGCGGTACACGTGGATCGTGCTGTGAGGGCCCTGGCTCCGGCCACCCACGCCAACTACCTCCGCGGCCGGTGCTGGCCGCCTGTGCGCGCCCCGCCACTGGTGGCCCAGGACACGGCAGTAGCTTTGGGCTGCACGAGGGCGCGGCAGCCGCCCGGCCCTGGAGTCTGGACGCTTTTTTATTTATGCATATTTAAGTTGGGAGGGGCGAGGGGGGGGGACTGGACCCCAGCCCAGCCACCCTCCCACGGTGGGCACGGGCGGGCCGCCTTAGTGTTCACCCTTTCCCGGGCGCGGTGCCAGGGACCCTCGGGGAGTCAAAGGGTCCCAGCCTCCCTGGGCTGCCCACCCAGCCTCACTGCATCCCTGGTGGGGAACCCGGGGCCACCCCACCGTGTCCCCCTTTATGTAATAAATGCTTTATTTCCGAACTTGCCTGAGGTCCTGTCTCTGTGGCAGGGGTCTGCTTGGCCCCAGAGCCTGTCCCAGGCTCCGAGGCAACAGGAGACAAATTATCACAGCGGAATTTATTGTTTTAAGAAAGACTACAAAAAGGTAGAAAACAGCGCAGCACACTAAACTACCACACGTGGGACACTTCCACCGCTGGGAGGGGAGGCCTGGGCAGGGGGATTGGGCAGGGCCTCCCCGGAAGCTGGAACCGGAGCACAAGAAATAGTGATTTTATACAATAGGCTAGATTTTTTTGTTTTTCCTTTTTTTCTGCCATAAACACCTATCTCACAGGCTGAAAACACTTGAGAAAACTGGAACAGATAAGGCCATGATGGTTGGAAAAAACCCAACGAGTTACCGACTCCGCTCAGGCGGCTCACAAATCGCACAATAGTCAGGGGTCCACGGACGCAGGGGGGCGCAGAACGCGGGGCGCGGCCAGGCGTCACGGGCCCCTCTAGGCCATCCGGGCACTTCAGCCCCAAGGCCTCGCTTCTTTGGACGGGGAGGCCGAGGCTGGCCGCCCTCTCTCAGGTTGCGGGGCCCTCTCTCAGGTTGTGGGGCGAGGAGGGAGTGGGGGCCCAGTTCTAGCGAAGACGCCGCGCCCACGGCTTTAATTGCACTTATACCGAGGGGGAGAAGCAGTGGGGCTGGGGAGCGGTCCCGGGTTACGCCCCCGCGCTGCCCGCCGGGCTCGGGCACCCGGGCAGCTGTGCAAAGCCCGCGAGCAGAATAAGTTAATGTTCCACGGGGAGGGCCCGCCTGCTACCCGGGCGTGGGGCGGCTGGAGTGCCGGACCTGGGCCGGGCCCGCGGACTGCTAGGACAGCGGGGTTCCTTAAGGCACGTGGATCGGGTCGGTCTGCGGGGCCGCGGGCGCCCGCAGGCAGCTCAGCTGGACGGCAGCGCCTGCACAAAGAGGCCGCGGGCATCGGTGCGCGCCAGCTTGGCCGGTGGCTCCAGCGCTTCGGGGCCTAGTGAAGGCGACTCGCCGCCGGCCGCCAGCGAGATGTCCTGCGGCAGCTCGTCCTCGCTCTCCTCCTCCTCCTCCTCTTCCTCGTCTGCGCACACACGAATAGGGCGGCTCAGCGCTTGGCGCAGGCTCACGCCCCGCCCCCACCCCGGCCCACTAAGGACCGGCCCGCCTACCCTTGTCGGTGTCCAGGGGATTCAGCGCGGTGGCCAGGTTGGCGAACTGCGGGGACCAGGACGAGAGCGCAGGTGAGGCCCCGTCCCAGGCAGCGCCCGCCCCCCCTCTCCGCGCCCACGCCCCCGCGCACCTCGCCCATGACTGCGATAGGGGTCTCGCCCTTGGCCTGCGCCACACGGTGCTCGATCAGGTAGTACATGTACTCGTCGTACAGCAGCCGGATGAGGTGGAAGGAGCCAAAGCTGGCGGCACTGCGCAGGGTCAGGTCACGGATCACCATGGAGCTGCAGGCGACGTCAAGAGAAGCAGTCAGCCTGGCTTCCGCAGACGGGGAGTCTCGAACCCTGCCAGTAGCTGGGAGGCGTAGCCTCCGATGGCCCCGCCCACTCTGGGAGGTGCCGTACGGCTCCACGGGCCTCCCTCGGCCCACCCACTCCTGGAAGGTGCCTTCGAGCTCCACCGCTAGGCCCCCCCACGGGGCGGGACCTCCTGGTTCGGAGGTGGAGCTTCTCTATTCCCGCCCTGTCCTGGGAGGGGCCATCGGGCTCCACCAAGTGGCTTCTGCAATGGGCAGGGCATCCTCTGGTCCCACCTACCCGCGAAGGTGGGGCCTCCCGGCCCCGCCAAGTCCTGGGTGTGGCGCGCCAGTGGCCCCGCCCTGCCCCGGCGCACCTGTAGAAGGACCACTTGAGGAGGAAGAGCTTGGCAGCCTTGGGGAAGCCGGAGCTGCCCTGGTAGGGCTTCAGCACCTGGCTGACCACGCCGTCCAGCCAGGCCGCCCACTGCTCCAGCGAGTTCTGCTGCTGCAGCGTCACCTTGAAGTCCTGCTCCAATCGCTGCACCACGCGGTCCTCGCAGCGGCACACCCACGAGGCCTGCTCCTGCGGGCAGGCGGACAGATGGACAGGGGGCGGGGTACTGGCTCGGCACGGCCCCGCCCCGCACCCGGCGCCACCAGCTCACCTGCACGTTGGCGAAGTCCACGCGGTTGAGGTCGCTGAGCATCTGGTTGATCTGCGCGGTGTTCTGCAGCACGGCGCGCGCCGCCTGCGCCAGGTGGTTGAGGGAAGTGTAGCGCCGCAGGGTCTGTGCGAAGGCGCCGGCCGCTGCCACCTGCGCGGGCCACGGGCAGAGCCGGTGGGCGCAGGGCCTCCCCGGCCCAGCCTGGTCCGTGCAACCTCTCCGGGGTGAGCCCCGTCCCTTCAAACCGAAGGCCGTGCCTCGCTGTCTGCTCTGCTCCGGAGGCCAAGGCGCTGGCTTTGGCACACGCTGGGTTCCCAATGGATGGCCCTGAAGCCACTCACTATGCTGTGGCGGGCGCCATTGCTGTCCCTATGGTCCAGGGACGAGCTCAGAGCCGCGAGTGGGCAAGACAGGGGCTCTGCCACGGACCACACCCAGCCCGCAGGGTTATGGTCATGGTCATTGGGATTGAACCTGGGGACTCTGCACGGAGCCACATCCCCGGCCTTTATTCACTATTCTTCTTTCCTTCCTTTTGTTTTCTGGAGACAAGGTCTTGCTATGAGGATTAGGTTGGCCTTGAGCTCACTTGGTAGTCCAGGCTGGCCTCAAAACTCACAAAAATACTCCTGTCTCAGTCTTCGAGTGCTGTATTCATTTCACTACTTTTATTTATTTACTTACTTATTTTTTGGTACCGAGGATTGAACTATGACCTTGTGCTTGCCAGGCAGGTGCTTATGCCACTGAACTAAACACCCAGCCCCATTCTCACTATTTTTAAAAGACAGAGTTCTCCCTGAGTAGCTAAGTTATCCAGGCTGGGCTGGAACTTGGATCCTCCTGCCTCAGCCTCCCGGAGTGCTGGGGTGACAGGTGTGTGCTAAACCTGCCTGGCACTGTGGCTTTTAGTGGAGGCCCAGAGCACATGGAGAGCACCTCTTGGATGAACTTGTGTGGCAGTTGCAAGAGGGCAGAGATTTTGCACCTCTTGTTCATGATGGGCCGTCTGGCACTGGAAACCACATTGGGCACCCAGTAGGTGCTCAGTAAACATATGAAAGGAACCAGTGAATCCATCTGTCTTGTTGTTGCTGTTGTTTTTGGTGGGCACTGGGAATTGACCTCAGGATGTGGCACTTGCCAGGCTGGCACTGTGCCACTGAGTTATACCAGCGACCCTTCTGGTCCTCCTGTATGGATTCTCTCCTTTGCCCACCTGCCCTGTGTCCTGCCCACCCTGGGGTGACTCCTAAGACAGCCATTCTGGACTAGGGGTTGGGGGTGAAGCCCAGGCGCCCAGTGTTTGCCTGGCATGCACAAGGCGCTGGAATCCTTATAGATGTTGCCTCCTTGGCAAGGTTTAGCTCCCGCTGCGCCTATCTAGTGGCCTTGGGGGCGGTACCAGGGCATCTGCCCTGCCCCTGCCCGCATGCCCGCCCGTTGGGCCGCACCTTCACCCGCAGCATCTCCTCTGGGATGTTCATCATGGCATGGGTGAGCCAGCTCTCCAGGCTCTTAGCGAAGTTCCGGATTGCTTGGGTCAAGGCACCTGCGGGAGGGGGGAGGGGCAGGGTCGGTCAGTGGGGGCGGGGGGTGCCTGGGACGGCGGGGGTGGCCATGCACTCACTGGGGATGGGCCGCAGCACGTCGGGGATGAGCATCTCCACCAGGCCCTGGTATAGCACGTTGTCACAGTGCTTGGTCCACTGTAGCACAGGCTCGAACTTGGACAGGAGCACCAGGCTGGCCTTGGGCAGCCTCTTCTCAGCCTCGTCATGCCTGGAGCAGGGCCTCCAGGTCACGTGGGGGTCCGAGGCCCTGCGCCCAGGGCCAGAAGGGCACAGGCACCCCACGCACGCTGCCACCCCACAATCAGGTTGCTGCGCCTCTAGGCAGGGCATGGGTGCTTAGCGCCCACGGATCCCAACACACACAGGAGGCTGAGGCCCAGGGTCGGATGCCAGGGAGGGACCGGCACCCCAGGGACTCACACGGCCAGAGACGGAGCCTCACTGGGCTGGCTGAGGCTGGACCTCCAGAAGGTCTTCCACAGCGTCTCCACCAGTGTGAACTGCAGGTTCACCATGACGTCCACAATGGCCTGGTGGGCGGGGCATGCGCTCAGGCCCCGGGCAGCCTTGGGGCTCCCCAGGCAGGGCCACCCTGCCCCTGCCCCTGACCCCATCCACCTGTCCCGCCTACCTCACAGTGTTCCCGGTACAGGACCTGGAAAGCCTTGATGTCCCCGGGACTGACACCCTCGGGCAGCACTTTGCCCTGCAGGTCCAGCTCCACAAAGTCAGGGAGGCTCCGGGAGGCATCTGGGGGTGGGGGGCACCATGAGGCCCCAGGATTCCCCAGCATACAAGATGTCAGCCTTCGGGCGCTAGCCCAGTGCCGGCCAGGTGGGACACTGGTGCAGGTGTAGGGACACTGTGCCCTGCGGTGGGCCTAGCCCTGGAGTCACCCCCACACCCCGGTTCTCCTCCCAGTCCTCCTTAGTGTCCTAGACACCTCTGGCGGGACAGGCCTCACCCCCCCATCCCCGCCACCTCCCGCAGACACTGCCCGCCTCTCCATGTGCCCTCGCTCACCCAGGAACTGCTGGTACTGCTGCACCTGTGCACTGATGTCCGACAGCCCCGCTGGCTGCTGCTGCCCCACGGCCACGCCGTTGGTCATGCCCTCCATCTTCTGGATGGGCTTGAGCCTGCAGGGGTGGGGGGGCGGCTAGCTAGCACTGCACCGCTCGGGCCATGGGAGAGGGGCACGGCCCGAGGCACACCTCACCACTCGACACCCCTACCTCTGCTTCTGGGAGAAGGGCTGGCCACGCATGGCCATGTGCTGCTGGTCCTCCATGAGGCGCAGCAGGGGTGAGCTGGCCTTGATCCGCAGGCCATAGTAGTGGTACTTGGAGTTGCCCCTGGAGGAGGGGGAGGGAATGGGAGGGGAGAGGATGTGAGGTGAGGGGCAGGCTGGTTCCGGGGCCTCGCTCTGCACTCCTCCTCTGGGAGGGTGCAAAAGGAGAAGGCAGGGCCCCTGCGGTGTGTACCCGGCAGTTCCAGGGGCAGCAGGGCCTGGCTGGTGTCTCCATGGGAACACCCTTCCCCCCAGTACTCCTAATACCCCAGTGGGCAGATGAGGGGGCCTGGGCCACAAAGATCCAGGGCTTCCTCGGCCCAGGGAGGTGCATGCTTGGGTGGGTGGATGAGCGAGGTATGAGGCGGCCGAGGTAAAGGGCCAGGGAGTGTGGGCAGAGGCGCTCTGGGCCCAGCCCGGGCAGGAGTCCTGCAACCCTACCTGGTGCCCAGGCGGCGTGTGCGCAGCCCCATGAAGACTGAGCGGATGAGCTTCCCGAAGGAGGCGGCGTTCACGGGCTCCAGCTTCTGCTCCTGGCAGTGCAGCAGGTAGTGGCAGTAGAGGGTGCTGCGGGGCAGGCTCACGCCCTCGGCCGTCTCGTAGTTGTCCAGGAGCCACTGGACCTAGGGGCAGACAGCAGCATCACAGGCATGGAAGAGGGAGCTGGACAAGTCCCTGTTTTCTCTCTTCCCTGTGCCCAGGAAGGGCCCCAGGGGACTCCGTGCCCGCCTTGGTCCTGCACTCCTTGGTCTCCCAAGCCCCACCATCTGGCAGATGCAGCACAGCCGCCTATGCATGGGAGCGGCATGGGCCTCCTGGCCGGCCTGGGGCGGGGAAGGGTGACCTGGATGCAGGGAGGCCTGGGTAAGGCCTCCCCAGGTGTCTCACTGCCTTTCCTCTGCTTCCTTCGAATCTGTACCTCCACATAGAGTTAAAAACAAACCAACAGTCACTTGGTGGTCACGGCTGAATCCCAGGAGACTGAAAGCCCCCGGGGAGCCCCGAGGGTGCCATGGCCCCTGCTAGGAACACCTGCCACCCAGCTCTGGTGGCCTGTGTGTGAGTGGCTGAGGTCCCTGCCACAGCCGGACGGGGGCGCTCAGTGTGTGATGAGGTGGACCTCACTGCCTCAGGCCCCATCTGGACTCTGGTCCTGATCCACTCCCGGGTGCCCCACAGGGGCTGGAAGCCAGGGGGTTCCCCAGGCCCTTCTGGCTGGAAGGGCTTCACCACCCCTCCTCTCTACTGGCTTTACTGCCCAAGGAATGAGGGGTGTCTTGGGCTCTGGGCTGAAGCTTCACAGACACCAGTGAGCACCTGGACCTCGGGTCCTCATCCCACCAGCCTGGGAGCACTGGGTGCGAGTTTCCTGGGCTCCCAGCTGCTGGCCCCACCCCACCGCCCGCCTTGGGCCTGGCCAGGCACTTACGGTGGCTGGCGAGGCACGGGTGGTATGGGAGTAAGACTGGCTGGTGCTGCCCAGCATGTAACCGCCCTGGATCACATAGGTGCCAGTTCCACCGCTGCTGCCTCCACCGTTCCCGCCGCCACTGCCGCCGCTGCCTCCGTTGCCCGTGGCTCCCCCAGCGCCACCGCTGCCTCCACCCGCGCTGCTGGCCCCGCCTGTGCTGCTGGTGGAGCTGGCGACCACTGGGCTGCCAGACGCATACATGGGAACAGAGCCGCTGCTGGCCACCGGCTGGGAGGCGGTGGGTGTGCTGACCTGGGCGGCCGTGCCTGCGGCCTCATAGTAAGCGGTGCCCGCAGTCTGCGTGTACAGTGGGGTCTCGGAGTACGGGTAGGAGCTGGAGCGGCTGCAGGGGGTGGGGGGTGGACAATCAGATAGGGAAGGATCGAGGGGTATGGGGGTGCGACCCTCGGGGTCCTGCCGGGCAGAGATGGCCGGGGAGGAGATGGCCTCTGGGTCAGCTCCTGTCTGCCCAGAGCGGATCTGGCACTGCCCGGGTGCATGACGAGAAAGTTTTCTTTCTTTCCTTTCCTTTTTTTTTTTGAGATAGGGTCTCACTATACAGCCCAGACCTTGAATTCGCTATGTAGCCTAAGCTGGCATCAAACACAGTGGTCCTCCTGCCTCAGCCTCCCAACTGCTAGGATGACAGGTGTGTGGCACTGTGCCTGGCTTCATAAGTGACTTTTTGTGGAGTAATCAGTGGGGCCCTGTGGTACCGGAGTCACTTGTCCCCTTCTGTTTGCTGGCAGAAGCAAGAAGATGGGGAGAGAAGGGCTGGGTAGTTGCGGCTCGATGTGCTCCCCGCAGTCAGAAGCCAACCGAAGAAGCTGATTATGGGCTGGGCTCAGTCCTGAGCCCCGCAGAACAAATAAGACAGAACTCCTGCCACCTCATGCCTGCAGTCCAGCCACTCCAGAGGCCGACCAGGAGGACAGCCTGGGTGATGAGTGAAACCCTGCCTCAAAGTACAAACTGAAAAGGGCCAGAGTACCACTCAGGAGTGAAGTGCTGACCTAGCATGTGTGAGGCCCTGGGTTCCCCCTGGCGATGTGGGGACGGGGCAGGGGGTGGTGGGGTGCTGGTGATCACACATGCACCTACACCCAAGCCCACGGTGTGCCCAGGATTATCCAGAAAGAACCCCGGAGCAAGTCCCTGAGAGAGGAGGAAGCGGGGACAGCCTGGAAGGCTTTGGGGTTACCATGTCTGCTCAATGGACACAGTGTTTGGCAGGGGAGCACGGAGGTACCTGCTATACCTGCCCAGGTAGGAGTGAAGCCTGGGATGATGGACAGGGGCGGGGCCTGACACCTGGCCCACTTTTGGGTAGAGACTGGAATGATGGACAGGCCCCAGTGGTGGGGCCTGACAGTTGACCCAGGTAGAGGTGGAGCCTGGGATAGACAGGGCCCAGGTGACACAGGTGCAAGGGCTGGTAGGGCCTGGTTCCCCTCTGCATCTGAGAGCTGTCCTGGCGGAGCGATCCCCCTTTCAAAATGAGTTGGTGACAGTGTAGATGCCAGGACCACCCTCAGGGTCAGAGCGGGCCCAAAGACAGGGCCATTCCCCGAACTGTGCCAAGCACAGTGGTGGTGAGCACAGAAGAAAAAAGTTAGGTGCACGAGAAAAACCAAGGGAAAATTCTAGTAACTAAAAGTAGCAAAAAAATAAAAATAAATAAAACAGTAACTATGCTCCTGGAATCCCCTGGGGGGGGGGGGGGGACAAACAGGGACAAAAGCCCAGGGAGGAGCCATAGTGTCAGTGCACAGGACAGGGCAGGGACCACCTGAGGACCACGCAGGGGTCAGAGGGAGTGACAGGGCTCCGAGACGGGCGGGTTAGAAATCTGATGGTGGTTTGTAAAAATTTAAACACTGATCTCCCTGTCTACTTATGTCCCCCCAAACCCCGGGCCCATGCGACTGCTGAACCCGAAGCTAGGTGGGTGCTTGTCCCATCCCTACGTGTACCCCTGCCCAGTCACTGCTGGGAACGCTCACTGCCCCATGGGTCGCCTGAAGTTTTGAGGCCACAGAGGGGGGCACCACAGCGGGCCTGGACCTGCCCCCCACTCACATGGCACTGGCCGTGTAGCTGGCGTCGCCACCCTCCACATACTGCACCTGGCTGGAGTACACGTGCGGCACAGGCACCTGCTGCAGCTGCTGTACCTGGGAGAAGGGGGGTGGCAGGGTCAGCTGGGCCCCCCTCAGACTGGCGAGGTGCATTTCTGGCTTCTTTGACTACCGTGTCCCAGTCAGGCCAGGGGTCCTAAGCTTGAGCTGGGATCGACCGGTGTGGGAGTCGGGAAGAGGTATCGACTCAGGCTGCGAGTGTCAGCAGGGTGGACTCACTGGGCAGTCTGAGCTGGTGTGGTGGACAGGGCCCAGGGGCAGGGCCTACACTGGGTCCAAATAGGGGAGGGGCCTGGAATGATGGGCAGGACTCAGGGGCGGGACTTGACACCAGGTCCAAATAGGGGTGGGGCCTGGAATGATGGGTAGGGCCCAGGGGTGGTCCAAGCAGATGTGAGGCCTGGAATGATAGACAAGGCCCAGGGGCGGGGCCTGACACTGGTCCAAATAGGGGTGGAGCCTGGGGTGATGGACAGGGCCCAGGGGCAGGGCCTGACCCTTGGCCCAGGTAGGGATGGAGCCTGGAATGATGGACAGGGCCCAGGGGCGAGGCGGAGCCTGCGAGGATGGACAGTGTGGGGGCTGCTCACCCCAACTCCACCCCCACCCATCTGCAGGGGTGGAGCCTGAGGCTGGGACCCCGTGGGGGGCGCCCCCAACACTGCATCCTCCACCTACTTTGAGGGCCGTGGCAGCTGTGGCGAGCACTAGCACCTGGGGGACTCTCTGGATCCTGACCCTTTGGCCGGGACCGGCCGGGGCCGGAAGCCCAGGCAGCGGCTCGAGTACCACCCTCTGCTGCGGTGGCTGGAGCAGGTTCGGAGGCAGCGTGCCCACCAGCTCCGCCGGGGCCCCGGCGCAGGGCTCGCCGTAGGGCGCTGGCTGATCTGCCTTCCTAGTGGGGCACTGCCTGCCTGAGCTCTGGAGGACAAACAGAGACACTGGGGGGTCAGCGGGCAGCTGAGGTCCACCCCAATGGATCTCCTGCCTGGTGTCAGGCAGGAGGGGGAGGAGGGCACAGGAAGACTTGACCCCCAGGCCAGAAAGTGGAGGGATTGGAACCCAGGTCTCAGAAACACCCAGACCCTAAGTGGCCAGGTGCTTCGTGGGGTGGAGCCTCCAGCCAGAGGCCTGACTCCCCCTGCCTCAGCCTCTGACGATCCCCAGGGAGGGGCTGCATCACCTCCTGCGCCCCCCTGGCCCTCACCCGCTGGTGAGGTGGTGGAATCAGGGGAGACACTCACCTCTTGGGCCACATGAACCGGCTGGAGCCCCTGCACGGTCAGCTGCTGCACGGGGCCAGCTTTGGGTGCTTGTGGGGTGGCCTGGACCACGGACCTCTGGAAAGGGACCAAAGGCAGGGTGGTGCTGCAGTAACCATGGCAACAGTGCTGCACGCATCCTCAGCCCAGGGAGAATGGCCGGGCGCCTTCCGAGTTCCTGCACCCACTTCTGGGAGCGCAAGTGCCAGCACCAGGGGGAGCCCAGGCCTGGGTTGGGGTCTCTGTCCTCTAAGGCTCCCCGAAGGCTCTGGCAGGGTGCAGGGTGGTGGAGAGCTGGCAGGGAAGCCACTAGCCATCGGTCCTCAATGCTGTCTTCTGACAGGAGGCCAGGCTGCCTGAAGGGGCCAGGACTCGGCCTGAACCTCAGCTGTGGGTTTCTGAGGGGCTCTGGCCCTAGGCAGACAACCTCGGTGGATCCTCTGGGTGGGATTTGCTAAGCGTCTGTGGATATGTGACCCAGACTGGCTCCAATCATCTTCCTGTCTCAGCCTCCCCAGTAACTGGGACCACAGGTACAGGCACGCAGCTGCTCCATCTGCTTCTCTGAGGGCCAGGAGTCCCTCCCTTGGGGGCCGAGGGGCACTGACTCCCACAGCTCTCAAGATGCGCTGTGTGCTGGGTTGTTCCTTCCCAGCAGCAGCCTCTGTGGGTTCTGGGGGCAGCTCTAGGCCACGTCTACATCCCGCCCTGCCCTGGGGCCTGCACTTCCTCCCAGCAGCAGCCCTGCCCCAGCACCTCAAGTGGAGAGGCTGCCAAACCCTCTGCTCCCCTCGAACCACCAGAGACCCCGGCCAACCCTCCCGCCCCACCCTGGCCAGGCACCTCTTGGGACGCAGGCAGGCTCTGCTGCACACCGTGGACCTGCAGCGGCTGCGGCACTGGGCCTGCCGCCGGCCCGGCCGTCTTGCTGGCTGAGCTGTTGGCCTGCACCGGCGACCGCTTCAAGAAAAAAGATGTGGACTGGGTCAAGCTGGCAGGGAGCTGGCCCCAGCTGCCCCCAGGCCTGGAGGTGGCTTGGGGGCCCCTGCCACCCCGGCTTCACAGGGGAGCAGCTGGGATGAGGGCTCAGGCTGGAGGTCCATGTTCAGAGGTGGTGGTGCTGGCAGCAGCGGTGTCCCAAGAGAGTGATGCCCCGCTGCCTCCTGCCAGCTGCAGCCTGGGCTGCGTGAGCCCTCAGTGGGGTTCATGTCAAGCAGGGATGACAGACCCTACCCCATGCTCCTAGCCACCCATGGCCCACCCACCTCTAGCACCTTGCTGCCTGTGAGTCCCCAGAGGCCATTGCGGAACCCAGGGCTCCTTGGAAAGACCCTGTCCAGCTGTACCCAGGATGCAGCTCCCTGAGCTGGAGCTGTGGGTGCCCCCTGGGCCTGGGGAGGCGCCACCCCTGGTCTGGTGCTGCAGTTCTCCACTGCCCAGCAGTGGGCAATGCTGCAGGGCAGGGGTGGGCTTGGGAGTGGGCCTGGAGGCGGCTCCGGTGTGCTGTGGGGGGTGGACAGGCCCTGCAGAGGTGGGGATGGGGGCACCTACCTCTGGGGGTGAGTGCACCTGCTGGGTCCCATGCACCGTCAGGGAGACCTGGCTGGCCTTGCCGCCGGGTGCCGTGCTCTGCACCACCAGGCGCTGTGTGGGGAGGGCCTGGCACAGGCCGGAGGGGCACTGTCACTCTGGGAGTGCAGGCCCATGGGCCCCGGGTAGCACAGTCGCTAGCCCACCCCCCAACTGGAGGACTCCAGGTCCAAGCCCAGCTGGGCAAACTCAGTGCCCAGCAGACAGACTCCCAGGACTAGAGCTGCAGCCCAGTGCCCACAAAGCCTGCATAAAACCCCCAGTGCTGCCAAAAGCTGGCCATCCCAGCTGGAGGGGGGGAACCTGATGGGAGGGGTGGTTGGGTCCTCAGCCTGAGAGGGGTGTGGCCAGGAGGGCGTGGCCTTACCTGTGGTGACACCTGGATGTTGGTGAGCTGCAGCGGGGACACGTGGCCTGGCTTGGCCTGCACGCTCTGCACCAGGAGCCGCTTAAGGGGAGAAGGCATAGTCCCTGCCTGAGCTGGGCGGTCTCCCCACACACCCTGCAGAGGCCCCCACACGCCCGCCCAAGGCCTTGGCTCACCTGCTGAGTGCCGGGCACTTGCTGCACAACCTGGGTGGGGACGCCGGTCTGGCTGGCCGTGGTGCCCGGGCTGGCCTCCGACGCGGCCTCGCTAGCCCGCAAGGCACCTTCTGTGGGGGAGGGGTCACCTGGTCAGCTCTGCCTTTGCCCTCCAGCCCTGTGTACACTGGGACTGAGGGCAACCCCAGGCAGGTCCAGGCCTCTGAAAGATGCCATAGGTGGGGCCCCTGGGAAATGTGGGCAGGGTCCCCGACACCGGGAGGCAGCCCCAGGCTTCCCTGTCCTGAAGCAATGTGATCCCTTTAGCCGACAGGCCCTATCCATGCCAGGCGGGACAGCCCACACCTTATCCCAGCCTGGGAACCTGGTGACTTGCTGGGCTTGCTTCCTGGGGATGGGCACAACCCTGGCATCCCCAGTCAGCGCAGTGGTCCCAGGAGGCTTGGCAGCCTGCAGCAAGCTGCCTGCTCCGAGCTGCCAGTCCTTGGTGGGCCAGGGTGGCGTGGGGACCCATAGCTGGGCGGCGGGTACTCACGCTGGCAGGCAGCTAGGAAGAGCGAGTCATAGAACATGCTGCCCCTGCCCGTTCCCCTGCCTGCGGTCTGTGTGTCCGGGGTGCCTTCTGGCCTCCTGGCTCCCACCCACCTGGCTCAGGCAGCTTTATACCCGGAACCTTGGGGAGCTAATCCCCCAGCGCGCCCTCCAGGATAAGCACCCCCGCGGCGGCAGCGTGGGGCAGGAGGAGGCTGGTACCCAGAGATGCTATCGGCAGGCTCGGGTCGGGTTTCAGGCCCATCTTGCCAGTGATTAGCAGGGGCGGGGAAGGCCAGCATCCCCAGAGGCTAGGCCAGGAGACCCTGACCTCGGCACGAAGCCCTCTGTGCCTCGTCCTGTGTGTGGGGCCTGGCCTGTGCCTCCGCAGCTCAGAGGCTGAGGGTGGATGGGGGACATGTGCTAGGCTGGCGGGAGGAGCTGAGGGCCCATTGGCCTCGGGGGCTCGGAGGGGTTTCTTGTCCATAGCAAAACCACAGATCAAAGGTGGTGCCTGAGGTGCTGGCACTGTGCTGGGCTCTCTGGATAGCCCAAAGCAGTGTTTTTCCTGCCAGTGTTGAGAAGGGGCGAGAGACCAGGGGAGGGACTTGCTCAAGGTCACCCAGCTGGGAGCCAAGGATAGAGGGGTGCAAACTTGCACAGGGGAAATCCCCAGTTCAGGACATCCCTGGGTGTCTCAGCCTCCACAGTGGGCAGCTGGGCCCTAGCCACAAAGGGGACACGGGAGTGTGGCCTGCTCTGGCCATGGAACAGCTCTGGGTGGGTCAGCAGCTTGGGCCCAGGGCAGGGTTAGGGCAGAGATGGGGGAGCACATTCATGGGCTGAGGACGGGAGGGGGTGCTGGAGAAGCGGCCACAGGTAGGCCCAGCCCTGGGACAGTTCCAGGCCTGCTCGGCCAGCTGCTGCACTCTAATTCCAGGCCCCAGTCCTCCCTGGCTCCATCAGCCCTTGGGGAGAAACCCGAGACGGCCTGCAGTCGTGTGAGGCCCAGCACACCTGGGTGTCACGGGGCACAGGACACTGGGCCTGCTCAGCCTTTCCACCTGGGGCCCATCCCGGAGCCCAGGACCCTGTGCCACCAGGCACCTGTCCCCGTCTCCTGTTTCCAGCATGAGAAGGAGCAGGTGAGTCTGCTCCAGGGACCCAGGCTTTCCTGGTATTTGCTGTCCCCTCAGGGTCCCCCTCACTGTGCTTCAGGGACGGGGACATCTGTAGGAAGTAGACACCTCTCTGGTCCTTCACTGAGCAGCCACTTCCTACTTCCTGTCCGGATTTATCAGTGCTTCCTCTGGGGGGAGCTGCAGGTGTGGACCAGGTCTGGTCTTCTTGTCCACTGGGACCTCGGTTTACCCACCTGTACATGGGGTGCTCACACACCCTGTCTGCCTGCTCCAAAAAGCCCTGCTCTGGCTGCCAAGGGGAGAGGATAGCACGGTAGCTCCAGCAACCCCACTGCCTGGGTCTCAAGTCTGGTGGCCCCGGAGGATGAGGGTGGGGATCAGTATGGCTCTGGACCAGGGAAACTGGGGCTTCCTTCCAGTCCCCTCCAGTGCCACTTAGGGCAGAGCATCCCAGGCCCAGGCTGGACGAGCAGCCGGGTCGGCCACCTGCCTGCTCCAGGTCAGGGTGTGACCCTCACCAGGGACGCCCAAGGCTGGCATCCCCATCAAAACCACCGTGCGGGATCAGCTCCCCTCTCAGGGGACCACTGCATACAGCCAGGGCTGCCCGAAATAAAGGGGTGTGAACCCCAGAAGCAGAGCCTGGGGCCCCCTCGGGGACAGCCCCAAGTGAGCAGGGGAACGAATTCCCGAGGGCCACTGCCTGGCCAGGAACCTGGCCTGGGAGTCACGGGGGTGCTGACTGGCTATAGCCTGGCCCGTTGGGGACTGGCCCCATGGATGGCACAGCCGTGAGCCTGCAGAGATGGAGGCTGCCTTCCAGCTGCCGGCCCAGGTCCTCAGACTCTGGAACCCAAGGGCTGGGTGTCCCTGGGGGTGCAGGGCAGAGAAGCAGAAGCCAGGCAGAGAGGATGGGCTGGAGGTATTTGGGGGCTGGGGAAAAGGTGTGCACCCCACCCCATTCCTCTGGGGACCTCAAACTCTAAGTCATGAGAAACCCAGCACTGCCAGTCTTTACTTTTGTGAGACCAGGTCTCACTCCATAACCCAGGCTGCCCGTAAGGGCCACCCTCCTGCCTCAGCCTCCTGAAGGGCAAGCAAGCGGCCCTATACTGCACTTGGGGCCACCTTTCAAAGCCCTGGTTTTATGCAGGCTCTCCCTTCACTCTGGGGCTGAGCTTTCTGGGGAGAGGCGGCTGACCTGCAAGGACAGCAGCGTCCAAGGACAGGAGGAAGACCGGGGTGAGGATGTCCCCAGGCCTGGAAGGCCAGGGAATTCCAAAGCGGGGCAGAGGGAGGCAGGGTGCATCCTAGCTTCCTGGGCGGTGCTGCTGAAGGAGTTGGGAGCAGCTGGATACTGGCCGGGTCCAGAGCAGAAAGTCGAGTGGCCCTCGGCCATGATGCTGCCCCCACTACTGCGGAGGGGCAGAGGGTGGAGGTGGGGAGCAGAGAGGAGGCGGGGTGGCTGTGGCAGGGACAGCTGCTGGGGGAAGACAGTGGGGCTGGGCGTGGCTGAGGCCCTGGGCCGTGAGTGATGGGAAAGGGGGCCGCGGCAACTGAGGGCAGCTCAGGACGGGCCCGGGGCTGGCGTCGGGTGTAAGCGGGGAGCAAGGCAGCAGGTGAGCATTTACACAGGGGTGGTTCCCTGTGGCTTTTCTCTCTTCTCAAGGTGGCACCTGGCATCCAATGCCAGCTACGACCCCAGCACATTTGTCTGTTGGATGCTGTGACAGGGTCTTGCTCACTGCCAGGCTGGCGGTCTCGCTGTCTCAGCCTCCCAGGGTCGTTCTAGTCCCTAGTGTGGGAGGGAAGGGTCTGCAGGGAGGGGTGAAAGGGAGCAGCAGGGGCCAGGAGGATGAATCCCAGGCTGTGGGGGCACCAGCAGGTCAGCAGGGTCCTCTGCGGGGATCCTGTCCCGGCAGGAGACACCCAGGCAAGGGGCACCGTGGGAGAACTCTGCTTGTGACCCTGTCCCCAGTCCCCGCCTGGCCAAGAAGGCCAGGGGGGCTCTGCACTTGGCCTCACAGCAGTCCATCACCACAGCTGCTGCCCAGGCCCCTGGGCGTCCACTCGGACACTGGTGGAAACCCAGAGGTGACAACCAGGGCCCAAGCTGGGCAGTGCTGATGTTCTGGGGTCTCTGCCCTGCCTGAGACCTGCCCCGCTGCAGCCCAAGGGGTGCCCCTAGCACTGGCCGCCTGTCCTTCCGGGGCTGGGGACAGCATGACCACCCCTTGGCCGTTTCCTGGGAGATGGGGGCGGCTTTCACCCAGTCAGCTGTCAGGATGGGCTGCTCCCTGGGAAGAGGGGGACACCTCAAAGCCCCAGCCGCCCTGGCCAGTGAGGCCTGGTCCAGCCCTCAAGGTGCGCACATCCCCCTCAGGTAGGGAAATCAAGGCGGAGGGCTGGGGATGTCTGCGAAGTGGCCTGTCTGCCCCGCTGTCCACAGACTTAATGCAGACACCCTGCAGTCCCTCCTGGTCACAGAGATAAGAACCGGTCTCACACAGCTCAGGGTGCCTGACCGTGCTTTCTCCAGAGAGGCCCCCCAAATGACCACCAAGGGCCTTGTGGGGTTGGGGACGCCCAGAGACCCCTTTCCCAGCCATCCCCACGCACCCCGCGCGCACGTGGCCACTTACCGGACACGGTGACCACGATGTACTGCTGGGACGCAGGGGCTGGGGTGGGGGCGCCAGCCGGCTGTGGGGGTGCGGGCGCAGGCGGGAGCTCGGTCACGTAGGGCTTCGGGGCACCCGGGGGCTGCACCTGGGGCTGGGGGCTCTGTAGCTCGGTGACATACTGGGGCTGGGGGGTGGCAGTGGTGGCTGCAGGCGGCTGGGGGGGCTGGGGTGCCGCCGGGGGTGGCGGCTGGGGCTGGGCCTGGGGCGGGGCAGGTGGAGGCTGCGATGCTGGCGGGGCTGTCTGTAGCTCAGTAACGTAGGCCTGGGTTGCCATGCCAACCGCGGGGCAAATGATAATAAATAAGGCTTTTTCCTTCTCTTCCTTGGGAAGAAAAAAGAGGGAAGGGGGAGAAGACGGGAAGAAAACAAAAACAAAAGAAGGAAAAACAAGAATTAATCTATGGTGGGGGCAGGCTCCCAGCCCCCCCGGAGACGCGCGGGGTTTGTTACCAACTCAATCAAACCCCAAGTTGGGTGGCTGGACAGAGGTGATGGCCACCGCGAGGGACAGGGGCACACACAGGGGCCGGACCCTCATCTCCTGCTGCCCGCCCTTGGAGTCACGCATCTCGAACTGGGGACCCCGGGCCGACCAGGTGGTGGCTCTGCATCCTCAGCCAGGACCCATGGCGCAGGTCCCAGGCTCCGGCTCAGAGGCCAGGGCCCTGCCCGCCTTTGCCCTTTCCTGGCCGGAGCCCCCTGGTGGCCCTGAAGTTGCACGGCAAACTGGGCAGCGGGGGGCTGGAGGAGGAGGAGGAAGAGCCACGGCTCTGAGAGTTTCGGTGCCTGCCCGGGTCATGCAGCAGGGTGGTGACAGCAGGGGCTCCCTGCCTGGGCCACGCAGTGCTCGCCGGCCGGGCGCTGCCTTCTCTTCTGGTCCCCACCTTGGCACAGAGGCGGGAATGCTCTGGGGGCCTCCTAGGCACCACAAGCACTGTCCCGGCTGTATGGAGACAAGACCCTGCAGCCCTGTGACCGTGGGGGTACTGCGCCCGTTCGCCCTGCCTGCATTTGACCACCATCCTGGACCGCTTACTTGTGCCCCTAGGCTGGCGGCTGACCCCTGGCACCTGCGTGTGCTACGTGTGCACGCAGGGGAAGAGGGCGCGCCAGGAGTCCGGGGCCCTAAGCCCAGGCTAGTTGCCTTCTGGCAGGGCGGGGGTGGGGGACGATTGGCCTGGGCTGAAACAGGGCCTGTGCCCCCGATGCCGTTCTTGGTCCCCAGCCTGATGTGGGGTGCAGGCATGGTATGTGTCCGCCCCTCCCCTCCCTGTCCTGGCTGCAGGGAGACCCCGTGTCACCCCCAAGCTCACATTCCTGCGGGGAGATCCCGTGCCACCCCCAAGCTCACACCCCTGTGGGGAGACCCCATGCCACCCCTAAGCTCACACCCCTGCGGGGAGACCCTGTACCACCCCCAAGCTCACACCCCTCCGAGGGTCAGGGGATGGAGGGCATAGGCCAGTCCTTTTTTTTTTTTTTTTTTGAGACAAGGTCTCCCTTAAGTTGCTAAATTTCCCAGGAGGCTTCAATTTACCAGCCTCCTGCCTCAGCCTCCCGGATCGGTAGCCACCCAGGAGCTCCAGGCCCACGCTGAGCTTCTGTGGTTCGTCCCTCCTCCAGTCCCTTCCTCCCAGGGGACCTGGGCTCTGCATCAGCGAGAGGGTGGGAACCTGACCCTGGGCAAGGCCAAAATATGACTCCAACATGGCCTCCTGGCCACGCACCTTTTAGGGGGCTCACTGGGTCAGCTGTGGGGTGGGGCTGTGGGTGGCTGAGGGGTTCCATGTGACCCAAAGGGTCAATGTTGGCTACATGCCAGTCCTTTTTTTTTTCTTTTTTTGAGACAAGGTCTCCCTTAAGTTGCTAAATTTCCCAGGAGGCTTGAATTTACCAGTCTCCTGCCTCAGCCTCCCAGAGTGCTGGGATGACACGTGTGCACCACCCCACCTGACTAAGGAAAGGCCTTTAAAAGCTCCACCTCAGGGCCGGTGTGGTCTCCTCCTAAAACACACCAAGCCCGGAGGCCTCAAGCCTCCTGCTCTGGGTGCCGGCAGGAAGTGGTTACAGGGGCTAAGAGCTGGGGTGCTGTCTGCATATGCATCTGTCTGCACAGCCTGGGGAAGCCGGGCATCTGAGCACAGAGCACACAGAGCCAGAGAGCTGCCGGATGAGCTTGTGCCCTGGCAATGAATCTGCCAACAAAAGCGCTGCTGGCTGCACCTAACTCCATAGCCAGCGGCCACAGGTGGGGTTGGCAGACTAGGTGCAGCACTGGCCGGGGAGTGCAGGGGCAGTAGACAGACCACATCCACAGACAACATGCAAGCAAACTTCCTTTCCAGACCCTGAGATTTGAGTCCGTATACTTTTCACATGTTGTAAGAGATGATTCACACCACTGAATGTTCTTTGGTCTTTTCCATATTTTTTGAGACAAAGTCTCACTGTATAGTCCACTGTATAGTTCAAGGCTGACCTTGAACTTCCTATGTAGCCCAAGCTGTCCTCGAACTCACGGAGATTGTCCTGCTTCAGCCTCCCAAGTGCTGGGATGTTGGGCCTACGCTACCATGCATGCCCCACTTTCCAATCATTTATAGATATAAAAATCATCCTTAGGTCAGAGCTATGAAGAAAACAGGCGAGGGACTGTACTTAGCTGACCTGCTATGACAGCAGGTTCTACAACCAAAAGGCTCACATTGTGGTCAGGGCCTCTGAGGGAAATGGGGGAAAAATGTGACTTTCCTCATCTGGAGAATGGGTTCACTAAACCTCCAGGTTTCCAATTCATAAGATTTACCACACTTCTCTGAAATGTAACTCTGTGGCTGGGCACTTCTCTCCACATCTGTGCACAGTGCTGAAGCCCCTGCCCCTGCAGCCCGAAGACCCTTGGAGAACAGCTCCTGCTTTGGTGTCATGACCTGCCTGAGAGCCCCCAGAGCTCTCATCATGGAGAGTAAAGAAAACCTGGCCTCCTCCTCAGACCTGCAGGTCCAGGGAAGCCCCACCCCTCCTGCCCCAGGGCCTTTGCACTGCCCCTGCTTCTCACCTGCCAGCCCCACCCTGCTCTGCTGGTGTCAGCCCTGCCCCTCTGCCAGGCACATAGTCCTGACTTCCTTCTCAGCAATGTTTGTTTAATCTCTTTCTCATACTACTCTTCCCTCCCTGGTGGGAGGAGTAAGCTTTGCAAGGCCAGAGGAGACCTGAGACCTGGCCCCTGCTGCCAGCCACGCACCAGGGACACCACTTTCTTTCGTTTTTTTTTTCCCCAGTGCTGGGAATGAAGCCGTGGCCTTGCATGCACGGCGGGGGAAGCTCTTACCACCATGTGCACTCTTCGGCCCTGGGCACTTGCAGCCCAGTGTGCCTGGGTGCTCAGATGGGGAACAGGGCACCAGTGGGTGTCCTGGGGCCAGGGGGTGAAACTTCACCAGGCCAGAAAGACAGTAATGCGTGCAGCTGCTCTCTTTCCATTTTGTGTTTTGAGACAGGGTCTCACTGCGCAGTTCAGGGTCTCACTATGCAGCCCACGCCGACCTCCAGTTCCCAGTGACCCACTTGCCTCAGCTTCCTGAGTGCTGGCATGATGGGCAGCTGCTCCGCTAAGGCTGTGGTCTGGAAGAGTCTGGCTGGGCACGTGACAGGGAAAGGGGAGGCCGAACCTGAAGAGACCTCCTTCTCAGGTCAACATTTCCCACAGTGGGCAAGGGGGAGTCTGAGTGCATCCTGAGACCCAAGGAGGAGTCTTCCTTCTGGTTCCCTTCCCAAAGCCAGAGGAGGGCAGCCCGCAACGAGGGGAGCTGATGCTGGTCCCACAGGCTGGAGTCGTCCCAGCCGAGGTGCTGCAGGAGACTGAGGCAGGAGGATTGCTGCGAGCTCAAGGCCAGCCTGAGCTACATAGGGAGACCTCAACTCCAAAAACAAACAAAGAACAAAAGTGGGGATAAACTAGAGTCCCAGCATCCAGCTTCCTGGGTCCTCACAGGCCCTGAAGCCCTGAATCCCTGAAGCCGTGAAGCCCTGCAATCTTTCCAGCCACAGGCTCTCCTTCAGTTCAAAGTGACAAAAATAAAGACAAACGGCTGACTCAGGGCTGGGCAGGAAACGCCCGGCATTACAGTGACAGAAGAGGCCTACGTAGTTTGAGCAATCACTATGTGCCCCATGACATTAAAAAGTTTGCTGCCCCTGGTGCTGATGAGACCAAACAGGTCCAGAGAGGTTCTGGGCCTCACCAGAGCGCACACAGGTAGACAGCCACTGAGTACTCAGGAACAGTACACCAAGCCTGGGGCCCTGGCAAGGCTTGGGGCCTCCACCAACAAAAATTATTGGTGGGGAGAGTCAACAAGACCAGATCATGAGCCACCCCTTTCCTAGCACAGCCGCCTAGTAAGAGCTGATGGTCTTTCTTAGCAACCCTTTTAGCTTTTTGAGACAGGGTCTCGCTGAGAAGTCCAGGCTGGTCTTAAACTCACTAGACAGCCCACCCTGACCTCCAACCCATGGTGATCCTCCTGCCTCAGCCTCCCAATGGCTGGAATTACTATATGCACCATCACCCTCCGTGGAACTTTACAGATTTCTTCTGAACTGAATCTTCACCTGTCTGAACTTTGAAGGAATCTTGGCTTCTCTCTTCTCTCAGGCCCGATCCATACATTGTGAGATCCCGGCTGCCCACCAGCCTGATCTCAGATTCTTGGGTGGGGAAGCACAAACCGATCCTTTTCCTTAGGGTTTATTCACTGATTGTAAAGAGATGGGCTGCAGTTTGTACACCAATGTCCAGCTCAAAACCAGACAGCAGGGACAAAGCCGACTTGCCCCAGCTGGTGGCTTAAAACCAGCAAACAATTTCCCCAAGCTGCCAGTTCACGTCGTGTGGCAGAGAAATCAGTTGCAAAAATCCTCTACTGACAAATGTGGACAGCTTCCCTTTCGCCCAGGGGTGGCACTGGGTCCAGCCACGTGGCTCTGGAGCCTGGTACCTCCTCGGCACATGTGACCCTGTTGATAGGAACCTGACACGAAAACATGTGTCTGGCCAACAGCTGTGGTTTGAGGAATCTGTGAAACTTCCCCATGGCCACCTGCTTCTCACTGGCAGGAGGGGAGACGGTCCCAGAGTGGGGAGAACCAGCCCTTCGGACCAGGGCCCACGCACTGAGCGAAGAGCAATCCAGTTTCGGTTCCTCTAAGGCTGGCTCCTGCGATCGCCCCGCCTGGCCCTGGGCTTTGATTTCTGCAAACTAATTCCTCCGGACCAAAGAAAATTGAGTCGGCTGTTGGCCCAGTTCCTGTGAAAATTGCTTGGCCCTTCTGTTCTCTCCCAGAGACAAGACCACAGGGTGCAGCGAAGAAGGGCCGAGCTAAGACTTCGATCTCTCAAATCAAACCACTTTCAGGGCAGGAGATAAGGAAGGGGAACAGGACCCAATTAGGAGTCCTAGAAATGCAAGAAAGAGGAGATGGCATCGATTTCCCCCATTTGACAGAGTGGAAAACTGAGGCCTCCAACGTGGTCCGTAGTGGTCCACGCGCAGAATCCCGGGGACAACTACGGAGTTCCGAAAGGACGCGCGACACCGGAAACAACCTACGTTAGAGGGACAGCCCCGGGGGCCGCCGCCCCACCCGGCTCCGGAGGGCAGCGGCGGGAGGGGCAGAGGCCCCGCCCACCCGGTTGGTCCCGCCCAATACCTCTCTCGCTCCCATTGGCCCAGCCTCCCCGGGCCCGCCCCCTCCCACCTCCCGACATATAAAAGCCCCCCGCCCCGGCCCGCGGACCTCCACTCGCCGCCAGCCTGCGAGCGCCCGCCCCTTGCGGGGGACGGGCCGCGGGGTTGGGGGGCGGGTGGTGTCGCCCCGCCGTGCCCCGGCCCCCTCCCCCATGGTCCCGACTGTCGCCGCCGCCATTTTGACCGCCCGCCCCTTCCCCCGGGACTGAGATCACGGCAACACCCGCCGCCCGGACTCCGCCACCGGCCCTGGCCGTATCAGCCGCCCGGGCCATCCCGGTTACCTGGGTTTCTCTCCGCTTCTGTCCGCGGAACAGCTTTTCGGAGGCCTCGGTGGCGATGTGGGGAGGGGGACGGATCGCGCCCGGGCCCCCGGGCCAAGCCGGGGGGGGTGGGGGTGGGGGTCGGTCGAGCGGTTGTTGTTGTTGACTCGCGTTGCCGGGTTGCTTGGTCGCCACGACTACCGTGGCTATGGCGCCTCCGTTTCCCTCACCGGGGCAACTGTTGCTACCCACCCTACTTACGTCACGCGTAGGGGGCGGGGCCCTGGTGATTGGCGGTGCCGGGAGAGCTGATTGGACGGCACCGAGCCCTTCTGGTATACCATTGGCCCCTATACACGCTTTTCAACGGCCTCTTGATTTCCCGACGCTCTAATTCAGCGGTAGGAATGTCCATCAAAAGAAACTGGACTCTTAAAGGCAGCGGAGCCCGTCAGTCCCGCAAGGAAGCAGCGGGCTAATAATAAAGGGGTGGGATCTCTGTGTGGGGATTGGTTTGCGCCTGTAAAACCAGCCTGTCAGTTCGACAAAAAAGGCGTCACTGTACCCCAAAGATTAGTTGGTTGCGCTCTCTGGGTAGAGGCGTTGCGCATGCGCTGCACGCAAGGCCTATTGGGAATTGTAGTCCGCTCCAATGTACTTTAAATGACTTACCAAATAAAAAAGCTAAAGGAGAGGTCACTTTCCCTCCCTCCGTGGACCTCTTGCAGTGACATCAGGGGAGGAATGTGGAAGACGCGGACTCCTGTGACGTCATTGGCGGGCAGGGCTAGTGTTCGGTGACGTCATGGGCACGCTCCCACCTCCCAGGGGCCTGGGGGGGGCGCGTTGAGTTCGAGCTCCAGCTTCCCCCGCCGTCGGGCCGGAAAGGTCAGCTGTCACCGCGCACCGTGGCCGCGCTGTCCGAAAGGTCTCTGAAGCCGGGTCAGGATCATTGCTGCCTCCGCGGCGATAAGCAAAGGTCAGCGCCCGGGCCGCTCGGTGCCTCAGTTTCCCCGGCAGACCCACCACTCTCAGCAGCGGTGCAACGCTCACATTCAGATGAGCTGCTTCTGCGCAACAGCTCCAGCCCTCAAGATAAATATTCTAAAGCAATGCCTTCAAAATGTCAGCATTAATGAGAAAAATAAATCGCGAACGAAATATCAAAGTGTTGAATACAGAGAGCTTCGGCGGTGCTGGGACCGGCGCGGGTCAGAGCCCTTCCTCGTTGTTTTGCTTTTTTTAAGAAGTTAATTTGTGGTGTGTGTGCAGGATTTTACTAAATGAATAGATTGGAGCTGCTCGAACAACAGGGAGAGAAGATGAGTAACCACAAGCTGATGAATGTTAATTGGCTCCTCCGCAGTAAATCTTTTACTACATGTGTATATTTTATAACTTGGCATCGTACACCTTTACAAATACATCTCTATTTTTACTCAGGGACTCACTATGCAATTCAGGCTGGCCTTGAGCTCACTCTGTAGCCCAGGCCAGTGTCGAACTCACAGCGATCCTCCTGCCTCAGCCTCCTGACTTCGAGGATTACAGGTGCCTTCCACCACACCCGGCTGAAGTTTATTTTTAAAAATAATATAATTTTAGGCCAGATGTGGTCCTGCAAACCTGGTAGTCTCAGCTACTTGGAAGGCTGAGGAAAAAAGATCAGAGGTTTGAGACCAGCTTGGACAACCTGGGGAGACTGTGGCTCAAAATAAAACGTTAAAGAAGCCAGGTGTCCGGGCACACACCTATCATGCCAGCACTCAGAAGGCTGAGGCAGGGGGATCCCGAGGCCAGCCTGGGCTACATAGTGATTCAAGGCTAGCCTGAACTAGCATGAGACACTGTCTCAAAAAATAACAGAGGGCACTTGGGAAGCATCGCCAGGTGATGAAATCAATCCCTCACCAAAAATAAAATGATAAATATATATTTTATATCTTTTTGTCATTGCTAGAGATTAAACAAGGGACACACATTTGTTCTACCACTGAACTACACCATGTGTTGATTGTTATGTGTTTTTAGTATCATTTAAAAATTTCAGATTCCTATAATCCCAACACTCAGGAGGCTGAGGCCAGAGGATCATAGTAAATTCAAAGCCAGCCTGGGCTACCCAGCAAGAAACCACATCGCAAAACAAAACAAAACAAAATAAAAGACCTCTCAGTTTAAGCTCTAATTCCAGCTCTGCTATGTGACCTCAAGAAAGTGGCCTCAGCAATGTGAGCTTGTATCTTCTACATCAGCCAACATTACCCTTCCTTGGTGCAAGATCCGGGATTGGACAGTGAGAAAAATAGACAAGTCATTTCCCTTTGCAACTCAGTAAGAGAAATACAGTCAGCAAACGGTGACACTAATCAGTAATAGAAATCCTGTTAGGCACAGTGGTACAGGCCTCTAATATCAGCTCCTCAGGAGGCTGAGACAGGAGGATCTCCAGCCTAGGTGATTTAGTGTGACTCTGTCTCAAAATCAAAAAGGGTGTAGCTCAGGGATGGGGTGCACCTGGATTCAATCCCCTGTGTTGCAAGAAGAAATCAATTGGTCCATGCAGGCTGGAGATGGGGAATGTTTTACCAGAGTGGAGGGAAGGGCAGGGCCCATGCAGAGGCTGAAGGTGTGAGCTGAGGGGTCCAGGAACCAGAAGATGCTACAGCAGGCCAGCAGCCCCCCCACGGAAGACCTCTCACTTGCCAAATGGGTAAGTGGAGACTGGCAGAAGGGGAGGCCCCTCCAGCAGACCAGCCCTCCTCCGGGGACTTTCCAGTGCCCCAGGTGCCACTCTCTGGTTGGAGCCCCATCTCCCTGGAAATGCCGGCCCTGGCCAGCCCCCCAAAGATGAGGGATCATCTCCAGTTCCAGACCAGCCTGGGCTACCTCGTGAGACCTTGTCTCCAAAACAAACAAGTGAAAACTGGACCCCTCATGACTAATAGCTCCACGGGGCGGGTGACTCCCAAATTGGAAGCCCAGATAAAAAAATGTTTCTGTTGGGGCTGGGGATTTAGCTCAGCGGCATAAGCACCTGCCTTTGCAAGCAGGCGGTCGTGAGTTTGATCCCTGGTACTGATGAAAAAGATAAAAAAAAAAGTTTCTGTCATCTTGATCCCACTGGCCACTGTTACCGGAAACGAACACTGACAGAAATTCGTGAGACCAGGAAACCTGGATGTGCAACTGGGTGTGGATAATCCTGAGACATGCTCTGGCCCTCAACAAGAGACAGGGTCATTGTCAGAGAAATTGGGAGAGATGGCCAATTGGGAAGAGGTAATTCTAACACATTTCATAATCAGATGGCAAAAGTCCTTCCTACGTAAAGAGCTCTGAGCAATCAATAATACAGTTGATGAAGAAAACCAAAAAACACTGACCAAGGGGAACACCGGGGAAGCGAAGGGTGCTGCAGCCGGGGCTTTGAGGAGAACAGTTACATACAGGACACAGAATTTATAGTGTTATTTACAATGGTCACCCAAGGAGTCACATACAAAGAAGGTACAGGAAATCTGTCCACACACTAATGACCTAGAGAGGCCAGCAGAGGGCCTGGATCCCATGGCAGGGTCTTGCACAAGTCCAGCTGGAGCCTATGCCCAGGACAATGTCCCATGCAGGTGTTTCACAGATCTGCACTGGGAAGGCCCAGAGGTCAGCAGTGGAAGCTGCAAAGTTTGTACCAGCAGGATGAAGGAGCTGTGCCAGCAGGCTGAGGATCTGCCCTGGAGCCAGGAAGCTACACTCAAAATAAGGACCAGGGCTCCCAGAAAAGTGCCACAGCTATCCTCAGTGACAGTGAGGTTCTGAGCTCCTCTGACACTGAAAACAGCCAAGTTCATATCAGGGAAGCCAGAGTGACGAGCTCCTCCAGGGTAAGCGGTGGCTCCAAACAACACCACTGAGGTGAACCCACCAGGCTCCTCTTCCTCTCAAGGTCTCCTTTTATGCTGGCGACCATCCTCAGCTGACCGTCCACACTCAGCACTGCGCTGGTCCAGCTCAGCTCGTGTCAAGCTGACCACCAGTGACCAAGCTGCCTCAAAGAGCAGACTCCCAGCAGCTCTGACACGCAGAGCCCTGCACATCCAGTGTGCAGCTCAGGAACGTAAATCCTTCCTTCCCTTAAAGCCCATTTTCACCTCTGCTGCCAGCAGACACCTGAAGCTGGACACCTACGCCATTAGTAGGGTGGTAAGGGAACAGCTCTGGGGCTGGGGATTTAGCTCAGCGGCATAAGCACCTGCCTTGCAAGCAGGCAGTCGTGAGTTCGATCCCTGGTACCGATAAAAACGAAAAAGACAAAAAAAAAAAAAAAGGGAACAGCTCTGACCCACTGGAAGAGGTGTGTGTGAAGTGATATTTGCACTTCCCTGTGGTGCTGGGCTAAGGAAAGATGAGGGGTAAATGGATGAAAAAGTCTGGCATGGGTGGCCTGTGCCTGTAACCCAGCCTAGGGAGGCCTTGTCTCAAACAAACAAAACAAAAACAGAACAGAACCCCCAATAACCTACCCTAGTAAACCCAGCCCCACCAGCCTTTTTGCTGCTGTTTTTTGAGACTGGGTCTCTACTGCTGTTCAGGCTGGCCTCGAACTTGCAGTCAGAAGCAGTCCTGCCTCAGTCTCCCCCATGCTGGGATCCCAGGTGGGATGTTTTGCAGTGCTGGGATGTGAACCTGGGACCTTGGCACCGAGCAGAATTTTCAGCCCTTTCCAAAATTAATTCTTTTTAAAATTTTGAAGTCTCACTGTGTAGCTAAACTGGCAGGCTGGGCTCAAACTCATGACCCTTCTGCCTCAGCCTCCCAAGTGCTGGGATCCCAGGCAGTGCCACGCACCTGGATTCCATCCCTCGCAGGGAGAAAGACAGACTTCAGGCTCTGGGCCCAGACGAGCCAGGCATAATAAGCATCTGCATTTCTCCCTTACGTCCTGAGCCAGCGTCGGGGACACAGAGAAAAGGGCAGAAGGGCACAGCGGGGGAGTCACCGTGAGGAGGCCAGGGAGGGCACATTACTCACCGGCCCTTTGGAAATGGCAGGGTCGGCCCGACTTCCGCTGGGAGCCAAGAGCGCGGGGAGGGAAGGGCAGAGGGCAGCAGAGCCTCCCCAGGGAGCCTGAGCCCGGGAGGGCACAGCCTGCTGGGCGCTGCCACCCTCGCTGTGACGGGGATAGACAGGGAGGCAGAGAGGAGGAGCTCGAGCTCAGGGCAGGGCCTGGGCTGGGCTGCTCAGCCTCGGCTCTCCTAAAGTGGGATTTATATCACATAAAATGAACACTTTTTAGTGGCCGTGGTGGTGATCAGTCCGTCCATCTGTCCATAAGATGTCCGTATATCAGGGCACCTGGCTCTGCCCAAGGTCATAAGTTTCAGGGTAGCTCAGACCCTGTAGCAAAATCAAATTTAATAAGTCGAGCTCGGTGGTGCACGCCTGTCATCCCAGCACTCGGGAGGCTGAGGCAGGAGGATCCCTGGGAGTTTGAGACCAGCCTGGTGAGATCCTGCCTTGAAAAACAAAACCAGATGGAAAATTTAAGCTTTGTGTATTTTCCACTGGACATCTGGACACGGGTGGGACGCAGTGACCTGCCTTCCCTCTGGACCATTCTAAGGCTTGAATTCGGGAACACTGGCATGGGTTGTGGGAAGGATTAGGGACACACATAGACATGAAATCGTGCTGTGCTGCCTGGTGCCACAGTCTGTCTGGGAGCTATCATGCATGTGCGTGTGTATGTGTGTGGGTATGTGTTTGAGACAGGGTCTCCCCATGCAGCTCAGGCTGGCCTTGAGCTCACTTTGTAGCCCAGGCTGGTCTTGAACTCACAGCGATCCTCCTGCCTCAGCCTCCCGAATGCTGGGCTCACAGGTGTCCTCCATGGTGCCTGGCTCCTATCTTTATTATTGATCATTTTTGTGTGCTGGGGGTGGCACCCAGGGCTAGGCAGGCGCTCTATCCCTGGACCGCACCCCAGGCCTTTTAAAATTTGTCTTTTATGGCCCGGATTGTCCAACCTGGCCTCCCACTCGACACCTTCCTGCCTTGGCTTTCCTGTCCCAGCAGCTCAGTGCCAGACGCTGGCCACTGCCACGGGTAGATGGATGGACAGACCCCCCGGCCTCCCCTGTGCCTGGCCAGCGCTTGCCCTGTCCGGGTAGCGGGCTGGGGGTGTCCGGGTGCTGCGGGCCCCGGCCGAGTGCAGTCCCTGCGCATTTCCCATGTCTGGGCCCGGGTGACAGCAGCTACGCAGGACACCTGGCGCGGCAAAGGTTATCGCGCGGAGCCAGAAAGGTCGCGCTGGCGCGTGGAGATAAGGAGGCGCCCGCTCCCGGGCGCATAAATGCGAGGCCGGCCCTGCAGAGGCGCTGTGCTCGCCCAGGCCCCGGCCCCGTCCCCGCGCGATGGCCCCGCGCGCCCCGCTGCTGCTGCTGCTGCTGCTGTTGCTGCCCGCGTGGACGCGGTTCCCCGGGGCCCAGGCCCGGGCGGCGCCCTTCGGGGTGCGGCTGTGCGGCCGCGAGTTCATCCGTGCCGTGATCTTCACCTGCGGGGGCTCGCGGTGGAAGCGCCTGGATGCCCCGGAACCCGGGGCCGTGGGTGAGCGGGCAGGACGGAGCTGGGAGGGGACCTGGCTGTGACCTCGCGGGGCTGGGACCCGGGAGGCAGGAGCAGGTGGGGGGCGCAGGCCTGGCAGAGGGATGGGGGGCCAGGATGGGCGGGTGGACAGATGGACAGATGGACCGGAGGATGGACGGGTGGACAGATGGACCTATGAACAGGCGGGTTGACAGATGGACAGGTGTGTAGACGGATGGACAGATGGATGGGCAGGTGGACAAATGGACAGATTGATGGGCAGGTGGATGGATGGACAGATGGACAGGTGGGTGGACGGATTGACCTACGAACGGGCGGGTGGATGGATGGACAGATGGACAGGCAGGTGGATGGATGGACAGATGGATGGGAGGGTGGACAGGTGGGCCTGTGGACAGGCGGGTGGGCGGATGGACAAGCAGGTGAACGGATGGAAAGATGGACAGGCAGGTGGATGGATAGACAGATGGGCACGTGGGTGGACAGATGGACCTATGGATGGGCGGGTGGGTGGGTGGACAAATGAATAGACACAGGGGTGGTGGGAGGGACCCAAGCACAGAGCCTGAGTATGCAGGCCCTGAGTACATGTAGGAGCCCTGCAGCTCCCCTGGAACCCCAGGACCAGAGAGGCTAAAGCAGGAAGATCTGGGAGAATTCCAGGCCAGGCCAGGTTACAGTTCAAACCAGTCCCAATTTTCAGAATGAGGCTCTTTTGTTGTTACTGTTTTTTTTTTTTGTTTGTGTTTTTTTGTCCTTGAGAGACAGGTCTCTGCAGTTCAGGCTGGCCTTGAGCTCACAGAGACCCTCCTGCCTCAGCCTTCTGAGTGCTGGGAGTATAGGAGTACAGCACTACACCTGGCAGAGACCCTGTTTCAGGGAAAAAGAAGAAGAGAAGAAGAAGAAGAAGAAGAAGAAGAAGGAGGAGGAGGAGGAGGAGGAGGAGGAGGAGGAGGAGGAGGAGGAGGAGGCCGCCGCCCTGGGATTTGCTGGCAGAGGCCCTTGTAGCTCTCTCTCTAGAGTCCTTCCTTAGGGCTTGCTGGAAAGTAGGGGTGACAGCAACAGCTCCCACCTGATGGGGCTGTCACGGCTGGGGATTCAGGCATCAACCCCCGGAAACCCGCTTACGGTGCCTGGCACCCAATCAGAGCTCAGAGCAGGGTCCATGATCGACTGATCCACTTCGTGCTTTGCTCCTGCATCCCAGAGCTCGCTAGAGGTGTTCTGGTTGGCATTCGGCTCTTCCAGAATTCAAGACAATGGGGGTCACTGCTGTCCCCACTCAGAAGAAAACCGAGGCTCAAGTCTGCTCACAATTACAGAGAGGCCAGTACCCAAGTACATGCTTCCAACTGTAGGGTCCCCCAGGAATAAAAAAAGAGTGGGGAAAGCAAATGACAGGAAAGTCACCTGCCTGTCAAAACTGGTGGCAGAAGCGAAAACCGTGGTGGTGGAGCCAGGGTGTGAGCCCAGGACCAGGCGGAGTCTGGTGACCTTAGGGTTAGGGCACTGGCCAGTGGTCAGCCCGGCCGCCGGCTCCAGCCCTGCTCTCCCCTTTTGCAGCTGATGCCTTCCAGGACGCGGACGGCCTGGCTCTGGGAGGACCCGAGGACGCCGTGGGCTTCAACGAGTGGCCAGCCCCGGCCCGGTCCCCGCAGGCCTTTTACAGCGGCCAGCCCGGCTGGGAGGGCCCCCCCGGGGCTCCACGCCACAACCGGGACGTCCTGGCCGGGCTGTCCAGCGCCTGTTGCAGGTGGGGGTGCAACAAAGGCGACCTCAGCAGCCTCTGCTAGGCCGGCACCGAGCAGCGAGGGCCCCCAGTGCCCATGTCCCAGCCCTGCACCCTCAGCCCCACATTTGTGGCTCTGCAGGACCCGCAGGCTGCGGCCAGGTCACCTGGAACCAGCCCTGAGCCCAGACCCTCCCAATGTGACCTGAGCCAGCAGGGACCCTGCGCTGTCCACCGGCTGTCCCCGGTGCTGTTCGCCTCACGGTCCCCTGCAACCCCTCGGCCCCGCTGAACCCCGAGTGGCCTCACCGAGGAGTCCCTACGCCCAGCCCTGGTGCCGGCCCCCTGCTAGCTCTCCGGCGCCGGGCCCAGGCTGCCCAGGGTCATCCTGCCGGGGTTGGGGTCCCCGAGTCCCTGGCTTCGCGGGCCGGGAGGGGGCGCTGGGGCGCAGGGAGCTCCCCAGCCCCGATGGTAATAAAAGTTGCAAAGACTAAGCGGGTGAGTGTGTCACTGGGGGGGCGGGACAGGTTTGGGGAGCCAGCGTCGCCCCCACCCCTCGAGCTCCGGGACTTTCCGCTGGGGACGCGCGCGCGGGGGCGAGGATGGCCCGGCTTCCTGTCCTCGCCCTGGCGCAGCACCCGGGAGCCATGCGGGGTGCGCAGGCAGCCCCACTCAGGCTGCTGGCGCTGGTGGCGGCGCTGCTCCCCGGGATCCGGGCCCAGGGTGAGTGGGTGCGGGATGAAGGGGTGCGGTGGGGGGACGGACGCCGAGGTATCGCGGGGTAGGGGCTTGGGATGGGGGGCGCCGAGGTGTCGTGGGGTGGGGGCTTGGGATGGGGGGCGCCGAGGTGTCGTGGGGTGGGGGATTGGGATGGGGGCGCCGGGGGGTCGTGGGGTGGTGTGGGGAGGAACGCCGGGGTGTCGCGAGGTGGGGTGGGGGCCCTTGGACGACAACAGGATGTGGCTTGGAGCGGGGCAAGGGGGACGCATCCGCCCGGAGCAGGGCAGAGTGCCCGTGCCCCCTTCCTGCATGCTCCACCAGAGCCTCTGCGCCCAGAGTTTGCACGAAGTTCTACGAAGCGGGGCCGGGCACCCCAAATAGCAAAAAGGGCTCAGCGAGCCCAAGTCCTGGGGGGATGGCGGCGCGGGGACTGACTCCCCCTTCTCCTCAGGCGGTGCCGGGCCGCTGCGGTGCTTCCGAGTGGGACCCGAGGGAAACCTGAACTGCACCTGGGAACCTTCTGGGGACCCCGGAGACCCTATCGTGCTGCACCTCCAAAGCCAGAAGTAGTGCGTATCCCGGTGATGTTCGGGGAAACTGAGGCAGCGCAGGTGGCTACTGTGGGCTCCCCTCCCCGCCCCCCAGCTCTCCAGCCTCGCCGTGCTGTGCAGCCCCAGCTGGCCGCTGCATCTCTTGACCTGGCCCCGCGCGGGGTGCAGGTGCGGCGCAGCTGGGGTCTCCCGGCTGAGTGACCCAGAGCACAGGAACAGATGGGCCGGGACTGCAGCGCCCAGAGAGGACCCGAAGCAGGGGGACAGCGCTGTGGCCCTGACGGCGAATCTCATGGGGAACTGGGGACCTCGCCTGGGCCCGAAGTGGGGACAGCACAGAGGGTGGGAGACAAGGGGCGGGGGTGGGGGGTGGGAACCGGGGTCCTGAGATCCCGTTTCCCCTCCCCTTCCCCCTTCCTTCCGGTACTGGAGAGCGAGCCCAGCACAGGCCTGGCAAGGTGAGATCGTACCCCAAACTTCACCCCCAGTCTTGCTAATTTGCCCTCCTGTTTCAGCCTCCCAGAATTGCTGGGATTACAGGTATATGCCAGTGTGCTTGGCTTTTCTTCTTTCTTTTTAAATGATGTTAAAATATAGGTAACATAAAATTGTCATGTTCAGCCTTTCTTATTTATTAATTTTTTTTTTTTTTTTTGAGGTACTGGGGATTGAACTCACGACCTTGTGCTTGGCAGGCAGGTGCTTATGCCGCTGAGCTAAATCCCCAGCCCTATTTATTGATTTTTTGAGGCAGGGTCTCCCAATGTAATCCAGGCTGGCCTAGAACTCATGATCCTCCAGCCTCAGCCTCCCCTGTGCTGGGATTATAGCTGTGTGCCACCTCATGTGGCTTCGAGCTGGCTTTGAGATAGTTTTGTTATGTGGCTCAGGCTGACCTTGAGCCTGTGGGCTCAAATGATCCTCCGGCCTCAGCCTCCTGAGTGGCTGTGAATAGAAGCACATACGGCCGCACTGATTTGTTTCCAGGCATTTTGGGGGTGCTTGCCCAGGAAAGCTGCTGCTGGTTATAGCGGAATTTTATGTTTAACTGTCACAGCCCTGGCACCATCCCACATCCCCACTGCACTGCAGGAGGGTCCCAATTTCTGCACTGCCGCACAAATGCTTACTTGGTCTTTGTTTTTTTATCTTCAATTTTTTGTTTGTTTCCTTGATTAAGCCCTTGTTTTGGGTCTTTATTTTTCCTTTTTGAGACAGGGTCTCAGTATGCAGTTCAGGCTGGCCTTGAGCTTACTTTGTAGCCCAGGCTCAACTTGAACTTGTAGCAATCCTCCTGTCTCAGCCTCCCGAGTGCTAGGATTACAGGGGTGTGCCACCACGCCTGGCCTATGAGCCTTTTTTATTTTACAGTTTTGAGGATTGAACGTAGGGCCTTCACAGAGGGTTCCATCCCCGACCCTTTTTTTATTTCTTACTTTGAGACAGGCTCTCATGAAGTTACTAAGTTGCACGCACGGCCCGGCTTGACCTTGCAACCTTCCTTCCTCAGCCTCCTGCCTGCCCCTGGCTGGGGTGTTCTTGCCATCGAGTGTAACCCCCGACATGGCATCCGTTAGATCTCACCGTGCTTCTCGTCCCCCTTCCTGTGTGAGAAGTGATGTCACTGCCCACAGCAGGCTGGGCCTTGGCTGTCACACTTCTGTCCTCCGCTTCTATTTTTTCTTTTTTTTGAGATGGGGTCTCCCCATGCAGTCCAGGCTGGCCTTGAGCTCACTTTGTAGCCCAGGCTGGTCTCAAACTCACAATGATCCTCCTACCTCAGCCTCCCGAGTGCTGGGATTACAGGCATGAGCCACCATGCCCAGCTGTCCTCGGCTTCTAGAACTGGGGCTGCTGCGGCACAGACTGGCTGACCGACAGTTTCAGGGACCTGAATGTGCATTCTGTAAAGAGAAAGCTGTAATGAGCAATGTTCACATAACAGCCCGGGGGAGCTGGGTGCCCTGGCACACGCCTGTCATTCCAGCCCCCTGGGAGGCTGAGGCAGGAAGGTCGTGAGTTCAAGCCTGGCCTCAGCAATCTAGCAAGACCCTGCCTCAGAATGAAAGCTAAGAAAGGCTGGGCATGGAGCTCAGTTCTGGGTTCTGGGACTGCAAAAAAGGAAACCACTCATGATAAATGTTGAATATCTCCCTTAACTTACTGAACACAGTACTGTAAGTCAAAAATCACAATGGTTGTCCTGAATCACTGGCCCAAAAGAAATAAAAACTTTAAACTTTCTTTTCAGTGCTAGGGACGGAACTCAGGGCTCACACATGCTGGGCAAACGCTCTATTGCTGAGCTACACCTCAGCTCCCATAATTCAAAAAAATACTTTATTATGTTTGCAATATTTCACCCAGAAAGACATAAATTTTTTGTTGTTTTCTGAGACAGGGTCTCCCTATGTATTCACAATGGCCTTGAACTCACTTTGCAGCGCAGGTGGACCTCAAAGCCCTGTGATCCTCCTGCCTCAGCCTCCCAGCATGCTGGGATGACTGCTGTGTATGTGCTTGGCTCCAAAACTGCAAATCCGCACTCTGGTTTCTGCCGCATGCCTGGCCCTGTCACATCTCACACCCTAGGCAGAGGCGTAGAGTGGGGTGCTCACACCTCGGGACAGGCTGGCATCCTCTTGAGTGTCTTGAGTGTCCTCTGGGTCCTCAAATCCCCTCCCAACCACCCTTCCCAGCAGGCATCATCAGGGTGGGTGGAAGCTGAGGCACAGAGAGAGGAGCAGTGGCCTCTTCAGGGAGGTCTGGGCAGGTCTCGGCCCCGGGGCAGTTCCTGGGTGTCACCACTTCTCTCATCCCCACATGGCCTATAGCCACTTCAACAGGACCCAGAGGGTACAGGTGCCCGCAGGGCGGAGCTGGGAGATGGTTTCCCGAAAGGCGCTCACTTTGGGGGACCAGCTGCTGGTCTGGGGGACACAAGGGCACCGCCCCCTCTGGGTGCCAATCTTCGTGGACCTGGAGACACAAGGTAGGTGTCGGTGATGGGGGCTCCCCGTGGGGTCACGGGGTCACAGGACCCCTCCTCATTGCACACCACCCTCCACTTCCAGTGAAGCCCGACGCCCCATGGCTGTTCCCCACCGTGGACTTCTCAGAGGACGCCCCCCTGGAGGCCACCGTGCATTGGCAGCCACCCAGATGGCCACCCCTCAAAGCCCTGACCTGTCAGTTCTACTACCAGAGGTCCACAGAGCCAGGCTGGCTCCCGGTGAGTGTCCACAGCCCGGGTGCCCACGGAGCAGGCCCCAGCTACAAGCTCTCTATCCCAGCACTCAGGGAGGCTGAGGCAGGAGGATCCTTGCAATTTTTTTTTGTTTGGTGCTGGGAATCGAACTCACAGTTATGCACTTGCAAAGCAGGTGCTTATGCCACTGAGCTAAGTCCCCAGCCCAAATTGTTGCAATTTGAGGCCAGCGTGGGCTACAAAGTGAGCCCAAGGCCAGAATGACCTGCAGAATGACCAAGGCCAGCGAGATCATGTCTCAGAAAAAAAAAAGGGTATAAGTATCAGAAGTTAACTTTAAAATAACAACAACTAGAGCAAACACTTCAGAGTACATCTCCAGGACACCCAATGCTTCTGGAAGAGAAAATACGATACTTTAAAGCAGCTAAGGTGGGCACAGCAACTGCAGTCCCAGCTACTCGGGAAGCTGAGGCAGGCAGGTCACTTCAACTTCAGAATTCAAGGCCAGCCTATGCAACGCGGTCTCCAAGGAAAAACCAGACATCCATTTTATAGTCGAGGAAGTTGAATCTATGAGAAGTTATAAAACTTTCCCAAGGTCACGCAGAAGAAAGTGGAAGACGAGCCCCCCACATCCCCAGCAAGAGGATCCCAGAAAGATTGGGCGACCCACGCATACACTTTAATACTCAACCAGGAAGTTGCCAATTTTATTTTTGGTGATACGTGGTTGGCTGAGAACATAGTCACATGGCCTCATCGGACTGCAAAGGAGCCTGGGAAATGTAGTCTTTATTCTTGACAGCCATATTCCCAGCTGGTACTCCAGGAGTCTCCTTGCGAGAAAGACGCGAAGAAAAGATATTAGGTATTGTCTGTGTCTGCTACACAGACACAGATTTTGACGCAAAACGCCGCAATAAAGAGCAGAGTTGTGGAGAGCGTTTACCCAACATGCAGCAGGCTCGGGCTTCCATTCTCAGCACTTCCAACCGCCACCCCAACCCCAGGGGGGAAAAAAAGCAAAATTGTGGTCAGTTTGACTGCTGGTGCCCTGCGGAGGACGTTCCCTCCTCAGACATGAGACTCAGGCTGCAGATCCTACTCTGCGGCGTTCGGCAAGAAACCACCGCCCCCTGCCACACTTAACCACTACTTTGTGTCTGCAGCTGTACCATCTGAGGGGTTGCTGTGCACCGGCGACTTAGTCACACGCTCCGCAAGCGCTCTGCCACTGGTGGCACCTCAGCTCTTTTCAGTTTTTTAAATTTAGACAGCGTTTTGCTAAATTGCCCAGCCTGGGCTGCAATTTAGGATCCTCCTGCCTCAGCCTCCCGAGTAGATGTGATCACAGCTGTGCTCCACCGTGCCCGTCCGGACTTTGCCACCAAAAGCCCCAGGGTTGTGTGTCCTTCCAATCCCGGGCCCACCAGGCCAGCTGGTCACCCCTCAAACCCCCGGGGCCCAGCTCTCTGTTCCCCCTCCCAGCTGGAGCCGGAAGTGCAGACCTCGCCGCTGAGCCCGCTGGAGCTGCAGGAGCTGGAGCTCGCCTCGGCCTACAGCGTGCGGGGCCGCTGCACGGCGGACCCCGAGGGAGACCTGTGGGGCGCGTGGAGCCCCGAGCTCTCCTTCCAGACGCCGCCGGCTGGTGAGGCCCCGGCTCGCCCCGGCCCCGCCTCTCCCGGCCGCCCGGTCGCTCATGGGCTCGCACCCTCACCCTTCCAGCCCCTCAGGACGTGTGGATCGCAGGGAACCCGTGCGGGGCCCCAGGCAGCCGAGCCGCCTGGCTGGTGTGGAAGGTGAGCCGCCGGCCGGGGTGCGTTCCTGCGGCGCCCTCAACGGGATGCAGTTTCTGCTGTCCCCAGCAGGCGGGTGCAGGGATTGCGCGCAGGAACTGGGAAGGGACCTTCTGGGAGCCCCAGACCAGGACAAGGGGGGACAAGCAGGTCAGAATCTGCAAGTGAGACTGGAGCTCAGAGGCCTGCAGCGGGAAGGTGCGCGAGGTGGCTGAAAAGGGACAGGTGTGCCGACTGGCTCACGGCTGTAATCCCAGCTATTCGGGAGGCTGAGGCAGGAGGATCTCAAGTTTGAATCTGGGCAGTTTAGTGACCCCAGGATGTAGCTCAGTGGTGGAGCGCTTGCTCAGCATGGGTGAGGTCTCAGGTTCCAACCCCAGCATGGGAGGAAAAAGCAAAAAAGCTGAGGTAGTCCCATTAACTCATATCCATCGAGGATCTATTATGTCACGTCAGGTATCGGTAAGCCCTGGATCTCACGGGCGTGGTGGCACTGGTTTATAATCCTTGCACTCCCGGAGGCTGAGGCAGGAGGATCTCCGTGAGTTAGAGACCAACCAGTTAGAGAGTTCAAGGCCAGTTTGATTTCTATAAAAGATCAAAAGAACCAAAAAATGTTTGCATTTCAGCGTTATTTACTCTTGGTTACTGGGTATTTTGATTTTGATTTTTTGCAGTGGGGTCTGGGCCCAGGGTGGTCTTCGACTCCTGGGTTCAAGGAATCCTCTTGACCTCAGCCTCCCAAGTAGATGGGACCACAGGGTTATTGGGATTTGGGTATTCATCACCCTTAAATTTTGTACCCTGAAAGAGTGTCACCCTTACCTTATTGAGTCCTGGCCCAGGAACCTTATCCAAATCCCACCCATGCAGTAAACTCCTTGAAGACTCAGTTTCCGGACTGCTTCTCTGACCGGTATATTGGGTGACCTTGATGAGACTCATAGTGGGTCCCCCCATATTGAGGATGGAACCCAGGCCTTTGCCCTGAGCCCCAGCCCCAGCCCCTTTTGCTTTTGCCTTTTGAGACAGGGTCTTGGTGGGTCACTAAGTTGCTTGCAGTCCTCCTGCCTCAGCCTCCCCGAGTTCTGGAATGATAGGCAGGCGCCCCTCCCCTTACCCCAGCCCACCACAGGCCCCTGGTGAATGCAGGACATGAACCCCCTTCTCTTCCCCAGGCCCCAGGCCCCAGGGTGCAGGTGAGCTACCAGGTGTGGTTCGGGGCCGGAGAGAAGACACTGGTGCAGGAGCGGGTGCCCTGCTGTTCTTGCCTGGTGCCCCCCTGGGCCAGGCAGGCCAGGGTGTCTGCTGAAGGTGGCGTCCCCTGGGTGCCTGCCACCAACCTCTCCCTGGTCTGCTTGGGTAAGAGACAGGGTCTGCTCTGCTGGGGCAGGGTGCGGGGAGGGGCTCAGGGCAGGTGGCCGGAACCCCGAGCTGCAGACTCCGAACCGCAGGCCGTGGAGGTCCACAGCGTCCCCAGGAGCCCCAGGCTGCTGCTGAGCTGGCAACGTGGGGCCCAGGAGCCTTGGGAGTATGTGGTGGCCTGGACCGCCGATGGAGGGGCCCCTGAGGACATCAGCTGGACCCGGCTGCCCCCAGAGACCTGCAGTGCACCGCTGTCAGGTGAGGCCCACACTGGGGTGCTGCCCTGTGACCAGGTCCCCTGGTCCTGTGCCCCTTTGCGTCTGGGTGCCTCTCTGCCACCCCTGGTGGGTTCCAGCAGTACTGAGCCTCGGACGGACCCCCTCCCTCCTTTTCTTTCTTTTTCCTTCTGTGGTAACCCCAGGACCTTTGCACTGAGCTACATCACCAGCCCTATTTTAAAAATTTTGACCGAGTTCTATTCCAGGTCTCATAAATAAATAAATAAATAAATAAATAAATAAATAAATGACAGGGCATGGTGGCGCACACTTGTCATTCCCAGCACTCAGGAGGCTGAGGCAGGAGGATAGTTGTTCGAGACCAGCCTGGGCTACAAAGTGAGCTCAAGGTGCATATCGAGACCCAGTCTCAGAAAGATAAAAAAGAAATTAAAAGAAAAATCTCACTAAGTCTCTAAAATGTCCAAGTTGGGCTGGAATTTGGGCTTCTCCTGCCTCAGCCTCCCAGAGAGCTAGAATTAAAGGTGAGCCCAGGCAAGTCATCTTCCCACCCCAAGCCAGACCTCGGACTTGTTTCTGAACACCGGTTCCTGGTTGCCTCCCTCTCCTTTTGTCTTTTCTTTTTGTCTCTTTTTCTCTTTTCTTTTCTGGGGTGTTTTGAGACAGGGTCTCATTTTGTAGCACAGGCTGGCCTCAAACTCACAGCAATCCTGCGTCAGCCTCCTGAGTGCTGGAAAGATGGGTGCGCACCACCACGCCTGGCCGGCTGCCTTTCTTTTTTTTTTTTGTCTTTTTTCTTTTTTTTTTTTTTTTTTTTTTTGAGACAGGGTCTCAATGTGCAGTCCAGGCTGGCCTTGAGCTCACTTTGTAGCCCAGACTGGTCTCAAACTCACAACGATCCTCCTGCCTCAGCTTCCCAAGTGCTGAGATTACAGGCGGGAGCCACGATGCCTGGCACAAGGCTGCCTTTCTTGTGCCATCTCACTTCTGCCCTGCTGTGTCTCCTGGGGTCACCCAGTCTTTCTACCCAGGTGTCCAGAGGCCCTGAGAACAGTGATGTCCCTTGGGAAATGAGCAGGGAGGGCGAGGTGACCCTCAGTGACCTTTCTCCACCACCCAGGCAACTTCACACCAGGGGTCCCCTACGGCATCACGGTGACGGCGGTCTTTCCTGAGGGCCTGGCGCCTGCTCCCTTGATCTGGGGCTTCGGGGAGGAGTTAGGTGAGAGCCAGGCCAGAGTGGGCAGGAGGGGCTGGGAATGGGCAGATCTGACCTGACTGCCTCCCTCCAGCTCCTGTGGAAGGCCCGGTGGTTTGGCGGCTCCCAGATAAGCCCCGAGGGACCCCCGCAGTGGCCTGGGGAGAGGTCACAAGACAGCAGCTACGTGGCCACCTCACCCACTACACCTGGTGCACTCGGAGTGGCCCCAGACCCCCGGTCTGTGCAAATGGTGAGGCCCCACCCCTTCTCAGCCCCCAAGACCAGGCCAGCCCCTCCACCTCGCCCTGGGGACACAGGCGGGTATCTGTCCCCTGGGGGACTCTCTGGCCATCACTGTGATGGCCTTGCTGGGCCCCATTAAAACCAAGGCCCCGATCTATGACATCGATGCTGAGAGGCAGCTGTCACCTTTCATTCCACCAACAAGATGGAAACGGCTGTCAGGCTCCAGAGACAGCGATTTTAGTACCCAGGCAGCTCAGGCGAGAGTGAAGCCAAGCCACAAAGATGACAGTGAAGTTCCCTCAGTGCGGACAATGTGATTTTCATTTTTATTCACGTTGAGTGTGCAGCACGGAGGCTGGAAGAGCCTTTGCCCTGGACAAAATATTCTCAGCCCCCTTTCCCGCCCCAGCAGTGAGGCAAATTCTCACTCAGGGTCCAGAATAGGCTCACGCCTGTGACCCTCCTGCCTCAGCCTCCCAGAGTGCTGGGCTCTCAGGTGTCTGCCACTAGACTCTAGATAATTTTTTCTTTCTTGTCCTCTTTATTCTTACTATGATTTGGTGTGTGTGTAGTGTGGGGGATGAGACCCAGGGTCTCCCACATGTGAGCCACACCCCCACCCTGAAGGGGACCCACAAACCAAACAGTATCTAAGAGGTGTGGCAGGAGGTGATCTGGGCAGAGTAGACAGTGAAGCCGTGCTGTGGTCATTAGAGGGCCTCGCTTCGGAGGTAGCATTTGAACAAAGACCTGGAGAGTCCCTCGTGGGTGGCTGGGGACCAGCGCTTCAGGCGGGTGAAACCTATCTGTGCAAAGTTCCTCTGGTAGGGAACACTTCCTCCCCCAATGCTTGTTGTGTTCCGCAGTGAGCAGCAGCACCCGGATGGTCACTCTGCCCGGCCTGCCCCCGGGGCCCTGCAAGCTATGGGTGACAGCGGCCACCATGGCGGGACAGGGCCCACCTGGCCCCAGCCTCCAGTTCTACCTGCCGGGTAAGACCTGAGGTAGGATGGCCTGCTCCACGTGGGGCAGAGGTGTCTGGAGCGGGCACCTGGGCTTCGGGACAGGGATAACCTTATGACTCCAGGAGTTGATCAGTGCCTGTAGGAGGGGGGTTCTGGGGCTTGTATCCAGGTCACTGAGCTGAATCCCTGGACCTCACTGTATTTCTTGCTGGTCTCGGACTCACTGTGGAGCCCAGGCTGGCCTCGAACTCCTGGCCATCGTCCTGCCTCGGCCTCTGGCCTGCACGCCCCACTTCTTGATACTGGCCCTGTGTTTCCCACGGTGTTGCTCTGCCCCTCATTTTGACCAATCAGCACTGCCCTATGTTCAAGCCCTGCCCCCTCTCCAGTCCCAACCCGCCCACTCCCTCACCCAAGCCCCGCCCACCGACTAGCCTCCCAGCCTTCGCCCCGCCCCTCCCCACAGGGAATGCTGGGAACTGGCAAGTGCTGACCGGAGTCCTGTGCATGTGGCCACTGCTCCTGTTGTGCTGCTGCCTAGGCCTGGCCACCTCTGGGAGGTGAGGCGAGGAGCAGCCGAGGGCCTCAGCTGGACTTTGCAGGGGGCGGAAGGGGGCTGGTGCCCGCACCCAAGCTCCCTGCCCTGATTGCGCCTGTCCGCCAGGTGCCTCCACCTAAAGCACAAGGTGCTACCGCGGTGGGTGCTGGAAAAGGTTCCTGATCCGGCCAACAGCCATTCCAGCTGCCTGCACATGGAGGTGAGCGCACAGGCCGGCTGCCTCTGAACTCAGCTGCTTTGGAGGCTAGGGCAGGAAGGTCTCGAGTACTAGGCCCAGTCCCAAAATGAACCCCTAGCAAGAGCTGAGGGTGTAGCTTCATAGTAGAGCACCCTTGGGTGCCTGTGGGAGCTCTGTGGGGGATGAGGGGAAGCCGGATGCTGGGGGGTAGGGAAGAGAGAAGAGCCCAGCCTCATCTCTGCAGGTGCCCCAGCCCCACCCCCAGCCCCAGCCCCTCGGGGACACACCCATCCTGGAGGTGGAAGAGATGGAGCCTCAGCCACCTCAAGAGCCGCCCCCGGCCTCCGTCCCGCTGCACTCCGGGTATGAGAAGCACTTCATGCCCACACCAGAGGAGCTGGGCCTTCTGGGGCTGTCCGGTTCCCGCGTGCTGGCCTGAGCCCTGCCCAGGCCAGAACATGGGTTGAGGGTACTCACACAGGCCGTGGCCTCCCCGGGGCGGCCAGCCTGACAGACAGACAGACACAGACCCAGAGAGGCTGCAGCCCTGCCTGAGGACACCGGGTCAGGAAGGGCAGAGCCAGGCCAGCCTCCGAGTGGAATTCAAGGGGCGAGGGGGGCCTCCAAAATCTGTCCTGCTGGAACAGAACCCAGAACGCGTCTGGGTGCAGTCCCCTGCCACCCTGCAGCTGGATCAGCCATGGACTGAGTCTTTCTTGAGATGGAATGTGGACACAGGTGACCTGGGCCAGTGTCAGGAGCGGGTGGCCCCGAGACGCTGGGTGGAGACCCTGCCACACTCCTCCTGTGAGCGGAAACCTGCTTGTGAGCCTGCTCTGTACCCGCGGGGGGCAGGCAATGCAAAGGGACTGGACCCTAAGTAACTATGCCAGAGCCTGGACCCCGAGTGGCCACATCAGTCAGCGCCACCACAGCCCTGTCTCCGTGTTACCACAGATTTTGTCAGTGACCAAACTATGCTCCTGCTGGTTTTTTGCTCCAACAGAATTAGGCCCTGGGTCCCTTTGGCCAGTGGATTCTGTGCCAGCAGCACACACACTGCAGCTGTCTGGGTGCCCAACATTTTATTTTCAAGTATAAAGGCTTTGTCACAGGAGGCAGCGGGGCCCAGGCAGCCAGCAAGGAGTCTGGAGGCCCAGGCACAGGTGGACGGGCCGCTGGCCGCAGGTGCCCTGGCCAGTCCTTCGGGGCCTTGTCCGTGCCAGACCCCTCCGCCGGTGCCAGGGCCGAGGTAGCTGAAAGGCGCTGGGCGGTGGGCACTCACATCACCGCGCAGCACTGGCACGTCTTGGGCTTGGGCCCGCTGGCCTCCTCGCCGGCCGCTGCTCGGGCGCCGGGCTCGGGCTGCCGGCTGGGGGCGTAGGTGGGGGCGGGGTGGGTGCTGGTGCTGGGGCCTGGTCCCTCGAGTGGGAGCAGTGGCTGGCTCTCGGTGGGCTGCTCCGGGGCTGGGGTCTCCACCACCAGGGGGACGGCATCCCCGGGGGCACCCTGTGCCTCAGCAGGAGATTGGGGTGCACCCCCCTCCTCTTCCAGCGAGCCCTCCTGCTTCTCTGGGAGCCCCGGTGCCAGCTCCTGTGTGACCCCAAGGGGCGCCCCAGCCTCGCTCCCCTCTCCTGCTTCCCTCTGCTCAGCTCCGTCCTGCAGATCCACGGCTCCCGGGAGCCCCTCTGCCCCCAGCACTCCCTCGCCTTCTGTCCTGTCTGTCACTCTGGGCTCCTCATCGGCTCTACTCTCCGTCCCAGGGCCTGAGGGCTCCTCGCCTTCCGTCCCTTCTGCCGGTGGCAGCCCCTGGCCACCTGCTGTCACCAAGGGCTCCGCCTCCCTGCCTTCCCGCTCTGGGGCCGCCGGCTCCCCACCTTCCTCACCCTCTGTGCCCTGCTCTCCCCCAGCATCAGGACTCCCCTCTCCGCCCACGGCCTCGGGTCCGGATGGAGCCTCAGCCTCTCCCTCTCCCTTCCCCTCACTTCTCTCCTCCTCCGCTCCCAGGGGCGCCTTGGCCTCTGCCCCTCGGGGAGGCTGCGCCTCCTCCTCCTGCCCACACCCCGGCTCTGCCCTCGGAGGCCCCTCCGCAGTCTCCCCCTGTATGTCCAGGTCCAGCTGGGCCCCCGCGCTCTGCACACCTGCTGCGCCCCCCAGCTCTGAAGCTGCCTGCTCAGCTTCCTGCAGACGCTCCAGCTCGATCCCCTGCCTGCCCTCGGTCTCCCCCTCGCCTGCTCCTGCAGACTCCTCTATCCCCCTCTCCTCTGCTACCCGTGTATCCCCACCACCTCCCCCATCAGTCCCCCGGGGCCCCCGGCCAGCCTCCACGGGTCCCTCGAGCCCCTCCATCAGCAGCTCCTCCCAATCCTCCCCCACCGTCACCCTCTCCACCCAGATGAAGGAACCCGCATCCCCAGCGGGTCCTGCCTGCCTGTTGGGCTCCCTGTCTGGGGACCCCTCACCCCCCAGGCGTTCCTGGAGCCCTGGGCCCACACCACCCAGGGCCTCAGGGTCACGGCCCCCCAGCCCCTCCCAGACCACCTCCACCACACCCCTGTTCTCTTGTGCCCAGGCAGGGAGCTCGGGGCTGCCGGGCCCCTGTCTGTCCCTCAAGGCCTCCAACACCACTTGCTCCACCCTGGCCTCCAACTCCGGGCCGGTAGCACCTGTGACACAGTCCTGGGGCCCCCGGAGCCCCTCCCACACCACCTCCACCACATTCCCAGCTCGGGCCTTTGCAGTGTCCCCCTCCGCTGTGGTCCCTGGCCCCGGGCTCTGCCGCTGCTCCTGAGGAGGGCTGGGCCCCGAGCAGGGGCCGTTGGCTTCTTGAGGGTACCCTCCTGCCCCAGGGACCTGCCCGGGGGCCCCCTCTCTGGGCTCAGAGTGGGACTCTAGGAACAAACCCGTGGGCCCCACCGGCAGGGACGCTCTCTTGTCCACATCCGCCTGACCTAATGGAACCAGAGAGGAGAGAAGGGGGAGGAGGTGGTGAGGATGACCGGCAGGCTGTGCAGTCTGGGGGTGACCTGAGCCCCAGACCCGAGGCCGCCGATACTCACCTGCAGGACCTGTCTCCATGGCGGGCTGGGAGAGAGGCCGGTGACCCTGCAGAGGTGGCAGAGACCAGGTCAGGCAGGGCCTGCCGCTGCTCATACACTTTCCATAGCTCCCCATTACCAACCCCACATTGCCCCAGAGGCCCACAGGTGTCCTGCTGCCATCTGGGCCACACCGGCAGGAGCTCCCCACCAGGAGCTTCAATGCCAGCAGCTAAGTACCTTACCCAAGGGGCTTCACTCCTGGTGTGTGTGCGTGCTAGGCAAGGACCCTACCACTGAGCTGCACCCCATACTGTAAAGAGGCGCAGAAGCCCCTCGCTGCTGGGACTGTCAGGAGAGTTAGGTAACATGGTGAGGACTGGAGAGGAAGAGGCTGGGAGGGGAAGCAGGGTGTGGGCAGGTAGGATACAACATTGGAAGGGGCCAGAGCCAGCTCTCTGGGTGACACAGGCCAGCTAGCAGTCCCAGGAGAGAACAGATTCCAGGCAGAGACAGCACGTGCAAAGGCCCTGGGGCCATGATGGGGCTAGGAAAGCTCAGGAACAGGAGAGGCCCTGCAGTAAACGAGTTGGGAGCTGGGGCACGTGCAGGCTGTCCTTTGCCCTCCTACCCGGGCCTTCTCCTTCCAGCCCCCCCACCTGTGCCCAGGCCTGGCCCTCCACGATGGTACTCTTGCCCATCTATCTGATGCCCCCACCCTCACCCTAGATTCAGTTTATAGGTCACTGCCCGCAAGCACTGAGTTATTTTTCTGGCACTGAGGGCTTCACCCTGAGCCCCGATTCCAGGCTTTTGTATTTTATTTCTGGGTCTGGGTTCTAATTTATGAACCTCCTGTTTCAGCCTCCCAGAGGGTTGGGATGACTGGCAGCTTACCCAGCCAGCCTACCCTGAACCCCCAGCCCCTCACAAACTCTGCCTTTTCACCTCTAGCACCGAACCCCAGGTTTCTGCCAACCCCGAGAAGTGCTTCCCCTTCCCCTAACTCATGTGCAGGGGTCCTTTCCTGCTTGGGGCCCAGCAGGCTCTGAGGCTCCAAGGTAAGATGTGGGGGGCCCCTGCCATTGAACTGCCACACCCCCTTCTGCCAGGCACAGACATTCTGGGCTTTTGGACTTCAAGGGAAACCCAGACTGCCAGACAATAATGCACAGGGCCTCCGGTCAGGCTGGGGGTGAAAGTGCTCGTCTGCTACATGAATTAGGTGCTGGGTTCCATCTCCAGCACGGCCACCCTGTTTCCTGCCAAGTGGAATTCGGTCTTAATGAAGATGTTGGGAAAACAAGACAATAAAAAAAAATTGCCGTGGGCTGGTGTGATGGCCCACACCCATCATGCCAGCACTTGGAGGCAGGAGGCTGAGGCAGGAGGACTGCCAGAGTTCGAGGCCAGCCTGAACTACACAGTGAGACCCCGTCTCAAATAAGAAGAAAAGAAATCCCAGGCATGTCTGCTGCTAACCCTTCCCACCTTAAGGCCAAGTCATGAGGAGATAGGTTCACCTCCACATTTTTTTCTTGTCTTTCTGTTTGCTTGTGTGTGAGTTGAGACAGGGTCTCACGAAGGAACTCAGGCTGCTCTCACATTTACTATGGAGCCCAGGGCAGCCTCAAAGTGGTATGGACCCTCCTGCCTCAGCTTCCAGCACGCTGGGATCACAGATAGGATCACAGGTGTGCACCCCGGTCCCAAGCTCCCCCCTTTCCAGGCACCGTCGCTCTGGTCCTTAAAGCGGGGAAACTGAGGCCGAAGCAGGGAACCGGTCCCGCCCGGATCGCGGCCACGCCCCTCACCTGCCTGCGCCAGGCGGGCCTGGCCGGGGATCGGGGCTGCGCGCCCGCGGACGCGCTCTGCAACAGCTGCAGCTGGGCCTGGAGCCTGCGGAGAGAGGGCGCAGCTGGGAGGGGACCCGGGCGCCCTCCGCGTCCCCCGCCCCGGCCAGGAGCTGCGCTCACGTGAACAAGCTGTCCTCCAGGCTGCGGATGCGAGTCTGGGCCTGGCCCTCGGGTGACTGGGGATCCTGGGCGGCGGGGTCCCCGGGCTGCTGCGGGGTCTCCGCGGCGCCGTCCATCAGCCAGCGCTCGCGCAGGGATTTCCTCTGCGCACAGGAGGAGCCGCGCTGGGCTCCCGCGGTGCACCCCGTGCGCCCCGCCCGTGCACCCCGCGCGCCCAGCAGCCTCGCGGACTCTGGGGCGCCCCGCCCCGGCCCCCCGGCTTCCGAAGGGGCGGAGAAGCCAGTGCCCCACCGCCACGCTGGGGACCCCGACCCAAAGCTGACCGGGCCCCCCGGAACTGGGACACGACAGTCGCCCCCACGGCCACCGCACCCACGCTCCGATGTGGGAGAAGCCCGGGCGGCGCCCGCACCTTGAGCCGCTGCACGCGCAGCTTCTCCTCCTCCAGCTCGCGGCGTGCGGCGCGGATCCGCTCCTGCAGCCGCCGCTTCTCCTGCGCAGAGCGCGGGCTGGGCGGGACCTCCTCTCCCCCTTCCCTTCCCTCCCCCTCCCCTCCCGGGGGTCCAGCCCTGCTGGGGGGTGGGGTATGAGAGGGGGAGGGGCCGTCGAGGCGCTGACTCAGCAGCGGCAGCGGGCAGGGGGCGTGGCCGAGAGGCAGCGGAGGCCACGCCGCGCCCAATAGGGGTCCTGGAGGGGTTGGGGGGCGGAGCCTCGGGTAGGGAAATCCAGTCGGAGGGGATCCCCGGATCCGGTGCGCAGAGGTGGGAGGGGTCTAGATTTGGGGATGCGCAGGAAGGTGTCAGTCCGAGGTGGGGTACAGCTGGGAGAACCCCGGAGAGACCAGGGAAGAAGTGGAGAACAGAAAGATGGGGCACAGAGATGCAGATCAGAGATTTGGGGGGTCAGAGAAGTGGGGGTGCAAATATGGGGGGGCAGGGAAATCGGGGTCCAGAGGAGGGCTGGGAAGTGATGCAGAACTCAGAGAGTTGGGGGCTGAGAGACAAGAGTACGAGATGGAGGCGGGGCGGAGTCCGCGGAAGGGCTGGGCCAAAGGGTCCCTAGGGAGGGCTCCAGGGATGGGGTGCTAAGCCGCAGGGCTTGGCAGGGGCTCGGACATGGGGTGTCTGGGAATGTCTGGGCGTGCCGGGCTGCAGCCCCACCTTTCCGAGGGAGCAGAAAGCGGGAGAATGGAGGCGGCATGCTGGGGTTTATGGGGTGCCCTGGACCCGGCAGGGGAGGGAGGCCTTGGGGTTCCCGGGCGGGGTCACTTACGGCGATGACCTCCAGCCGCTGTCGGTAGAGGGAGCTCTCGGCCACCGGCCTGCAGGAACAGGGACCCCTCACTCAGTGCCCTGCCCCGGGGCACCCTAGACCCAGAATCCAGAACCCAGCCTCTGCTCCCCGTGGATCCCTGGGAGGCTCCCGGGCTCAGGGCGAGGGTCCAGTGCGCGGAACGAACCGAACCTGAGCCCAAGAGGGTCACACCACAGGCCTCCCCCAGTCTGAGGTCGCCTCTGTGTCTCAGTGGCCTCTTCAGCAGTGGACTGGGCAGGGGTGGCCCAGTCCTCCGCCTCCCAACCACTGCACAAGGAAATGGCCTTCCGGGAACACAGACGGAGCGACCCAAAATAGCACCGTGGCGGTAACAGCCTAATGACAGGACTGTCGCGATCAGTGCTAATGGACCCTCCTGTGTCTCTGGCCAGCTCCCCTCCTCCCCGGACCTCGGCTTTACCCAGGATCCTCTAACTGCTGAGGGGGGGGTTGGGGAGTCTGGGTAGAGAAGTGGCCATCTGTTGCCATGGTTACCTGGCGGCACCTCCTCCACCTGGCCTCCTGGGAGCAAGGGTCACTGGGTCACGCTGTCCAGTGCTGGACTCTGAGCTTCAAGGAAGGGGACCCCTGGTGTAAGGTTTAACCTGAGGTCTCCCCGTCCTTATTCGTTCTTTTTTTCCCCCCAGTGCTATGCTAGACCGGGCATTAAGCCCAGGGCCTCTGTAGTGAGCTACACCCCCGGGGCGTTTTGTATTTTTTTATTTTGAGACAAGGTCTGGCCACATTGCTATACTGCCCAAGCTGGACACTGGAAGTTGAGATCCTCCTGCCTCAGCCTCCCTGTGTGCAGAGTCGCTGTTGTGGATCCTACTTCCTCAGCCACTATCTAGCAAATGGCATCTGTCTGCTTGTCACCCTGTGACCCAGCCATGGCTGGGTACAGAAAGATCTCAGAGGACACATCTATTTGCACAAAGCCCTTGGGAGAGAACATGGTCTCATCATCCTCATCATCACTGCCCCATGGGCTCCAGCTGGGACCTTCCAGACCACCCCGGACACCCAGGGCTCCTAGGAGCCCACAGCCACCGCCCCCTGCCTGCCCCATCCCAACTCTATGGCCACCACGCACCCAGGGCTCCAAGTGTCAGCTGGTCTCAATTGGCACTGACTCCCTCCTCCCCAGAGGGGAGTGGTAATGAGGTCCCCATCTGACAGGTGAGGGAGGAGACCAGTCCTCTGAGAACTGGCAGAAGGCACTGGCAGGAGCCCACGCCTGTATTAGATGCTCTGTGAAGCCCAGCATGTTGGCCCATGCCCTGTCATCCCAGCACTAGGGAGACTGAGGCAGGAGGATCACTGCGAGTTTGAGGGCAGCCTGGGCTACAGAATGAGCTTTAGGCCAGCCTGAACTGCATAGCCAGACCCTGTCTCCAAAAGACCAAGATATAAACAAATTAAATAAATGCTTGGTGAACCCTCCAGGCCAGCGCTGAAGCAGGAGGATGCGAAGTTTGAGTCCCAACTGGGCAATGCAGTAAGACTCTGTGGGTATGTGGCTCCCCATAACACACACAGGCACACGCGCATACACACACACGCACACACACAGTGCGGTCATTCACTTTGTCTTCCTATACCCCTAGCAGGTAAGGATCTGAGCAAGGGTCACTTGAGGTCCTCAGCCCCCAAACGCTAGAGAAACCCTGCAACCGGGGTTAGAGGTTCTCAAGAACCCCATCTGGCCACAAGAAGGCTGGAGGTCATTGGGGGTCCTGACCTCCGTTGGGATGGGGACTGGGGTTCCGCGCAGCAGGGGTCCCTAAGGGACCCAGGCTCCCCACTTCTACACCTGCCCTGGGGAGCACTAAAGTCCCCAAGATGTAATCTCCCTGCCTCTCTCTGCCGGGGGGTGATCGGGTTCCCGTTGCTGGGCACCCAGGTGTGCAGCTGGTGAATAATGCAGTGTGGGACCCAGAGGGGTGAGGAGCAGAATTGGGGTCCCTAGGGGGGAGCCCCCTCTCTAGCCTCTTCCCAGACCCTTGGCACCTTCCCCACCCACTCATTTCAAGGAGTCCTTTGAGCTTGAATCCCACACATTCCCCCTGCGACAGGGAGGTCACTGCTGGTGGCCACAGCTCCGGGGGCACCCAGGGCCGCTGGGACCACATCCTGCAGCCATCAACACCGCTTTGCAGTTTGGGGTGGGGGTGCTGCTTTCTCCGTGGAGCTCAGACACAGATGGGGTGACCCTTGGGCCAAGGCACATGAGGACACCCCGGGATGACCCCTCATCCCAGTGGTGTAATGGCCCTACACCCCGGTCCGCTTGTGCAGAGCCCCCAAAGAATGGGTACCTGGGAGCCTGCATGGCCCCTTCCTCTCTGGAGAAAGGGGCTGAGGGAACCCCAAAGAATCAGTCACCTGCACCTCTCCTGCCCTCGGTGCCCTTGAGAGAGGCCAGCCAGGGCTATCGGAGCCCTCAGAAACTCCCGCCCCCCACCCCGTCCCCACACTCACATGGGAGTGGCCGGAGCCCACGCCTGGCTCTGCAGGGCCATGTCCGCCCCAGCCACCCTGTCCGGGCTGGCGGGCGATCGAGAGCACCAGACTGCTGGCCACCTGAAGGTGTCCCTGGTGGGACCTGCGGGTGGGAGGGGGCCGGGCGGCACCTGGAGAGCTGGTCTGGCTGGTTTGGGCTGGGAGGGAGGTGGAGGCAGCCGGTCTGCTGGGGGAGGTGGCAAGGCTGGGGCCACCCAGGGAGGTGCTATCAGCTGTCCCATGAATTATTTACCAGCCAGCAGGGCCTGCGGGCTGCTGCCCAGAGTCCAGAGGAACACGCACTGGCCCGCGTGGTGGGGCAAGTGGCCAGGCCATGCAGGGGGCGCTGACCTGTGCAGACAGCGCTGACCCCCAAAAGCCACTGCACACCAAAGGTCCTAGGACCAGGTGCACAGAGTGGGGGCACTATCCATCTGGGACACCCTGAGTCCGGCTAGCTGGGCGCTGGGGGTGCTGGGGACACTGGACTGTTTGCTCCCCACCCTGTTCTGGGCCTCAGCTTTGCACCTTGCTATAGCAAGGTGTGTGGTGTGGGGAACCACCTACCCAGACCCCATCCCCTAGGTCCTCACGGGAAATGGACCCAGAAGTTTCTGTGCTTCTGGGCCACTGAGCCACACTCTTGGTCCTACAAATTTATCTATTTATTTTTTGATACCAGGAATCAAACTCAGGACCTTGCCCTTGCCAGGCAGGTGTTTGGGCCACTAAGCTGCATCCCTGGCCCTTAAATTTTGTTTTGAGACAAGGTTTCACTAAGTTGTCCACACTGGCCTTGAACTTGTGGTTTTCACCTGGGCATGGTGGTGCACATCTGTAATCCTAGCACCTAGGAGGCTGAGGCAGAAGGTGTCACAAGTCCAGGCTCAGACTGGCAATTATTTAGCAATTTAGAAAGACCTCCTCTGAAAAGGGCTGGGGATGTCACTCAGTGCAAAGGTCCTGGGTTCCAGGACCCAAATAAAACAACAAAAATATTGGCGACCCTCCTGCTTCAGCCTCCTGAGCACCTGGGGTTACAGGTTTGCACACATGGCTTCCCACTGCCATTCAAATCTCAAGGGTCCTGGTCAGACACCCCATCTCCTTCTTAAAGGGCCACCATCCTTTCTGCCAAGGCAGGGGGTGCTGGTGCCTCCCCACCAGCAGCCCAGCTCACACCACATGGGTCCAACTTGCACCAGACAAACCCAGGCCAGTTTGAAGACACCTGCTCTTAGGGACCTTTTGGGAAGGGTCTTGCCATTGTAGCCAGGAAAATGATGACTCCTCCCACTCAAGCTCTGTCCTTCCTTTGCTAGTCCACATGGCAGGATGTGGTGGGCAGGTCAGCAGAGGGTCAGGGGAGAGTGAGCACAGAGGAGGGTGGCCCTGCTATGCTGGATCCTGTGGGAGGTGGAGGCTTGCTCACCTACGTGTGGCTTCAGAAGAAGCTGAGTATGGAGGCGCACGCCTGCAATCTCAGCACCTACGACACTGAGGCAGGAGGATTGCTGCCTGGGCTACAAAATGAGTTCCAGGTCAGTCTGAACTACAGAGCGAGACCCTGTCCCCCCCAAAAAATATATTATCTGGTGAAATCCTAGCGCAGTGGTGCACACCTGTCAGCCCGTACTCAGGAGGCTGAGGCAAGAAGATTGCCACAAGTTCAAGGCCAGCCTGGGCTACAGCGGGGAGACCATGTTATAAAAATCCAAGAGCAAGGAGGGCAGCATAAGTGCCTGCCTGGAAATCACAAGGTCCTGAGTTCGAGTCCTGGTACAACACACACAATTTTATGTCAAGTCAGTGTCTTGTTAAGTTGCCTTCGCAGGGCTGGGACTTATGGTCCTCCTCCCTGAGCCTCCTGTGTAGCACAGGGCCCAAGGCTGTGCCTCCATTCCTGGCAAAACTGTACCTTTACGGGCTGGGGATTTAGCTCAGCGGCATAAGCACCTGCCTTGCAAGCAGGCAGTCATGAGTTCAATCCCTGGTACTGATAAAAAACGAAAAAGACAAAAAAAAAAAAGAAAAAAAAACCAAAAAACTGTACCTTTACATTTTTTTCTCCTTTTTCTCATTTTCTTTTTTTAAGAGAAAGGGTCTTTCCATGTCACTCAGGCTGGCCTTGACTTCTAGGTTTAAGTGATTGTCCTGTCTCAGTCTCCCAAGTAGCAAAGATTATAGATGTGTGCCGCTGAGCCTACCCTAAATGGCGAGAATTCACTTGTGATGGTGATGGTGGTGGTGATGATGGTGATGATGATGGTGGTGGTGATGGTGATGGTGTGAAACTCAGGGCCTTGAGTGCTAGGAAATGCTCTACCACTGAGCCGCGTACTCTAAGGTACTTTTCAATCCTATGGGACACACATACCAGCCTTTGCCACTCTGTACATGCACTGCCAGCATCAGCTTCTGTGTTTGGCTTCTCTTTTTGAGGCTGGGTCTCACTAGGTAGCCCAGGCTGGTCTTGAACTCACTCTGTAGCCCAAGTTAGCATCCAACTCCCAGCAATCCTCCTGCCTCAGCCTCCTGAGTGCTGGGATTACAGCATGAACACCCAGCCTTCACCTTGCAAAACATTTTCATCACCCCAGAGGGAAGCCCTAGCCCTACCTCCCACCCCTCTCCCCAGCTTTGGGAATCATCGGCCAGGGTCTGCCCTTACAGACTTGTTCCCAACACTTCATAGTAACGGGATCACATACTATGGGAAGGCACCACAGGGCCGGGCTTCCATCTCCCTGTGTCATGTGTTCCAGGTCATCCGTGTTGCAACGTGGACCAGTGCTGTTCCTTTCTGTCCTTTCTTTCTTTTCCATTTATAGATGGGCCATGCTGTTGATTCAGTCATCTATCATTGGACAGTTGGGTTGGTTCTACTAGACAATGTAGTTTATTTGTTTGTAGGTTGACTTTATGACTGTCTGTTCAGTGTTAGGTGGGAGTGGGGTGCATCTTGTTTTCCCTGCATTCTGAGGGGCTGAGACGGGAGGACTGGAAGTCTGAGCCCAGCATGGATGACTGCATCAGTCAGCTTTTCCACTGCTGGAATCCCCGACATTGGCAATTTAAGGAGTGGGTTGTCTGTCTTGCGGATTCAGAGAGTTCAGTCCATGGTTGGCGGTTCAGAGGCAGAAGCTGCACGGGGAAGGCCCTGGAGGAAGACACTGCCCACACCATGGCAGCCAGGAAGCAGACAGTGAAGGGAAGGCAGGGTCCAGGTGACCCAGGCCCCCTCTCCGCATGGGACTTGAAGGGACATTTCTTTTTCTTTTTTTCTTTTTTCTGGTACCAGGGATCGAACTCATGACCGCCTGCTTACAGGGCAGGTGCCTATGCCGCTGGGCTAAATCCCCAGGCCCAACATTTTATTTTTCATTTTGTTTTGTTGAGACAGGGTCTTGCTATGTAGCTCAGGCCGGCCTCACACCCAGGGCGATCCTCCTGCCTCAGCTTCCCGAGAGCTGGGCTGAGAGGTGTGCGCCATGGCATCTGGTATCGGGGCCACTTTAGATCTGGGCCATGACAGCAAGGTACCAGTGTGGCAAGAGCCCGACTGGGAATAAAAGGTAGCAAGGGCTGAAGATGCAGCTCTGGGCAAAGGCCCTGGGCCTTGTTGGAGAACAAACCTTCTCGTGTTGCCTTGGGTACCACAGGGTTAGCTGTCCCGTGTCACAACCGTCTGTGTCCCAAGCTAGGTGCACACCTGCCATCCTGGCACTCAGAAGGCTGAGGAATTTTTTTTTTTTTTTGTATCAGGGCAGAAACTTCGGGCTATTCTACCACTGAGCAGCACCCTCAGCCCTTTTTATTTCTCACTTTATGCACATAGTTATTTTTTGTTTGTTTTTGAGACAGGGTCTCATTCTGTAACCCAGGCTGGCCTTGAGCTCAGAGACCCTCCTCCCAGTGTGCTGGGATGACAGGGCTGGTTATTTCTTTATTGCAGTCCTGGACGATAAACCAGGGCCTGCACACTGAGCAGTGCTCTCTGTCCTTTTTAAACAAATTTTTAAAAGTTTTGGAACAGGGTTTGGCGTAGTCACTGGGTTGCCCATTCTGACCTCAGACTCTAGGCCTTCCTGCCCCAGTCCCTGCGGAGCTGGGGCTTCCGGTGTGCGCCACTCGCCTGCTGGAAGGGGAATTTGTATCCTAGGTTTGGTGGCAGAGTTTGGGCAGAAGGGCCAGCGGGGTCCAGGGTGGACAGGATGGGTGGGTTCAGCATAGGGCTGGAGGCAGAAGCACGGGGCTTCCTGGGGGACTGGGCAGGGGCTGAGGAAAGGGCGATGGGGGCTCACTTCCAGGTTTCTGGAACGAAGGACCAAAAGGCTGGCATCGCCTGCCACACAGAATGCCAGGCAGTGGAATCCAGGGGAGCCAAAATCCAGCTCTGGAAACATCAGTCTGAGCTCTGCGTGACCCTGGGCCTCCGATCTGCGCTTCAGGTCCAGGGCAGAGATGTAAACCTGGAAGATATTGAAGTTGAGACGATCCATGTCTTTTTCTTTTTTTCATAGCTCGGGTTCTAATTTGTTTTTCTTTTTGAGATAAATTCTCTCCAAGACATTAAGTTGCCCAGGCTGGGCTTGAAGTCGTCATCCTGGGCTGTGGTTCCCGTTAGATACCGCCAAAGCCAGCCAACTGATGAGAATTTCAGGGTCTCAAAGTTAATGCTGGTCCCATGGGAAAGCACCCTGCTGCCCCTGGAGGGGCTGGGGGCCACGGAGCTGGGACGGCCCCTGCGACAGGGAACCCCAGGTTTTCCTCCTGGAAGTCAGGTACCACTGTCCCCATCTACAAACTGGTGCCCAGCCCTGCGGCAGGGGTGTCTCACCTTGCTCAGGCTATGAACAGGATGGACGCCCACCTGGCTTGGTTCTAAAGAGGCTGGTGAAGTCGGAGGATGGATTGGTCGGGGTTTGGGATAAGGAGAGGGAAGGGGATGCTCTGGGATGCTGAGGCAGGAGGGTTGCTAATGCAACCCCAGTCCTGGCAAGTTAGTCTTCGGGGGACCCTGCCCAGAAACAAAGAACTGAAGGCTGAAGGAGCTCAGTGGAAAGGGTTCAGCCCCATTACTGAAAAAGAGGGTGGTGTGGGGAAAAAGGGAGGAGGTAGCTCAAGAGCAAAGGTTAGGCCGGAAGGGTGATTAAATAGTCAAATAGGTGGGTTCCTGGGTATTCCTGACGCTGTGTGGCCCTTCCCGTTTTGAGTAACTTTTTCCTTTCATCCGGGTTATCCCAGATGGGGAGGGTGGATGTTCTGGCAAAATCCTGGTTCTGCTTGACCATTGTAACCGCAGCACTCTGGGAGGCTGAGGCAGGAGGATCCCAACAGCTCCAACCCAGCCCAGGCACTTCAGCGACACAGCGCGACCCTCGCTATTTAACAGGGATGTTTAGATGTACTGGGCTCCGCGTGGGAGCGTAGATCCCACCCTTGAACCTGACCTGGTCCCCGGCCCAGTTTGTGTCTCCACTCACGCCACCTGCTAGTGCACTTGGCCGCACCTGCAGGCCGCTGAGGATCCCGGTCCGGGATTTGGAGGCAAGTGGGGGGGGACACCCAGGTCCTAGCGCCCCCTGAGACCTTGGCCAGGGTCCGGGCGCCAAGTGGAGTCCCCAAGGCTGGACCAGGAGAGTTTGCAGGGGGCTATGGAAACGGGGGCCGAGCACCACCAGCAGGACACGGCCCTGGAGCTGGGCGCCCCGAGCTGACCCCGCAGACCGCTCAGCCCCGCCGACCCCCCACCGCCCTGAGGGCGGAGCCAGGGCGGGGCCAGAGTGGGCGGCAGGTGCGCGGCAAGCCTGGCCCTGCCCTCGGGGCCCTCCGAGGCCACAGGCGGGTCAAAGCCAGCGGCGGGCAACGCCCCGGGACCGGGAGGCGGCTACAGCCACAGGTGCTGCGCGGGGCACCAGGTCAGCGCGGCGCCGGCACCCGGGGCTCCCAGACTGCTCGGAGCCCTGGACACCGAGGCCCCCGGGCCGGGCGGTGGGGTCCCTGAACTCCCTCTGAGCAGGACGTTGAGGCCCCCCAAGCCGGACAGCGAGTCGCCGCGGCCGCCAGAGGAGCAGGACGCCGAGCGCCAAGGACCTGCGCGGCCGCGGGCTCTGAGCGCCCAGGGCCAGAGCGCGCTGTACCCAGCGCGGAGGCCCGGGGCAGCGCCCACCTGCAAGGCCTGAGCCCCGGCTCCAGGTTCCTACCCCGAGGCTTTGGAGTAGCGCCGGCCGCGGGCTCCGGAAAGCCCCAGGGGCGCCCCATGGAGACGCCCATCGAGCGCGAGATCCGCCGTAGCTGCGAGCGGGAGCAGAGCCTGCGCCGGAGCCGGGGCCTGAGCCCGGGCCGCGCAGGCCAGGAGCTCGTGGAGCTGCGCGTGCGGCCGCTGCTGCACCTGCCCGGCCCCAGCCCCGCGCTCCCGCGCGCCGTGGAGCGCGCGCGAGCAGGCGCGCAGATGCAGCGGGACATCGAGCGCGAGGCGCACCGGCAGGCGGCGCTACTGCGCCGCGCGGGCTCCGAGCCGAGCGTCGGGCCGCCACCGCCGCCACTGGGAGAGCTCCGGCGCTTCTTCGAGGCCGCGGCTGGGGGCGGCTCCGCGGCGGGGGACGACGCGGGGGGCGCGCAGCAGCTGCCCGAGGCCGGGACCCGCGCGCAGGGCCGGGGCCTGGGGTTGGCGCGCACCCCGCCGCCCCTCGCGCCGTCGCTGCTGGAGCAGGAGGTGCGCGCGGTGCGCGAGCGCGAGCAGGAGCTGCAGCGGCAGAGGCGCAGCATCTACGGCACTACTGAGTTCAAGGAACCCGCGCCCAGTCTCACGGGTGAGCCGCGCGCTTTCCCGGGCGCCCGGATTCTTAGGGGCCTGCCTCCAGTCTCCCAGATTCCAGGGAGCCCTGCTCACCCCTCTGCGTCCCATTCCACCTGAAAGGATGGAGTCCAGATCACACCACCGAGGCTTGGGGAGGGGGTTCCCTGCTCCTCATCCCCAGAACTGGGCGGAGGCCCCCATGGGGACAGGTGTGTTTGTGTGGACACCTGTATGTATTTAAGGGGCGCGGCCTCTCTGGTGATAGGAGGGACCCCAGCTGACTGTCTCCTCCCTCGCAGCGAGCCGGGGTGACGGAAAGCTGGCAGTGACCTGGCCCCCCCGCAGAAAGGCCCCAGACAGCGGCCTGGAGCAGGTGGGAGACCCCTGCACGCCCCCCAATTCCACCCCCCACTCCCACCCGGGTCCTGTGGCTTCACCACTGCCCCCGCGGCGCCAGGACGCGGAGTGGGGAGAACTGCACCCTCCAGGCCCCTGGAGTCCTAACTGCATCCAGAACTCAAAGTCGGGGCGCAGTCGGACTGGAAGGGTGTGCAGCAGGCGGTGATCCTGAGGGCCACATCCCACCCTGCTGGCCTGACCCGGTGCTTGGGTCCCTCCCTGAGCGCGGCCTGCGTCTCCCCTCCCCAGGAGCAGCGCAGACCCTGAGGCTGAGTGCTCTGGCCGGAAGTAGCGCCCTGGGGCGAAGGCCCAGCCTGGCGCTCTCGACCAGCAGGAGGCGGAGGCGGCCCGGACGGCCTGGCCCTGTGCGCTGGACACTTGAGATCGAGCTGCGTATCCTTGATCTTGGCCCCCGGGTACGCGCCAGGCCCCTCTATAAACTTTGGTCTCCTTTAGGACCCCGGCCATCGCCTGCAGCTGTGTGTGGCACCCACCGCGCTCCGCTCCCATAACTAGGCTCTGGAGCGCTGGTGCCCCGCCGCACCAATAAAGCGCCCTCCTTCCGGGCGGTGCAAGTTGCTTTCCTCTGAATCCTCGTGTCTGGGCTGGGGTGGGCGGAGGGAGGGTGAGCCGGCCGCCAGGCGCCGGGCGGAATGCGGGAATGCGCCCTCCTCCCGGGCTGCTGGCCCGCCCCGGCCTGCCTGCCTCCCGCTGCCCCCTGGCGGCGCGGGCGCAAAACGTGGCGCTCGGCATAGAAGCGTACGCCGCTTCCTAGACTTCAACTTTTCCGTGTGCAGCAGCAGCAGCGGGCTGAGCTCTAGGCCCCTGTGAGACCGAAGTCACGTGAGCTCTTGTTGCTCTGGGGCTGTAAACAATACCTTAGAGAAAAGAGGCCGGGAGACTCCGGCCGGCTCCTGCTCCCCTCCCAGGCATATCCTGGGCCGCCTCCTCCTCCTCCTCCTCCTCCTCCTCCTCCTCCTCCTCCTCCTCCTCCTCCTCCTCCTCCACCTCCTCCACCTCCTCCACCTCCTCCACCTCCTCCACCTCCTCCACGCAGCTTTCCTCTCTGTCCAACAGCAGTATAGGAGTTGGGGCAGAGCCTTTGCTTTCCAAAAACCAACCGGGGCCCAGGAGTTCAAGGCCAGCCTGCTAACATGAGCAAGACTCTCAAAAGCAAAGAGCAGCAAACCAGCTATGGAAAGAAAAGCGTAGGGGACGGACAGCTCAGAGGTAGAGCTGGCTCCAACACCTGCCATGCTCTGATCCAACCCCCAGCCTTTGCAGGGGGCTCCATTCTCAGCTATTTAAAAATGTTCTTGGGCTTTTTTTGTTTTGAGACAAGGTCTCCCTAAGTCACTAATTTGCTCAGGCTGTGCTCCAACTTGCAATCTTTAGGGAGACATTGTCTCAAAATTAAAGCGGGCTGGGCATGATGGCGCACACCTGCCATCCCAGCATGTGGGAGGCTGAGGCAGGAGGATCGCTGGGAGTTCAAGGCCAGTCTGGGCTCCACAGTGAGCTCAAGGCCAACCTGGACTGCATATCGAGACCCTGTCTCAAAAAGGCCTCTCAAAAAGGCCAAAAAAAAAAAAGAAGTAATGCTCAGGGTGAGATCCTGGGTTCAGTCCTCGCTGCCAGAAAAGTCTTGGCTGTATGTCTGCCCTCTGCATCGGGGAGAGAACATGTCTGGTGAGGAAGAAAATAGAGGAAACAAGCACTGTGCCAACCAGGAGCCCTGCCCACCCCAGGAAGGGCCTGTCCGTGCTGTCCTGCACAGGCAGACCACATACCTGACCACCACTCGAAAGTCCAGAGACAAGGGCCGGCTGGAGCTGCCAAGATGGGACGTGGAAACAGAGTTTGGTTTTTTGTCTTTTTGAGACGGTCTCGCTGTGCAGTCCAGGCTGGCCTTAAGCTCACTTTGGAGCCCAGGCTGGTCTTGCACTCCCAAAGATCCTCCTGCCTCAGCCTCCCGAGTGCTGGATGACAGGCTTGTGCCACCACGCCTGGCAAGAGTCCATTCTTAATTCCCAGGAGAAAGCTAAGAACTCATTTGAGAACAGAGGGGACTGTTTGTAGACTGGAGGTTTTCTCCCTTTCCTGAATATTAAACTTAACCGAGGTCCCTTGTGCCAAGTATTTCTGAATGGCGGTGACAATCACAGATTATTTTGTTTTGTTGGGGAAGGACTATAGGGGTCAAAATCCAAGACTTTCTTGGTGCACACGTGTGCGTGTGTACGTGCGTGCGTGCGTGTGTGCGTGTGTGTGTGTGTGTGTGTGTGAATTTGAGACAGGGTCTCAGTATGTAACCCAGGCTGGCCTTGAACTCAGAGCCATCCTCCTGCTTCAGCCTCCTGAGTGCTGGGATGATGGGCTGTGCCATCAGGGCCTCACATTCTCAGTCTGATGTCAGCATTTTTTAAAGCTCTCCAGGTTAACCAGGCCCTGTGGTACAGGCTTGGCATCCTAGCTCCTCGAGTCTGAGGCAGGAGGGTCACCAACTCAAGGCCAGGCTATCCTGGACCATCCAGTGGGACCCTGTCTCACAAGAAAAAAGGACTGGGGGTGTCGCTGAGTCCATTCCTGATGATGAAACTGCACGAGACTCTAGACTCTGATGTAAGAGTTTTTTGAAAATCATGGGTTCAGACAGTTCCTGAGAAAAAGGACCCAGCAAATGAAGCTGTCTCCTTCCTCTTCCAACACTGCCACCGCCCCACCAGAAGCCGTTAGTTTGCAAGCAAACAGTGGATTCAGCATGCAAGGGACAGCCAGAGGCTGCTTGTGGCCAGTCTGAATTGACACACATTCAAAGCGTTAAATACACAGCAGTTTGCTTATTTTTTTTGAGACAGTCTCTCCTTGTATAGTTCAGGCTGGCCTGGAATTCACAGCGATCCTTCTGCCTCAGCCTCCTGGGTGCTGGGATTACAGATGTACACTGCCATGGTTACCCCACAGCAGATTTCCAAGACTTAGTACATACACTCAAAAAGAAACCATATTCATGTTCTTGCAAAGTTATTATTTTGAAAACGATCTTTTAGCCATATTGTATTAAATAAAAATACCACTTAAAATGAATCTGATTGGCAAGCATGAGTTTGTGAGTTTGATCCCTGGTACCAAAAAAAAAAAAAAAAAAAAAAATCTGATTTTTTATTTTTGAAATGCTGGGCGTTGCACAGTGCCTGCCTGGCAAGTGCAAGGTCCTGGGTTCAATTTCCATACTCCCCCCCCCCACTGCCACAGCCGCAAAAATGCTGGGGGTTGAACCCAGGGCCTCACATATACTAAGTGTACACTCTGCCACTGAGCTGCACCCCAGCTTGTTTTTAAACTGTGGCCACTAGAGAACTGAAATTACATGTGATACACATCTGTGGTTTATTTTCTAGTGGGCCAGGCCAGTCTAAAGAATCTTACAGCCTGTGGAGAAACTACAGGGGGTACCTCAAATTAGCATCAGGAAGCCTCAGAGTCCCCCTTCCCCCATCCTCCAGGCCCTGGATAAACGCTACAAAAAATTATCCTTGACACAGAAATAGTCACCAAGCCCTGCTGGAAGAATAGACTTGCTGCTCAACCCTGGCTCCTTCACCACTCACAGACACTTTTCATATCTGTAAATGGGATTCAGAATAATCTGTGCCAGGGGCTGTTAGGGAGGTGACTGCTTTGCTCAGGAGCTCGTAGGGAAGATAAAGGGTGTGGAGGGGAAAAGTACTAAGTTGTGTCGTGTTCATGCATCAACTCCCCACGATCAATACAGGCAGTATGTGCTGCAAACACGCATAATAAGTCAAAATAAAAAGCTGAAAACCCATAAGGCTCTTGGTCTCTTATTCTGACCCTAGGAAGCTGGATAAAGGGACCCGCGGTGGTAACCCCAGCACTATGAGAGGCTGAGGCAGGACGGTCTAAAGTTCGCTTAACTTGGTATTAAGCGTTCTCTTCTCAAAAAAAAAAAAAAAAAGAGCTCGGTACAATGAGCCCCGGATTCAGTCCGGAAAAGTAAAATGCCAGGGATCCAGAAGTTGTTCTACGATGCAAACCCCAGGCGAGGGGGGAGGCATTCCTTCGGAGGTGCCAGGGCGATCCGGGTCATACGGTTGGAGTCCAGCCTTGGCCACTTGCTCACCCGAGCACTTCTCCAGCCCAGGGTGGAGTAAAACTTAGAAGTCCCAGGCTGAGGTTTCCTAGGACTCCCCCCAACCCAGTCTGCGCCTCGGACACCCAGAAAGGACAGCAGCCTGTCGGGCTCCGAAAACCAAGCGCAGCAGGAGTAAAAAGTCCTTATTCCGCCCTCGCAAAATCCAGCCTGGAGCTCTTCTAGAGCACTCCGGGAAATACAGTCTTTCGACACTAAAAAGAAACCACTTCCGGGTGAAGACGCCGGCGTGGGCGTGGCTCGAAGGCCCTTCTCCAGTGGGCGTTGACTTTTCCCGGCTACCAGAAACTTGTGGTTTCCTGGCTTCCGGTTATTGACAGGCTGCTTCCTCTTTTGCTTCACGCACGCCTGTGCGCATGCGCCCCGCGCTTGTCTCATCTATTGGCTAACGAGTGTTGGCATTCGGAAGACTACTCTTCCCAGAGGGCGGCGGGAGAGGGCGTGGCCCGTTCGCCCCAAGGGGCGGGGTTCGGCGCTTGGAAGGGGACGCAGAACCTGTGACCTCTTTCTTTTATTTAACGTGAAATTCGGTTCGCACAGCTTACCCCGACCCGGCCGTCCTGGGAGCTCAGGCGACCGCACGCCCTGCTCCTGGAGGGCGGAGCAGCCCTGCTTCACTCAGCGCCCTGCGCCCGGTTCAGCACCCCCGCGCCGGCCCCGCCTGGCCGGCCAGCACCTGCAACAGCAGGTCGGTGGCCAGCACGTGCGACGGCTCCTCGAAGCCAATGGTCAGCAGCTGCTGGTAGTCTCCGGGCGGCTGCGGGCACGACACCCTGGGGGCCGGACACGCGGGCAGGCCGGATGTGAGCGCCGCTCCCTGCCTCCCTTCCTCCCTCTCTCCGTCCATCCCTCCTTTTCGCCCTCCCTGCTGGACGGCGGCAGCCCCAGCAGGCCAGGGCCCCCCGAGGGTGGGAAAAATCCCGGGGAAAGTGGTTTCCTTGTTGTGGAGGAGAAACAGGGTCGGGGCTTCCGGAGGAAGTTGAATAACCGGCCCTGACTCGCGCAGGCACTGCACTGTGTGTCCTTGGGCAGGTAACTTAACCTCTCTGGTCGATTCTCCACCCCACCCACCACCCATTGTAAAATGGGGCCTGTGGTACAGACCTCAGCGGGTTGTTACAGAGTCTGCATTAAACACTTCCGGGCACGAATGCTCTAGTTGTTGCCATGGGATGGGAAGCGTGGGAGGGGGTTGGATGGTTTGGGGGAGCTCAAGCCCACCCTGCACTGCCCCAGCCCCTACCATGAATAGAGGTCGTCGTCTTCCGGTCCTAGGGGGACCCATCTGCCGATGGACCACAGCTTCTGGATCTGGGGACAAGAAGTGGCCGGACTCTGGCCCGTGTCCTCCCACGTATCTCGGTAGCACAGGAAGTAGCTGGGAGGGGAGAGAGCCACGGTTCAGCCCCCGCAATGGCTCTGTGGTTCCCAAAGAAGCTGAAACCTTGGTGAAGTTGTGCTGAAATTCGCAGGAAGGGATGTGGCTCAATAGCGGGGCCTCAGGCCAGGCCAGGCCTGGTAGCCCTCACCTGTCATCCCAGCGCTCTGGAGGCTGAGGCAGGAGAGTGGCTGTGACTTCCAGGCCAGCCTGGCTTTACATAAGCAACACTGTGCCTCAGAACAAAAACAAAGACACTCAAACCCCAACAACAAGGCCTCTTCTCCTTCCCTGCCAGCCCACTTTTAAAAGAAGACTTAGAGAGTGAAGTTAAATCCATTTTATTTCAAAGAGAAAGAAAAAAATTAAAAAGTAAAAAAAGAATTGCAGGCCGAGGATGCAGCTCAGCGGCACAGCACCTGGCCTGGCAAGCTTGAGTTCAATTCCTCAGTTGCCAAAAAATAAGCAAATAATAAATTTAAAAAGAAAAAAGTAAACTCGGCATAGTGGCACAGGCCAGTCATCCCAGCACTCAGGAGGCTGAGGCAGGAGGGTTGCTGTGAGTTTGAGGCTAGCCTGGGCTACATAGTGAGCTCAAAGCCAACCTGAACTACTTGTTTAAAATGAAAGAAAGCAAGGTAATGGCTGGGGTTGTCTTGGTGGTGAAGCCTTTCCCTAGCTACCTAGCTTGCCCAAGTACCTGGCTTGCTTTCTGCTTGGTGTCGGAGGCTCGGACATTGGGTACAGACAGGGGAGGCCTGGGTGTGGGCAGGGAGGACTCACTAATCCACACGGGCGTGCTGCCCCTGGCTGCTGGGCTTAGGAGTGGTTTCCAGGTTCCAGCGCATCTTTTTGTAGAGGTAGCGGGGCTGACGGCTGGCGGTGTAGGCAGCCGGGGCGCAGTACCTGAAGATGGATACTTCCTGGAAAGGGTTGATGGAGAATCTGCCACAGAAGAAGCTGGAGATGCTGGCCGGAGATGGGACAGCAGAGGGTGACACTGGATCCCGGGCTCTGCTGCCCACCTGCCCGCCACCCCGGGTGGGTATCAGAGCCCCGTACCTCAGAGGGTCCGTCTCCTCCAGCTCCACGAAGCCGAAGGAGGCGTACATGAGGACCAGCTGCTCCAGGCACAGGGTGAGCTGCTGGGAGATGTCCAACAGCTGCGGACAAGGAGGCAGTGAGCTGGCCGGGCTGGAGGGGACCCCCCTCCCGGGCCTGGGCCCCAGAGGTTGCTGCACGCACCCCCTTCCGGACCATCTCCTGCAGGGCTCCGTGGATGGGCGGAGTGCTCCGTGCAGCGGCCTCCAGATACAGGAAGTACGGCTCGCACATCCTTAGGAAGGTGGGCATGGCCCTTGCAAGCTGCTCCTTCTGGACCTGGTCCCTGCTAAAGGGAGAAAGGGGTCCTTAGGCAGATGCCCCTGGCCCCTATTTCCCATTTACTCACCTTCCATGTGCATCCCTGTTCTGCCTTTTGGTTTGTTTTTTGTCTTTTTTTTGTATTTTGAGACACGGCCACATTTTGAAGTCCAGGCTGGCCTTGAACTCACAGTGATCCTCCTGCCTCAGCCTCCTGAGTGCTGGCTATTCCAGGTATATGCTATCGTGATGCCTTTTTTTTTTTTTTGTTTCCTGTGGGCAGAAAAGCCTTGGGTATGCTGGACTGGAAAGCACCCCACCTATACCCCAGTCTTGCCTGGTCCCTAGGTGCCAGGCCTTTCTCAGATCATCTTGCTCCACCTGCATCAAAGCCATTGGGAACCTGAGTTAAAATGCTGACACCCAGCTGGGCGTGTGGGTGTAGCATAGGCCAGGCCTGGAATCCCTGAACCCCTGAGGCTGAGGCAGGAGGATTTCCGAGAGTCCAAGGCCCCATCTAAATCAAGACCCCGTCTTAAAGAAACAAAAACAAAACCCCCCCAAAAGTTAACACCTGAGTTGCATAGCTGCTTCACTCCTAAAACTGCAAGGTGCAAACCCGGAAACCTCCAGTTTAAATAGTCTCCCAGGGGATTCCAATAGACCCTGAAGCCCAGAGCCAGCCTCCACTGCCTTGCTGTGGGCGTCACTTTGGCGGGTGCTTTCAAATGGAGTCCATGGGCCAAGGCCGGCTCATGGGGCTTGGGGAGACCAGCATGGGGTTCAGAATCTACGACAGCGTGTGCGCCCTTGATGCCTTCGCCCTGTGACAGCGCCGAGGCCCGGCTGCCTGTGCTGGGGACATTTCAGCCCCGCGGATTCCGCACAGCTGCTTCACGTTAGTGTTTCTGACTCTGGGACATGGCGTGGCTCGGCCGCTGGGGCCTGTGCCCAGTCCGCTCCCAGGGTCACCTGTAGAGCAGGTAGCTCTGGAAGTCGTCCGCCTTCTTGAGCAGGTAGCGCAGCTGCTCGGTGATGGGACTGAACATCGCGTCCAGGGTCAGGCGCGTCGGGGCCGCCACCGCGGGGCCTGCGTCCAGCGTGGCAGCCTCGGCCACCTGTACCTGGGCGCCCTCGGCCTCCGTGGCCGGTGGGTCCTCCGGCCTGCCGGGCGGCGTGGCCCACGACGGGTTCCCGCAAGGCTGTGCCCCGGGCTCCAGGTCCTCCAGGGCCGGTGGCGTTATCCCGGGGCCCAGCCCTGAAAACCACTGCTCGGTAGCCATGGGGGCACTGGGGGCGGGCACCCACGCTCCTTAATTCTCCGCGCCGCACGCGTGGCCCCGCCCCAGGGCTGGGACCGCCGCCTCCGCCTGCCTCGGCCTCCCCTCCGCTGCCCGCCTAGGGAAGGAGTTTGCCTCTTTTGAATTCCGGCTCGCGGCCGCTGAGCCCCCGCGTGCTTTGGGCCCCTGGCACGCGACGCGGGCGCGCACCCCGGCATCTGCGTCCTGGGGGTCCAGGAAGCCCAGGCCATAAGCCAGGGGGTGCGCGCGCGGTGTCACCGCGGTTGACCGCTGACAGTGCAATTCCCTCTGGTCGGTTTCTCTTGGCTCATGGCCTCACTGGCTGCCAGGTCCTGTGTGGGGTCCCACTCGGATATATTCAAAGGCTCCAGGCAAAGGTTCCGAGTGTCCACCACCACCTCGGGTGACTGCGTCTTTGCTGTCTGAACGAGTTCTCCTCTATAAAGTCGGTTTTTATGAGCTGTCTCAGGGCATCGCGGAGAGGACACCCCAGAAAATGCTCATAAAACATGAAGTTTAGTTAGTCACTCAACCAACATGTGAGAACCCACAGCAGGGAGAAAAAGACAGCATTCCCATCCCACAGCCTTTTTGTCCTTGCCACGCTGGCCAGCCTGCAGCAGACTCTGAGCTGGCTGTGGAGCTGTGCATGTAGCTGAGCTGCCCAGCGCCTGCTTGGCAAGCACAAGGCTCTGGGTTTGAGTCCTAACACCAAAACCAAAAGTACAAAAAAAAAAAAAAATCCAAAGTGAAGGCAGTGATTTACGGCTGGCTGTGAAGTGGACCCTATCACTACCCTTGCTGTGTCCCCGTTTTTGTCCTACCCTGAGGGGATCCTAGGAGGTGCTCCGTGCCCCTCCCCCACTCCATTCACAAAATGGACTCTTGATGTTTTTCTTTTTTTTTTAAACTTTATTTAAAAAACCTTCGGTGTAATATTAAAAAGCAATACAGCCAGCTGGAGCAATGCCTGACAGAAAGGGATGGGATAAGTCCCAGGGACCCCACCCAACTTGTCCCCCAACCCTCCCCCGTGCTGGAAGGCAGGGACAGCCAGCTGGGCAGGGGCTGAGGTGGTTGGGGAGGAGACCACCCACCAAAATGAACAGGCAGAACCATTTATATAGCAAACATCTGGCTGAAAATGATTTTTTTGGGGAAGCCCAGTTTTTTTTTTTTTCCAAAAAAAAGTCCTTGGGCCGGCAGGGGGGCTGGCCTCCTGGAGTCCCAACCCCTTACTCCGACGATTCTGGGGGCGCAGAAGATGCGGGGGTGGCAGGGGGAAATTGTGTGTGTGGGAGGCAAAAAGGGAATGAACAAGGCGCCCCTGGATGAAAATCTGTCACTAGGGCCCGGGTGCCCTGGTTGGCTCTGGACACTTGGGGAGCCATAGGGAGGGCAAGGCTCAGCCCAGGAAGCCGTCAGGGTCGTCATCCTCGAAGTGGCCCTGCTGCAGCACCTTGATGTGGTGCTCATAGATCTTCAGGGCCGGGCCCAGGCGGATGGAGAGGCCGGTGAGCACGTCAGTGCGCTGCATGAGCAGCAGGGACTTGCCATCAATCTCCTGGTGGACAAAGAGGGAAGGAGGGATGTGGGTGGGATGCACACCCTGGGGCAGGTGGTGGAGGGGGTGGGTCCGTCCTAGGCACAGACTCACCTGCTCCTGGAAGGCAGTGGCCTGCTCGGGGAAGCCGGCCTCGGTGAAGTACTCCACCACATCCATTACTGTCCACTCCACCGGGTCTGCTGGCTTCTCCTTGCGCCCAGGCCTGCAGTAGAAGAACCAACGGCCGGGTGGCCTCCAAGGTCCTGTGGCTGGCTCTCAATGCCTGAGCTGTCCACCCCCCACACCACCTTGAAGGCCCAACTTACGGACAGCCGAAGGGGGTCCCGTCCACCCCAGGGAGCGCTGGCTTTCCCGGGGGCAAAGGCACAGGGGATGGGGAATCTGGCCCCGTGGCAACAGAGGCTGCAAAAATAAAGCAGGAATGTGTGGCACTGCCCCAGCCCCAGCTCTCAGCCAGCAGCACCCCCTGCCCAACGGCACCGGTGCCGGTCCCAAGTCCTTACCGGATCCTCCTTCCTTACTGAGGGCCGTCAGAGAGAACACCTGGCGGGTTCCGCTGCCGGGTGCCGGGCCCCGCCCTTCGTCCTGCCCCGGGAGAGGCGCGCAGGGCGTCCACTCCTTGCCCCTCTCCTTAGCGCTGGGGGGGCCTCGCTCGCCGTTAAGCTGGAGGTGCTGGGCACCGGCGGCACGGTCACTCTCGGGCACTTCTGAGCCTTCAGAAACGTCGTCTTCGTCATCGTCGTCGTCTTCATCTTCTTCCTCCTCTTCTTTCTCAAGCACGCGCTCTTCTCCACTTCTCTGGACCCGGGGAGAGAAGCGGGGGAGGTTGGTGCCCTTGGAGTCCGGGCCCGAGCTGCCTGACCCGCGCCGCCTCTGGTGACTCCGTCGCCTAACTTTTCCACGCTCGCTCCACGCCGGGCTGGGCGCCCGGAGCCCTCCGGAGCTCCGAAGTCGAACCTCGCCAAAGTCGCTAGCAACCCCAAGGGGTCGCTACTGCGATCCAGCCGCGCTGACAGCGGTGGAAACTGAGGCTGGGGGCACATGGAGTCCCTCGCCAAGGTCACCAGGCACGGAGCCCGCCGGGGACGCGCGCATGGCCCAGGCCCTCACTACCCTACTCCTCCTGGGACCACAACTTCGCCCGCCGCCCTCACCTGCCCGCCGTGCGGCGCCCCACTCCCCGCGCGCTCACCTTGCTCCGCGACGCGCGGGCGCTGGCAGCCGGCGGGGCCCGTCCGGGCCTGTCCCCGCGTGGCGGTGCGAGCGCTCCGAGGCGGGTGCGCTCCGGGCGGCCCCGCGCCGCCGCCTCTTCCTCCAACAGCCCCTGCACGCGGCCGCGGGTCAGGCGCCCGCCCGCGCCGCTGCTGCCCCCGAGGTAGCGCACGACTTCCCGAAGGCTCACGGGCCGCGCCGGGCCCCCCGGGCGCGCCGCGCCCCCCTCCGGCGGCGGCTGCTGCTGCTGCTGCTGCTGCTGCGGCGGCGGCTGCTGGGTCGGCGCCGGCGGCGGCGGGGTCGGCGGCGGAGGCGACAGCGGCGGCTCCCGGGCGGCGACGGCGGGCGGGGGGGCACGGCGCGGGCCGGGCGGGGGCGCCACGGCCGGGGACGCGGCGGCGGCGGCGGGCGCGGGCGGCGGCGCGGTCAGGGGCGCGGCCCGCTGTGCGCGGGGGCCCGGCGGCGCGGGGCCGGGCGAGGGGGGCGCTGTGGCGGTGGCGCGGGGCGCCCGGGCCGGGGCGGCGGCAGCGGCGGCGGCGACGGGCGCGGGCGGCGGCGGCGGTGGGGCGGGCGTGGGCGGCGGCGCGGCGGCCGGGGCCCCACGGGGGGCGCGCGGCGGGGCGGGCGGGGTGGCCCCGCGGCGGGGCGGCTGGACGCGCGCCGCGTTGCGGTACGAGATGCTCCCCTTGTAGCTGACCCGGAGCACGGCGCGCTGCTGGATCAGTTTCTCGAGCTCGGCGCGCGTGCGCTCCGGCTCCGGGCCGTGCCGCCGCCGCACCATCCGGCAGATGCGCTCCAGGTCCGGCCGCGCCTTGCGCGAGCGCAGCGAGTCGATGGTGTCCAGAATCCACTCTTGGTAGTGCGGGGACGCGGCGGACGACGAGGTGGCGGCTGCCGTGGTGGCGGCCGCCGCCGTCTCCGGCGGGGGTAGGGCCGGGGGCCCCGCCATGCCTCCCGCCCGGCCCGGCTGCACCGTGCGCGCTGCCTCCCTCCCAGCGCGGCGCCCCCTCCTCGCGCCCCGCGCCGCTCCCCGCCCCGCGCCGCTGCCCGCCTCCTCCGCCTCCCCCCGGGGGGCGCAGCGCCTCGGCGGAGCGGCGGCGGCGCTGCTGTTTCTTTGCAAAAAAAAAAAAAAAAAAAAAAGAGCGAGAGAGCGCGCGAGAGAGAAAAAACAGTGAGAGAGAAAGAAAAGAGACAGGAAAATATGCACACACTCACTCACTCGCACGCACGCACACACGGCCCGCCGGTGCTGGGCGCGCGCGGGGCCGGGATGCGGGCGCGGGAGGCGGAGGGAGCGCTGCGCGGCCCCTCCCCGCCGCCGCCGCCGCTGCCGCTGCCGCCGCCGCACGCGCGCCCTGCGCCCGGGACACCCGGCCCCCCTTCCTGCCCGCCCTCCGCCTCCCGCGCCCGCCTTCCTCCCTCCCACCCCACGCGCCCGCTTTTAAGGTGGAGCCCGGGGCCCCCCGCCCGCCCCCTTCCTTGCGCTCGCGCTCACTCCAGCGCGCCCCGGCCCCCCCCCAACAACTCCCGCGCGCTTTTTAAGGAGGCGCCGCGGAGTTGGCGCCGGGGCGGGGGCGGGGAGCGCGTCGGGCGGGGAGGGGAGGGGGAGGAAAACGCGGGGGGAGGGGAGGGGAGGGGGCGGGCGGGGCGGTGCTCGGCCGCGCTCCAGCCATTGGGCGCGGGACCCAGACGTCCCCGGCGCCCAGCCCCCGCTCCACGCCTCCCGCGCGCTGCGCGCCGCTCGGCTCCGACCGCACCGGCCAGGAAGTCGCTGTCCGCGGGCCGCGACGCCGCGCCTGGGGCGCGCTGGGGATGCGAGGCTCTTCCTGGCCCGCTCGCTGGCTGCGGCCCCGGCTCGGCGGCTCTCGAGAGCGCCCTCTCGGCCCCGAGCGCGGAGGAGAGCGGGCGCGCGGAGAATTTGGGAACCCCCCTCCCGGATCCGGGATCAAAGGGCAGCGGGGCCCCCTCCTCCCCTCGGTTGAGGGCAGCGGCGGGACCGCAGCTGGCCGGGCCGGTCGGGATCGGGCCGGCGCCGCGTAAGGGGAGGCGGGCCGGGCCGAAAGTCTCCATGTAGCCGTAGGGTGTGGGTGGGAGCCCAAGTCGAGCAGCAGCCACACTTTTTTTTTAAACAAAACTTTATTGGTAATAGTTTTCAAATATGTTTACAACAGCACACTGTGGACAGGGATCTCACCCTTCGCCGCGCACGGGTCGATCGGCCCTGCGCCCACCCGGGCCGGCCCGCCCGAGAGCCCTGCGGCCGGGTGGCCGACTGCAGCGCGGGGTGGGGGCCGGGCCCCGCCTCACAGTGAGGGCCGGAGCACAGATCGGAACTGGGACGCGGGCGGGCAGCGAAGCGAGGGGCGGCCGGGCAGGGAGGGGCGCGGAAGCTGGGGCGCGCTGGCCCCTCCCCGGCAGCCCGGCTGGAACCCGCGCGGGGTGGGGGCGCTCTGCTGGCCCCAAGTCCTCTTGGGGGGTCGCCTTCCCAGCTGGGCTGAGGAGGCCGGGTGTTAAAATCAGAATAAAACGCAGGAATTTGGGGGCTGTGGCGGCTGCTGCTGTTGCTGAGAGGGGGGGGCCGTGGGGTCAGAATCCCCCTCTTTTGGGGGTCAGATCCTCTTTGGTAAGGAGATGGGTGGCTGCTTGGTCAGGCTTCCAAAGCCCGAGGCTGACGGTGGGGGTGAGATATGGGGGTGTCAGGGAGGGGCGGAGCCCCCAGCCGGGGTTAGCAGCTCAGGAGGGGGGCCAATCCTGGTTTCTTTCTTGTGAACTCAGTCTGCTTCCCAGGCTCCCTAAAATGGGTCGAGGGAGCTGGAGAAGGGATGGGGGAGGCACTGGTGGAACTTAAATAGATCTGAAGTTGTTTTTAAAAATCTCGAGCAACCAGCTCTGGGAGAAGGTACAGGGGTGTCACCAACGCACCCGCGGGTCAGCCTTCACCTGTGGGGTCTGGTGCGGGGCTGGGGCCACGCCCAGACCCCTCTGTCTTCTCCCTGGCTACGATGGACCAGCAAGACTTGGTCTGGAGGAGCCTGGAGCCTGGTTTCCAACCAGCTGAAGTGGGCTGGGGGTATCATTGGGAAGGGGGGCAAGAGGGCTGTGGGGCTGGGGGAGCAGCAGATCCCCCCCAAGGTCTGGGCTTCCTGGGCCCCCAACCCTCGAGGGTGGGCTGGGGTGACATCGGATGCAAGGAACTCGGGGCCCTCTGGCTGTTCAATCCCCCATCCCCCAAAAAAAGAAAAAGAAAAGAAAACAAAAGAAGAGTAAACTTTGGGGGGGCACAGGCACACCCCTAAAACTCAGAGAACTCCTTGCCGCATTTCTCATTGATGGAGACCCGGATCTCTTCCTCCTCGTAGTCATCGAAATTACTTGTGTCCCCAGCGCCTTTGAACTTTGGTATGAAGGGGGCTTCCACCTGGAGGGGACGGGTGGACCTCAGCGTGGCCCAGTGTCCAGTGCCTGACCCGTGCCTGGACCACATACAGGGGTGACCTCAAATTTAGCTACCTCTTGGCCCCTTTTTCTTTTTAAATTCAAGCCAGGGGCTTGCTCAGGTGGGGTTGTGATCCTCCTGCCTCAGCCTCCTGAGTAGCTGAAACTAGGCACCTTCTGCACAAGGCACAGTGGAAAACCGTAGGATTCCACTTCCAGCCCCCCTCCCTGGGCAAAGCTGCCTGCTTCTGGGTGTCCCCGTGTGTCAGCCCCCCCATCTGTGTCCCCCGCCAGCCTTCCCCACTCAGCTTCCCTGCCCCTCACCTTCCGCTGGTAGATGGCAATCCAGTCTGTGGTGGCAAACCACTTGTGATTCTTGATGTCGTTCACGCCGTTCTTGAGGTTCCCAAAGCGCTTGGTGAGGTCCACTTGCAGCAGGTTCCGCAGCAGGTCCTTCAGGTCGGAGCTGAAGTGGGACGGGAACCGCACCTGTAGGGCGAGGACAGCAGGCTGAGGTGAAGGCACAGCCGGGACCCTGCCTGCCCATGGCTGGGGTGCTGGAGCCGGGACCCCCTCCTGAGAAGCACCCTCTCATAGCTTTATAAATTTAGTCTCAGACAGAATTTTCCTAAATTGCCCAGACTAGGACTGAGCTGGCGACCCTCCTGCCTCAGCCTCCTGCCACTTGGCAAAGACTCTTTAAGACAGTGTTGCTTGGGGCTGGGGATTTAGCTCAGCGGCATAAGTGCCTGCCTGGCAAGCAGGCAGTCATGAGTTTGATCCCCAGTCCCTGGTACCAATAAAAAGGAAAAAGACAAAAAAAAAAAACAAAAAACAAAAAACAAAAAAACGTATTGCTGGAGGGCAGGAGCTCTGAAACACCATGCATACAAGCAAGACCTCTCCCCCCCCAGCCATGTTTTCCTATCTTTAAAGGGCAGTTCAGTTCCCCTACCACCCCCAGCCTCGGGTGCAAACACCCCTGGACCTCCAGTAGTGAGCGCAGACCTCTGGTCCCCACTCACTCTTGAGCTCACAAGCTGTGTGACCTTGGCCCCAGCCCTTAACCTCTCAGAGCCTGGGCCTGGGCCTGCCTCTGACTCCAGGAGGGAGATAACACCCGGGGCGGGGCATGGGAACTGGAGGGATGCAGGGATCCTGCTGGGCCTCCCTTCTGTCCTCTTCCAGGACTGCACTGTGCTCTGGGCCAGGTCTCCCAGGTTTGTGTTCCACGTAGGCTGCCTTAGTGGTTGGCTGCCGGGCTCCCAACCGAACAGAGGCCTGGAGGAGCCGGCCCGGCCCCATGCCACCCTCTTCCCCCAAACGGGCTCTGAACCGAGGACCTCTGGACTGAGCTCTGTCCCCAGCCCTGTTAATCTTTGTTTTCTTTTTGAGACAGGGTCTCACTATGGTCCAGGCTGGCCTCAAACTCATGGTGATCCTCCTGCCTCAGCCTCCCAGATACCAAGCCTATGTCCCTGACTGGAATCACTAAGTGACTCCGGTGGGTAGAAGCGCTGAGGCAGCGTGGGGTGCCTGCCGCTGCCCCCACTTCTTGCCCTTGTGATTTGGGGCCCCTCCGTGTCAAAGCCTGTCTCCTCATCTCCCCATGAAGGGCACCTGGCTGATCCAAGCGTGACCTGGGGGTTAGACCTGTGTAACGCACCCCATGCGGTGCTTTCAAGCCCCAGTCCCCACGTGGCCCTCTGAATGAGTGCCTCTTAGCCCAGCTTAACCCACGCACTTAGAGGCTGAGGCAGGAGGACCACAAGTTCAAACCCAGCCTGGGCCACTTACAAGACCCTGTGTCAAAACCTGGAAGGGCCGGGGCTGGAGCTCAGGACACAGGCCCTGGGTTCAGTGCCAGGGCCACCAGGAGGGCCGAGTCCTACATCGGGCCGGGTTAGCCTCACCTTGCCAGAGACAATCTTCTCATAGATCTGGATGGGCTGGTCAGCGAAGAAGGGCGGGTAGCCGGCCGCCATCTCATAGATGAGGACCCCTAGTGCCCACCAGTCCACGGCCTTGTTGTAGCCCTGGGGTGACAAGCAGGGGTAGGGGTGAGGGCACGGCAGAGTTCGGGGCGCAGGGTGTGGGGTGGGGATGGGCCAGGCCTACTTTGCTCAGGATGATCTCGGGGGCCAGGTACTCAGGGGTCCCGCACAGTGTCCAGGTGTGGCCTTTCACGCGCTTGGCAAAGCCGAAGTCCGTCACCTGCAGGCACAAGGCCAGGCAGTGGGCAGAAGGTGGGGGAGGGCGTGGCTGCCCCCCACTGCCCCCCTGTGCCCCTGAGGCCTGCGCACCTGGATGTAGCCCTGGTGGTCGATGAGGAGGTTCTCAGGCTTCAGGTCCCTGTAGATGAGGTCTAGCGAGTGCAGGTACTCGAAGGTCAGCACGATCTGGGCCGCGTAGAAGCGGGCATGGGGCTCACTGGTGGGGAGGGGACGTGGTTAGCGGAAAGACACCCCAGGCTAGCTCTCTCACGGTCTGCGTCCAAGTATGGCTGGGAGAGGCCAAGGTGAGAGAATCTCTCCAGCCCAGGGCAGGACCAGCCAGGAACACAGCAGAGTTCCCTCAGTTAAAAAGCAAGGAGGTCAGCTGGGTGTGGTGGCACCAGCCTGTGATCCTAGCTCCTCAGGAGGCTGAGGCAGGAAGGTCACAAGTTTGAGGCCAACCCAGGCAACTGAGTGTGTGTCTGTCTCAAAAATAAAAAGGGCTTGAGCTGTGGCTGGTTCTGTTTGTAGTATAAAAAAATAAAAAAACACAGAGAAAGAGAAAGAAGTGGAGAGCAGCCTCCCATGGAGCCACTGGCTGGCCAGGTTTCGAACAGGGAACAGGAGCTGACACCCCAGTCCCCCCAAGGTGAACCCCAAGTGCCCAGCATGGAACGGCTGGGGCAGAGCCTGTGGGGTTGAGCACAGGAAAAGCAGCTAGAGGGTCCGAGCAGCTGGGGGTCCCCAGGTGAGGAGCCCCACCTCCCCAGGGCCAAACCCAAACAGCGCTGGGGTCTGCAGCTGGGGAACCAGCGCCTTGCCAGGTGCCCGGCTGGGCGTAGGGGCACTCGGGAGGCTGAGGCAGGAGAATGGCTATGAGTTCGAGACCAGCCTGGGCCACACAGTGAAACCCTGTCTCAAAAACCAAACCAAATTAGAGGGGTGTCCAGGAGCCCACTGGTGGGGCAGGAGTGTTTGAGTCTTTTCAGTGGAGGCGGACTTGGGGAATGAGCGTGGAAGAGGTGTTTTTATTGTATGCAAAAATGTGTATGTGTTTATTTACCTATCAAGTAACAGTATAGATTTTTATTTTTGTTACCAGGGACCCAGCTCAGGGCCAGGCCTGCCAGGCAGGGCCTATACTGCTGCCTGTATCCCTGGCCTGTTGCAGTATACACCTCAGCTGGGTGTGGTGGCAGTGTCCACCAGCACTGGAGGCTGAGGCAGGAGGATCACTGCGAGTTCAAGGCCAGCCTCAGCTACATAGTGAGATCCTATCTCAAAAAAAAAAAAATCTTAAAAATCTTAAAAATGCATAATATTGGCAGCCTTTACCTGAACCACACCTCTCCCGTTTTTAACATTTTGAGACAGGATCTTGTTTATAAGGTGCCAGACTGGATTTGAATTTGTGATGCTCCTGCTTCAGCCTCCCAGAGTGCTGGCATTGCAGGTGTGCACCACCAAGTCAAGTTAAAATTCTTTTCTTAAACCATGTACAATGGTACAGGTTTGTAATCCCAGCACTTGGGAGGCTGAGGCAGGAGGCTCAACACGAGTTCAAGGCCACCACAGACTGCACAGCAAGATCCTGTCTCACAGAGGAAAAAAACATTTTCTTTCTTCTTTTTCATGTTTGAGGGGTGTCGTGGCCCCTGCCTGCAGTCCCAGTCACGCAGGAGACTGTGAAGAGAACTATAGGTGAGGAGTTTCAGCCCATCAACTGGGCAAGAGCCTATACCCTGCAGGGGTTGTGCCTCAAGCCCTGCAAAGCTGACGTCTGAGGCGCCCAAGCGGCCTGTGTGCTTGGTCCCCTTCAGTGCAGAGTGGGGGACCCGGCCAGGCTCACCTGAACCTTCCAATCCGCCGCAGGTGTGAAAACATCTCCCCTCCGGGCACGTACTCCATGACCATGTACAGGTTGGAGTTGTCCTGCGGGAAGGAGGCAGGATGGTCAGGGCCCCTGAAAGGCCCCAGTGGCCTTGCCAGGCAAGGACCGAGCTGGCCCCTGATGGAGGCCCGGGGCAGATGTGCCCTTTGTTCTGCTCTTGGGGAAGGAGGGGCAGGAAGGGGTCTGGCTGGAGGGCAGGGCGGGTCTGTGGGTACTGAGGGAGGTTTCTGGGCCATGGTTGTGCTATCCGTGCAATGGGTCTGCAGAACTGGGGGGCTGCAAAGAAGTCAAGCCGATGTCCCAGCCACTGTGGAGACGGGGAGAAGTGGGTGGAGGCCGCTGGGACATGAGCTTGTGCTGGGGTCACTCCCGGGGACACGGCTGTGTGTGTCAGGCCGGTGGCCCAGAGCCCCGGCGCCCAGCCCACCTTGAAGGAGTACTCGAGCCTGACCAGGAAGGGAAAGTTGACGGCCTGCAGGATTCGTTTCTCGTTGAGCGTGTGCTCCACCTGCTTCAGCTTCACCACCTGCAGGGAGGGCAGCGTGAGGGAGGGCATGGGGTGGGTGGCACCCTGCAGGAAGGGGTAGGGGCAGGCCCCCCGGTGGGGACCATCTCCACTCGGTCGCCTATGGCGCAGCTGGTCGTGGTGGCCCACGCCTGTGATCCCAGCCCCTTGGGAGGATGAGAATGTTTGAGGCCAGTCTGGGCAGTTTAGGGATTTAGCAGGCCCCTGTCCCCAAAGGAAGGACTGGGGATGAGGCTCAGAGAACAGGCCTGGGTTCAATCCCCACTACTATCACCAAAAGTAAAAACAAAAACAACTCATGGGAGGCTGAAGCAAGAGGGTCACTGTGAGCCCAAGGCCCAAGCCTGGGCTGCGTAGTGAGCTCAGAAACAGGAAAGGTAGAGTAGTTGATAATCTAAAGGAGGATCCAACCAACAGTCAGTCCCTTAAACCGGGTGGTGGCCCAAGCCTGTAATCCCAGCACTTGGGAGGCTGAGGCAGGAGGATTGCTTCTACTTTGAGGCTAGACCCACGGGCAGGAGCTTGGCCAGGGTCACAAAGGGGGTCCACACAGGGGCCAGTGTCGGTCCCCTGGCCCTTGCCGAGGGTGCTGGGGCTGCTGGGCCTTTGAAGTGCAGCCAGCAGATAGGGGAACCCAACTTAAAACTTTTAAGTATTCAGGCCTGGGATACATCTCAGTGGCACAGCGCCTGCCTGGCAAGTGCGAAATCCTGAGTTCAATTCTCAGTACAAAAAAACAAAAGGGGGGGGGGATAAAATTTTAAATGTTCATTATGAAAATTTCAACACTGATACTCAACATATGTATTGGATTAAAAGAAAACATTTTTTTGCCGGGCGTGGTAGCTCACACCTATAATCCCAGCACTTGAGAGGCTGAGGTGAGAGGATCATTGCGAGTTTGAGATCAGCCTGGGCTACAAAGTGAGCTCAAGGCCAGCCTGAACTGCATAGTGAGACCCTGTCTCAAAAAAAGACAAAAAAAAAAAAAAAAAAAAAAAAAAAAAGAGAGAGAGAGAGAGAAAAAAAAGAAAACGTTTTTGAGACAGGGTCTCACTGCATAGCTCAGGTTGGCCTCAAATTCACGGCAATTCTGTCTCAGCCTCCTGAGTGCTAGGATCACAGGTGTGTACCATCATGCCCCATTCTCCTGGGCTCTTTTTTTTTGGTCTTTTTCCTTTTTATCGGTACCGGGTATCGAACCCACGACTGCCTGCTTGCAAGGCAGGTGCTTATGTTGCTGAGCTAAATCCCCAGGCCCTCCTGGGCCCTTTAAAAAAAAAAAAAAAAATTGTTTTAGGTACCAGGAATCAAACTCATGACCTGGTGCTTGCCAGGCAGGCACTTGTGCCACTGGACTACATCCCTGACTAAAAAAATTCTTTTACTTTAAGCTGGGCATGGTGTTGCTATAATCCCAGTGCTTAGGAGGCTGAGACAGGATGATCTAAGCTAGTTGGAGGCCAGCCTGGGTTACACAGGGAGTTCAAGGCTTTCCTGAATTACAAAATGAGATTTGGCCTCAAAAAACAAAACAAAAAGGGCTGGGGATTTAGCTCAGCGGCATAAGTGTCTGCCTTGCAAGTGCATGGTTGTGGGTTCAAATCCCCAGTACTGATTTAAAAAAAAAAAGTTTCTTTTATTCTTTTGAGACAAAACCTTGCTAAATTGCCCAGACCAGCCTCAAACTTGTGATCCTCCAAGGTCAGCCTCTGGAGGGGGTCTGGTTACAGGCGTGCAGCACCACACCTGGCCACCATGTCTCATGACAGTATTTTCAGCTTGGCACGGTGGGCTTGGGAAATGCAGGGGCCTCTCAGTATTCTCAGGGGATGGGCTCTAGGTACCCAGCACCCCAGGGAGACACCAAGTTCAGTTTGAGGAGACTCAAGTCTCTTCTAGGAAACGGCTTACACTATAATCCCAGCATTTGGGAGGCTGAGGCAGGAGGCGTTCAAGGCCAGCCTGGACTATATAGCGAGACCCTGTCTGGAAAAGCCGAAAGAAAGGGAGGAAGGACTTCGTGTTTGCACAGCATCTATAGACTACGTGTCTTTGTGGTGCTGGGGAAGGAAACCGGGGCCTGGAGCACGGGCCCCTCTCTGAGCCATTCCCCAGTCTGTGCAGCTTGTGTCCTATCTGGGTGACTTTGAACCCCAAAATCCTGGTGTTCAACATTCACTCTGTCAATGTGAACTCAGAGTGGCACTTTACCTAGGGTAAGTGCAAGTTCTGATTTTTGGAATTTTCTAGAATATTCAGAAGCTATTTAACTTATGACACAAGGCATCACCACCTATTTCAGGGTGGCCTTGAACTCACTATGTATGGCAGATGCCTACTCACGGGAATCTCCCTGCCTCAGCCTCCCATAGTGCTGAGAGGATGTGTGTGTGCCAATGCACCGGGTTGGAATTTTCTAGAACTTTGAGAAAAACGATTTTACAGCTGATCATGTCAGTGCCTGCCTGTCATCCTGGCACTCTGGGAGGCTGAGGTAGGAGGATCAAAAATTCAAACCAGCCTAGAGAACCCAGCAATTTGATAAAACCCCGTCTCAAAAATAAATAAGAAAATAAATAAATCAAATAAAAATAAAACATAAATAGGGCTGAGGATGCGCTCAGAGCCCCGGTCTGGGGTTCATCCTGAGCCATCTGTGTGTTTCTGTGCTCCACTGGCGTTGGTGTAGAGGTGGCGGCGGAGGCAGCACTGGCTGGGTGGGCGGGAAACGGTGGACAGAAAGACGGACGGATGGGCCGCTCACCTTCTGCTTGTCCAGGATCTTCATGGCGTAGTGGTTCCCAGTTTCCTTGTGCTTCACTAGCATCACACGCCCGAAGGAGCCGGTGCCGAGGGTCTTGATGCGGTCAAACTGATCCAAGCTGGCCGTGTTCTGTGGGCCAGAGGGCCGGGGTTGGGGTCAGGGGGCTGGGGTTGAGGCTGGGGTGTCCAGTGGGTGAGGGACCCGGGTGGGCAGTGCCCTGGGACCCAGCCGGCCTGGGGACCTGGGCCCATCACCCCCCTGGGGGCCTCACCTGAGCAGGGCTTTCCCATTTTTTAAGAAAATCTTCTTTGGCTTTGGCTAAGAACTCTTTCACTGAAAGGAAGGAAGAGCAGGGTTAGATTGGGGACTCCCCGTATTCCCATGCTCCAGGGAGTCCACAGCAGGCTCTGTTTGGTTCTGGGGGACACCCGCTGTGGATAGCAGGGGGCAACTCTGCCTGGGCCTGTGGGTACCCTGGGTAGGGGGAGCTGACTGGGCTGCGGCCCGGCCCCCCTTACTGGATCCACCCAAAGTGGGGTTGGGGAGACTAGGGGCTCATGCCCAGGGGCACCAGGCCAGGCACCCTGGCCAGCCCACCCCCACTCGGCCCAGTTGCGAGGTACATTCTTCGGCCAGGGCCGACGCCAGCAGGGTATTTATAGCTTGGGAGCTGGCCGCCGCTCAGGCCCCTTCTCCGGGGAGGTCGAGTGGGGATGGAGGCCCGCGGGGCTCGGGTGGCAGGCGTCCTTGGGGGGCCAGCTGTCACCTTGGTCCCCAGCTGCGCCTGGCCTGGCTTGGACAATCACAGAGCTCTGGTCCAGAGCTGGTGAGGGGGAAGCCTCACCACTTTGGCCACCTGCCTTGTGGCAGCCGGGATCCCTGTTACCGCCAGTGGGCCTGAGGTAGTCCAGCACAGGGGCTGGGAGCTGGGGCCAGGCATAAGACCAAGTCTGAGTCCCCCAATTCTGCTCCCTGAGGAGCTGCAAAACTTAGACAACTGATCTTGTCTCCCAGGCCTCAGTTTTCCGCATCTATGAATTGGGGTAAGAGCAGTGAGCTCCCTGGGGCTCCCTGGGTTCAAGGCCGGTGTGGAGGGGCCTCAGTGCCACCTATCAACTTTGTTTTTATGGCACTGGGAAATAAACCCAGGGCCTTTGCACTGAACTGTAGTTTGAAACTATTCTAAAAATCTGAGGCAGGGTCTCGCCAAGTCAATCAGGCTGGCCTGGACCCTGGGTTCCTCCTGTGTCACCCTTTGAGGGCTGAGATTACAGGTACGTATGTGCCACTACCCTGGCTGCTACCTGCTGTTAAAAAAAAAAAAAAAAATCAGGGGGCTGGGGATTTAGCTCAGCGGCATAAGTGCCTGCCTTACAAGCAGGCAGTTGTGAGTTCAATCCCCCGGACCGATAAAAAGGAAAAAAAAAAAAAAAAAAAAAAAGACAAACTTGAGCCCACCTTGGGCAACTCAGCAAGACCCAATCTGAAAAGAAAACAGACAGACTGCAGATGTAACTCAGGGAGAAGGCTGTGGTCCAGCCTCAGTGCAAACGAACCAACCAACCACCAAGTAGAAAGGGCAAGGGGAGGTGTGGAAAATTTGCCGGTTTCTTTTTAAACACCAGGACAGGGCCTCAAACTGCACAGGCTGTCCTGCCTGCCTCGGCCTTCTGGGCAGGTACGATTACAGCTGTGTGCTACTTGCCTGCTTTCTGATCAGTCAGTTGACTGATTTAAATGAATGGAGGTCTCGCAGTGCTGCCCAGGTTGCCCTCAAACACCTAGGCTCTGGTGACCCTCCTGCCTCAGCCTTCCAAGCAGCTGGCATCACAGTCAGGAGTGTCTCCACCTCGAGCTGAGCAGGGATCGCCAGCCTGAGCTCCACCTGCAGGCTCAGTCCTGCCTCCATTCATTCTGAGGCTCGAATTCATCCTTGGGTCTCCTGCTCAGTGCTGTGCTGGGGTTCCCCACCAGCAATGCTCCCCTCACTGTGCAGAGTGGCTCTTATTCCCCCTCCGCCTCCCCTCGTTGTACAGATGACCCCACTGCCCCCGAGCTCTGCTCCCAGCCAGGCCCTTGCAGTGCAGCAGCGCAGGGACTGATCCCATCTCAAGGCTGCCAGATCCCAGGGACAGGCGCCACTCTGGGGCCCCAACACTTACTTGGATTCTGACCTTGCCTCCTGTCTGCCTGACTGCTAGGAATCCCACCTTGCCCCAAGGAGAAGGGTTAGAGGGCAGGGGATGCAGGGGAGACTGTAGCCAGAGCCAGGAAGAGGGCCTTTGAGGGGTCCCTGGGCTTCGGGTGAAAGACCAGGAGCCCTGGGCCGGTCCAGGGACCTCTCTGAGCAGAAGCTGCTGCTCACATCTAGCACTTTCTCTAGGAGAATCTTAGGGACCACAATGCCATCAGAAATCTCCCAGCGACAGAGCCACAGGCTGGAGACAGAGCTCTTGAGACCCTACCTTCAGCCACATCAGAGAGCAGACAAAGTCTGGCTTGTGGAGAACCCACAGGAAGGCTGTCTCCACCCGGCCCTAACCAGGCAGTGCACAGGTCTGAGTGTGGCTGTCACCATGGCTATCTCCCCACTTCTGCTGCTGAGATTTGGGGGGGCGGGGCACAATCCCCGGAGAAGCCAGCAAACAGGGCAGCCACAGCCATGAACCCACACTTACCTCCTCATCCCGCCACTCCAGGGGTGGGATGGGGCAACCTGGGGCCCTTGGCCCCCAGCCCAGGAGGCTCAGGGTGCTGGCTGTGGCTTAGGTCCCCAGAGGGTATGGCGCAGGTAACTCAGGAAACGCAAGGCCAGGTGGGTCCAGAGCAAGAGCTGCAGCCACAGCTGGAAAACGATCTCCGAGTCCGAATCCTGGCTGCTGCCTGATCTGGGATCCATCCCTCCCAGGCCCTGCCGGGCTCTCCCTGGACTCTTCCCTTTGCTGGGGCACCAGGAAAAAGCGAAGCCTGCTAGCCAGCTTCCTTGGGAAGGCCTCTTGGGACCCAGGAGGAGGAGCTGGTTGCCAGGGAAGCATTTAAAGGTACCTGCTGCAGGCGGCCAAGGTCTGCAGAAGCTCCTCTGGCAGGAAGAGGGGGGAAGAGTCCCTCAAGGGTGTCCTTCTGGCCAGCCCACCTTCCCAGGGGTGGGGCACTAAAGCCAACTAACTTCCTTTTCTGGCAACTTTCACTGTGTCAGGGATGCCAGGCCCTGCCGTCTTCCGTGGGTGCTGGACTGCCCAGAGACAGCAATCAACATGCCCAGGGAAATGCCCACTGGGCAGAGGGGAAGGAGTTAAGACCCAGCCCTTGTGACAGCCAGAACTCCCTGGAGGAGAAGGAAGCCCCAAGCTCCTTAATTAGCTGGAAGAACAGCTGGAGAGAAAGGCTGGGGGTGGGTAACAAGAGCCACCCTATCGCCTCCCCAGTTTTCACCTGGAGTCCCCAAGCCTTGCTACCCCGAGAGAGAAATGGGCACATCTATTCTTTGCCTTGTTGCCGTGCGGGGGTGGTGAGGGGACCCGGCGTCCTGAGATGTCCTTGGCCTCTGTCAAACCTTGCCCTGTGCTTGGCTCTGCTCTCAACCATGAAAGTCCAAACCGGAAACCAACAGCTAAACCCGGGGAGGGGGAGGGGAAGCAGCCGTAACCATCTTTCTCCTGCTTTCCAGATTCCTCAAGGAAGCGGAGTGTCAGGGACAGCCTGCTCCTGAATATGTCCAGCACCCAGGGTCTCTGCTGGCAACAGGAAGCGACAGAGGAGGGGGCGCAGCTCCCTGTGTGTGTGTGGAGGTGCCACCTGCCTCTGCTCTGGTCCAGATTTGATAGGGGATCAGAGAAAACCTGAGACAATCCAGAACCATCCTGGGTGTAGCGGTATAGGCCTAAAACCCCAGCATTCTGGGAAGCTGAAGCAGCAGGATCCCAAATTTGAGCCCCAGCCCATGTAGCTTAGCGAGATCCTGTCTCAAAATTAAAAATAAATAAAATTTTAAAATAGGGTCGGGGATGTAGCTCAATGAGAAGGCTGTGAGTTCAACTCCTGTACCAAAACCCAAACCAAAAACCAGGACCAGCAGGAGGAAGAAATGAGAATTTCAGCAGTGGGGACGCTGAACCACAGAAGCTCAGGTGAGAGGGCGCTTCCTCCCCTAGATGGTCTCTGACTTTATGTCCTCTGAAACCTGGGGGTTGTGGGCCCGCAACGCCTAGCTCGGTTGGATCCCTGCTGGGGGGAGGGCTGCAAACCCTCCCCACCCCCATCCCAGGGGGTCCCTGACTTGGACCGGACCGACCTCCATTCTGAGCACCCCCCCGTCACGGTCAGAGGGTACCCCAGTCTGTGTTGGACACCAGCACTGAGATGCCCCAGTTTCCAGTCTGGGCTGGACCCCACTCTGGGTGGACCGCTCCCTCCCTAGCTAAACAGGACCATTTATCTGCTCCTCTCCAGGCCCCACAACCCAGGAGGGTTACTAAGGGCCAGTCAGGAGTCCACGGACGACCACTCGATCCTAAGCTCTGCCGCAACCTTTTCCTGACTTGAATAGTAGTGTGTGCTTGGGGAAGTTGCTATAGCAACCGGGCTCAGCCTCACCATCGGTGTAGCTGGAAGCCATCACTCGGTCTTCTTCTCTGGGAACTTGGACTACGGTGGCTGGGAAGGCTCATGAGACCTCAGTACCAAATTGGCGGTCCATCCCCAGATCCCTACCTGTAGGGGGAGCCAGGGAGTTATGGGGTGGGAACAGGAAAAGATACACGACCTAAACTAGTGAGTGCAGGGAAAGAGTAAGTAGGACTCTTCCAGGTTCTGTTGGCCCAACTGTGAGAGGGGCGAAGCTACTCTGGCAGGACCCTCATGAGCACCCATATAACTGTTACAGCACGAAAGCGGCTGGACCCTCTCGGGGCGCCGTAGGATGTTAGGCGGCAACATTCCCCTCCCCCCTAAGACTTCCTGGAGTCAATGTTCTTCGGTCCCCGGATCTACTTGTCTTTGGGACCTGGGGGGCTTCTGGGAGGTGGGGCTCCTTCTTAAGAGCGCTCCCTTTTTCTCTATGGGCCAACTCCCAGAGGTGTCTTTAGCCAGTGCTAGCAAAGACCTGAGGCCCACTTGGCTGTCTTCTGTCTACCCTCTCAGTTCCCGGAGCAAGGCCAGAGTTCGAGGCTCGCTCTGGTTCCTCTGCCCTGTCCGCTTCTCGGTCTGGTCCTTGCATGGCGTTGTCATCTTTGGGTGCAGAACGCCCCCACCTCGCTCCTTATCGGCTGATCCTAAGTCTACGCCCTGCGAGGAGGCAGAGGTGGCCCTGGCCGCAGAGATCTAGGTTTGGGGGACAGGGAATGCGTGCGGTGAGGCCGGCGAGGTGTGTGTGTGTACACGAAAGGGAGGTGCCCCTTGCAGGAGGCGTGGCTACCAGAGGCAGATTTTGTATGATTGTGTGGATTCCAAGTAAAGAGGCGCACCTTTCCGCACCTTTTCTTTAGGGGGAAGCATAGCCTCGGGCGCTTTCCAAAGTATAACAAGGTCTGCTGGCAGAACGTGCTATTACTTCAGGGATAAACTGTATCTTAAGGTGTATCAGAGAATGCTACTGGCATAGCAATCTTTTTTAATTGTTTTCTTTGGTACCAGGTATCGAACTCACGACCTCATGCTTGCCAGGCAGGCGCTTATGCAGCTGAGCTAAATCTCCAGCCCTGGCAAAGCAATCTTACGATTTAAAAAAAAGTTTGCAGTATTAGGGATTGAACCCAAGGCCTTTATATTGAGCTACGTCTACAGCCCTTTTATATTACTGCTTAGTTTACCTCTGCACAGAAGACAATATATATATATATATTTTTTTTTTTTTTCACACAGAACTGCATCTCCAGACATTTTTTTTTTTTTAATTTAAGATGGTCTTAGTCACCAAATTGCCTAGAGTGGGCTCAAACTTTCATCTCTTCTCTTTTAGTCTCCCAGAGTCCCTGGGAGTTACAAGATATTGCTGCCAAACCTACCTTGTGTTTTCATTTTTGTTTTGAGACAGTTGTCTTTCCATACAGTCCAGGCTGGTTTGGGACTTGCCATCCTGCTGCCTCAGCTTCCCAAGTGCTGGGATTACAGATATGTGCCACCACATGCAGCTAATTTTTATTATTTTGTTTTGAGAAGAGGTTTTACTGTGTTACCTAGGCTGGTCTGGAACTGGGCTGAAATGATTCTTTCACCTTAGCTTCTCTGTGTAGATATGAGTACAGGTGTCTGCCACTGTGGAGCTTGGCTTTTATCATTTTATTTTTTGTTGTTTTTATTATTATCATTATTTTGTACCTTTGTACTGAGAATTGAACTCAGGATGTTACACTCGCCAGGCTGGCGCTGTGTGCTGAGCTATATTCTCAGCCCTTTTCAGGGTTTTTGTTTGTTTGTTTGTTTGTTTTGAGACAGAATCTCATTCAAGTAGTCCAGGCTGGCCTTGAATTCACCATGTATCGTAGACTGGCCCTGAATTCAGAGATCCTCCTGCTTCAGCCTCCAAGGTACTGAGGTTACAGGTGTTCACCATCATGCCCAGGGCTTTTACCACTTTATATTAAGAAAGTATATGAGAAGCAGCTTATGAATATCTGAGTTGGGAGATTTTGGGGGTCCAGGAAGTTTGCTGGGAGACAGATCTAAGAGTGAATTCTGCCCCTGTGACATAATCAATGTCATACTCAGATAGCTTATTTGGAAAATCTGGACAGTGGCCCATTATTAAAAATCCCCGGTGCAGATACGTGTCTACGGAGACCATTTAGCTTGGCCCATCCTAGAAGCCCGATAAATAGTAACTGTATTTCATGGTGAGAGTCCACTCCTCAGTGTCTGGCCCGCATGCTCAGAGCATTAGCAATTCCTTCCGGAGCCTCTGATCTTTTTCTTGGGATCTTTTTCCCTATGTGGCATTCCACCCCCACCGCATGTGTCTGATATGCCTTGAAGGTTTTCCAGAACTATGTCACTTCCCCAACTTTCAAATGAGCCACCACAACGGTGCAGCTGCTGGCCTCCACCTCCACCTCCGGCTGCTCTCACCTGCTGGGGGCCAGGCCCTCCCTCCCCTTCGGCTTGTCCCCTCCAAGCTCAGCCCCAGACCGTTTTTGGACACTCTCCACCTGCTCCTCTGTCATCAAGCACTCAGCTACAGGCACTTGCCTCCTCGTCCCCCACCCCTCGGGGACACGTCAGGCCCCTTCAGGGCGGCTCTGTTACTCTGAGTTCTGCTGTTTGAACCCGGGCAGGAATCAAGTGCCAGGACTTTAGTGGCTTTTCCTATCTCCTTGGGAGGGGGCGTTCCAGGGACCCAGACTCAGGTTTAAGAGTAAGAGCTGGGGGAGGCACAGCTGGACGAGGTCTCCCTTTGCAATTTTGAATATTCCCGAGTAAATAAAGAGGATTCCACCACAGATCCAGCTTTCAGCCTGCAGTGATAACAATCTGAGAGCTGGGGAAACCGGGGAGGGCGCTTAAGACCGTTTCTGACGGTGTCTCCAATACAGAATCGTTTTCTCTTTGGCTGGAAAATGCCACACTTATCTGGGGGCTTGGGAGGGCCTCTGGCTAAGCTCCAGGTGTGCCCAGAATTCATTTATCCCTCGGTAAAGTACATCACTAGCTGTCATCCCTAACTCTCCCTCTACCCCCAAGTCCTCTCTGACCATTCAGTTCAGGCCCACGGGGTCTCACTCACCCCAGACGCTCCATTCCCAGCCCAGGGCCCAGGAGGAGCCCTGGGGACTGGCTGAATGAGCTTCAGTTGTGAAACAACCATTTATTGGGGGCAGGGGGGCTCGAAGGAGCCTGGAGCTCACCGCAGGGCAGGAGATCGAGATCGGAAGGGGATGTCACGCCCTCCACCCCCACTCGGAGCTAAGAAAGCGGACGCCCTGAACCCCGGGAGGCCAGCTCACCCTTGGCTTTGCCAGCACCGAGGCCTTTCCTTACGTTCCTCCAGTCCGCTCTCCCAGCCAGAGGAGACAGACGCTGGCTTGGAGGAGGAGGGCGGCGGACAAGCGATCGGGGAGACAGAGTGGCAGGATGGGAGGAGAGGGGCAGAGGGACCCAGCAAGATCCCGCCCCCCACGCCGAGTGACACAGAAGGGAACAACAACGCTGGGGTGGGGGGCAGGAGGCTGGGATGTGAGGGCCGCGGGGGCGGGGGCGGGTGTGGTCACTGGGGCCGAGGCCCCCGCGTGCACGCAGACCCCGTGCACCTCGGGCTGCCCCAGGCCGGGTCTGGGCGGCAGCGGGTACCAGAGTAGGGTCGAAGCCGGAGAGGGGCCAGGGGTGCGTAGTGCGGTCCGGCGGTCACGCATGCCGAGCCGGCGCTGACAGCTAGGGGGACCCGGCCGGGCCCGGGGGCGCCGCAGCCTGTGGAGGGGCAGTCCGGGCTGCGGGCCAGACGGGGGTCTGGGCCGGGATCAGGGCCGGGCGGGCTGGGAGGGCGCGGGCCGCGATCGCCCCGGCCGGTCACTCACCGCTCTCCTGCTCGCTGCCCTTCTTGGCGGCGGCGGCGTTGCCCATCGCGGCGGCGGCGACGGCGGCCGGGGCCGGTCCCGGAGCTGCGGCGCTGGGGGTGCTGGAGGCGGCCGGCGGCCCCGGAGCGCGCTGGGCGGCGGAGGCGGCGGCCCCTCGGGCTGCCTGCGCTGGATGCGGCGCCGCGACCCCCGCCCAGCCCCTGCTTCCCGCGTCTCTGCGCGCCCGCCCGCCGGGGAACCTCAGCCAGAGTCCGCTCCTGCTGTCCGTGACGCCCCCGCAGCACGCAGCTCATTGGCCTAGCTTTCCTTGATTGACGATGCCGCACTATCTTCCATTGGTCTTCAGAAACCCTCCTGCGTCTCCATTGGCTCCCGAGCCCATGACGCGCACAGCAGGTTCTGGCCATTCACAGGCTCTCGAGGCCTCAGGTGGGCGGGTGCTCGTGTTTCATTGGTGAGTATGCTCCACAGGGCGCGGAGCTCCCTCTGCAAGGCCGCGCTTATTGGCTGAAGTGCAAGGTGCGGCCGGCCCCCCGCAGAACGTTCAGTGTCAATCCCGGGGTGAGAGGGCGGGCCGGAGGCGCAGTCTGCGGCCCGGGCGGGCGGGGCGGCAGAGGCTGGCGGGCGCCCGCGCAGCGCTCCAGACCCAGGAGGAGGAGGAGAGGAGGAAAGGAGGAGGCGGCCCCGGCGGGCGCCCGGCCGCCCCGTGCGCACCGCAGTCCCCCGCCCCGCCCCCTCCCAGTGCGGCAGCGGCCGTCAGCCAGCGCGGTGGACGTAGCGGCCTCCCGGTCCACCTGCCAGCGGGGCGGGGCGGGGCACGGGGTCAGAGGGCGCCCCCTCGGGGTCCGAGCTGTGCTCCCGGGACGCGGGGGTCTGGGAGGGAAGCTCGGGCGGCGCTGCGGTCGTGCAGGTGGTTGGCACCTCCGCCCTCTGCCCCGGTGGAGCCCTGCGCCTCAGAACCACGCCGTCTTTGGTCGCATCAAGCCGGGGAAGGCGCGATCCCACCTCTGGGGCGCAGTCCGGGCGCTGTCCCTACACAAGCTCTGCGCTGGGGCCGCCCGCCGCGCAGTGAGGTGCAAGAGGTGCTAGCATCCTGACCTCTCCATCTCCATCTCCCCGCTGGCCCCGGCAACCAAAGCCTTCCTAGACGGTGCTGCCGATGGTCACAGCCGTGAGCCTAGTCTCCCCCAACGGAAGACGTTCAAGCAGGAGCCCCAGGCAGGAGGTGCAGAGTGGGGACTGCTGTGAGCTGCTCCCTGTGGAACTGCGCCAGCCACATGGCCTGGTTGCCCTCCCATGAGGGGCTGGAGAGCTTGAGGCTTTGGCGGCTGACTTGCTGGGCACCACTGACTCTGTCGGGGGCTACAGGGGCGGCGCAGGGAAAGCTAATAAAAGTGCGGCTGCTCCCTCCCCGCGGGTCAAGGTCACAGCCCAGTCTCCAGAATGGCGTCTGCGCAGCTGGCTGCGTAACTCCTTGAAGGTTCTTCCCCAGCGCTGGGCCAGAACACAGCTGTGCAGCCCAGGCCAGCAAGAGAAGGACCAGCCACGCGGAGGGACCCGAAAGAGGCCAGCCCGGGGCACGCGGTGAGGGCCACACGGTGCTGAAGCCTGGGACAAAAACAGACAGGCATCTAGAGGAAGTGCTTTTTATTTTTAGACACACCAACGCCTTTAAAATAAAAACACTTTGCTGTACAGACCAGTTGCACCAGCATCCGAGTAGCAGAGATGTGCAGAGGTGTGTGTGTGGGGCATATGGAGGGAGGGTGCTTGGGCTGTCCGGTGCTTCCCTTGCCCCAAAGCGCTCCATGGCCTCGAGAGCAGTAGTCCTGTCCCAGCAGGTGCCTCCTGTATACCAGCATCTCACCAGGGCAGCCACGGTCCCTTGGTGTCCCTGGAACAATTTTCTAGGGGCCACTGGACTGGAGAGACCTGCAGCTCCTCCTGGGAGAGCATAGAGAGCGTATCTGAATCCTCCTCTCCCAACCCGATGCCACTGGACACGGGGATCCAGCATGTCACCTTCAGGTGTTCCTCAAGGGACAGGAAGTGGGATCTCGCTAGGCAGCATCCAGGAGCGCCTCAAGGCAGGCAGAAGGCAGGAGGAACGCTGGGTCCAAGGCCCAGGGACCTGCTGCTTAGTGGCACAGAGGTAACTTTGTGGGCTGGGCTGGAGAGACCTAGGCCTGCTTACTCCCTGGGGCCGCATTTGACAGGCCCAAAGCAGCTGGTGGCCCTGAAGTCTTAGAGATGCCCCGCATGGCTCTGGGAGGCCCATCGGCTCTGTTAGATGCAGTCCATGGAGTTCTCAGGCAGTAGGCTGGGGACACAGCCCGGGAGGGCCAGGCCTTTTACCGGCGTGTAGCTAAGTGAGAGGTCGCAGCCCAGCACAGGGTCCTGGTTCTCGATGGCCTCCAGCCTGTCCTCCTGGCTGTCCCAGTTGATGTGGAAGCGGGTCACTCGGGGGTTCGAGGCAAGGATGTTCCGCTGGAGCTGGGGAGGGAGAGCAAGGTCGGCCATTGCTGCTGTGCCCTGTCAGCACCTCCACAGGACTGGTGTGCACCAGGAGCAGGGCCAGCTGGTCCGAATTCCCTGGGCGCCTGTGTTCCCATACCCCACCCACCCCTGCACAGGAATCAGTCCAGGGCGGGAATGCACTTGGGGCGGGCAGCCCACCTGGGAGAAGTCAGGCTTTGGGGGTGGGTTCTCCCGGAGCTCGAGGCTAGGGTACTCGTTGTTGACGTAGTAGCCCACACGGATGAACTCCTGTCCGTGGTAGGTGCACGTGATCAGGACCACGGTCACGCCTACGGCATCTGTCTCTGGGATGAGGCCTGGGTTGGGTGCGTCTGCCTGCAGGAGACATAGTGGGAGCCCTGGCCATTAGCAGTCAGTTGGGATTAAACAGAACCAATCATAACCACGTCTAACACACCATAAATGTGCACTGGGAGTGGGCGTGGTGGTGCATGCCTGTAATCGCAGCACCTGGGAGGCTGAGGCAGGAGGATCTACATATGAATTCAAGGCCAGCCTGAACTGCATAGTGAGACCCTGTCTCAACTAAAACCAAAACCAAAACCAAACAGGTAAACGTGACCACCCTGTACCAGAGGTACAGGGTGCCAAGGAAGAGCACAGTAGAGGGCAGACATTTGATGAGACACAGGCCGCTAATCTCAGCCACTCAGGAGGCTGAGGCAGGAGGACTACACATTTTGAAGCCAGCCTGGGCCACATAATGAAACCCTGTGTCAAGATGTAAAGGACTATAACTCGGCGCTCCTGGGGTTAGGGTCCCAGGAACAGGAAAAGAAAATGACTAGGCCCAGCATGGTTGAGCCTGCTCCTCCATATGCATGCTGGGGCATTTTAGGACTCAGTAGCCTCTGAGGATGTGTGTGGGCTTCAGCCGGGAGCAGTGGCCTCTGCTGGACCCATTACAAAGGCAGTTGCCCAGGGATGAGACATGGAGACCTTCAAAGTATGAACCAGCTGGGGAGGTGCAGGCCTTCAACCCTTCACACCAGGAAAACAAAACACAAAGGGTGGCCAGGCTGAGGGTATGTGCCTGTCATTCTAGAACTTGGGAGGCTGAGGCAGGAGGATCCTGAGTTTGAGGCCAGCCTGGGATACTCAGGGAGTTCAAGGCCAGTCTCAAAAACATAGCAAGACCCTGTCTCCAAAACCAAACCAAAGCAAAACAAAACAGGCAAACAAAAGATCCGCATGCATGATGTGAGAGTGCCTTACGGAGACACTGCATGCCACGGAACTTCTCACAGTGGGTCCCCGGCCAGGGCTGACTCAACGGGAGGCAGTATACAGTGCATGTTAAACGAGGCACCTGTGATTTAGACCTAACTGACCCCCAGTCGTCTCGTGGGTACAGAGGCAGGGCTCACTGAGGGCAGGAGGCCGGGGCACAGGCCCTATGCTCGTGGAAGACTGCAGCTGGGGGCACTGTTAGGGTAGCTCAGCCTGGACTGGAACGCACAGCAATCCTCCTGCCTCAGCCTCCGGAGGGCAGGGATTAGAGGTATGCACCACCATGCCTGGCTTTCAGCATGTCTTTGGAGGCTGCACCTCTGGGGCTCTTCTTGCCTGACCTGCCTGGAGCCAACAAGCCCTGGACCGACACCCTGCAACCCTGAGCCAGAAGCATCCCCTGAAATGGCGGGAATCGAGGGCTCTGTCCTGGTGGCAGGAGAGCCAAGTAACCCACCATCTTTAAGCAGAGACACACACAACAGCCTAGGGCTTGGGCAGGCATGAGGTGTCTCAGCAGGAGACCCAAGAGCGTGGCTCCTTGTCATGCTGGGACCAGGGTGCATGGAAGCTCCTGAGGACTGTGCTGAACTTTTTCTCTTCTTTTTTTGCAGCACTAGGGATGCAACAAAAGCTGCATGCCGGTGAGTCAAGCACTCGCCACTGAGTGATGACATTCCCATCCTGCTCTTTTTCGTTTTGGAACAGTCTTGCTACATAGCTCAGGCTGGCCTTAAACTCACTGTGTAGCCGAGCCTGGCCTTGGACTTGCAGCGATCCTCCTGCCTCAGCCTCCGGAGTGCTGGGATGACAGGAGAGGGGTGCTACCACTCTGGGCCTTCAACCTGAAGTTTTAAGCACTGAGCTATACTGGGTGATTTTGGGTAAAATGGGGGAATGTCTAGGCTGGGGACACAGCTCAGTGGAAGAACATTTCCCTAGCATATGGAGGACCCTGGGTTCCATCTACCATACCAGAGAATTAAAAAAAGAGGGAGGGACTGGGTGTAGTGGTACAAGCTTCTAATCCCCTAAGCCTGGAGGCTGAGGCAGGAGGACTGCAAGGCTCAGGCCAGCCTGGGCTATACAGTGAGCCCCTGCCTCAAACAGACCAGGCCCCCACTCCTACCTCCACCCCGAGTCTCACCTGAAACACAAACATGTGTCTTCCTGCGGGCACAGGGCCGACCAGCACTGAGTCCAGGACCTGATCGTACTCCTCACTCTCGGCGGAGCCCACATAAATGATCTTCCACTCCAGGTCTGTGGGGACAGCGTGGGGAGGTCATGGCCATGAAAATCCCCAATGCCACAAAATGGGGGCGGGGCCTTCTGCATTAGTCCCTGAGCCAGGTACGGGCGTAGGTCCCCACTGGGGGTAGACAGCTCTCTCCAGGGCCTGGCCCCTTGCGGCTGGCTTCTGGGGACTTGGGCCTCTTGGAGGTAGGGTGGGCACCCTAAGGCACAGGCTGAATCGAGGCTCACATGACCTAGGCAGGGCAAAGTCAGGGGTGGGGGAGCTGGGCCACTTGAGCCCACCCACTGGGTGCCTATGGAGGGGGGGAGTCTCGTTTTCTTTCACACACAGGGCTGGGTGCCACGAAGCCCAGCGGATCCCTCGACAACGAGGGCAGGGCAGGGCAGCAGATTCCGATCCAGCAGGATAGCCAGCTGGTCCCCGGGTCACCCAGACCCGGCACAAGTCATATGCCTGGCGCCGGACATGTGGCCACCGCGCACACCTAACTCAGCCTCCCCTGCGGGAAGGTGGCCAGCAGGGGCATGTGGAAAGGGCCGGCGGAAGGGCTCGCAGGGACCCTCCCATCAATTCCGGACACTGCTGCCGCTGGCCAAGTGTATCAGGGGCAAGGTCACGCTGGTACACGGCACTTGGCAGGAGCCCGGGGACTTATTTTAGGTTCTCTGAAATTACACAACCCCAGCAGCAGCTGGGCAAGTTTCACAAGCTGTGATTTTCACAGGAAGTGAACTCTCGGAAGCCGCTCTGGCCCTGGGTCCAGCATTGGGAGGGCACGGATCTGGGCCAGGACAGCAGAGGGCTGTCACCTGAGCACCAAACCCTTCCTCGTGTGACTTCCGGCCCCTCTGCCAGGTCACCCAGACCCCTGACTCGGGGACACTCAGTCTGTGGGATGTGGGTGGCCATTTGGTTCAGTAGAACCCCTAGAATCATAGATTTACTTGTTAAATGCAGTGACACAGTGGGGCGGGGTGGTGCACGCCTGGAATCCCAGCACTCGGGAGGCTGAGGCAGGAGGGCACCATGAGTTGGAGGCCAGCCTGGGCCACACAGTGAGACCCGGTCTCAGGAAACCAAAATGCCAACCACCAAGACACAAACAACCCAACCAAAATCATGTTGGCAAAACTGGACAAAGACCGTGTGGATACTGATGAAACAGAGGATTTACTGTGGGCACCAGAGGAAAATGGGGTGCTACAGAATGGGCTGGACAGAGACGAGAACTGAGGGACACAGACACTTTCCTACTCCGGGGTTAGAGGTACTGACGGACCAGGCGGGGGTGACAGAAGGGGACTGAGACTGCCATGGTGGCTGAAGTGGCAGCCGGAGCCACAGTTTCATTTCCAGTCCGCCAGGCACTGGGATGGAGCTCAGCGTCACACATGCCAGGCAGCGCTCTGCCGTCCCGCTGCTGCTTGCGGCCCCGAGGCATTTCCTTGGAATCTATTTAACTCCTGCACGGCTTCACCCAGCCTGGAGGGAAGATGTTAGTGGGAGCCCACGCCCGGAACCCCAGCTCCTGGGGTGGCCGAGGCAGGGGGGCTGCAGGCCAGCCTGGGGCACCCCGGCAAGGCCTCTCCTCAAGGCTGGCCGGGGACACCCCTCAGGGCAGAGCACTGCCCCGGCATGCGTGAGGCCTGGGGTGACTCTCAAGGCTGCAAAAAACAAAAACAAAAACAAATGTTTGTGTGGAACACATGTGGACTTTGTGGTCACTCCCTAGGCAATACCCAGAGAGCCACGATTTTCAGTGTTTTGTACACGGTGTTAAGCACCCATGTCGCAGGCAGGTGGTGTAGTTACACAGAGGGTGCCAGGCACAGCTCTGTGCAGATTCTGGGACCAGAGAGGTCCCAGAGACCCTTCCAGGAGGACTGTACGGTCCCTCCCAGGACCGGGTCTGGGACATCCATCACCCACACAGCACAAACTGGCCTCCACCAGACACAGAGCACAACCACACCCGGGACCGTTTACCGGCCTTCTGGACAGTGCCAAGGTAACCTATTACATTTTGTCTTGAAGCCCAGTGGTTAAGTACAAAATGCACCTCCACTATGCCTCTGAGCTCCACCCCTCAGCCTGCGTGCTTTTTCTTTGTTCCCTTCTTTGGCTGAGACTGGGTCTCATTATGTAATCCAGGCTGGCCTCAATTCCCAGTGAACCTCCTGCCTCAGCCTCCCAAATGCAGCAATTACAGGTGTGTCCCACCACACCTGGCTCACTTGCTGCATTTACTCATCACCACACAGACAAGCCTGGCCCTTGATGCGGGACATTAGCTCTATGTCAGAACCAGTGGCTTCTCTGACTTCCTGGGCTTGGGTCCTTGTTTCTCAGCTCAATGGGGGTGAGGCGGGATGTCACCTACTGTGTTAAGTGCAGACCAGCTGTTTCCAGATGCCAAGAGGAGGGCACCTGGGGGCTTAGGGCCCTTGGGAGCTGGGGTTTCGTCAGATCGTCAATCCGTAGTGCAAGAGGGAGGCAGAAAGCCCACTGGGAGGTACAGCAGGGAGGGCCCAGGACGAATCAAGGTCTGGAACTTTCCCTGCAGGCTCCTGAGGCAGAGTGTGGTTAGGAATGGCACCCAATTCTGCCTCTTGATGGTGATGACTTTTTCTGAGCTACTGAGTTAAATCTAGGGCCTTCGAGCTGAGCTGCATCTGCGGCACCAGGGGCCTGCTGAGTTGCCTAGGCAGGACTTGAACTTGTGACCCCGTCCAAGTGCTGGGAGTCCCTGTGTGCACCACCAGGCCAGGTGCTGGTGTCTTCATGTGTCAAGAAATTCTATGCAAGCTCCACCTCTAACATAGAAAACACTCGGCTGGGAGTGTAACCCAGCAGTAGTAGCTGTGGCCCTGGGTTTGAGTCCCAACACCAGAAAAGAAAAATAAAACCTGAAGTGTGCTTTTTTTTTTCCCCCAAGATGACAGCAAAGATAAAAACCTGACTGCAGAACTCAAGAGAAAAACTGTAGAGCCAAAACAGTTGTATACTGGCAGGTGGGACTGGGTGAAATCACTCTCTACTAAAAAAAAAAAAAAAAGTCTGAAGCTCGATTGGAGTCTTTCTGCTCTGATTCTATAAATAAGGAATAAAAGCAGTTGGTTATGACCATGCAACCATTGTTAAAAGCAAAGAGCACCAACAGGCTGCCTGCAACCTGATCTCTTGCCATCTGGGAACTGTGAATCCCGGAACCTATTAGCTCCTTACATCTCAGCTTGGCTTTTAAATTAAATCTTATTCCGCGGTGTCACTGGACACTTTATATATTTATTTACACCCTGCCTTGTTCCAGGGAGGATTTAACGCTGCTTATTCTAGAGTTAGTCACAAGTAGCTTTCTTAATTTAAAAAGGACCAGGGAACCTGGGGAGTGGCTGCCCGACAGCCACTCCTCAGGCCCAGGGCCCCACTAACCCAGGCTGCAAGCTTTGGCTACCGCTCCTGTGCCACTGTAAGGCGCTGTTTAGCTCATCCCAGCGTCCAGACTCCCACCTCCTCGGCTGCTACCGCTTGCCTTTTGGCCACTAATCCACAGTCGGTCTACAGGCCTGGCCTTCAGGCCTGGCCTCCGAGTGGAGCCCAAGTTTCCCTGGTGACCTCGGATTTTAGAAGTGCGAAGACTTTTCTTTGAAGGCCTTTTGTTGCTGTGACTCCTGTCCTGTCCCTGAGATAACAGCAGAGCCTACTCCATGCGGGTGATCAAGGTCCTCTGGGAAAGTACTTTGGGAAAATTGGCATAGCAGGCCTCAACCTCCCAGCGGCAATCTAAAGCTAGGTCGTGACACAGGTCTGCCCACCCCGTCCGCTCCCCAGGTCAGATCACCCCAGCAAAGCCAGGGAAGCCTGCGTGCAAGCAGGTGAGCTGGCTGGAAGAACTTCAGGAAGTCCGCCTGCCTCTGCCATCCCTCAGACCTAAGTGGAGGAGGTGGGGAACTAACCGGAAGTGGGGGACAAGTCACTCTCCCGGACTGGCGCTGGAAGCCCTGCCATCCTTCCTCTGGGTAGGGGCTCAGGAGGGGGAGGGGTGGGGCAGAAAGGGAGCCTGCTTCGGGATGCTCGGGATGCTCGCTGGGGCAGAGCGCGACAGTGGTTCCAGGGGACAGAGTTGGAGCTGCGTTAGGGATTAGGAGAGTAGCGAGGGGGTGGCTGGGGGTCACACCGAGAGACAGGGCCAATGCCACGGAAGAGAGGTTTTCACAGGGAAAACGAGGTCATCGTCACAGCACAGGTTGCCCGGGGGAGAAAGCGGGGGCGGGAGGCTGGGACGGCCAAGGGTCTCCCCGGCAAAAGGAGGTGAGCACTTTTCTCCGGGGGAAGTGGGTGTCTGGGCCGAGCAGATCACGCTGCGGCGGCTCCGGGGAGGTGAATGACTGCACTTGGGGCGGCCCCCAGCGAGGGTCGCGCGGACCCACGGAAGCGGAGAGAGAGTACGTCCTGAGAGATCGGTTGGCCATTGGGACGCTCTCCACGGAGAGACGTCTCCGTACGGGCCCAGCTCACCGTCCGCCAGGGCCTCGCTGCACTCGAAGCTGATCTCGAACCGGAAGGGGCTGTGGAAAGGACTCGGGTTCTCCAGCACCGCCACGTTCAGCACCGACACCTTGGCCATCGCCTCGCCTGGCCGCGGCTGCAGCTGCGGCGGGGACCACGTCTGGGCCCGGTGACGGCGGGGGTGGGGAAGGAGCGAGCACAGCGTCACAGAACGGACGACAACACAAGCGCCACCACTGCCTTTCGCCGCCGACTGAAGTGCGCACCTCGTCCGCGCGCGCCGCCTTCAAATAGTCGGTCCCAACCCTCCGTCCAATCGCCGCCAACGCTCCCCGAGCGCGCCCAGACTCTGCGGACCAATTAGAGAAGCTCCCTCTTTACGCCGTGCGAGGGAGGCGGAACCATCCCTAGGCACTTAGAGTGTCCGTCGGGAACCAATCCCTAGCGGCTCCGATTCGGATATGCAGGGTGCTGGTGGGCGGAGTCAAAGCTTGGAGAGTCTGTTAGCCAATCCTAAGGGTTCTCGCACCGGTGTGGCCCGCCTCTAGTCCCGCCCCCTCAGAAGGTGCTTCCTGCGGACGGCAGCTCCGGTAACTGCCGAACGGTGGCGCACAGTGCTCGCTGAAGAGCCAGGAAAGGCGGTTCCACGCGCCCACGATGATTGGCAGAGGCATTGGGGCGGGGATAAAATGGGTTCCTGCAAGGTGACTGGTTATCGCCGGTGAGGAGCGGAAATTGTGCGCCAGCGCGGTGGGCGTGAGGAGGAAGTGAGGACGCTGGTGGCCTGGGCGCTGGGCGCTGGGCGGCTGGTGCGTGGCCCTGGCAACAACTTCGCCGCGTCAGCGAAGCGGGCGACCCGCGAGCGCGTTGTGAACGTTGTGAACGTTTGCCTGCCAGCTGAGGGGAGACGGAGCGGCGACGCTGGTTCGAATCCTGCCGCGGTTCCCACTGGGGACATCGCGAGGTTTCACGTTGGTCGCCGTGGCGGTGGGAGTTGGGGCCGGAGGAACGAGGTTCGAGTCCCGGCCCTGCAGCGGAGGCTGGAAAGCGCCCAGTGGAAAGTACACAGAGCCACACACCTGGCTTGACAGTTGTTGGTAATCACATTGGGTTATTTTGTTGTTGTTCTTTTGTTTTTGGGTTTCCTTATGTAGTCCAGAACTCCCAGCGATTCTCCTGCCTCAGCCTCCCGAGGGTGTGATGCGCCAGCACACCTAGTTCTACTGAAACCGTTTTTTTTTTTTTTTTTTTTTTTTTGTCTTTTTCATTTTTATCAATACCAGGGATCGAACTCACGACCGCCTGCTTGCAAGGCAGGCGCTTATGCCGCTGAGCTAAATCCCCAGCCCCTGAAACCGTTTTTTCTTCTTTTTCCCCAGTGCTGTGGGTGGAACTCCGGGCCTCACTATGCTAGGCAGCACCTGCAAATCCCATTTCAAAGCAAGACAACCGGGTGGAATTGTTATTTGCGTTGCTGAGGATGGAACTGACACGTACTAGGCAAGTGGGAAAAAAAGCAGTAGTACCTGGCTGCACACCCCTGTCGTTGCAGCCTATTGGGAGGCAGAGGCAGAAGGACTGACAGCTGGAGTTGCCTGGGCAACTTAGTGAGGCCATTGAAACTCTGTCTCAAAAAATAAAAAGGGGTGAGGAGGTAATTCATTACAGAGGCGCCGAGTTCAGCCCTCAGCACAAAAACACAAAGCCTTCAAAATAAAACACCTGAGATACCGCACGTCTTTTTACACAGTGAGAAGGCTTCCAGATCTTGGGAACCTGTAATTGTGCATATGACTCTCCACTCTTTATATTTTTCAGCCAGGGTCTTGCAGGGTAGGGCAGACTGGCCTCGAAGTCACAGAGATCCTCCTGTCTCAGTCTCCCAGATGCTGAGGTCAAGGTGTGTGGCATCTGTACGCACCTCCCTGGGCGAGAATCTCCATTCACTGACTACAGTTGACCCGGCTTCCTAAAGTCTGCAGTTGAAAATACCGAATCGCTCACCTCAGCTATTGCTGGAATACTTTGGTGTCTTCCAGTTTGCAAGCTCAAATCGCATATGGCTTTTTCACAGTTTGAATTTGAGGTAGCTGTAATCCGAATCTACATTGCTCAGTGGCATTGAATTAGAAGCAAGTTAGATTGTAAAGTCCCATTTCAGTGTCGCACTGGCCTCCGTCATGATTACCTGTGACACGTGGCTGCTGGGCTGTGGGGTGGGAAAGGCAGGAAATATTTGGCCACAGCCAGGAATGAGGATTTTGCTTACAGTGGGGTCTAGCCCTGACCTCAGACCTGCCAAACCCACTTTACCGTTCAGATCTATCAGGTACCTCTGGGGCAAGGCCTCTGCCCAAACCTTCTTAGTGGTATGTCCAGCGCCTGTTGTCCCAGCATTCAGGAGGCTGAGGCAGGAGGACCTCTGAGTTAGAGGTCAGCCTGGACTCTGTAGTGAGACCATGTTTCAAATGAAGCACAAAAAAACTTCTTAGCAGCTCTCAGCAGGGCTGGTGCCTTGTCATTAGGTGTCTCAGTTCAAGGTCCCCTCCTCAGCCTTCCCCCAGTAGCCCCTAAATCCTGTACTGATCCCTGCCCTGCATCCATCACCTGGCCATCTCTGTGGCCTCAGTAGAGTTTAAGGCTTCACAGTGTCAGGCATTTTTTATTTTTTTGTATCCACTTCTCACATTAAGTATAAAAGGCTGTCTTTTGGCTGTTAAAAAAAATCTTTTGCAGCTATTTGACAGAAGGGAAATTCACATTTCTATTTGGTTTGATTCCTTGGCAGTCTTGGACATACTTGGAACTTTTTGTGATCAAGATAATCTCTAAATTATCTTCAAATGGAATTTGACTGTTATGAATATTAAATTTAATGCTGATTGAAATTGTCACAGTTAAAAAAATAAGGCTAGGGGCTGGGGATTTAGATCAGCGGCATAAGCGCCTGCCTTGCAAGCAGGCAGTCGTGAGTTCGATCCCTGGTACCGGTAAAAACGAAAAAGACAAAAAAAAAAAAAATAAGGCTGGTCCGAAGGTAGTGAGTTATCTCAATTGATTGTTCACAGTCAGTACAGATTGAACTCCTTGTTCTACTCTTTCCCCCCTTCTCACTACTGCACTTGACTAATCTTAAAAACAAATAAATAGATAAATAAATAAGAAATTGTCACAGTTTTTTAAATATTTATTTGTTTATTTTTTTGGAGAGCAAGGTCTGGCTGTGTAGTTGAGGCTCACCTTGAACTCGCTATGCAGCCCAGGCTAGCCTCTCACTTGTGGCAATCTTCCTGTCTCAGCATCCCAAGTGTTGGGATTACAGGCATGTGCCACCAACGCCCAGTGTTGTCATGGTATGCACACCTGCCATCCTGGCACTCAGGAGGCTGAGGCAAGAGGGTCTGGGTGGGGAGGGTTGGGGCCAATCTCAAACTACATAGTAATTTCAAGGCCAGGCTGGGCTACACACACCCTGTGTTTTGTTGTGTTTTTTTTTTTTTTTTTTTTTGGTACTGGGGATTGATCTCAAAACCTCGTGCTTGCCAGGCAGGTACATTGTCGCTGAGCTAAATTCTCCAGCCCTGTACACTGTGTCTTTATAAAACAAAACAAGCTAGGGATTTAGCGAAGCAGCAGTCTGTCTGGCAATCACAAGATCATGCCTGCTTGGCAAGCACAAGATCATGAGTTCGACTCCTGGTACAAAACAAAAAACAGCAAAACTAAAATCCTAGCACTAGGAAGGCTGAGGCAGAAGGATCTCTGCATTTGAGGCCAGCCTGAGCTACAGTAAGGACCATGGTACAACACCTACCTCCAAGAAAAAAGTATTCATTGTGACTTTGTGATTTTCCTGTGGCATTTTGGAAACCTCAGCCCTTCATCCCCAGCTGCAGCCCTTCATGCTTCCCTAAAAGTTTCTCCACCTAATCATTACACATGTGGTACCCTCCACAAGGCTGGCTGAAGTCTTGTAAACCGGGCCATGCCATGACTTTGCATAGAACCCTCGGGGAAGCTTGTCCTACGGTGGGGACTTCAGAGCTTTGCTGTGACTCGGAGGCCCTGCCTGGTGGTCTTGGCTCACCTCTCAGGCCTGGTCTCCTCCCACTGTCCCCACTTGGTCAGCACTTGAGAACCCCACAGCTGTTGTCCCCTCTGCCTGGAGTGACCCTCTTGCCTCCTGGCCCAGCTGACATGTCCCTCTCACAGAAGCCATCTCATGCGACCTTGTTTCTTTATTGATCTCTTGAGACAAGGTCTGGCTGTGTAATCCAGGCTGGGCCAAACTTTCGGTGATCCTCCTGCCTCAGCTTCCTGGGTCCTGGGATGACAGGTGTGTACTACCATGCCTGGCTAGCATTCTTGGTTTGGCTTTTTGAGATAAAGTTTCACTGTGCAGTTCAGGCTGGCCCTGAGCACACTTTTTAGCCCAGGCTGGTCTTGTACTCTTAAGCGATCCTCCTGCCTCATTCTCCCAAGTACTGGAATTATAGGCCTGAGCCACCAGGGGCCAGTTTATATTCTTGTTTTTTTTTTTTTTTTTTTTTTTTAATCCGTACCAGGGATCAAACTCACGACCACATGCTTGCAAGGCAGGTGTTTATGCTGCTGAGCTAAATCTCTGACCCCACTTTTTTTTTTTTGTACTGGAAATTGAACTCAATCTCATGCTTCCCAGGAAGGTGCTTGTGCCTTTGAGCAAAATCCTTGGCCAGTATTGCTTGTTTGTTTGATTTTTTGGTACCGGGAATTGAACTCAGGACCGTGCATTTGCCAGGCAGGGGCTGTGCCACTGAGCTACATCCCCGTCCCCCTTGTATTATCCTTGAGTAATACCTGAGGGGTGTGTGATGCAGTGAGTGCTGAGCCAGACATCAGAGAGCAGCTACAGGGCTTCCTCTGCCGCCATCTCGTGCCCCTTCCTCACCCCTTTTAGCACCTGTAACTCCAGCTCGGACGTTAGTGTTGGCTTTTCTGTGCATGCTGTACATCTCTCCTATGTGTGTGCTGTGGCTTGTATCTAGACATCCCATTCACTACCCATAGGACACTCTGGAGCTGGCTCGCCTAGAGTGTGTGAATACAGATGAAGAGTATGGTAACCGAATCAGCCCACTGGTTGGTTGAGTGTTGTTGTGGGTGTGGCTGGCACCAACCAATAGGCTTGTAGCCTGGGTGAGTTAAAAGGGACAGCCCCCCTTGGGGTCAACCCACAAGGGACTAAATCCTCCACAAACTATGAGCTAAAATAAACAATTCCTCCTTTACGGTGTAGGTGTCAGGTATTTTGTCCCAGCAATGAAATAGGCAACTAAGGTGCTGTTTTTTCAAATCATGCACGGCGTTGTCGGTCACGCTCTGCAGTTTTATGTAAGCGTCATTTGTACTGAGCACAGCAGGCCCAAGGCTGCACCTTAGAAGGGCCTGTGTTTACCCGGGGCTGGTATCGGGGTTCCAGATTTCAAGAGCATCCCTGCCCTCCTCTGCTAATGCCTCCCCCTAAATTGGTTGTTACACACCGTGCAGACCATGCAGTTTCTTTGGCTTATTTTATTATTTTTTTTTTTGCATTGTTACATTTCAGATACATGTAATGATAGCAGTCATCACAGAGAATTTATACCTGTACACGGTATATCTTTTTTTCTTTCCATTTCTTCCAACATCTCTTCCCTGCCTGTTTTTCATCTTTTCTTTCTATTCTTTTTTTTCTTGTTCCTTCTTTCCTTTCCCCTCTCCTCTCCCTAGACCTAGACTTCTCATTTGAATATTTTCTTCCCATTTCCCAATATCTGTTACACATTTTGGTCCTGATTTACACTGCCCATTTCCCACACCAGAGAATGCCGTTTTTACCTATGTGTCCAATTTATTTCACTGCAGTATGGTCTCAAGGTGCGTCCATTTACTTAGAAATGTCTCGTTTATTTTTTATGGCAGAGTAGTACTCCATTATATATATATATGACACACATCTTCCATATTCCTTCATATATATATATATATATATATATATATATATGACACATATCTTCCATATTCCTTCATTGGCTGATGGGCATTTGGACCATTGCCAAAGTCTTTGATCCATTTCAATTTTAGTTTAGTGCTGGTGAATGAGGTGGGTCTAGTTTTAATCTTTTGCCTGTGGAAATCCCGTTTTTTTAGCACCACTTAGTCAAGAGACTTTCGTCCAGCAAGGTGTTTGGATCCTTTGCCAAAGACAAAGTGGCTGTGTTTGGAGTCGTTTCTGCCTCTTCTAATCTGCTCCACTGATCTGGGGTCTGGATGGGTTTTCTCTGTTTGTTTTGCCAGCTCCATGCTGTTTTATCAGAGCAGTTTTGTAGTCAGTTTCAGGCCTCAGATTGGGATGCCCCTGCCTGGCCTTTGTTGCCCAGAGTTGCTTGTACTATTCTAGGTCTGTTCTGGTTCCAAATGAATTTTAGGATTGTTTTTTCTAATTGTGAGAATTTTAATTTGGGTCAGGGTTGTGTTAAGTCTATGTAACAGTTTTGGAAGTATAACCATTTTCACTATGTTGGTTCCGCCTACCCAAGAACAAGGAATATCTTTCCATTTTCTGATACTGTCTTTGATCTCTTTACTCAGGGTACTGTAGTTTTCCACATAAAGGCCTTTTGCTGCTTTTTTTTTTTTTTTTTTTTTCTTTTTTCTGGTACCGGGGATCAAACTCACGACTGCCGGCTTGCAAGAGGCAGGTGCTTATGCCGCTGAGCTAAATCCCCAGCCCAGGCCTTTTGCTGCTTTTGTTAGATTGATTCCTAGGTGTTTCATTTTTTTGAATGCTATGTGAAAGGTGGTGTTTCCCTGATTTCTCTCTCAGTGAGTCTGTTATTTCTGTGCAGGAATGCTATTGATTTTCGAATGTTCAATTTGGATCCAATTCCACTTCTGAATTTGGTTATTGAATGTAGGTTTTGGGGTCTTTTATATGGAGTATCATCTCATTCACAAATAATAATTTAACTTCTTCCTTTCCTATTCTTATTCCTTTTATTTCTTTCTCTTGTCTAATTGCTCTAGCTAATTTTTCCAGAACACTATTGAACAGGAGTCGTGAGAGTGGACAGCCTTGTCTTGTTCCTGATTTTATTTATTTATTTGTCTTTCTGAGCCAGGGTCGTCTTGTGCAGTCCAGGCTGGCCTTGAGCTCAGTTTGTAGCCCAGGCTGCTCTCAAACTTGCAATGATCCTCCTCCCTCAGCCTCCTGAGTGCTGGGATCACAGTCATGGGCCACTGCATCCTACTGGCCTCTTGACTGTGATACATTGTGGATTTTTTTTTTTATCATGGGCTAATGGAGTTCTATATGCCTCACTTATCTGTGCCAAATTATTTTTCTGTGCTCTGGAAGTTTTCTGCCATTACTTCTGTGGAGAGGTTTTTTAACGTCATTTGCAGTCTCCTGCTTTTTCCATTGACTCCATGCTTATCTTATGTTCTTCTTTTGTACATTGTCTAATAGCTGTTGATTTTTCCTTCTTTTTATGATCACTAACCGGAATCCTATCTTCTGTATCTGATACTCTGTCCTACATTGGCTCTTTCTGCTGTGTGTATTTTCAGTGAAATTTTTACTGGGTATCTCTGAATTTGTTTTTTGGATTCCATGTCTTTTCTATGTTAGGTGTTCAGGATCTCCATAGTACTCCTAAGCCTTTCTTTCTTTTTAAAATCTTTTTGAGACAGGGTCTTGCTCTGCAGTTCAGGTTGGCCTTGAGCTCACTTTGTAGCCCAGGCTGGTCTCAAACGCACAGGGATCCTCCTGCCTCAGCCTCCCAGGTGCTGGGATGACAGGTGTGTGCCAGGCTTTCTTTCTTTCCTCTGCTTTTTTTAAATCCCACTCTTCTCCAGTCCCTAAGCATCAGTGTGATCACCATTTCTGCAGTTATCTGAGAAGTTATTTCTGATTTGATTGTTTTCCTAGAGCCTGGTTCATCTGCTTTGCTACTTCTGCTGTTCCTCTTCAGTCCTGGTGGGTGGCTTTTGAGTCCCTCCATCTCACTGCCACCAGGGTTTGCCACACTGCACCCCTTTCCACCTGCCCCGCCCCTTCCTTGCCCCCCAATGAGTCACACCATTCCTGTCTTTCCAAGAAATCTTCTTTATTGTTTGACTTTTTGACTCAACAATTTTTTTTAAACTTTTTGTTTTTTTCTGAAACGATCTTGTTATGAGCCTTTTGTTTTGTTCTTGTTAAATGCACTCGACCCAAAATTGGTTTGGCATATCGAAAAGGAGACCAAGGAGGGAGGGCGGGCGGGAGCCGCGGGGAGCCCCGAATGGACACAGCGGGGCTGCGGATGGTAGGCAGGGAGATGGCGAGAGAGACACAGGGAGCGGGGGAGGGCAGGAGGGGAAGGGGCGAGAGGCAAGGGGAACCCAAAAGAAAAAGTTCTGAGAAAAAGAAAGATTTGGGAGCCAATGAATCCAGGAGCCCAGGGAGGGGAACCGAGACCCTTCTCTGTACCGTGCCAGCTGGGGGGCGTCAAGGCACCAGGTCTGGTTGGGGCGGGGACCCCGGGCTCTCTGGTGGCTTTGCATGGGACTGCAGTGGTGCCCAGCCCCGCCAGGGGGCGGTGCGCAGCCCGGAGGTGACCCCGGGGCCCCACAGCCTCTCCCCTTGATTGTCCACGTCTGGAGAGGCAGAGGGCTGGGCCGCAGGGAGGACTTGGTGCCTGACCCTTTCGGGCCAGGGCTCCGTGCCTGTCTGCCCAGCCCAGCTCCTCACCCCCAGGGGTGACGGCTTGTGAGCTCAAGGGGGCCCCCTGCTCCCTCGCCCACCCTTAACCCTGCCCCAGGGCTCCTGGTGAGATGGGCTAAGAAGACTCCCCCAGAAGAAGCCGAGCCGGAGCTGCACCCTACTCCTGCCCGCGCCTGCTCCCCCTGGGACAAACCGCCGTCTTTGGTCCGGCCCTTCTCTCCTGCGGGCGGGGGACGAGCCAGCCCAGCTCCCCGCAGGAGGGAGGGGGCTTTCTAGCAGCAAAAAGGGTCCCCCAGCCACCTACCTGTCCCCTTCCTCCAGTTCCCTGGAGCCCGCCCCATGACCCCAAGAAGTTCGTGGCAGCAGCAGGCTGAGACCCGGAGATGTCTGAAACTCATGGCACTTGTGAGAGGGGGAAGTGACAGGAGGGCGGACGGAGGCGGCGGCAGGGCCGCCAAGGCGATGGGGAATGAGGTGCTGCGCCGCCTGCCCGGGGGGCTGGGGGCGCGTGGGGAACCCCGACACCCTCCGGGCGGGGCGGACGGAGGCCAGCGGGTGGGCGCCCGCATCCGGCTGCAGAGGCCTTGGCGAGCCGCGCCCCGCTCCCAGAAGCGATGCCTGGAAGCGGCCAGGGGCGCGTCCCGCCCTGCGGAAGCATCTTTGGGTGCGCGGGTGTCTTGGGCGCCCCGGCTCGGGGCGGGTGGTGAGGTTTTGCCCCAGGCGGGCGCCGCAGGGCTCTCTGCTCCGCTGTTGCTTCCCGGTTGGTTTTGCTTCTGTCTCTGGATGTGGGAAGCTGTGCGGGCGGCAGGCGGTCTCCCACCCCGGCCCTCCGCCGGGAGTCCTGGCTGCCGCGCGGGGGCAGCCGAGTCCGGGCCGGCCTGGGCCTCGGGCGCCCGGTGGCTTCAAGTCATGAGATATTTTTTTTTGTCTCTTTTTTTTCCATTTCGTTGAAATATTTACAGCAATGGGGGAAGGCGGGGATGAGAGGCCCCCTAGGGACAGATCCAAGCCCAGGACCCACTCCCCAGGGCGATGCAGACCACATCTGCTCCCTGGAGCACCGGGCCCACAGACCTGGAGCTGCGGGGCCGGGCCGGTGGGGAGTTGTGCTTCGTCAGGAGTGGCCCCGGAAGGGTCACTGGCGCACTCTGGGGGCGGGGCAGGCAGCAAAGGGGCAGGAGCTTCAGAGAAAGTTCCGGGAGACCACTCGGCCGTCCCTAGGCCTGGGCCTAGGCCAGGCTTCCTCCCAGGGTGCAGGACCCTGGCTCGGGGAGCTGCCATGCAGGGGCAGTCCGTCCATCCGTCCTGCAGCCGGGGAGGCTGCCCGGCCTGGGGAGACCAGAGCCCTCAGTCGGCCAGGGGTGGCAGGGCGGGGCAGAAGCAGGAGTAGCAAGGCCCCCCCCCTTCCTCCTAGGGCCTCCAGGCTCCTCCTCCCAGCCCCCTCCAACAGAGCTGGTGCCCGTGGCTGGTGGGAAACCCTGTCTGTGAACCCTGGCACCTCGGGCCCCCACAGGGGAGCCCCTGAGGGGACCCTGGGACGCATGGCCGAGGAGCGTGCTCAGGAGAGAGTGGTCCACCAGCCACTACCCCCACCGCTCTCCCTCTCCAACAAGGGCCCAGCCCAGGGCCTCCTCCCAGGCCGAGCCAACGGCCCCTGGTCCGCAGGTGCCCTCAGAGGCTGGTGACCAGCTGCATCTGCCCGTCCCCATCGGGCCCTGGCCCCTCCAGGCCGGGGGCCGCCAGGTAGCCCTCATGGCTAGGCCTCCGCACCTGGTAGTAGCCCTGCAGGGGGTTCCGAGCCACCAGGGCAGGTGGGCGTGAGGTGTAGTAGATTTCAGGCGGCCCTGGGGGTGCAGGAGGTGGCGGGGGCAGGGTGTCGCTGGGCCCCTCAGGGCTGCTGTCCGCGTAGGAGGGCGAGTCCCGCAGGTTGGCCCCACTGGCATAGAGGGAGTCCCGGCCGGGCGGGGAGGAGAGGGGCCGGCTGGCAGCACCGTCCTCGGCTGCACAGCTCTCCGACTCGTCCAGGTCGCTCTGGTAGAGCACCGACTGGGCCCGGGGCAGCAGCAGCGGCTCCTCCAGGGCCTTGTAGAGAAGTTCGATCTCCGCCCGGTCAGCACCCCCAGGCCCACCGGCCTCCTCTTCACTGCTGCCCCCAGGCACAGGTGGCACAGGGGGCTCGGGCGGCGGGGGCCCCTTTGCCCCACTGCCACCGCCCCGCAGGTTGTTGTGCACCAGCTCTGAGATGATCATCTTCTCAAAGGCTGCAGCGTCTGCAAGGTTTCGGCCTCTGGGTGGCTCGGGGCCCCCATCCCCTGGTGGAAAGTCGCCACTCCGCAAGGAGTAGCTGTTGTTGAAGTTGCCGTTCAGGGGCAGGGTGTCCATGCCACAGGCCTCCCGGCCTCCCAGGGGGTGCTCTGTGGGGCAGGAGAGCCAGTCAGGAGGGCAGGGCTCCCTGCACCCCCAGGCTCTGCACTCATACCCCTCTGCAGCAATGAGAGGAAGCCTGAGCCCCCAGGCCCATCTGGAAGCCCAGACCCTCAACCTCTCTTCTGCATCCAGTGGCCCCAAGTCCCCTGCCGCCATCCATCAAGGTGGGAGGGCTTCAGGAAGGGCCACCATGGTCCCCCTGGGACATGCAAAGCCAGGCTGTGGGTAAGGGGCACTTACTGGGCTCCCGGTAGCTGCCTGTGTGCCGGCCAGGAAGGAAAGAGAAGGCGACAGTCAGCAGAGTGTGCCTGCCCCCACACCCTGGCCCCAAAGGCAGCCCCTTAGCCCTGCAGCACCCTCACCCGGGGAGTTGAAGACAGGGGGAGAAGAGGGGTTGAAGCCCACGGACTCGGCGATCAGGGTGTTGTAGGGGCTGGTGCCGCCCCGGGGCTGCAGCACGGGGTTGGTCAGAAGGTGGTTCCCCATGGTACCTGCCAAGGGTCACAGTCATGGGGCAGCCAGGGCCAGGGTTGTGCCAAAACCCATGGCTGCTGGGCGTGGCCGGGGATGCCCCTCACCTCGGTTCAGGGTGGGTGTACTGTTGATGTCCCCTGCCATGAAGGAGGATTCTGTCTGCTTCCTCACCGTGTCATTCCACATCCTCCGAATGCGGCTCTGGTGACACATGGCAGGCGTCAGTGCCACCGCACACACTGGGACCCCCTGGCTGGCTCTCCAGCCCTGCCCTCCCAGTACCTGGGTGCCTGTGTAGTAGCGGGTATTGCTCCGCATGGCCGAGGTCTTGAGGGAGCCGTGCGTGCCGCCCGGCGGGGAACGGATGCAGCAGTAGGAGTGACGCAGGCACTTGCTATACTCCTTGTGCACCTGGGGGGCGAACAATGGGGACCGTGAGTGGGTGACAGGTGGCAGCCTCCTGCTCCTGCCTTGGCCCTGTCACCAGCCCTGGGCTCTGCCTCAACAGCCCAGCCCCGGTGCCTTTAGGACCAGGTCTGCAAACACTGCAACGCAGTTTGTTTCTTTGGAGATGGGGTCTCAGTTCCTAGTGCAGGCTGGCCTTGAATTCCTGGTGACCCTCCTGCCTCAGCCTCCAGAGTGCCGGACTGTCAGTGTGGGCCACCACACCCAGCTCAGTCAGGCTTCTGGAGCTCGGTCTCCAGCCTGCGGCCCACATGCCCTTCCTCTCACTCCCCACTTCGTAGTTTTTTCTTAAGCTTTAGACTCTTAACAGATCTATTTTAAAAGGGTCCTTTCGGTCACCAAGGAATTCGCAGTTCTTCTGGCACCGATCATCACGTGGGTTCCCAGCGGTCTCCCGCCCTTGCTGCCTCTGAGCTGCTGTGGGCTACTCTATCCCATGGACTCTTCCCCGACCCTGAGCCTGGCTTCCTTCCCGGCAGCCGCGCCAGGCGTGCCCACTTCCCTCCACCTCCGCCGTGGGCCTGGCCCAAGCCAAGGCGTCCCATGCCCTGCTGGCCTCACCTTTTTCTGTAAGGCGCAGTGAAAGACAAAGATGAAGACGCCCTGGAAGGCGTTGAAGGTGGTAAAGAGGTAGGCCATGACCACCGACTCCTTGTTGATAAAGAGCAGGCCGAAGGCCCAGGTAAGGCCCAGGAGGAAGAGCAGCGCGATGGCCCCCAGTGCCCAGGACCTGGGGTGCGGGATGGGCAGGTCAGGGACCTGTTGGAGGAGGCAGCGCCCCACCTCTCCCCAGCCCGAGAAGCAGCCTGGAGCAGGGCAGGCGCTGCCGGTGATGCCTTGCTCCCACACTTCAGCCCTGGTCTGCAGCCTGGTTTTCTTCAGTTGCCCCTGCATGGACCAGGTTCAACCACAGTCCCTAACCCTGGGCTGGTGGCCCCTAGACCCCCAAGGCCAGCTGTGCAAGCACAGCTCCCTGACACCACTGAGCAGTGCTGACGGGGGCCAGCAAAGTACCCTGATCCCTGGACCCGATGCTCGGAGCTGCCGGGAGGGTGGGCACTCACTTGATGTTGTCCAGGCGGCTGGAGTCTGGCTTGAGCACGGAGGAGCTGCGGATCATCTTGTGCAGGGTCACCATGAGAAACACCAGGTTCACCTGCGGGGGAGGCAGCTGAGCCCTCCCGCTGTGCTCTGCAGGCTCCATGCCAGGGGGGTCCAGGCCAGCACCCATCCTGCTGGCCACCCCTGCTGGGCCACCTGTCTTTGGGGTCCCTCGGTGGGTGGAGGACCCGGGGTGCTGGTTGCGGGTGGGCGGTAAGCACGCACAGCAGCCACCCCACCCCAGCCGCAGCGATGGGGCCTCAGCTGGGGCCCTGAAGACCTGGGACATAGTTCCCACCCTGGCACCTTCTCAGGGGTTGGCAGAGCCAGGTTGGGGTAGCCTGGCCCGGGACACTGCTGGCCACTTACCACGATGACAAAGGAGACGGGCCCAATGAAACTCCAGATGAAGTAATTGTCCACTCTGAGCCAGCAGCTGTGGAGAGAACGGCAGGGGTGGAGGGCGCCTGGGAGCCCACAGGCCCAGCCCTGGGGTGCGGGGGGCGGGGCACTCACGCCTTCTCGGTGCCGTAGCTGCGGTAGTCAATGGCGGCCGCGATGCCCACCACCAGCGCAGGGAAGCAGTAGCCACCCAGGTAGTAGTACTTGGTGCGCGAGTACTCGCTCTCAAACACCTCCACCAGCAGCAGGTAGAGGTGCACGCCCTCCAGGCACAGCCAGGAGAAGGCGGCCAGGAAGAAGTAGTGCAGCAGGCCGGCGAAGATGGGGCAGGCGATCTGAGGGGAGCCGGCAGCGGTGGTGAGGTGAGGGGGCCGGGCCGGGCCGGGCCGGGCCGAGCCGAGCCGAGCCGAGCCGAGCCGAGCCGAGCCGAGCCGAGCCGAGCCGAGCCGCCCTGCGGGCCCCGCCCCTCCCTCCGACCCCGCCCCCACCAGGCCCCGCCCACCTCATACTGAGTCTTGTCTATGCCGACCAGGAAGAGTAGCTCCGCCAGGAAAAGGTTGATGCAGAGGTTCTTATGGATGGTGTTGCGGTCGGTCTGCAGCCCCCGCAGGAAGCAGAAAGTGGAGATGCAGATGGCCAGGCAGACCAGGGAGATGACGATGCCCACCCAGGTGATGACAGACAGCAGCAGCTCGTTGATGCGGCCCTGGTACTGGGGGACAGGAGCGGGGCGGGCTCAGGCCTCCGGCTGCACGCAGCCAGCTGTGTGGAAGGCCTGGCGGGCGCCAGCCACAGGCAGGGCACTCCAGGACTGCCCACTGGCCGCGCTGCGGGCCGCCCGCGCCTGCTTCCTCATGCTCTGGAAGGCTCGTGGAGAGAGGACAAGGCAACAGCTGCATGCTTCTCCACGGGGCCCTGGGAGCGGATGCAACCGAGCACAAGGATGGGACAGTGGCCCCCACCCCTGAGGCTGGCCTGTCCGGCTCTGCCCACGCCATGCGCCCCTGGGATGCCACGCAAAGCCCTGAGGAGCAGGGCGCCGCAGCTTACGATCTCTCGGTGGGCCATGAGCACGGCAAAGTTGGTGAGGTGGCTGCAGGCACAGGTGGTGTGGGTCTTGTTGGACTCCACCAGGCGGCAGCCCTGGGTGGACCAGTAGCCTAGCATGGAGCGCTCGGAGTAGTTCCAGAAGGAGCAGTTGGCGTTGAAGTGGTTCTTGGCCTGAGGTGGGGCAGGGTCCGGGACAGGGTCAGTCACAGGAACATGCTCAGGTGCCCCCACCCGGCTCTGGGGACAGACCAACCAGTAGGAGACAGCTGTGGGCCCAAGGGCCCCCCAGCCAGGTCCCGGGCACACAAGGGGTGAGCCCCAGGATAGGACTGTCACTGGGGCTCACCTCCAGGTGGGCCACAGTGAAGATGACAGGGTCCATGAGAAAGACACGGCTGGATTCCTTGTTGATGGATGCCGCGATGACCTGCGAGTTCACTACCAGAGAGGCGCCCCCAGGACTCCCTGTGCCCGCCTCGCCTGCCAGCTTCACTGTCGCGTTCTCCGTGGACAGGAAGAGGCCCAGGTTATTGTAGAGGATGAACACAACCTTGACCACGCCTGGGGAGGACAGGGGTGGGGGATATGGTGCTGGCTTCGGCTACTGCAGCATTCACCAACTCAGGCAGGCGGTGCCACCAGACCACTGCGGGTGGGGGCCAATGTGGATGGCGGTACACAGGCCAGGATAGGGGGCTGTTTCCACCTGTGCGTCTCCTGAGTGACTGCGTGACCTCTCCAAGCCATGGGCCAGGAGGGACTGTCCTGGCGACAGCCCTGTAGACCCACAGTGCCCTGCAAGCTCTGTGGCTGGGTCGCACCTGAGGCCCAAGGGTGCTCACCATTCCGGCTGTTCTGTTTGATGGTGTTGGCAGACAGCTGGATGGAGTTCTCGCTGGGGTACTCCTGGGGGAAGACCAGCTCCTGCACCTGGCCCTCTGTGTTCAGGACAGTCACCTCCAGCACTGCGGGCACAGGGCATGCGCCGTGAGGTTCTGTCCCAATGGGGTAGGGTGTAGGTGGCCCAGTTATTCCCATGGGTTCTGTGCCACTCACCCACGTTCTGCTTGGCAGCCAGGAAGCGGGCAGGCTCCCGAACATTGTCGGCCAGCAGGAAGGCGCCCTCCTCTAGCACGTCCAGGAGCATGGTGGCCGTGTGCACCTGCTCCGTGGTGTTCATGTCCTTCCAGGACTCCAGTGCCTCCGGCCGCAGGAGGTTGTCCACAGTCTCCACCACGGCCTGCATGGGTGGGGGGTGGGAAGTCAGTGTGGAGTGCACCCGCCCCACCCCTTCCTCCCACCCCCCACCTGGGGCCTGTCGCCTGCCGCTGGCCACACCTTGATGTAGTCCTTGCAGGTCCGCTCCCGTTTGTGCATCTGGGGAGACATGGGTGAGGTGTCAGCCTGGGACCCCTCACCACATCCCTGGGCCCCGCAGCTCACGTCTTGGCCTGGAGAACTCACTCTCCGTGTCTTCCCCCCACCTGGGGCTGGGCCCTGACCCTGGGATATTGGGGGAGGCCCCTTGCAGGGTCCCCGCCTTGCCGCCGGCCTACCTTGTTGTAGTTCTTCCCGGCTGACTCGCGCTCGATGGGCCGCAGGGCCTGTAGCTGGGCGTCCAGGATGTCCAGGAGCTGCTCCATGAGCTTCACAGACGAGGACACATCCCCCGCGTAGATGGAGCCCCGTGTGTGGCGGGCCAGCTCACTGGCGATGTTGGCTGCGTTCTCCCCACTCTTGATCTGGAAAGGCCACATCGAGGGGGCTCAGCGCCGCATGAGGCTGACCTGTTCCCTGCCCCCTGCCCGGGCTCTGCACCCCATCTCCTGCGGACCCCATGGGCTGCCCTGAGACCCAAAGTGTACACGCCTCCCTGAGGGACCTGTGCCATCTGTCTGTACCTTCTGGGCCACCTGGTTGACCCAAGGGGAGGTACAGTTGCTGAGGTCAGGGCCCCGGGGGTTCCAGAGCCCCAGGGCTGGCAGACACTGGAATGAGGCGATTCCTGGAGAGACACAGCCAGGGGCCAGGGTGCATGGGGAGACAGGGAGGGGGAAGAAAGAGAGGAGGGGGACACAGAGAGAGACGTGCAGGGGTGAGGCCATGCTCACCCCGTCCTGATGGCCCCTCCTGTCCTTGCCATCTGGTGGCGGAGCCCCTCGATGGCAAGCCCTGCAGCTGGCCAGGCAGCCACTGTGTCCCGGGCCCCGCCCACCATCCCGGCAGATGCATCCCACACCACCTGCCCAATGCCAGCCCAGCAAGCTCACCCCGCGTGCCCTTGGGACAGGGCCGCTCCACCAGCATGCCCTGCTGAGTGGCTGGCCACTGGACCCGCCGCACCTCTCGAGGTTCGCAGAAGAGCTCTGGGGACACGTGCAGGTTGGGGGCTGGGGGCCGCCGGGTACTGGGGGCAGGGGCTGTGGCCAGGGGCAGGTCAGGTCCCAGCTGGTTGATGGCGCCCACCGGGTGCGTGGTGAGGGGCGCTCGGCGGAGTGGGGTGGTGGCCGCGGGGGAAGCTGTGCTGGTGAGCGGGGTGGGCCTGGCAGTGGTGGTCGTGCTGAGGGGTGGGGACGTAGCAGGACCTGAAAGAGGAAGGATAGAGACAGGGTCATATCCCACGCAGAGTCCCTCAGTCTTCCTCCCATGCTGGTCAGAGGTGCCCTGGGCTTCGGGCTCTGGAGGTGGCCATCCCAGCTTCTCTGATTCCAAGCAGATGCCCTGTGCTTGGGTGACCACAGAGTTAGGCACGCTGGGCACTACTGACTGGGTCTGTGACCTGCTCACCCTTCCTCAGGCTGGGGGCCTCAGTTTCCCCATTCGAAGGACATTGGTTTAACTAAAGCTCCCTGGGGTCAGTCAAAGCTGGTTCGCAGAGGCTGGGAGTGGCCCAACAAAAGGGCCTCTGTCCTGTTGACCCCAGCAGCCCGGCTGTGTCCTCTGTTGACTGTGGGGGTCCCCCAGAGTCCAGGTACCCATCTCTCATGGGATCAGGTGTGCCTGGGGCCCCTGCCAGAGGCAGCATGGGCCAGTGGCCAGCCTGTCCACTCAGACCTGTTCCTGCACCTGTGATCAGGGCTGTCACAAGCCCTGTTCCCAGGCAGCCCGTGCACCTCAGGGCACTTAGACTTCGGGCGCTCCTGTGACTTCCGGTCACCCCTCGGAGCCGCCCACAGCTCCAAGGTTCTGGCAGGAGGCAGAGCTCAGGCAGCCCGGCAGGGCGGTGCCTGTTCCCCATCCTCACCGGCACTGGGATCCGGGGGCCCAAACTCCAGGCCGTAGCGCACCACGAAGTAGTTGTTCCAGACGTAGAGCTGGTTGTCGCGCGGGTTGTAGTCCACGGAGGACACGAACTGGTAGGGGTTGGGGAAGGCCAGGCCTACGGGCTCCTCGCGGTTGGCATTGGTGTTGAAGGCATAGTCCACGCGGTTGCCGGCCGCCTCGCTGTCGTCGTCCACGTAGACGGAGCGCAGCACGTAGAGCACCCCGCACACCATGAAGGCGTTGGAGGCCGAGCGCTTGTCGTACCCCGTCTCCCAGGTGCCCTCGAAGCGCAGGGTGTAGGGGTTCAGTTGGCTCACCACAAGCCGCCCGTTGTTGGCCTCGGTGGCGTAGATGACCCACAGCCCATTCTCGTCCACGGCCAGGTCGATGTCCGTCTTGCCGCCCCAGCGGTAGGGCGACGTGTCGTGGTAGTTGGCCGTGTTGATGACCGTCTCGCCGCTCTTGATGCGCGTGCGCAGGTCGTACTTGACGATGTTGCGCGTGCGCTCCTTGTTGTAGAAGACGGCGCCATCGTAGACCACGAAGCCCGTGCCGTCCACGCGGTTGGGCAGGCGGTAGGTGGTGGTGTGGCGAGCGGCCACATAGTCCTCCCAGGACGCGTACTCGGTAAGTGTGTCGGTGCGGTAGGGGATCCAGGGCATGACGTAGATGCGGTCACCCGCCTGCAGCGGGTCCTTGCACCAGGCGCCCGACTGGTGCTCCGACTCATGGGTGGAGGTGGGCTCCAGCACCTTCTGCAGTGTCCCCGGGCACACGAAGACTGGGCCGGGCGCGCGCGGTGGGGCAGGCGGGCAGGCGGCAGCGGGGAAAGAGGGGAGAGAGAGGCGAGTTGGTCAACGAAAGCCGGGCAGCGCCGCCCCCTGCTGCTGCAGTCACGGTTGCTTGGTCGGGCTGGTGATGGGGGAGGGGGGTTTGCAGGCTGGGACCCCGCCCGCCCAGCTGCCCCTCGCCCTGGAGGTGAGGACCCTGCGGGCCATCAAGAGCAGGGTTAGTGCGGGAGGGAGGCGGCGCCCTCTTCCCTTCCTGCGTGAGACCCCGCGGGCTGTGGGGGTGCGGGCTCGGCTCGGCCTCTCCCCCGCGCGGCCAGAGCCGCTTCCGGTGGGTTGTGGGGTGGCCGGACACGGTCCCCCCCCCGCCCCTCCACCATAGCAGTGACCCTGACTGGTCAGCACACTCCTACACCTTTACGGAAGCCAGGGTCCAGTGTCCTGTCCTAAACCAACCACAGCAGGCCAGACTTGTTTTTAAAAAAAAGAAACAGAACAAAACAAAACCAAAAACCAACTTCACTTTCTTCCTGCTGGAAAAACCGCCAGGTCCAGTGGTGTGCCTGAACCCACGGGGGTGTCGGGAGCACCCCCAGCTGCAGTCCACGCCCCCCTCCTCCCACCGGCCCCCTGCAGGTCAGTGGCTGCATAGGAGCTGGGGTGGGGGCAGCCCCCGGGCGAGGCCAGAGCTAAGACGCCTGCGCCCCCAGCCAGCAGGGTCTCGGGGTCGGGAGCTGCCGCCGCCACTGGTGCGCAGGGATGGAGGGGGGGCTTAGAGTGTGGGGCCTCCCGGGAGGGCGGGGGAGAGCTGCGTGGAGGGAAGAGAGAGGGGAGGGGGCTCCGCGAGTCCCAGCTCCGGGGGCCTCCGAACACCACCTGGGAAGAAAGGGTTAGCGCTGGCAGAGGAGAGAGGGTGAGCAGAGAATTCACGCCAAGGCCCAGGCCCAAGTGAGGGTCCCCTGGGGGGGCGGTCCCAGGTCCAGCTCGGAGGGGGCAAGGGAGGGAGCCAGGAGCTAGGATAAAGACCCGGCCCGCCCCGCCCGGCCCGGCCCGCCCCTGCCCGGACCCCGGTTTACCTGCGACCATCCCCGGCTCGGGAGGAGGGACCAAGGCAGCGCTGATGTCAGAAAGGTGGGGGGCCCCGCCCCACCCCCCAAATTCCCTGAAAAGAGGAAAACCTCGACTGCATCTCGTTGGCCGCCGCTGGCCTGCCCGCCCTCGCCCCTCGTGTCCCTTGCTGGCCTGTCCCTTGCCGGTCTGCTGGGTCAGTGTGGCTGAGACTCCACCCCCCCCCCAGGTGCTGCCAGGGCCAGGTGGCAAGCGCCTCCCTGTGGCTCCCCTTCTAGTGAACCCCGAGGTCTGGGGCGGGGCGGGGGCTGTGGTGAATTCTCTGCTCCATGGCCAGCCCCGGAGCCCCAGGGGGACAGGGACACTCCTCAGCCTCCACTTCCCGCCCGGCTCTCCGCTGGGGACGCTTCGCCTTTCTTCCGGCACCAGAGTCCTGGGGCAGAATGGGGCTGGAACCAGGCCGCTCTGGGGTCCGGCTCAGGCTCTGAAGCCCTGCCCCCTCTAGTCCCCGATGCCCTTAGTGTAGGCCCGATCTCTGTCCAGCACACCTGGCCTCCACCTTTGTCCCCTGTGTTCCAGGTGTCATCCTCCCCACCGCTCTGCCCCCCCCAACCAGGGTCTGCGCAAGTGAAGGGGATTGGGGGAGGTCTCAGAGCCTGATCTAGTGCGGGGATGCCAGGGGGAGGAAAAACAGTTAGAGGCCATCTCGGGGGAGAGGGACGGAGGAGGAAAGGTCTGCATGGGGCCCTGGGTGACAAGGACGAGGACGCCCCCCGGGCACCCAGCGTCCGACACCTCCTCTTCCCTCCCCGCAGCCCCCCAGAGGCAGCGTCCGGTGGTGCGGCTCCAAACCAAGGCCTGCAAGAAGAGTGGCTGGTGCCGGGTGGGGGAAGGAACGGGATGGGGAGGCCTCGGCGTCACCGCCTAGGCCTCCGGGTGGGGGAGGGGCAGCTGGGGGGACCTCGCCCCGCACCCTTGCGGGGATGCTCCATGGTGGCCGTAATTTCCCGGAATAAGGGACGGGGACTCCTGGGCCGCTCCCCCAAGGGCCTGCCGCCCGCCTCTGCTGACGGGTCAGCTTCCACGCACCTCTTGGGCAGGAAGCGACTGTTCCCCCCCAACCCCAGCAGCCAGCCCATGCCCCGCGGGGACCCTGTGAGAAATTACGGCGCCCCTGGAGGTCCCGGCGCAGGTCTGTGCCCGCCCACCCGCTCCCTGGTCCGCTAACACCACAGCCCAAAAGGAACCCTGACTGCAGCTTTGCAAGTGTGCGCGAGCAGAACCCACCATCCCCCCGCCGCCCCCATGAGCCCACCCCGCCCGCGCCCCCCAGGCCAGGGCAGCAGCGGACGCCCCTCCAGACCTGCCGGGGAAGGGGGCGGGGGCCGGTGCTCCGCGCTCCACACGGCTCTGGGCCCCGGAGACGCCACCGCGGGAGAGAGGAGAGATCTGCTCCCCAAAAGGAAAAAAGGGGTGCCCCCAGCCCACCTCCCCTGCACGGGGTGGGGCGCTCGGTTGAAAAGGTCCCAGGAGGGGAGGCAGAAACGGAGCAAGAGGCCCTCCCGCCCCTTCCACCGGCTCCTGGAGGAGGCAAAGGTGAGCGGCGGGCGGCCAGGCCCCAAGGGCAGGGCCAGGGAAAAGGAGGAGAGAGGCAGAGAGAGGCGGGGCCTGCCTGCGCTCAGAGAGAGCTTCCTCCGGAGTCTGGGGCGCCCATGGTCACCCCCCAGGGCCCCGGGAGGGCCGTGGGGCAGCGGGGGCACAGGGCGGGGTCCCATGATGGCACAGCAGAACAAAGTGTGAGTTAGGGGTTAGCGTCGGTGACGGTGCGTTTACCTTTCTGTTCCACTTCTACTTTAAGCATCGGAAGAGAGAGAGAAAACAAATTGAAAAAAAAGTGCAAGAAAAAAAACAAAACAAAACAAAAGAAAAGAGATTAAATTGCTTTCGTTGCTCCTGCGGCCCCCTGGCCTCGCCTTCCTCGCTCCAGCTCCCCAACCCCTTCCGCCGCATCTGCTCAGCCCCCACCCCCAAGTCCCCCGCTCTGGGGTCGGGTGGGGCCACAGGGTGCCGGGGAGACAGTCAGGGAGGGGGACACACGAGGGAGACGGGGAGACAGCGGCGGGGATGGGCAGGCGCAGAGGAATTGCACGCCCCTCCCAGAGCTGGGGCCCTGGGGCAGGGGTTCTGGGGTTCAGGGGCTCCCAGCCCGGAGCTCGGCTGAACTCTGGCCGCTTCCGCTGGCCTCGCCCAGGTCCGGCTGCGCCCCCCACCCCCGCCCCTCAGGAGCCTCGAGACCCAGAGGACGCAAACAGTGCAGCAGGTGACACACAGGGCAGATGCCGTGGCTTTGGAGAGCACCAGGAAGACACAGAGGCGGAGTGGGGGTGGGGACACGCGTGGGCGCGCGCACGCACACACACACCCCCTGGCCAGCCCCCACCCCCAACCCCCATCTGCGCCCGCCCTGCCCCTGCCCCTGCCCTTGCCCCACGGCCGGCCGGGCGACACCTGAGGGAGGAAGACGCCTGTTAGACCCGTGCACGCGGCTGCAAAGCAAATCCAATGTTAGTCCAGCGCCCTCTCCTGGGAGTCCCAGCCCCTCCGCCCCAGCACTGGGGTCACCCCAACCTCAACAGACTAGCCTCCCGGCCTCCCCCCTCAGCATCCCTGAGCAGACTGGAGCAGGGGTCCTGCAGGAGCAGCACGGAGTCCCTTCCCAGCACCTCGTCCAGGCCCGGCCCTCGGACATGCCCAGGGGACGCGGGGGGGGGGGGCACCTGCGGGCTTGTCTGTCTTCTCGCCTAGCTCTGCTGACCCCGTCCCCGCCCCAGAGGCTGTGCCCAGGCCTGGTGGGGGCCAAACTCAGACCTGGTGCCTTGCAGGCCCCTCCGCGCCTGCCCTGGCCCTGCCCTGCACGTGGCTCCCGCCTGGGCTGGGCCTGGACTCTGCCTGCTCTGGCCCTGGCCCGCAGCGGAGAAGTCGCCTTCGTTGTCCCGGATGCTACTTTTATGGAGCTCAGCAGCGTGGTCAGGGTCACTGTAGGGGCTCAAGAGCAGCCCAACAGCTTAGGAGGAGCTGGGAACCTGCCAGGCGCCTCCCAGTGGTCTGTGGAGAACCCTCGCTGCAAATGGGGAAACTGAGACTCCGTGAAGTGATGTCACTGGGTCGAGGCCATGTCCCCCTGACACTGACAGCTTGTGGGCAGGTTTGGCCTTCCCTCCTGCTGGTGGGGGCCACCGTCGGCCTCAGGCAAGGGCATCATACGTTCCCGAGCACAGCTGGACTTGGGTGCAGGCTGGGCGCTGGGTGAGGGCAAACCTCGGCCTCCAGGAGCCTGCGCTCAGAGGTCCTCACACCCGAGCTCTTGGGCTCCCACCGCCTGCACTGGGCCCCAGAACCACCAGGTCATTTGCTCTGGGTCTCAGAGCCCAGGACACCTGCACCCACCCATCTTTCGCTGTCCCCTCTGTTCTAGCTACATCGCTGCCTCCCTGTCGCCCAGCCCCTGCTGCCCCTGCTGCGGGATGGGCCGCGTCCCCAGTGCTGTAGGGAGACTTTGGGAGCACACGGGCGTCCCCCTCGGGTGGTGGCCACAGAGGCCTTGGGCACTGCAAGGAAACGGCGAGGCCTAAAAGAGGAAAGTTATGAAGCACGACAATCCTGGAGGCCGCCTTGTCACCTGCGAGGAGAAATCAAAGGTTGGGTTCGGGAGGGGAAGTCAGGGTGGGAGAGGAGGGGAGTGAGGAGGTCTCCTGCTCCCCTGCACCCTCACTCGGACGCCCTGGTGGCCCTGGCCCTCCCCGCTCTGCCCAGAGGCCCAGGCCCTACCTCCAGGTCGGAGAATGAAGCTGGGTGGGAGGGACGGAAGGAGGGGGGAGAGAGGAGGACAGGAACAGGGGGTGATGTCGAGGATGGGTGCTGAGGAGGAGAGACCTTGTCTTTGCTCCCCGAGCTGTGTGCCGGACAGCTAGGCTCCTGGCTCCCCAGGTTACCTTCCTGGGGCTTGTGGGGGCCACTCTCAGTCCAACATGGTGGCCCCTCCCTGCAGACAGGCAGTGCTTGTGGGACATAGGAATCCCCAGAGGATGCTGCTGACACTGACTCTGCCACCAGGCCTCGGGGGGATACAGTCCAGCTTCCAGGATGGGGAAGGGACAGCGTAGGACAGTGTGAAAGGAAGTTGGGAAAGGAAGGGGGTAGCCGGCAGGGAAGGGCAGGTGTGCAGGTGTGGCGGTCAGGAAAGCAGCAGGCAGCCAGGTCGAGGGGCTTCGCAGCAGGTGAGCTCAGGTGTGTGGCCCTGACTGTGGGCGTGTGACCGTGGGTCAGCATGGGAGGCTGCACGTGCCGGGGCAAGGTATCTCCTCCTCCTCCTCCTCCTCCTCCTCCTCTTCCTACTCCTCCTCCTCCTCCTCATGCTGCTGGCACCGGGGCCCACACCGCAGAGGAACAAGAGCACTCACTGTAGGGCACACAGTCGTACTGCACCTCCAGGTACTTGTAGGTCCCGGGACAGGGGTCGGGGAAAGCGTCCGAGCCGGCGACCACCACACACTGGGTGCGGTTGTTACACCTGCGGGAGGGAGGGAAGGGCATCTGGGAAACATGGACCCAGGCCTGGGGGTGCCCAGGCCAGGAGAACAAGGAGACCCGAAATGGGGAGGGCACCCAGGACCCAAGCCAGGTGAGGACATCGCCTTCTGTCCCCCAGCTGTCAGTGGTCACCTCGGTGTCCCCTCGGGGGGGACAATGGAGTGACCCCACAAGCAATGGCCCCCCACCTGTGCAGCAAGCCCCACAGCCATCCCCGGGGCAGGCCTGTGCATCCCACCTGCCCCCAGGCCACTGGCTCTCACAGCAGAGAGGGACGGGGAGGGGGGTGCTGATCACGTCTGTTCACCCGCCCACTCCTCTAATGGTGCATCCCTGGCCCAGCGGTCCCTCTCCTTGGTGTGCACCCAGGGAAACTGAGTCAGGACCCAGGCAAATCCCAGGCACCTGAGGCTGTGCTACAGGGGGTGACCACCCTAAACCCAGGGTGATTGGCCTGCGCCAGCCAGAGGGAAACTCGGTGCCCTTGGCAAGGGGTGAGGAAGCCGGGAGCCAGGTGCAACCCTTCGAGAAATCCTCACCACCACGACTTCAGGGTCAGGGCAAACCGCTATGTAGGTAAGCTTTCCTTTTGGGGTGATGGAATGTTCTGGAACTCGGTGGAGATGGTGGCTGCCCAACCTTATGCATGTATTAAATGTCACGGAATGTGTTTGCTTTAAAATGGTTCATTTTAATCATTTAAAAATAAATAGCACACAGCTGGGAGCAGCAGCAGCGCACAGGATCTTCGAAGCCAGGAGCCAGGAGCCGAGGTGGGAGAGGAGGGGAAGGAAGAGGAGCTTAAGTGTGACTCCTGTCCCGGTTCCCCAGACCCTGACTCAGAATGCAACATGAACCCAGTCTGGGTACTGTGGTTGGGACAGCTCACGCCTGCATCCCAGCACTGGGGAGGCTGAAACAGGAGGATCCTTGTGAGTTCGAGTCCAACCTGGGCTACAAAGTGAGCTCAAGGCCAGCCTGGACTGCGTGAAGAGACCCTGGCTCAGAAAGACAAAAAATAAAAAATAAAAATAAAGCCCAAAACACAACCACAAACCGGGGCTGGGGTATGGGGGTACAGGGGCTGCTTTGCCCCTGTGAGGCCCCGGGTTCCGCCCCCAGAACCACAATTAGAGCCATGTCCCTTTCTGTGGTCTGTGAGACTGGACGTGGACCCAGGAGCCTTTCCTGGAGCTGTAGTCTCAGCTCTGGGGCTTTTTTTGGTCTTTTTGAGACAGCCTCTCACTCTGCAGTTCAGGCTGGCCTCGAATTCACTCTGTAACCCCTGGGCTGACCTTGAAGTCTCAAAGATCCTCCTGCCTCAGCCTCCCCAGTGCTGGCATTACAGGCTCTGTTCATTTCTTCTTCTTCTTCTTCTTTTTTTAAATCCATACTAGGGCTCGAACTCACAACCGCCTGCTTGCAAGGCAGGTGCTTATGCCACTGAGCTAAACCCCAGCCCTCTATTTTTTCTTCTTTTGACGACACTGTCTGGCCTAGTTGCTGCTTGTTCAGGCTTGGCTCAAACTTAGGACACCCCCTTGTCTCAGCCTCCCGAGTGCTGGATTCCAAGCTCACTCCCACCACCCACCTGGTTTCATTTATTTAAATAAAACAGAAAGCAAACCAGGAAAAAGCCACCGCTCGCCAGGCCCAGGCTGGGGGCTTTGGACCCCACCACCTCTGGTAGCAGAAATGTACAGGGCCGAATCCTGGCCCATGGGGCGAGGGTCCAAGTGGCCGGACTCTGGAGGGCGATGGCCAGGGGCAGCCGGCAGGAAGGAGGCTTCTCAACTCTTGACGGGGCTTCGGTCAGCTACTCAGGGTATCTCTAGCAAAGCAGCTTCTCTGTGACCCTAACCTGCACAGAGGGCTCCCAGCCTTTGGAGGAACTGGGGTAGCAGCGGGAGCAGGGTGGGGTTCCAGAGCAGAGCTCCGAGTCCCAGCGCTCTGCAGAGCTGGCCGGCTGTCAGGAGGGAGCAACTGATGCCACCAGGGGCTCCGTGTCTTGGACCTAGGGACACCTGTCCCCAGCCTGAAATTCCCGAGGTGCCTGGTCCTCCTGTCCCCAGCCCCCTTCCCGCTTCCCTGTGCCACAGGGCCCTCGGGGACACCGTACCGTCTTGGACAGCAGAGATTCTCACCCTCCTGTGGTGTCCCTGGCCAAGGACCGGACAGTAGGGGACAGAATTCTGTCCTCGCGGGACTAAGAGCCCCCCCAGTACTATGAGAGAAGGCATATAAGGCAGGTGTGGTGGCACACACCTGCGATCCCAGCACTTAGAAGGCTGAGGCAGGAGGACTGCTGCAAGTTCCAGGCCAGCCTGCGCTCCTGAGTGAGCTTGAGGCCAGCCTGGACTGAAGAGCGAGACCCGGTCTCAGAAAGACCAAAAACAGAAGGCATAAAAGAAATCCGCTCTCAGACACAACATCTGCCGGAAATGTGGCAGCGGGACAGGGGTGTCCAGGGGCGGCACGGCCAGAGCTGTGAGGAAAGGGGGAGCTGTCCTTTTAGGGTTTGGAAAGGCCCCACAGGGGCACAGCTAAGAGCATGGCGGCACAAGTGAAGGGGGCTCTCAGGGCCAGGGAACAGCACCAAAGCCAGAAAGAACAGCAAGGAGAGGCTCAGAGGAGGCCCCGGTGACCTGTAAGGGACAGGCAGGGGCAGGAGCTGGGGGGTCGGGTGAGGCTCTGCAGAGGGGGCCCCTGCGGCACGGCCCTGGCATCACCTCCTGGTGGTCCTCAGCCTGGTATGCGCCGCACACCGCACACACCAGCACCGCCACACTCATCGGATTTACACCCCGGCACGCTAAGCTCCACACGCACCAGAGAGCCAGGCTGGGGACACGTGCCTGCCATCCCGGCCTTGGGAGGCTGAGGCAGGAGGATCCCGAGTTGGAGCCCCACCTGGGCAACTCAGACACCCAGCGAGTGATACCCACTGTTCCTTAAAAAAGTGGGGGGACGTAACTGGGTGGACAGATCTCGGGGTTACCATCCCAGCCCTGGGGAACAGCTCACAACCCTGCCCGCCAGCCTGGGACGTGGTCCATCCCCCAGAGACACACAGCTGCTGCCACATGCGTGCGTGCTTCTGCCACATATGTGGGGGTGCCGTGCCGGGCTGCACCCGGGACACCCCCGAACTGGCTTCAGGGCACCAGGCGCAGGGCCACTCACCTCTGTGACATGATCTTGAAGGCATCAGGGAGGTAACACTGCACATTCTCCATCTGGAACGGGTCAGCGTCACAGATCTTGTCGTCCGTGCGTCCGTAGTTGGCGTTTTCCACCATGATGACGTCACTGCCCGGGCACCGCAGCTCGATGGGGTACCCCTCGCATGCCAGCTCCCGGCGCATGAGCCCAAAGGGCAGCCCGGCTCGGCTCAGGCCTGCAGAGTGGGTGTGGGGCAGGGGGCTGAGCTGGGGGTCTCCACATCTCCCCAGGTCGCAGGCTGATGTCCTAACTCAGCCCCTGGACCGCTGACTGCAGCTGGAGGAACCGTGTTGGGGCGCTGGGGTAAGGCATGTGGGGTACCACCGCACAACAGCCCTGTCCCGGCCCTCGTTAAAACCTGACCCTAAAACAGCGGCTCGGAAGCTGCTCAGGCTGGCCCTAGACCTGCCGTCCTCCTGCCTGCCACTGCTAAGGTCCTGGGGTGACGGGGTGCGCCACCTCGGCCAGCAAGGAGATCTTTGCCAATGGTGATGGACTTAAGTAAGGCTGTGGGGGTGGACCCAAAACATCAAAAGGGGGGTTTAAGCAGGGGTAGCGGTACACACCTGAAATCCCAGCACTCCGTGAAGCTGAGGCAGGAGGATCCCAAATTAAAGCCCAACCTGGGCAACTTAGCCACTGTTTCGGTTTGGTCCGAAATGTTCCCCAAAAGTATGGCAGCTCAGAGCCTGGCGTGGTGGCTCACGCCTATAATCCCAACACTTGAGGGTTAAGATGGGAGGATGGTTGGGAGTTCAAGACCAGCCTGGGCTACAAAGTGAGCTCGAGGCCAGCCTGAGCTGGATAGCGAGACCCTGTCTCAAAAAGACAAAAAAAAAAAAAAAAAAGTATGGCAGCTCAGACAAGGGGTTTCGGGGGGCGGCTGGACTCTGGTGTGTAGAACACACTCGTGACTCACTGAGGCACAGAGCAGGTGCGGGCACTGCTGGGGGGCAGGGCTGCTCACAGCAGCTGGGGCCTGGGCAGGCATGACCCAGAAGGGCCCCCTCTCCCTGCTTCACGGAGCCCCGCTGTGAGCAGCCTCCCTGCCTCAGTTTCCCAATGTGTCACATGGGGCACCCCCAGTCCAGGGTCATTCTGCAAGGGTCCCTGACCCTGAAGAGCTTTTTTTTATTTTTAATTTAGAGACAGAGTCTTGCTAAGTTGCCAGCCAGCCTCGAACCCGCACTGTCCCTGCCTCAGCCTCACAGGGGGCTGGGGTGACAGGCGAGCACCCCATTCCCCAGGGAATGCTGCCCTGCTGTCACACTATTTCCTCCTGAGGGGGCCAGGTAGGGCGGGGCACCCCCTCTGCTGGAGCCCCTGGCCCTCCCATGCTGCCGAGATTCCGGGGTGATGCGGCTAAGTCCCTGGGGTTTTTTGGGGTGACTTAAGTCCCAGACAGAGCAAGTTTGACATGCGCTGCTCTGGCACCATCTGGTTCCCCGCTAATTTTAGCCTCCCGGCTGCAGCAGGCTGGGGGCGAGGGCTGGCTCGGGGGTCTGGGGTGGGAGCCCCGCACCCTCCTGCTGGGCTGGAGAGAACTCGGCATCAGGCTCTGGCCACCCCAGCAGTGCCAAAGCCCGAGGCCCGGCCGGCCAGCGCCCTCCTCCCCACTCTGTGGCTTTGCGAGGGGCAGGGTGGCAGCAGGTGCCTGGGAGCCACAGGGTGGCGGGCACAGGGCAGACTCCTGGCCAGGGCTCTCTCCTCGCCCTGCCCGTGCCCACTGTGGGGACCGTGAGGCCATGAGTGAGTCACCAGCCGGCCAGGGGGTGGCTGGGGCACTCACGGTGGTGGTGCTGCTGGCTCCCGGCCGGCCGGCCCTAATTAGTTGTTTTTAAATAAGCAGCGCCTTAATTAAGCCCTGCTCCCACGAGCGCTCAGAGACGCAGTCACGGAGCAGAGCAGAGGGAGAGAGGAAGGGGGGACCCTTCTGCCCCTCAAGGCCCGGGCCTGCAGAGGTCTGGGCCCCTCGGGAAGGACTCCGGCACCTACCCTGGGTGGCCGAGGTGACCAGCACGGCAGTGACGCAGACACTCCAGAGCGCGGCGGCCAGGCGGGCCATGGTGGCGGCCAGGGCGAGCACAGCTCTCAGTGACCTGCACGGGGACCCCAGGTTCTCATCGCCGGGGGGGGGGGGGCGCTACAGCCCAGCCCACTCACCTGGAGAGGACACAGGGGTTAGGGGGAGCCCCAGGCTATCCCCGGGACCACAGCCGCCCAGATCCACCCGGACACGCCAGGGTCACGTGCGCCAGAACATCCAGCACCCCAGCCTCCTCGATGGCCAGGAGGGCAACACCGACGTCCCCGGGGCCCCCAGCCTGCTGCTTCCTGGGCCCTGTGCTCCAGCAGCTAATTAGGACCCAGCCAGCTGGCACCACGGCTCAGAGACTGGGGACGCCTGAGTGCCAGGGGACCCTCAGGGTGAGGTGGAGACGGACAGGTAGGCAGTGAATGTCCCCTGCCAGTGTCCACAGCTCTGTTCCCGGGCACAGCGGCCCTGCAGGCTCAGGGCTGGGTCCTGCCGGTGTCCCCCTCCCCGGTGGCTGCTCCTCGCACCCACTGGCACTCGAGCGTGCCCAGCGACACAGCCCTCAGCCCTCCACTATACCTGCACTGGGTCCTCCGGGGGTGGACCTGGCTCAGCACCACCACCTGGCCAGGACCTGGCTCAGCACCACCACCTGGCCAGGAACTGGCTAGAGACCCCCCCACCCCTAGTCTCCAGGGAGGACCTGCCAGGGCAGGAACAGCCAGACCCTGGGGCTCACTGTGTAGCCCGGGCTAGCCTCTACTCAGAGCCATTTTGCTGCCTCAGCCTCCCAAGTGCCCAGAAGACAAGTGTGCACCACCATTCACAATAGCAAACGCTTGTAGCTGCTATTTGCAGTCTACAATCTTGACTCAGCCCCAACTTTTCCCCTCTGTAAATTCAAAGCCCCTTCAAAGCCTACTGATTGGCCCACTTAGCTACCAACACCATGTCTGCGGTCAGGCCCTGCCGCAGGGCCTTTGCACAGCTCTTCCTCCTGTGCATCAAGCATCTGTCCATAGATTACCCACACAGCCAGCTCCTTTGTTCAAATATAACTTCTCTGGTGTGTGAGCTTTCTCTTCCACAGGGACCACCAGGTTTTGTTCATCACATCCCCATATTACAAACAAGCTAGAGACACCGAAATAAATTATTTGTTGAATGACTCTCAGATCTCAAAACCCACAATTCTTAGTCTTCTCTGTGGTCTCCTTTGTGAGCTACATCAGCCTCCAGCATGGCTACCCACCGGCCACTTTCGGCCCCAGCACCACACAGCCCAGGCCCGGTCCACTCCGAGTCACAGGCTGGACACGTGGATCCAGACACCATCTTCCCGCCCTGCCTGTGGCCTTGCAGCTGGGGTCTGGGGTGGCCCGACCTGCTCACTCCTCCTCCCTCTCTCCCTGCAGCTCTGGAGCTGGGAAACAGGACTACACCCCGGCCCCACTCGCCCTCTCTCTACCTTTGTCCCGAGCTCCCTCAGGGCCAGGGACGCCTTCCCAGGGTCTCCCAGACCTTGGTCCTTTTTGTTGTCTCCCTTTGGGCGCCAGGTTGGCCTTGAGCTTACAGCAATCCTCCTGCCTCAGCCTGCTGAGCCCCGGACGGCAGTTGTGGGCCACTGCCCATGGCCCAGGAGGTGCATTTCCCTGCAGGCTGGGATTTTCCTGCTAGACCAAAGTGACTTCCGAGGCCAAAGCTGGCAGAGCCGGGCACACCTCAGGCCTCCGTTCCCTGTGGGGGCCACGATACCCTCCTCGACCCCTTGGTCACCCAGGGAGCCCACCAGGCACTGCGGCCACTGTTAGCCGACAGGGTTTACACAGGGGGTGCATCTCCGCCACACTCCGCCTCCCCAAGCCTCTGCTGTGGCTGTGTCCAGGGGCCACGGTGCCACCACCAGGCCCCGCTGGGGCGGCCCACCCGCCACACTCCGTGCCTGGTCGCCCCTTCCGCCAGCCCCTTCCCCACCAGCTCAGTGTCCCTGAGCCTCTCCAGACTGGCCTCTCCTTCACCCTGCCATCCACACCTCTGCAGGGGTCCCCCAACCCCGAGCAAACCCCCAAGCCTTAGAGTCAAAATCTTTGGCCACCCCACCCCCCACTTTGTGCAGAACTGGGAGAGACCGAGGGCTTCACACCAAGCTGCGTCCGGTGCTTTTACAAATTTTTAATTTTGCCACAAGACACTCAAAACTTGCAGTCCTCCTGCCTCAGCCTCCTGGCATGTCAGGGTGACTGGTAGGGGCCACTGTGCCCAGCCGTGGCCCGTCCCTCCCCACGCCTGCATGCGGTTCAGGAGTCCTGGCCCCGACTACACTGCCACTGGCACCCATGCACCCACCTATTCCCTCAGCCACTCCCCTCTGTCCTCACCCCTTGCCCCAGCACTGGGCATCTCTGTGCTGAAGTTTTTGACCCAGTACCCGGGTGTGGTGCTGAGCGCCTGTAACCTCAGCCCGTGGGAGGCTGAGGCAGGAGGACTGAAGCCACCTAGGCTGCACAGTGAGATCCAGGCTGGCCCGAACTACACAGCGAGGCCCCTGGGCCACCTCGAGGTACGGACGGGCTCCTTTTAACCATCAAAACCTGCTTCTAAGCCATTTTTGTGGCAGGGGTGGAACCCAGAGTTCCCAAACTTCCCGAAGCTGCACTTTAGGGTCCTGAAATCACTGGAGCTCACCAGGCTTTGGTTTTGGCGGGGCAGAATCTCACTACCCAGCCCAGGCTGGCCTTGGACTTGCAACTCTCCTGCCTCAGCCTCCTGAGTGCTGGCAGGACAGGCTGCGCAAGCCTAGGGTCTCCAGGCTGGGACAGCTTCCCTGACTGCTGTCTCCAGTGGCTGACCGCAGACATGGCCAGGGTGAGGACGGGCCTGGAGCCCTCTTCCGAGGCGGCACCCACAGAGAGCACTCATGGCTGAAGGGGGGCCTGCGGCAGACTCCTGGCCCCTCTTCACTGCAGCCTGGGCCACTGAGGCAGGGTGGCCCACCTGGACAGCACTGGGCAGGTGTCTGCAAGGGATGGAGCTGTGTGAGCCCATGGCGCCCAGGGTGTCATGGGTTAACTGATAGCCCCCAAAAGACAGGCTGGCGTCTATGGACCCTGGTGCCCTGAGCCAAGGGCTTTGTGCCCAGCGCACCCTGACTCTCTCACAAAAACGTCCTCTGGCTTTGAGACATCGCCCAGCTGGACTTGAAATCGTGAAACTCCTTCCTCAGCCTCCTGAGTGCCGGGGTGACCAGTGTACCGGCCTATGGCCAGAAGGCGGCCTTTCCGCAGGAGACTAGGTGAAAGCACCGAGACCCTGGACGCTCACTGCAGCTGAGGTACAGAGGCCCATGGGTCCCCAGTGCCAGGCTGGGTGAGCTGCGTGCAAAGGCCACGTGGTTACACAGGGGCCAGGTGTCCCTAGGAGATTCCTGGGGTTCCCTCACCTCCACCCCACCCCTGCTTTGCTGTGTGTCTAGGTGGGCGCGGCAGGCGGCGCTGTCCTCGCTCGCCCTGATGAGGATGGGAGGTGAAGGGAGGAGGGGGCCCAGCTTGCCCCAACCCACGGTTGCCATGGAAACCTGCCCAAGTGGGTGGGAGATCAAGCATCTGGGGGGGCTCTGGGGCCCTCGCACCGTGACGCCGCCTCCCCCTAGAGCAGCCACCCCCTCTGCAGCCATCACCTACCTCTGCCACTCTGGGGCCCAGAGCCTCCAGACAGCGCCTGGGCTCTGTGGCTCCTCTGTGTCCCTGGGGCCCTCTCTGCTGTCACCCTGGCGCCTCCCCGAGGCCCAGCGCCTGTTCAGCTGGGGGGCAGCACCTGCGAGCAGCCAGGCTGGTCGGTGCGCTCAAGGCCTTGAGGGTGATGTCCCGGGCCCTGCCCCAGGCCCTTTGCACATGCCAGCTTCCTCTCCCATCTCCCAGTTTTCACACAAGGTGGTCCCAGGAGCCACAGCTCTACGTGGCCCTTGTTCTGTGGTCCACACAGGGTGCAGTATATCTGCAAGGTTTCCCACCGTGTGAGCCCACAGGGCAGGGGCTGTGTTCCTCTCCTCTGTGAGGCTGTGGTCACAGCCTCAGTGCCTGGCACAAGAAGCCGCATGATGGACGACTGTTCTGGTGTCCCCAGGCTGCAGGGAGGTGGGGCCTGTTTAAAGCACCCCACAAACCCCCATGGTGCCCAGGTCTCCCCCATTGGCCTGCCACCTCTGCCTACCCAGCCTCCACCCTGAGGCCAGGGCATCTTCACAAGAGGAAAACCCAGTGCTGCTGCCCCTGCCTGTGGTTCCACATGGTCCTCCAGAGGCCCCCTCTTAGCTTCAATGGGGACTGTCCCCCAAGGCACGGCCTGGCTGTCCCTGTGCGCCCCGCTGGGCGAGAAAAATGCATGCACAGTCACCAGTCAGAGAACGAAGACATAACAGACCCCAGGCACAGTCTCAGAGGTCACGGTCGGCTACAAGTCCCTGCAGGAAGCCCACCTCACTCAGGCAGAGATTTCGGGCTGCGGACAGGTGCAGATGGGCATGGGGGGGCGGCTGGCTGGAGAGCAGGAAAGCTTGTGCAAGGGCCCTGGGGCCGGGATGAGGTAAGCGGCCCAGACTGCAGGGGGGCAGTGCCGGAGGTGTGGCCTCTCTCACCTTGCTGCTGCCTCCCCTCTGCTCTCCATGCCTCCACCGGTGATGCCCGCTGCCCTGGCGCCACCTGGCAGCCCCCGGGCCGGGTCCCACAGCCCTCAGAACCAGCTGCCTCTGGCCCAGCATGGGGGCATGAACTCTCTGCAGGTGGACCCTGGACCACAGAGACGCAGTGCGGGGAGCCTTCGGACCTCACTTGCCAGCTGCGTCCCCCCAAGTGTTCCCTGTACACCGAGCCCTCTGCTCAAGGGTTCTCTTCTGCAGGGCAGAGGACGACACAGGCCACTCGGGTCCCCCTGGGGCCACCAAATGTCCCCAGCACTAGCAGCAGAGGCCTCACCGTGTGGCCTGGGACCGACAAGTAACAATGTGAGGCTGGGGTGCAGCACAGTGGGGAGTGGGCAGTGCCTGCCCAGCACCATGGAAAACACCACAGCCACCAACACCATCCCCAGAGGTTGTCCCGTGCCAGAAGTCCAGCTTTGAAAACCAGAGGCACAGAGTCTCGGGGAAGCCAAAGGGCTGGAGAGGGCTGACAGCTTACACTGGAGGAGGGGCACTACCCCTGTGCAAAGGCCCTGGGGCAGGCCAAGTGCCCGTTAGGGCAGCCAGGAGCTCACAGAGAAGTGGGGAGAGGGGGCGCCCAGCTGAAAGTACACAAATCCACGGTCTCCATCTCCCCCACAGGGCTGCTGAGCGCTCAGCAACCAGCTCCCTACCCCGGCCTGGTCCCAGGCTGTGTTTGTCCGCACTGAGCTAAAAACGACCTACTTCATTTCCTGCCTTTCTTTCTACACTGAGTGCTGAACCCAAGGCCTCTGCTCTGAACTTGCAGTAATCCTGCCTCACCCTCCTGGTGCTGGGATGACAGGCCTGAGTCCCGACAGCCAGCATCAGCCCTCCTTGTATTTTTTATTTTGAGACAGAATTTTCACTAAATTGCTAAACTGCCCAGGCTGGACTTGAACTTGCATCTCTCCTGCCTTGGCCTCCCGGGGTTCAGGGTGAAGGTGTCCCTCCCAGGCGCAGCACGACCTGCACCTGTCTCACATCTGTGAAGTCGTGAAGCTGGGCGTGATTGGCTTATGGTTTGAATCCCAGCACTCAGGAGGCTGAGGCAGGAGGATTGATGCGAATTCAAGGCCGGCCTGGGATACACAGTGAGACCCTCCCTCCACCTCCCTCCTTCCCGCTAGAAAGAGCCGGAAACAGAACAAACAGCCCTCAGACATCAGCCCCAAGTGCGCAGAGGTCAGCGCCCACCCGGGACTGCTCCCTGACGTCTGAGGGTGTCAGGGGTTACACTTGGGGGGCAGGGGTGCACTGAGCACACACAGTGTCCAGGACCCATAGAAGCCCCCCGGCTCACCCCTGCCTGACTCCCAGGGGTTTTAGATCAGGGTGGGGGCGGGGGCAGAGCTGTTTCTAGCCTCAGCCTTGATTCACGGGGTGTGGGAGGTGGGGTTTGCGTGGCTGGGGAGCCAGGGCTGGGGCACCCATCTCCGGACAGACCGACTGGGGCCATGCCCCCAGGACAGAGAAGCAGGGGGACCAAGTTCCCTTCCGGGCTGGGACTGAACCCCAACAGCCACTCGGGAGAGATGGCCTCCGGGGGCAGCAGGAAGCCATCTCCAAGCCCGCACAGGCCCACAGTCCTGGTCAGCAGCCAGTGCTCCTCACAAGGGGGCCCGAGGAAGCGGAGTACCCTGGGGCAGGAGGGGGTTAGTCCCCTCCATCCATCCAGCTGAGGTCAGTGTGCCAGGCAGTTTCAGGCACCAGGGGATTGTCCGACAGACAAACATGACAACATCCTGGGCCCCTGGATCGATGTCAGGAAGACAGGCAGTAAACAAACAGCCATGACATGTGTGGAAGTGGCATGTCCAGGAAGGTGGGCAGGCAGGATGCTGGTTCCAAGCAGGGCACACAGGGTAGGAGTCCCTGCAAGGTGTGGCTGGGGGAAGCCATGCAGAAGGACCTGGGTAGATGGAGTGGCAGGTGCAAAGGTCCTGTGGCCACTCTGCACTCTAAACTGATATATAGTACTGAAACATAGAGGCTGCTGCATTCCCAGCCTGGGGTCCCCTCCCAAACTGGCACCTCGGGGCTCTGGTGAGGGAAGCATGGCCTTCTCCCTAGGTGTAGGTGATGGGAGCCCCTGAGGAAAACAGCTCACAAGTTGGCAGACTTTCACTTCCCCAGAGACAGGACGTGGACAGGGTTCCCACCATGGTAGCCAGTACGGGTCTGCAGACTAAGAGAAGAGGCAGGCCCAGCATGCACCTGCCCCTGCCGCACACCCTGGGCTGTGCACCTGGTCGCCGGGGCCACAACAGCCTCCTCTGAGCCCAGCAGCCACCTGGCCACCGGCAAGCTGGGCAGGGTCACAGGACAGGTGCATAGATGCAGACCGCCAGGAAGAGGTGAAACCAGCTCCTGGGCCCACAGAGTCCCCACCCTGCCTCTGGGGTCACCGGGGAACCCCTCTGGCTCTGCCCTGGCTTCCCAGCTGCCCTCCAAGGGGCTGGAGGAGGGGCGCTGTCTGGCGCCTGGAAACCGGATCTTCAGAGCAGCACCCACACAGAAACCAGAGCACCGCTGTCCTTGGCCACGTCTGGCTGAGGTGGCAGCCGCCCGGCAGGAGGCTGGGGGCTCCCTGCAGCACCCATGGCCAGCGAGCCATACGCCAGGGGTGAACAACAGCCACTAGCCCCCTGTCACAAAGGCCAGGGCCGCCTCCAGCTGGGAGCCGCAGCCAGCTGGCGAGGTAGCCCCTGGGCCAGCCTTGGATGCAAACAGACCCAGCAGACCGCCCCGACCTGTCTGCAGGTTCCCCGCCTCCGCCTCCGGAGTCGACCAAGAGCAGGGCTCCCGCGGGCAGGCCGGGAATAGAAGCCCGGCTTCCAGCCTCCCGCTTTCCCCCTCCTCCCTGCAGGCCTGCGGCCCAGGTGTTCTGGTCCCCTGCTCCCCAAGGCCGCACATGGCAGGGTGACCCTGGGGTACTTGAGGACACCAGACCCCAAGATGGGGGGGGCGCCCTGGAGGGGACGACGGGCGGGCCCAGCGCGGTGGGTGGGGGCACAGAGGCGGGCAGCGCTCCCACGGGAGCGCGCAAGGGCGCGCGCACACACACGTCTGTGGCTGTGCGCGGTGCCCGCGCCAGCCACGGAATTAGTTCCCTTCTCCGCTCTGCAGCTGATTTTTCATCGCTGTAATTAATGGGCAAGTCGGCTCGGAGCGGCGTGGCAGGCAAATTGCTAGTTAGGAAATCGCGGATAATTTTCTCGATATGATAATGAAGGCCGCGCTCCTCCTCGCATTCTCCCCGCTCTCCTCCTACTTTTAAGTAATAAATTCGCCATTAGTGGGGAGAGGTGTGGGAAGGGGGAGACGTCATCTGCCTCCCTGCTACCCACCCCAAAGCAGGCACCCGACCCAGGTCCCGGGCTGTACCCAGGCCCTGGCAGTGGAACAGATGGAGAAGTGGGGGTGATGTGGGCACTGACACCTCCAGGACGCATGGGACCCAGGCCACGGGGAGCAGGTGCTGAGAGCAGGGGGCCCTGGCCTTCAGCCCCGGGAGAGGAGCTGGGTCGGGGTCGGGCTATACAGGCTGCCTGCACCCTTGGGTGCTGGAGAGAACAGCAGAGCGGTGGCCTGTCTGCCAGCCACGCCGGAGCTCACCGCACCCAACTGGACATCAACCTCGGGTGTCCCTCACACCTGCCCCCACCGAGCACCTCCTGGCACGGGGATCACCGCACCACGGTGGCGGGCTGGGTGGCGACACCGAGAACCGGGCCCGGCCACCTCGGCGGCCATCTTGCGCCCCCTCCCCCTCCGGCGCTGCACATGTCTGTCGTGCCCCCCCTGCACGCACAGTCCCCGGTCCCCGGGGAGGGGGCTCCGCCTGGAGCGGGCCGTGAGGGAGGGGCGGGGACACCCACGTTGGCCCAAGCGAGGGTGCCCGGGAGAGGAGACCGGGATGCAGAGTGCGCGCGATGCCAGGCGGGGACGGCCGCACGCTGACCTAGACCGGGGAGTGGGCCCCAGGGTGCGCGTCTGGGGGCTTGCAAGCGCGGGCTGCCAGAGCACCGCTCCCGATGGATGCTGGGGCGCACGGAGGCAATTTTGGACCGGAGCTCAGCACAGACTGCAACCCACAACGTGCACACGCATGCGCGCGCGCACGCGCGCGGGCGCACACACACACACACACACACACACACACACACACACACACACACACACTTCAGGCCTGGACTTCTGTCCCAGGACCCGCACACAGCACGATGACAGCGGTGCTCACCGAGGGCACACCTGCGGCCAGGGTGGCCCGTCTGCCCAGCGCGGATCCCGGCGGCTAGGACCCGACAGAGGCTCTCGACAAGCCCAGCTGAGCCCAGCTGAGCCAGGCCCCGCGCGCAGAGCCAGCCGCTAGGCTGCAGCCCCTCCTCCCCCCGCGGCGCCCCCTCCCTGGCAGCCAGACGGCCCCTCCCCTCCCCCGCGCCGCTGCTTCCCGATGAAAACGGCCCCCGGCGCAGCCCAGCGCGGGTGCCAGCCCCCTGACACGGCTCCTCCAGGGGGCCGGGGGCGCACGCGCACGCGCCGCGCGCACACGCATCCCCTCAGCTCCCACCCAGACACCTACACAAACAGGGCGCCAAGCACCCGCGCGCACACGCACCGGGGACACGCAGGCACCGCCGCGCCGATCCCCACAAAGGCCGGCGCGCGCGCGGGCACACGCAGCAGCCACCACGCGCGGGCACCTCGCCGCGGAGGGTGGGGTGCGCCCGCCCCCGACGCCCTGCGCTCAGGTGCGGGCCCCGCGCGCGCCACGGCTCCCCTCCCCCGCCCCGCACACCTGGCCCAGGTGCGCGCCCGTGCCGGGCCCGGCCACTCACCTGTCCCGAGCGCTCCCGGGTCGACCCTGCGCGTGTCTCCTGCGGCTCCGCGGGCACGGGCCCCCCGCCCGGCACATCTCCCGGAGCCGGGGCGCGGAATTGGGCTGCGGGGGGGCGCGGGGCCTCCGGGTCCCTGCTCGATCAGGCCCAGCACCGCCACCACCAACCAAAATTTAAAAATAAAAAATAAAAAACTGCAAAGAACAGCGATTGACTCGGCCCCGAAGGCGGCCCCTCGCGGCGGCGGCGGCGGCGGTGGCCGGGGACCGGGCCGGGGCGAGGGGCGGCGTCAGAGCCGCGGGCGCGGGGGCGAGGCGGAGCCCCCCGAGGCGGCCGCCCGCATGTCCCGCGTGTCCCCGCAGCCCCGACGGGGGCGGCACGTGTGCACCCAGGCGACTGCCCAGCCCCCGCGACGGCGGCGGCGCGGAGGCTCAGCGCGGGCCCCGGGGCGCCTCTGCAGGCCCCCGCCGCCCGCCAGCGCCGCTCCGGGGCGCGCGCGGCCCCATCGGCCGGGGCCCGGCAGGCACGGCGCGGGTCGCGGTCCCCGCAGTGGCCGCGGGGGGCTCGGATGCGGGGGACTCAGGGAGCGCCGCGGCAGGGGGCGGAGGCGTGGCGCGGCGGGGGGCGTCGCCCCTGGCGCGGGACGGGGGCGCCGGCCGGGCCTGGGCACCGCAGGACGCGCGGAGCCACCGCGACGGGCACCAGCAATGACAGCCGCCTGCTCGCCGCGCGCCCGGTGCGCTCCGGGAGGGGGCGGCGGCGCGCGCAAAGCCCGGCCTGGAGCCCGGACCGGACTCCTCCTCCACAGCGGAGGCTGCGCGGGCACCAGGAGTTGGGACCGAAATCCCGGACTGGATTCCCGGCGCGGTTCCTCCCGTCGCCTCTACCCCGCGCCCCGAGAAGAGAAGAGGGAGGCGACTTGCGGGATCCCTGAGTCGGAACGGGTGGGGGCGGGGCGGCGCGCGGAAGACCCGGAGCGGATTCTCCAGCCGCCGAGGGACGGACCGGAGCCCGGACCGTCGAGGTGGAGACTGGGCGGCGCAAAACCCGGCCTGGACGACACGGAGTAGGGTAGGCCCCTGGCCAGGCTGGGGCGGGTAGGGCTGCGACGCGCTTGACCGAGGCTCGGGGCGCCAGGGTTTCGGGCCAGTCTCTCCCGCGGGATACGGGATGGATGGGTCGGCCTAATGCGGTGGAAACACTGGGCTTGCGCGCGGTGTGAGGGTGGAAGCTCCCCCAGCTTCTAGGCAGCGACCACGGGGGAGGGGCAAAGGGAGGGCAGGGATCGGCCGGCGGGATCGGCCGATCAGTCGGGGAGCAGTCGGGGACTCCGGCACCCGGCGTTGCACGGTGAAGGGATGCGCGCGGGGCGCTGCCCGGGAGACCAGGCCGGCGGAGACGAGCGGATGCTCGCAAAGCCGGGACTGGACTGTGCGGACGGGACGGGATGGGATAGAATGGGATGGGATGCGAGTCCCACGATGGCTCCCTGGCAACCGGGCAGGCTTCGGGAGCTGACCGGTGTTAGGGGAAGGTTCATGTCCACGAACGTTCAAACTTCTGGCTCCAAGGCTGGGGTGGGGGCACGAGGAATGAATTTTAGGTTGTGGCAAGAACAAAAACCTGAGATGGAGTCTCACGGTCTGGCTCCTACACTGCAGCTGCTGTGCGTCTGGAGAAGTAGGGCAAGGAACCGGCTCGAGAGCTGAGGCCCTGGGAGCAGCCGGGGGGCGGGGACCAGGTTCCAGCCTGGAGCTGCCAGGCAGCTTCGCAACCCTCTCCCGAGCAGGGAAGGCGCGACCTGGCTGGGATCTCCCGAGCCGGAGTTGTGATTGCCAAGAACCGCGGTGGGGGCCCTGAAAGCGGGCCCCGCGCCAAAAATAGGCACTTCAGCAGAATGAGACAAATCAGGGCTGGGTGGGGGCTGGGCGGCGGAGGGGGCACCATCCTGGAGGGGAGAGGGTCGGGGAGAGGCCCGAGAGCAAAGACCCGGCTAGGATCTGGGGGAGGCCGGGCCTGGAAGCAGCTTCCAGCTCCATTTTGTGAAAGACGGGTGCAACTCCAAGAGGGCCAGCCGGGGTGGAGTGAAACCCAGGTTTGGATCCTCAAGGAAGGGAGTCCGTCCAAATAAGGCCCGAAGAGCAAAGCAGGCGGCTCCTGCCAACTTCTGTCTGGCTGAATCTGAGCCTGGTGGAAGCCTGGGGGAGGGGAGGGGAAGCGGATAGGGCAGGTAAATCCCGATGTGGATTTTAGAGGAAGGGGATTACTGGGGGGGGGGAGCTTTTCTGTGGGTAAGTGGAGGCTCTGTACAATGCAGCAGAGACTGGAGGGAAAGGATTTGAATGGAAAAGCAAGTTCGGACCAGGCAAGTGTGGAATTGTGCCAGCTATAATCTCTACTTGGGAAGCTGAGGCAGGAGGATCTCACATTCAGGTATCGCCTAGGCAATCTGATGAGAATCTGTCTCCAAATAAATTGATAAAAAGGGTCAACCAGGCACAGTGGTGCATGATTGTAAAATCCTAGCATTTGAGAGGCTGAGGCAGGAGAATCGCCTAGAGTTCAAAGCCAGCGTGGGCTCCACAGTGACTTCAAGGCCAGCCTGAACTACATAGCAAGCAAGTCCCGCTGGCTCAAAAACTAAACAAACAGGGGCTGGGGATTTAGCTCAGTGGCATAAGCGCCTGCCTTGCAAGCAGACAGTCGTGAGTTTGATCCCTGGTACCAATAAAAAAGAAAAATAAATAAATAAATAGAGCCAGGGATGTAGCTCAAGGTGGACGCTCTGGGTTCAGTCCTGTGTGTGTGTGTGTGTGTGTGTGTGTGTGTGTGTGTGTGTGTGTGTGTTTGTGTGTGTGTGTGTGTGAGTGTGAGGGCCAGGCAGCAAATCCTGAAATTTTGAGTCAGGACTGAATGGGAACAAGGAATCTGGTCTCCGTGACTCTCTTCCAAGAGAAGCTTCCTAGTGGCAGAACTGGGAGACAGGACCCCAGATGTCCAGCCTGGCTGAGTGACCCTCTGACAACCCTATCGCCTCCTAAACAACTTTTCTTTCCAAGACTGGATGGGGATTCACATAGCCCAGAACCTGGGCCAAAGTGGGCCCTAGCACCCCAGGGCAAAGTGGACAGTCGTGTGCCCTTCTCTCTGTGGCCTCTGAAAGTACGTGACCAGGTTCGGGCCACTGCATCTGGAGGCCCATGGAGATTGGTAAGTCCATTTGTGGTTGACTGCAGCTCTCTTAGGTTTCGGGGAGAGGGGGTGGGGAAAAAACCCTCTGTGTGCCTCAGTTTCCCACTTTGAGATATCAGCTAGCAGATCTATGAAAGACACTGAGGTACTGCGCAGTGAGCCTGGCGCTTCGCGGGGGACCAGGACGTTCCCCATCACAGAGTAAACGCAATGGGAAGGGACATCGATGTGCCAGGGCTTGAGTTCCAGCCCAGCCCCAGAACCAAACCAAACCAGGGTTGCAAGGGGCCCAGGCTGTGCAACCCAGGGGAAGCCAGACACCCCTCCCACCGCCCGCGGCCGGGGCGGCTGCAGGGATGGTCTCCTCCAGGGAATCCTTGGCTTCGGTTTGCAAACCTCCCCGCTGGAAACCCCCTTCCTCCGCTCCTTGGTCTCCCCACACCTGTGATCGCGGAGCGCCCCTGGTGGTGGCCGGAATCGGCTCGCCAGCTCCACCCGGCCGGCGTCCCCTGGACGCCAAGGCGGGCGCACCAGGCAGAGAGCTCAGAGGGGCTGGGGGTGCTAAACCAGTCGCGGGTCCCCGGGTCCCGGGGCTGCGCAGGCGCAGTGGAGGCCGCCCCTGGACGGGCTCTGGCGCCGTGGCGCTGGGGCGCGCGCAGAGCCATCCCACTCTGCGCCTGCCGCGTGGCCCACTAGCCCGGGACCCCCAGTCCTCGGGGGCCCCCTTCGCACTTCGCGGATCCCGCGTGCGCCTCAGCCACTCCGCGTTCTGTGCATCTGGTCCTTGGGCAGCCTGTGCCTCGAGGGTCCCGCCTCTCAGGTGCCTCCATTCTGCAAAGCCTGCGCAGGGGTCCTGCGCTTTCAGTGGACCCTGTGCCTGCGGCACCCCCATTTTCTCCCCTGCGTTTTGGGAACCCCATCCTGAGTGGGTAGCACTGGGGCGTCTGGGGGCTACTGCTCCGCCCTCCCTAGGGCTCTGGTTGCTTGGTGTCCCCCTGCCAGGCTCCTGAGGCCCCTGCACGTTGACCACAGGTCAGAGGTCAGGGGTGGTGACCGTGAGTCCTCCTTTGCTTGTCCTTTGCTTGTCCCCCAACCAAGCACCCTCACGGGCTGCCAGATGCCAAGACCACGGTTGCCTGGAGCCTTCTCAACTGCACCCTCAGCCTGTTTCAGCACTTGGGAGGCTGAGGCAGGAGGATCGCCATGAGGTCAAGGCCAGCCTGGGCTACATAACAAGACCCTGTCTCAAAAAAACAAAACCAAACCAAAAAATCAAGGGCCCCTTCCGAGTGGGGGAGATAAACAGCGCCCAGGTGCGGTTCAGCCCCAGAAGCGGAAGTGAAGGAGTAAAGGGAGGTGAATCTATCTAGGCCTTGGGGTGCCTGAGTGGGGCAGTTGCTGTTCTGTGGTGCTGGGGAGGGAGCCTGCCCCCCCCACACACACACACACACGCTGGGCCCGGGCTCCGTCGCTCGTCCGCAGTCCTTTTTCTTTTGTTTTGAGACAGAGTTAGCAAAGTTGCTTAGGTGGATGGGAAATGTTTATCCTCCTGAGTCAGCCTCCCAAGTAGCCACTGTGCCTGGTACAGTGCCCTTGGGTTCTACCTCCAATACCAAAAAAAAAAAAAAAAAAAAAGACAAAGAACTCCTAGAATCAGGCTGGGAGGATGGGGTGTGAGTAGGGATGAATTCCAACTGCTGCCTTTGTGTGTGCCTGGGCAGGGGTTGTTCAGTCATTCAACAAACCTTATCGAGCACCTCCTGTGACAGGGCACTATGCTAGCTGCTGGCAGTGAAGTTGTGAGGACCGTGCTGGCGGAGGGGACACTGGACAGAAGTGGGGGTACAGAGAGTGTGAGCTGTGAAGTGGGGGCCACGGAAGGTTCTGGAGCCAAACAGGGAGGACCTGCCGCAGGAGTGCATAGGTGGAGGCCTGGAGCAGAA